ACGTTTACCCTTATCACAGAGTTCATTCCCCGTTCGGGTATGTTTGCTCGAGGTCCCGGCCACCCTCGACCTCGACCTCACCACCCTCGCCCACGCCCACTGGAGCTATGTGGGCCCGCTGCGCTCCGTCGTCACCGTGCTGCAATATGCATATCCCATCCTTTTACTCTTCTTCTTCCTCGCCGCCTTTACCATCCGCAGCATTGCCGCCTCTAATAGTAATACTAATATCGCAAAACCCACCACCACGGGCCCTGGAGGCAAGCCCCTGCCCGCGACCGATCCCACACGCAACTTCGTCAAGAAGACGGTGCACGACGATGTCACCCACACGCAGAAACGCTTGTTCGAATGGGTCTCGCTGGCCACTGCCCTCACCTTTGTCGGCAACTCGGTCGTAGCTATCACACACGCCCTCGTCGACAAAAAGGACCACTACTGGGCAGGCAAGGCCGTTGTGGTAAGCATCCCCATGTTGTTTTCCCCCAAAGGGCGGAGGGCGGCAATACGCATCGCGGCGGCGGAGGAGCTCATGCTAATTGACAACCCAGATCTACCTCGTAGGCGGATTCTTCGTCTACTGCCTCTTCCTCATCTCCCTCATCGACTCGAAACCATCGCCTACCGTGGCCCACCTGACGACATGGAGCTTGGCTGTGGTACTAGAGATAGTTCTCGTAGCTTGCTCCCTCGCCATCTACACACATGCCCATAAAGCACCCTCGACCGGCCATCCCAATCCGCGCATGCACTTTCGCATGACCGACTGGGAAGCCGCTGAAGTGGCCATGGACCTGCTCCGCATCCTGCTGCTGCTAGCCATGATTGGCTTCTACCTCGTCTTTGTCGTCATGCCACAGCACAAAGCTTCCCAAGAGACGGCCAGTCCCGGCGAAGGCACCTCCCTGTTGGCGGCCGTGGAGGGAAATGGTCACGCAGAAAACGGGCATACGAACGGCTCGTACGGAGCAATGCACCCTGTGGGTGGCAAACATCAGCACACCCAAGGCGCACCGCCCGCCTGGAGCAGGCCCACGGGAGCCCCAGCACGCAGTTGGTGGGAATATATCAAAGGCTACCACGTCTTCTTCCCCTACCTCTGGCCCTCCAAGGACCGCAAACTGCAGTTTATTGTCATCCTGTGCTTTTTGCTGGTCCTCGCCCAGCGTGTCGTCAACCTGCTCGTGCCCGACCAGCTGGGTAATATTGTGAACCGGTTGGGAGACAGGAGCAAGGGAAACCCGTGGACCGCCATCATCATCTTCATCTCCTTTCGCTTTCTCCAAGGCAGTAATGGTCTGCTTGGCGCTGCGCGGTCAGCGCTCTGGATCCCCGTCTCCCAATACTCTTATCGCGAACTATCAGTCGCCGCGTTCGAGCACGTGCACAGCCTCAGCCTCGACTTTCACCTCGGCAAGAAGACGGGCGAGGTGCTCTCTGCGCTTGGAAAAGGAAGCTCCATCAACACCTTTCTCGAGCAGGTGACCTTTTCGGTGGTGCCCATGCTGATCGATTTGGCGGTTGCCATTGGCTACTTCCTCATCAGGTTCGACGTCTACTATGCGCTTGTCATTGCCATTGTGACCTTTTGGTACATTTATCTGACGATCCGCATGGCCCAGTGGCGCGCTGAGATACGCCGTGAAATGGTCAATGCGGATCGTGAAGAAGATGCTGTCAAGTAAGTTTCGCCCGTGTTGGGTGTTTGCTGCCCTCATGGGAGCTGTCAGAGCTGACCAAACAAAACAGAAACGATTCCATGGTTTCGTACGAGACGGTCAAGTACTTCAACGCGGAAGCGTACGAGTTCAATCGCTACCGTGAAGCAGTCAAGAAGTACCAAAACGCAGAGTACAAGGTCTTGTTCTCATTGAACGTGATGAACATTACGCAAAACATGGTCTTCATGCTTGGCTTGCTGGTCACCTGCTTCATCGCGGCGTATCAAGTAGCGGCTGGAGAGCAGGAAGTGGGCAAGTTTGTCACGCTGATTACGTACATGGGCCAACTTCAAAGCCCGCTCAACTTTTTCGGCACATTTTACCGGATGATCCAGTCTGCCATGATCAACTCGGAGCGCATGCTGGAATTGTTCAAGGAGCAGCCGACCGTGGTGGACAAGGAAGACGCAATCCCGCTGCCGTCATGTGAGGGTAATCTTCGCTTCCAAGACGTTCACTTTGCCTACGACCAACGTAAACCTGCGTTGGCCGGACTGGACTTTCACTGCGAGCCCGGCACAACCACTGCATTTGTGGGTGAGTCGGGAGGTGGCAAGTCGACCGTCTTCCGCCTTCTCTACCGGTTCTACAACACCACCTCGGGAAGCATTCAAGTCGACGGGCACGACGTGGAGGATCTCACCATCGATTCGGTGCGCAGGCACATTGGTGTCGTACCGCAGGATACTGTGCTGTTCAACGAGACCCTCATGTACAACCTCAAGTACGCCAATCCGGCGGCCACGGACGAGCAGGTCTATGATGCGTGTAGAGCGGCTAGTATTCATGACAAGATTATGACTTTCCCGGACAAGTACGAAACCAAGGTTGGCGAGCGGGGCCTGCGACTGTCAGGAGGTGAGAAACAGCGGGTTGCTATTGCGCGCACCATCCTGAAGAACCCTCGTATCATTATGCTTGATGAAGCAACCGCCGCTCTGGACACAGAGACGGAGCAACACATCCAGGAGGCCTTTACGACCTTGGCCAAAGGACGCACGATGCTGATCATCGCCCATCGATTGAGCACCATTACCCACGCTGACCAGATTCTGGTGCTGCACAAGGGCAAGGTGCAGGAACGTGGAACCCACGAGGAGCTTCTCGACCGAAATGGTCACTATGCTGCCATGTGGAAGAAGCAGATTCGTGCACAGAGGGCGGCTGAACAAGCCAAGTTCCTCAAAGACAAGGCTGACCGTCTCCGCCGGGAGTCCAAGGATGGCACCATTGGGCTCACTGACGGCAGCAGCAGTCACTCGAGCTCATCGTCTGACGATGAGCAGACGAAGAAGAACAAGTCGTCTGGAACCTTGGTAGGCTCCTATCGCGAAGAGACATTGGCAAAACCACATGGACACCCTTAAGTCCTTGGTTGTTCACCCAGGATTAGGCCCGACTGTGGAACCAAGGAATCCAAGTCAGGAGATTGTCAACTAAGGGGGGTGGCTGAGGAGTATGACACCGGCAAGTGATGTGTATGCCCAAGACCGAACGGCCTTACCAGCCGATGATCTAGATTATACATGGAACAGGGCGGGAGCCGGTAGAGAGCCGCTTCACTCCGCCGAGATTGCGAGGGGTCATGCTGATGTAAACCTCTCAACAAGAGCCTCCACATTGCTGAACACGATCCGCACACACACACAACGTCGGATCCCGCGGTTGATTTTGCATCACCACCACCACCACCATCATCATCATCATCACATTCGCCCGGCGTTCGGTCCACCCTCCCAATGTATTGTTTTTGATTTTGTTTTTCCTTTCCGCAAAAAAGATCCCACAATATTTCCCCAGCCCGATTCACAATAGAAGGTATACATCTTGGGCGGTATCTTCCTTGCCCTGTTGTTTTTGGCTTTTTCTTTGCAACACTACGATGCATTACGGCGGCGGGGGGTTTTCTTTTTGGCTTTGCGACGCTATGCTATGCCATATGCTTATATACACACACTCACGCACGCGCGCAATCTCAATAGTCTCAGCCATCCTGGGTCTCGTCACGAATACAGCTGGTTCAAGGGAGGCGGGTTTGGGGGATTGCATTGTGCTAGAGAAGGGTTTTCCTTTCTGGTTTAGAAGAGCGGGGTGGGGTTGTTGATGGTGTTGCTGTTGTTGGAGCTGGGCTGCGGAGGGAGTTTTCTGGGTCTTGGTGAGGGGGTTGTTGTGGGTTGGGGAGGTTAAAAGGTAGAAGGCAGAGACGGTAGGAGTGAGTGAGGGTGTTGTCTTTTTTGGAATGAAATGAAATGAAATGAAATGAAATAGCGGTTTTTTTTCGAGTGTTCCATCGTTGGTATTTCTGGTTGCACCAAAAATCTCCCCAAATCGGAACATGATCACTCGGCCCCCTCTCCTCCACACAATCCAAAATCCCACAACCCTTTACCCACCCGGCATCCCACATGCCCTTGCCCGCCACAAAATAATCCACGCGATCGCAACTCGCCCCCCACGGCCTCGCACGCGGAAAATACGTATACCGCCTCTCCTCAGCATGCATCGCCCTCCAGCTATCCACACCCTCAAACCCAGACACTTTTCCCCCCTCGCCGCCCAGCCCCGGCATCAACCACGTCTTAAAATCCACCCGGTTGCGCACATGGTCTGGCGGGTATGTACGTAGTCTAGGGAAACCGTCACGTTGGTCAGGCGCAACGTTCATATCACCGACGAGCAGGGCCATTTGTGGCGGTGGAGGAAGGCGGGGAGGGATGGGGGAGGGATGGGAGGTGCGAGGGTATTGCAAGGGGAATTGGCTTTGGGTTTGGCTGCTTGCATGTATTTTGGGATGGGCGTTTGGAGAAATGGCTCGATGCCGTTGATGTTCCAGGAAAAGATGCGCATGTTGCCCTCGGCCAGTGGAGAGAGCGGTGCAGGGACATGCAGAGCCGTGTCGAAGGATGGAGCCGTAGATGTTGTACCGATGGCATGAGTCTTGCGCCGTTTTGCAGGCGGCGGACTGATTTCGCGCTTCATTGCCGTGGCCGTTTCACAGGTTTGTTTCATCTCAGGTACAAAGAATGGGCATGCGATGTGGTGTGGTCTGCCATGCTCGCCATGACGTCATGAAGCTCACCCGGCTTCCTCCTTCCTCTTCCAACATCCTACCAGTTCTCCTCCCCGCATACTCTCCTTCTGCAACCACCCAACCTGAAGACGTACAAGATCCCCCCAAGCGCGCTCGCCATGAACACGTTTGTATCAGTGTACAAGTTCAAGACCCGGAAACACCGCTCTATACACACACACACACACACACACACACACACACACACCGCCTAGTCCCAAAAACAGCAGTGATCGTCGCCATGCATTCACAACCCCTCCACCTCCACGTCCCTAATCCAACGTCCCTGCACATCAACATATCAACCCCATAAACCCAACTCATCTTCCCACCAAAAATCCAACAAATCCCACCATCTCCCCCCCCCAACCAATTCCCCCAATCTCCCATTTTCCAACTCCAACAAAAAACCTCACCAACTTCCCCCCCCCCCCCCCCCCAAAAAAAAATGTCCCACCGCCGCAAGAAATCCCTCCTAATCGGGATAAACTACACAGGCAGCGCCCACGAACTCCGCGGCTGCCACTCAGACGTCCAAAACATGAGCGAATTCCTCTCCTACAAAGGCTACACCTCGTCCCCGCGCGACCGCGTCACCCTAACCGACAGCCCAGACGTAGATCCCTCGTCCCCCTACTACCCCACCGCCCACAACATGCTCGCCGCCATGGACTGGCTCGTCAGCGAGCCCGGATGCACCTTGTTCCTGCACTACTCTGGCCACGGCGGCCAAGTCAAAGACGTAGATTGCAACCGCAGCACGGGCCTTGACGACTCGCTCGTGCCTGTTGATTTTGAGCAGAGCGGGCAGCTGAGTAGTACGTTGTTGCATGAACATCTTGTGACGCGCATGGCGGAGGACTGTACACTCTTTATTCTGCTTGATTGCTGCCACTCTGGTTCCGCAGTCGAGTTACCATACGTTTTTCGCACCGACGGCGAGGGCGGGATTTCCCTGCTTGATAATCTAAAGGCTGGGGCCCGGCTGGTGGGCGAGGCGCAGACTATTTTTCGAGATGGGTTCTCTTATAGCAAGATTGGTGAGGCGAGGGAGTTGTTGGCTGGGGCGACTAGTTTCTTTAATGGGCTTCGACATGTTGGGGAGCAGGAGGAGGAGCAGGGGCTTGCGGGTGGTGAGTTTGCGGGTCAGTATGGGAGTGAGAGGAAGATGGTGACTATGTTTTCGGGTTGTAGGGATGACCAGGTATGTCTCTTGTCTCCTGCCATCTCACCTCTCATCTCATCGATCTACCTGCCCAAGCAAACTTTGGAAAAATCAGCCAGCTAAAGACAATCCCAGACCAGCGCAGACGCGCAAATCCAAGGCGAACCCACTGGCGCAATGACCTGGGCTTTTTTGGAAGTCATGAAGAGAAATCAAAATCCTTCATATGCTGAGGTTCGTTCTTATCCTATTAATCACACTCCTCCTTATTCCTATCCCCATACCAATCCCTATACCAATCCCCATACCAATCCCCACACCAACTCCCCCCAAACACAAACAGAAACACCCACCAACCTACCCATCCACCTAACAAACCCCCACAGACCCTAACCCTGACCCGCAACATCCTCGACGACAGCAACTACTCCCAAATCCCGCAGTTGAGTTGCGGGCTGGACATTGATTTAGATCACATGGCTTTGGTGCTATGAATGTAAATGTGAGATTCGCTCGTCTTTTGTGTCTTGGGCTGAAAGGACCTGGTCAACTACAAGCTCCTTGACCAAAAGAGGACTTGCGCATAGTAAACATTGTAATTCTGTGTATTCAAAACAACTTGACTACAACCACACAAAACTCATCTGCCCCTACAAACTCAGCAAGAACAGCAAACATGAAAGACATGTAGGTTGCAATCAATCAATAAAATAAAATAAAACCCCCCCAGCCAGGTATCTGAAAACAAAGCATTACCGACAGTGTCCCATAAGCAAAGCAGAATAGGAGAGAGAGAAAAAAAAAAAACTCCCCAAAAAACACCGTCCGCTTCGCCGTGCTCGACCCTCGGGTTCAGTTGCACGAACCCAGAACCAAAAACGCCGACATATATGCACCCCCATTCGACCAAGCCAAAAGGAAAATAACCCTAGTCTTTTGCAACCTCGGTCCGTTCCTCGCCCTTGACGTTTTCCGCATCTCGCTCTGCATCGCATTCTTCTTTCGCGACGGCCACTTCTTCTTTGACCTCGGAATCCTCCATCTCCACGTCCGCGGTGGGCTCTGATGTCGGCCCGAGTGCGGTCGGAGCCGTTGGCGGTGATTCGGGGGGTGTGACGACTCCCGCAGGCGACTGAGACCGTGTTGACGTAGCGGCGGGTGCAGCTGGGGCGGCGGGCTCGTCCATTTCAACGTCACCATCTTGGTCAGCCTCTGGTTCGCCCACGGCTGGTGTGTGCGTACGAGAATCTGCTGCCGAGGTCTGTCGCGTAGAGAGGGTACTTCCGCCATTGATATCCTCCAGGCCGTCGAGGTCGTCCGCCGGAGCGGCATTAGGATTCACATAATGTGTGATGTTGCGCCTCTTCTTGACACCTGGCTGTGCGCGTACGCCGAGATTGTTCTTGTACTCTTCGTCGTCGCTGGCATCGTAGAGCTCGCCATCGTGCTCAATCTGTTTATCACGTTGCCTCTGGGTCACGCGTTTGTCCGGGTTCATGTCGGCATCGAGGTCATCTTCTTCATCTTCACCTTCCGATTCCATGTCGCGGCTGAGGTGGAGGGGGTCGACGATTGGGGTGAATGCTTCGACCGATGGCCTTCCCGTTCGCCGAATGTTTTCAATAACTGCAGATTTGATCTTGTGGAGATAATCATGCGAATTCGCATTCTCCATGTTGGAAGGACGGACGTCTAGCTCGTAGTCGGGGGCAAAGTATTCGTAGTAGTCGTTGAACGGGAGTAGTTTGGACATGCGCTCCCCAACTAGCTCGCCCGTCTCGTAGGCCCAGGTGCGGGCAACGTTCCTCATCGTATATCCACCACCGCCGAGAACGATGACGGGTACACCAAAACTCTTGACAAATCGGACGCAGTTGGCGTGGCCGTCCATGCTCAGATTGAAGCATCCAAGCCTGTCGCCCGAGAGACTGTCACCTCCGCACTGGAGCACAATAGCCTCAGGCCCATAGTATGTCATGACTGCTTCAATAACTGGCTCGAAGATGTTGCGGTATGTGTCATCGGTAATTCCATCGCGCAACGGGAAGTTGACAGCGTAGTTCTTCCCAGCGCCAACACCAATGTCGCGTAGCTCGCCGGTACCGGGGAAGTACTCGCCGTACTTGTGGAAGGAGACGGTCATGACGCGATCGGTCGTGTAAAACGCTTCTTCGACACCATCGCCGTGATGGACGTCAATGTCAATGTAGAGGACGCGCTGCTTGTACCTTAGCAGCTCGATGATGCCCAAGACAATGTCTGCCCTTGGTCAGCATGGTTTCGCAACCACTTTGTCAGATGGGCAAGATACTCACCGTTGACGTAGCAGAAGCCACTGGCTTCACTCTTCTTCGCGTGATGCAAACCACCAGCCCAGTTGACGGCGACATCGCACTTGCCCCGGTTCAGGCGGGCGGCGCCCTCCATGGTCCCGCCAGCACTGATGCCGCAGAACTCGAACAGGCCGTCGAAGACCGGACAGTCATCTCCGACATTGTACTTGCTCTGCTCTCGCTGGAACTGATCCATGTTGTCGGGGGTCACCTTGTGCAGGAACTCGATGTACTCGTCCGTGTGGAACTGCGTCATTTCGTACTTGGAGGCTGGCTTTGCGCGCTGTGGGGCTGTTTGTTAGCAACGATGCAGGCTCGGTCAGTCTGCGAGTTGACGTACGTAGATTTCCATTTTGTTGTAGAGACCATAGTTCATGATCAGACTATGCGCCATGCGTATGCGGTGCGGCTTCATAGGATGCCCCGCTACATAGGCATAGTTGCCCACGTCCGAGTCGTAGAAGTAGGCGACCTTTTTGGTGGATTTGGCAGTGCCCCCATTCGAGTGCTCGGTGCTGGCGCCCGCCATGATTGCATCATTGACGCCCGTGGCCATGATTTACTTTGGCTGCGCGCAACTATTCGTGCGTGCGTGCGTGTGTATGTGTGTGTGGTGTGTGCGGTGCGATCTCTGGTTGGGTGGGCTGTCAAGGGTTGAGATATGGTAGTCGCGGGGGAAATGCATGCGCAGAGGTAAAGAGAGAGGAAAGAAGAGGAATACTTTCGAGCAGGTGTGGCAAAGGGGGGCAAGGGGGGGGAGAGGGAAAGGCGTGACATGCAAAAGGTGTGGGATTTATGGTAACAAACAAGACAAGACAGGACCCGAACAATGAGGGCTGGTGGAAGCTTTCGGCGGAACAAAGGGCTCTTAACCGGGGGGGTGAAGCTTTGGAGCTGGAACCGGCTCTATTAGTCGGGGCGGAGAAACTATAATCCCCCGAGTGTGCTAACCTTGAGGGCGGCCGGCGCGGAGAAACTATGGTCCTCCGATGAGTGGCAGCAGTAGTAGGCACGTCCAGTCCAAACATGATGATAGCACAGAGCAACCAACAAGCTACCAGAGTTAACTCACCTCGCCCATCACCCCGCCGCCCGCCGCCCGCCGCCTCACCAAACACCCTCTTCCTCTTCCTCTTCCTCTTTCTCCTTCTCTTTCTCTTGCTCATCTCCCTCTTTCCACCTCCCATTTTGCCTTGACTAGAGCACCGTAACACCAGGCACCTCCCAAAGTCCCCCCATCTCTACGCCCCAAGCAAGCAGACAGTCTCGCGGCCGCAAACCCGTCCCCCATCTTTCACCAAAACAGACAACCTCGCCTATCATGGACCGGTTAAGTAGAATGCTGGCGGCCGCTCAAGGCATGGGTGGCATGGGAGGAGGGCCTGCACAAGACACCAACCTCATCGACAACTCGGAAACCGTCTACATCTCTTCATTAGCCCTTCTCAAGATGCTGCGCCACGGCCGTGCTGGTGTGCCCATGGAAGTCATGGGCCTGATGCTGGGCGAGTTTGTCGACGACTACACGGTGCGCGTTGTCGATGTCTTCGCCATGCCCCAGTCCGGTACAGGCGTGTCCGTCGAGGCCGTCGACCCCGTCTTCCAGACCAAGATGATGGACATGCTGCGGCAAACAGGGAGGTGCGTGCCATTACATTCTTGCCCCCTCCCCCTCCTCCAGCCCTGACACTGGCTGACAAACACAGACAAGAGACCGTCGTAGGCTGGTACCACTCACATCCTGGTTTCGGCTGCTGGCTCTCGTCAGTCGACATCAACACCCAGCAGTCCTTTGAGCAGCTCACCCCGCGCGCCGTCGCCGTCGTCGTCGACCCCATCCAGTCCGTCAAGGGCAAAGTCGTCATCGACGCCTTCCGCCTCATCAACCCACAAACCCTCATGATGGGCCACGAACCCCGTCAAACCACCTCCAACGTCGGTCACCTCAACAAACCCTCGATCCAAGCTCTCATCCACGGCCTCAACCGCCACTACTACTCAATAGGCATCAACTACCGCAAGTCGGCGCTCGAGGAGAACATGTTGATGAATTTGCACAAGCATGTCTGGACCGAGGCCTTGCTGATGGACGACTTCAAGGGCGAGGGCGAGCGGAACAAGGAGCGGCTGCAGAAGCTGGTCTCGCTATCGGAAGGCTACGAGAAGCGCGTAAAGGAAGAGACGGAGTTAACCAAGGACCAACTCAAGACGAGATATGTCGGAAAGGTGGACCCCAAGAAGCGTACGTTTTGCCCCTGGGATCGGATCTACGCAATAAAAGTCGCAAAGCTAACAAAGTGGAAATTTAGACATCTCCGACGTTGGCCAACAACTCATCGAAGACAACATCGTCTCCGTCTCACGGCAGATGATTGACAAGGAGGCCTCGGTCCCCAAGTCCAACGCACGGCAAAACGGAAACGCAAACACGGGTGATGATGTAGACATGGAAGAATAGATCTCTTGCCATGGTGAATTACAGATCACGTTGAAAATTGAGCAGTGAGAGGCGCACGATAGTGCTGTACAGAATCCTGCACAAGGGGGAGAAGGAGCATAGGATGCTCCATGTGTCGAGGTTGCGGCCGTGAGCTTGGGAGAAGTACGCACGATATTATAATGCACGAGAATGACATGATGGTATTGAGCAAGACTCGAGTTCAAGTATAGTACAATGACATGCATATACACGTCACCGTGTGAGATTGTGACAACACTTGATTCTGATTCGGTGCACTAGGATCCCAAAGATTGTATACATTCAATTACAGTACACTCGGTGAAAAAGAGAATCGGTTTGCCAACGGATCCATTAACCGCCTATTACCCCTTTTCAACAGCTAGCCATGTTCCAGGCACCAGGTCGATTGCATTGTCTGGAAGATCAAGGCAATCAAGCTCAAACCCGTAGGACATGCACTCGCCTCGGGAAGACTTCTCTCATGACACCAAGATGCCGAACCAGCCATTACCCCTTCTCAATCCATCTATCAAATGTCCAGAAGGAACATTGTCCAAGTCCGACATCTCACATCCCTAACAGTACTAGAGACTTCGATTCACCACTGAGGCCTCGCTTCCCGCTGTAACATCAGCCATCCTTGCGCATCGTGCGGCAGCTTGCACGGCACAAGCGGACAAGTGCCCAACTTGTGCTTGAGCGAACACCTCCACCGCGCACATGGCGTGTCACGCTCCCCGCAGCTCCGACACTTGGCATGTGCGTCGCACGTCAGATTGTTGGCATAGCATTCAGAGCACGAGACGACGTTCTTGGGCAGCTTGGTGTTTGCATGCGGGACAACCAGGTGTGCGGCTCCAGTCAGGGCGTCGCCATTGTTGGAGACGCGCATGACTCTGGCTTCGCTGATCTTGAGATGCTGCTCGGCCATCTTGAGTTGGGAACGCTGGCGATCGCACAGACTTGTTTTTTCGCGCAGCTGTTGCTCGAGCTCCTCTCTCTTGTCCTTGCAGAGACGAGCGCGGAGGTCCTCGACTTCGTCTTCAAGCTGTGTGACTCTGAGCTGCTCTTCTAGAATCTTTTGGCGGAGATCCGTGTTAATCCTCTCGCGCTTGGTCAGCTTTTCCACGAGGTTTTCTTCTCGCGCTGCCTGGTTGCTTGTATTGAGCCGGGCTCGGCTCGCTGCATCGCGTTCTGATGTCACCTGTGCGAGAGTGGCTTGGACTTCACGAAGAGTATTCCGGATTTGTTCGAGCTCTTGGTCTTTGCAGGTTGTTACCTCTTCAAGAGCTTTCGCATGTTGATCATGAACTGACGATAGCGTGTCACGCAGGTAATCACGCTCTCCTGTGTAATAGTTAGCGACTGCAATGAGTAAAGAGGAGTTCAATCTACCAATGATGGAGCTAATCGCCTGTGCTTCAGTTTCGACTTTGATGAGCTTGAGCTGGAGATCGTCAATTTCAAGCTGCTGAGTCTTGATCTTCAATTCCTTCTCGCTTAAAGCACGACCCATATCTGCCTTTTGTGTGCGGTTGGCCTCATTCTGATACTTGAGGAGTCCCACTCGTGTGCCAACCTCATCATCTTCACCTCGAGAATTCTTCAGCTGTTTTTCGAGCTTCTGAACTTTTGTCTGTAGCTCAAGCTTGTCCTTCTCCAAACTTTCAAGAGCCCTGCAAAGACTGTCATAGACATGTTTAGCTAGACGAACGACCGGCTGTGCTTCAGATAAGAACGGTGATGCAGTACGACTACCGGAATCGGCCGGTGTCAGCAGATCTTTGGGCCCGAAGTCTACAGGTGATTCAAGCCCGGGTATGAACAAAGGCGACTGATACCGCGGCAAAGTCGTATGACTGTGATCCGCAGTCCCAGTACCGTTGATGGTGACCTTCTTGAATTGCTCAAAGAGTGAGTCGAGTCGCTGCATGCTAAACTCACAGTCTCGAGTGGTCTCTGGAGAGCGCTTTGCAGAATCGACTTCTTCTCGTTCTAGGAAATCTGCAGCCGACTCGGGTGCTTTGAATGGCGTTGTGCCAGGTTTTGCTGGGCTGCTCGCAGTGGTTTTACGGCTCGTGGACTGCAAGTCTAGAATTTGTTGGCGTATGCCTGCCAAAACAAAATCAAACAACTCACGTTCGGAAGCGAACGGTAACTGGGGCTTTGGAGGATGTTGCAAAGTTGGCCTGTAGGGCTTCTTTGCCTTCATCAGACTTGTAAGGTCTGAGAAGCTGTCTGGCTGCGTTGGCTTTGAGCTCCGTCCAGCCATCTTGTGGCGAATGGTCTCAAGATGATTGCAACCGAAGAAGGGTTGATAGTAAAGAGGGTAGGTGGGAAAGAATGTTGAAGCTGCCAGAGAAGAATTGCAATCACGTTGTTATGATGCCAAGCCCGATACCCAAAGTGAAGGAAGGAGCGGGGGACACGACACCACGCGGTGAGATTTGGGGATGTAAAGGAGAAGTTCTAGCTCAATGTTTTGCAGGTGATATCGCATCAAGAGACCAGATTTACAACTCTCCATATCAAACCAGTAGGATTAAACTTTGTTGCGGCTTCAGCTTTTATAGAGATACTGCTAACCCTCGTTACATGCTGGCATCTCAGCGCAGTTTGAAAGCCATGAATCCATAAGTGGCAATATCGAGAAGCCCACAGCACGATCCTCGATCATCTCTCGAATCTCCTAAGCTCCCACATTCTCAGTGGTGGGTATACAAGCGCTGCCCATGCAAACCCAACGAAGTTGCCCATCTGGTGCTCATTAGTTTCAGTATTCAAGCACTTGCAGCAGAATTCTCCACTCACGTCAGCTCCATATGTTCCCACCTGTTTAGCCAGCGGCCCAATGTACCAAACTTGCGCCATGCACATGATTGCGCCTATCCATCCAACTACGAAGGCGATCAAAGCCGCGATGCCCAGAGGCAATTTGTTCTTCTGGTTCCAAACCTCCCACTTAAATCCAGTCTTGCGGCGGAAGATCAAGTGCTCTTCTAATGTGATTGCGATCCAGACAGATACCCAGTAGCCCATGAGCGCGAGAAAATTTGTGAAGATTTCCGCTAGGTGAGCACGGCCAGCCAGGGCACAAACTGTGTAGATAACCACTGTTTTGTAAAGGTTCAAGTTAGAGGAGACTCGTGGTTTATGCAATGAACACTTACCACCGACAGTGTTCCAGATCACTCTTGGTATAGCACCTGCCCACCGTCCGAGGATTTGCGCATCGATGCCCGATGAGTAAGTTGGCACAATGAGATTTGCGACGAGGCCGAGAGCGACGACGACACCGCAGAAAGATCCAAATGCGCCGAGAGGCTTGTATGCTTCGACGATGAGAGCGCCTTGGGAGACACCGTAGGCTGCTTCCCATTCAGCGTTAATTAGTGTACCACATGCCAGGCCGATACCGAGAACGAAGGCGAATGTGAAGCTACACATCAAACCAAGCATGGTCATGACGAAGATTCTCCACGATGCTGCGTGTGTTGGATAATACACAAAGTAATCCGCGGATCCACCACCATACGTAATAGCCGCTGCCAGACATAGGCCGAAGAAGCTAATGCGATTACCAGTTGGTGTATCTGGATTCTCATCACCATGCGAATGGGAGGAGATGTTGAATTGTGAGCCAGCAACGCCTGCCAAAATGCAGAGCACAATGAGTTGGGGTAGCCATGCCCAGCGCTCGTAGTAGTGGAAGATGTGGTAGCCGAACGTCGTAATACCCCAGGCGATGACAGCGACGATAATGATGCCCACCACAATGGACATGGTGTTGCCAGAGACCGCGGACAGGATCTGACCAGCGACCACGCAGTCAATCATACCGTACCCCAATAAGACGATAATATTGAGAATGACCACAATCTTGGATGGCCACCAACCCATAATGTATCGCGAGAAGATCATGGTTCTATTTCCGCTCTTGGGGCCGAAAGTCGCAATGTAGGCCACGACTAGGCAGCCCACAAATGCACCAAACACGCTGAGAAGGCATGCATCCAGGAACCCGAGGGCGAAGACGACAGGACCTAGCATACCGAGTGTGATGTTGTTCGCGGCTAGATTGACAGAGAACCACATGATGGAGACTTGCGAGTAGCCCAGCAAATGCAGATCCTGTCGCTCGTCTGGCTCAACGCGCTGGATGCCACGCGCTTCCAGATTGTATGCAACGAGCTGCCTCTCAAAGGCCTTCCACGCTTGCTGCATTCGGCCCATGGCCGTCCCATCATCATTACGCATCGTTGCTTGTTCGTCGGTAGGCAATCGTGGATCACCTGGCGCATCCGGTGCGAAGATGGTTTTCGAGAAATCTCCGACATTTGACATGTCATGTCGATCCGTAGCTTCCATTGTATCGACCTAAAGCCATCAGTAGCAGCCTCGGGGGGAGGGAAAGCAAAGCATGAAGTCCTTTCGCAGCCTTTAAGCTGATCAAGTTCAGACCGTATCTCTCAGATCGCCGCCATCCCAAGAGATGACAGACGAACACCGGTCTCATGCAATTTGCGATCAAAAGATACCTTGATCGGCTGGGGTTCTGCTACTCAGCTGCAACTTGGCTTGTTTTCTTGCCATACTTCCAGGTTCGGGTCAAGGTAACAGGTCAGTATCGGTCAATGGCGTGATCTTGAGGATGCAAAGAGGCTTTGAAGATGTCAATTGATGAATGAAAAGGGAACGGCTGCAGATTGTCAAGAAATATCGACGGAAAATTGTGATGGACCATCTAGTACCTACCGTATTGACCCCGCCCGCGCCTGGGCCGTCCTTATCCTGGACTTCATCCCGCGCACTTGTAACTATCGTTTGATAAGTTGAATTACACACTTACTTGCCATCAATTTTCTGATAAGAAAATCCATGTGATCTGTCCGTTTGCCTAAAGCTCTCGATAGTATATGAGTGTAATACCTGCTGATCGCATCTCTGGTCGTAGTGGCTTCAATCCAGTCGTGCATGTTCTAGTGATGTGACGTTAGGCGCGCCACATAGAGTAGGCATCTTGCCCTTCCAGTTCGTTGGAATAGGTAGCAGCTTCGCACGGGACTCCGATGGCCAATCATGGGAGCCAGCCATCGAAGGCCAAAGGGAATTTCAGCGCGACGACACCCGGCGAGACTAGGCATGGCTTAAGAGAGTGTGTGTGTACAGTCGCGTCTATCGGAATGATGCTGATGTCGCATCTGGATTACCTACGGTACCGTACCTGTAAGAGCCTAAATCAAGAGCTCTGTTTAGGGTTTAGGTAACTAATGTTCCTTGTCCAGCATATGCATACGACTTTTTCCGCGTCCAGAGACAATGATGGACGGATCTGCCCTTACCTTCCAACCCAACCCATCAACGGACTATATTATAACCATAGTCTCAGCCAGAAATCAAGGTTACATGCATATATGCAGGTATGGAGCCAGTAATCCACCATCTGTACACAGTAGATCCATCGCTCCTTTTTTTATGGGGTACATGGATGTACGATCCCGGGAGATCGCCGTATTTTGATTCCCATGCGACTGCTACCCATGTTACACTTACGCTTGTTCAAGGAACGCGAGTTTCATTGTTTCATTCCCAATGTAGTGCAGTGCAGATGTGGGAAGGTTGTTCTTGTAGTTGCTTGCACAGGGTAGCTCTGCAGTGGAGCAACCGCAGGTCGAAAAGCATAAGTACCTCGCAGGTGCATATCCTCAATCATGCTTTTCCATTGCTTCATCAATCAATTTCTGCACCTTCAGGATGGCGTTGAGCAGATTTATCTTCCTGGCTGTGAGCCTACTGCCGCTATCGACCCTTGCAGCACCCGCGCTGAGCGTGAGCCATGACAACAACAGTACTTGTCAAAGGACAAAGGTTGCGATAATAGGTGCTGGTGTTGCAGGAATAACTGCGGCAGTGCGTATTGCCTTTTCCCATGACATAACTTTCTATAGACTAGAAACTCCATGATGGAAATGCTGCTAACATCATATTCAGCAAGCACTGTCGAACCAATCAGTTACCGATTTCCTAATCCTGGAGTATAACAATGGCATAGGCGGTCGCATGCGAAACACCAAGTTTGGCGCTGATGCCAACGGCAACCCTTATACTATCGAATTGGGCGCCAACTGGATCTCTGGATTGGGAGAAACTCTGAACGGCCCTGAGAACCCGGTCTGGACATTCTCAAAGCAGGTGAACTTGTCAGCTCCAAATTCGGATGACTCTTCCATTGCAACTTATAACGAAACGGGTGCCGTCGACTTCACCAACATCATCGAGGAGTATGAGGAATATTGGGCTGTCTTCGAAAAAAATGCTGGCAGAATCCTGAAAGAGAACCTGCAGGATCGTTCATTCCGTGCCGGTCTATGGCAGAGTGGATGGCGAACTAAAGGGGATGCTGCGCGTAAGGCTGTCGATTTCTGGATGTGGGACTGGGAAACTGCTCAGGTATGATGCCCTTTCGTGTGAACATGCTATGAACTATATGTAAATACTGAAGTCGTCAGACACCAGAAGAATCTAGCTTCGTATACGGAATCGTTGGTCACAATCTAACGTACTATGGATTCTCCGAACTCAGCAACTTTTGCACCGATCAGAGAGGATTCAACGAATGGCTGCGTGGTCAAGCAAGAAAATTCCTCAAACCAAACGATCCTCGACTATTACTCAACACAATCGTCACAAACGTCACTTATTCTGATGACGGTGTCACCATCCTCAACGAAGACGGTTCCTGCATTGAAGCCGACTATGCAATCTCCACCGTGTCACTCGGTGTGCTCCAAAACGACGCCATCACATTCGAGCCTGCTTTACCCGAGTGGAAACAGGATGCCATCGCCACATTCAGCATGGGCACGTATACAAAGATGTTCTTCCAATTCAATGAAACTTTCTGGCCCACCGACAAGCAATTTTTCCTCTACGCGGATCCCACTACGCGAGGCTACTACACCATCTGGCAGAGTCTCTCCACCGACGGCTTCCTCCCAGGCTCCAACATCCTCTTCGCCACCCTCGTCGACGAGCAATCCGCCCGCGTCGAAGCCCAAAACAACGAGACCACAAAAGCAGAAGCAATGGCCGTCCTCCGCAACATGTTTCCCGACATCAACGTCCCCGAACCCACAGCTTTCTACTACCCAAGATGGGGCCAGGTGCCCTGGAGCTACGGTTCCTACTCTAACTGGCCCGCCGGCACGACACTAGAAATGCACCAGAACCTGCGCGCGAACGTGGATAGACTGTATTTTGCCGGTGAGGCTCAGAGCGCAGAGTACTTTGGCTTTTTGCATGGTGCGTGGTTTGAAGGACAGGAGGTTGGACAGCGCATTGCGGGGCAGATTAGTAAGCAGTGCGTGAATGTGGAGGGTGGATGTGGGAATTATATTAATTATGAGGTTTTGCATGGTACGACGGGCTTTGAGGAAGTCAATGCGTTGAATGGATTGGGCGCGGACCCGTTCTTTGTAGCAGATAGTGGAAGCGAGTACCGGTAATGGTAGGAAATGTGCTGACATGATTTGTCTTACAATCTAGACGTCTCATGCTTGAACCAGCGTACTCAATTTAGTCGCCGCTGTAAGAATTAATTAATGTAACTTCTACTTACACAGAGACTACTGCTTGCTAACATCTATCTCTTCGTAACAGCCTATATTGTAGCTGGTGGGCCAAGATTCTCATTCTAGAAAAGCCATTAGCGGCCCATCCGCTTCTGAGGTTCCTAATGAACTTCCACGGTTTCCCAGATTCGGTTGCCTGCATGTACTTCTGATATTCTTTGGATATCTAAACTAAAATGCCTCTCTCTTTCACATACGGCCATCATCTGTGCCAAGCACCATAACTTATCAGCAACGCTGATTAACATCGGTTTAAGCGACGAAATGCACTACAGTAAAAAATTGTTTACTATAGAATGGTACGCTAGGGGTTTACTATATAGGTATAAACTAACCTTATATATACCTATAAATAGGTTTAAAGTAGTAGTTTACTTTTATTATAGGTAGTTTAAATTAAGTATAAAAAGTAGTTTTATATCTATTATATACTATAATACCTAACTAAGACTAAAAGAGGTAGAGAAGATTAGCTTTACGCTATACGTATATATAATATAATAATAAGTTATAATATTTTTACTAATAGGAGGTAGTAATAATAGAGGTAGTAATAGAGGTAGTAGTACACTATAGTATAAAACTAGTTTATAGTAGCTATATTTATCTAAAGTAGACTAAGAAGTAGTTAAGGTAAAAGAAGTAAACCTAAATAAGGTTTATTATACTACATATTCTATAAAAGTAAACTACTTTTATTTCTACTTCTATTAATCTACTAGTATTAGTAATAACTAGTTTCCTACTAACTATTTAAGTATTTTACCCCTCCTTTCTTTAATCTTCTTTACTACCTCTATTACTACCTCTACTACTACCTCTACTACCACCTCTACTACTACCTCTACTACCTCTACTACCTCCACCACCTCCACCACCTCTATTACTACCTCTACCACCTCTATTACTACCTCTACTACCTCTAATACCTCTACTACTACCTCTATCACCACCTCTACTACTACCTCTACTACTACCTCTACCACCTCTACCACCTCTATTACCACCTCTATCACTACCTTTATTACTACCTCTACTACTACTGTAACAACCCTATCGTGAAGACACCTTATAGTGTTCTAGTTAATTAGGTGCATCCCTAGCTAGGTTTAGTATCTTGGCGCCTAAGCTATACAAAACCTGCGCTTTACATAGGGCTTAGGAAAGAAAAGTATTATTCTTGTGTTAATACTATACTAATAGCTATCTCTACACTATTCTATCTAGTGTAAAGCAAATACTATTACCTATAACTAGAATATTATATAATAATACTTCCTATTTAATAGTCTAGAGATAGCTCTATCTACGCGCGTAAATAGCTAAGGGGTACTACTAGTAAAAATATAACCACCCCCTATTAAGCTATAACTAAGGGAAGAACTAGTAAGCAGTTCCCCCCTAAGTAATAAGCAGCAAACCCCTACACTAGATATAGACTTAACGCTTAATAAGCGTATCTAAGCTACCTAAAGGAGACGCAATAAACTTTAGAAACTATAACGCCTATATAAACTAGAAGCTAAGATCCTACACCTTAAAAGCCTAGAAAGGGACACTACCCTAGACTTAATAGGGAGTATAATAGAGGATATCCCTAAGATACTTAAAAATACGTATAAGTAGGGCGTATCTAGGGCGCTAACACCCCTACCTTTAAAGCGCATACTAAAACTAAAGGATCTATTAGAATATAAGGGAAAAAACCTTAAGGAATATTATAAATTCTTTTACTCTTATAAGGGAGCCTTTTTACTATTACTATAGACTTTCTACTATAATAAGGATAAGGTTCTTTAGGCTATATAGTACTTAGTAGGAGACCCCTAAGAACTATAGTACACGCACTTTAAGCGTATATTTAGAGTAACTACTATAATAGTAACCTAGTTATATTTTAAGGCGTATATACTTAACTTACTCTCTAACCCTATTAATTATATACTTAAAGTAGCTATAACGCACACTTAGGTAATATAGCGTAGAGACTAAATAGTTTACTCCTTTATAATATACCTTAAAGTCCTAGAGGATTAACTTACTCCCTATACTAAATAATAGAGAGTCTAGCATCTTTTCTTAAAGCTAAGGCTAGAGATATAGCAAGCAATTACTAACTACTACTAAGTACTAGTAATAAGAGAGGATTTAATAGTATTAGGCTCTACACTTAAGTAAAACCTACACTAACCCTCCCTAATACGTAATTATAATATATATCCTAAAGGAAACACTAGATATAGGGACTAGAAGCTAGGGGAGAAGCTACCTCCTCCTATAAATAAGCTACCTTAAGATAAGAATAGTATTACCTATTTTAAATATTAAAAGAAAGGCTACTACACTAATAAGTATAAAAGTAGTAACCTAAATTAGATCCCTGTGCGTATTAATAAGACAGGAAAAGCTTAAGCCTTACTAATAACCTAGGGATAGTAAGGCGTATTCTAATATATATCTTACTAGGCATAAAGCGTATATATAGCGTAGCTAGGGAGATAACCCTAGAGAGATAACTATAGGTTATTTTAGACCCTTAGGTAGATATTAGCCTAATTAGTTAAAAGACTACTATTAAAATAAGCCTACTACCTATTAAAGGAGTAGAGCTTCCTTAGTTAGGCTAGATTAAGAGATAATAATAGAGCACTTACGCAGTATATACACTCTAGGTACGCTTAGCTAATAATATAGGCGTTAAGCGCTATATATAGATAACTATATATAGCGTTAATAAGGAGGGCTCTCTACTACTACTTAGTAACTTATTCCTCTAGTAAGGATATATTTACCTTAACTATAGCTCTTAAGCCTAGAGATAGGGATACAAAGTAGCTAGTATTTAGCTTATTACTACTAAAGAGTTAGAAGAAGATATATAATAATTAGGTCTTAACCTACTACTTCTTAGTATTATCTAGACTACTAGCATAGACTTAGAAGGTAATACCTATATCTACTAAGCGTATATAGCGCAAGAGCCGCGCATACTAAATACTTTAAAGGACTACTCTAATATCTTTAGTAAGGAGGCAGCTACTACCCCTCTAAATTTTAAGTCCTTAGACTATACTATTCCTCTCCTAGAAGGAAAGGAGCCTCTATATAGTCTACTCTACAACCTCTCCTTATATAAGCTAAAGCTACTTAGAGAGTACTTAGAACAAGCGCTACGTAATAGCTAGATTCGCCACAGCACTAGCCCTATAGGGGCCCCTATCCTATTTATTCCTAAGAAAGATAGAATACTTTACCTTTACGTAGATTACTGTGGTTTAAACGCAATTACTATTAAAGATTATTACCTACTCTTACTAATTAGAGAGACCCTAGACTGCCTATTAGGCGCACGCTACTATACAACCCTAGACCTCTAGAACGCCTACTATAGAATATAGATTAAGGCAGGAGATAAATAGAAAATAGCTTTCTATACACGCTATAGTTATTTTAAATATCTAGTAATACTATTTAGGCTAACTAATACCCCTGCTAGCTTCTAGGCCTATATTAATAGAGCCTTAATTAAATACCTAGATTATATATGCGTTGTGTACCTAGATAATATCCTTATCTATACTAGTAGTAATAGAGTTACGCTCTACTAGCGTGCTATACGCGCTGTGCTTTAATTACTGCGCAACGCAGAGTTATTTATTAACCTACTAAAGTGCACCTTTATATTTAATAAGGTCTACTTTCTAGGCTTTATTATTAGCACGCGAGGTATATGCGCTAATCCTACTTAGGTAGAGAGTATTACCTAATAGCTATAGCTAATAAATATTAAGGAACTATAATCTTTTCTAGGTTTTACTAACTTCTACTAACACTTTATTACAGGCTATACTATATAGACTACCCCCCTTACTAATTTACTTAAAAAGGATAATAGCTTTACTTAGACACCTACTATAGACAAGTCTTTTAAGATGCTTAAAGGATACTTTTTAAGCGCGCCTATCTTATGCTACTTTAACGCTAAGCGCCCTATTTAAGTAGAAATAGATGCTTCTACCTTTACTATTATAGGTATCCTTTTATAACTTTTTAAAGATAACAAATAGTACCTAGTTACCTTTATCTTAAGGAAATTATAAGCTACTAAGCTAAATTATAAAGTCTATAACCTAGAGCTACTAGCTATTATTTATAGCTTTAAGTAGTAGTAGCACTACCTAGAAGGTACCTAGCACACTATATAAGTACTAAGTAACTATAACAACCTATATAGGATACGCGCTACATAGAAGCTAAACCTATAATAAGCTTATTAGGTAATATATCTAGGAGCTTTTAACTTTAAGGTAGAGTATAGATTAGGGAAAACTAACCCTATAGATAGCCCCTTAAGAAGGGTAGATTATATATAGGAGAACCTATTACTAACCTAATTATTACCTACCCTATAGAGTAAACTACTTATAAGGGATAGACTTAGTAGAGCAAGTAGATCTATAGATAAGTAGAGCTTATTAGGCACGTGTAAGACGCACGTTACTATAGTTTATAGAACTAGAAAGGTCCCTACTACTAGCGCTATAGTGTGCACGCTATGCGTGCCACGCTTACTAGCTAGGGTATTAGCTAGTAGTAAACCTATAATAGTAGAGTACTAATTACTTATTAAGACCTTACGCTAGTTATAGTAGGGGGACGCCTTTGCATAGTAATAGGTTACAAGCTTAACACCTAAGAATAGCACTTAAAACTATAGAAAAGCGCATATTTAGTGCTTAGATAAGAAGGAAGTCCTAAGATATAATAGTAGGATATATATTCTAGAGGAACTAGCTATTAGGTAAGAGATTTTATTCTAGAACTATAACTTACGTATAGTAGGCCACTTTAGCGTATATAGGACGCTTAAGCTAATTAAGAGGATATACTACTAGCCTACTCTATATTAAGATATCTAGGATTACATAAGAATATATACTATTTGCTAAAGGAGTAAGGCTCTAAGGTATAGCTAATATAGAAAGCTATTACTACTACTAGTCCCTAGAGAAATCTTTAAGGAAGTTACACTAGACTTTATTACTAGCCTACTACTAGTAAAGGACTCTATTAGTTGCATGTTTAATATAATCCTTATAATAGTATATTACTTCTTAAAGATAGTACTCTATATACCTACTTTAAAAATATAGGATATAAAATAGTTTATAGAGGCTTACTTTATATATATTATTTTAAAGTTTAGGATCTAGAAAGGTATTATATTAGATAGAGGAGCGATTTTTACCTCTTTATTCTAGATAGAAATCTGCTACTAACTATAGGTAAAGCGCAGGCTAAGCACCACCTTCTATCTGCAGATAGATAGGTAAATAGAACGCTAGAACTAGACCCTAGAATAATACTTAAGAATATTCATATTAAGTTCTTAAGAAGACTAGGTAACACTCCTTACTACAGCGCAGTTTACCTATAACAATTTAGTATATAAGTTAATAAAAGTTACCCTATTCTAGGTAGTGTATAGCAAGCATCCCTTACTTACTAAGCTATGTAAGGTTAGTAAGCTAGAGGGGGAGATACTAGACGTAATTAAAAGAGTAAAGCATATACATAGCGCAAGAGTAATAATAAAAGAATAGCTAGAGAAAGCACGCAAATATTAGAGCTAATACTATAATAAGAAACACAAGGAAGAAACCTTCTACCTAGGAGATCTAGTACTACTTAGTACTAAGCATATTAACTTAGCTAAATAACCTAGTAGGAAGCTATCTAGTAAGTTTATTAGCCTATTTTAGATATAAGGCGTAGTTAGAACGCAGGCATACTACCTACTCCTTCTACCCTTCTATTATATTTATAACGTATTCTACATTTCCCTACTAGAATATTAGAATCCTAGGATAGGAGAAGAGGATAATACCCTCCTACTAGATGTAACACCTAAAGGAGAAGAAGTTTAGGAGGTAGAGAAGATCCTAGGGAAGTAGAAAAGGAAAGGCTAACTATAATACCTACTCCGCTAGAAAGGCTATAATAAATCCTAGGATACCTAGACTCTACCCTTAGACTTTAAGAATATAGATAATATAATTTAATAATATAAACTTAGTAAATCTCCTTATATAAGGAAAGTAAGAAAGGATTATAAGTAACACATAGAAAATATAGTAAAGAAGCATATCTTCTTATATAGCCTCTAGCCTAAATATAGCCTTAGGCCTATAGGTATCTATAAATATAAAAATACTAGACACAATTTATAGGAATTGCGCCCTACGCGCAACACACCTACTCCTCCCTAGCGCCCTTACCCTTAACCACGCCCTCCTCGCCTTTAGTATCCTCCTTATCTCTACTACTATTACTAGCTTTAGCACTAGCACCCTCCTTATTATTATTATTACTAGAGAAGCTATTAGTATTATTACTACTATTAGGAGCCTAAAACTAGTTAGCATGCGCCCTATATACGCTTAATAAGCGCACTTATAAGTCTAGCTATATAGCCTATAATCTACTTAAGGGTAGCTATAATGCAACGCTGCTCTACAAGGATTAAGCTAAGGAATTAGGGCAAAGTAGTAGGGACCTAGGTAGCTACACCTAAAGGTATGCTAGTATAGGCAGTAATATAGCAGCAGCTTAATAGCTCTAAGTTAAACTAGCGCTAGTAACGCGTAAGCTTAACGCCTATAGCAATTATATTAGCGTCTATCCTTAGAGTAGTAGTATTTATAACTATAGTATTATAGTTAGCGTAGAGGACGTATAAATAATTTAATTAACTATTTATTACCTAAGGCACCTATAGAAATTAGCTATAGCGCACCTAAAGCAAACTTTTAGTACTAACCTTAGTACACCTACTATAGTTACTAGTAGTGTAGTGCTTATAGCAATAATACTTAGGTATATTATAATCCTTTTTCTACTTAGTAATATTTTAAGCGTAGCGTAAGCAGGTTATAGCTAGGGCTACCTAATCTACGCGCTTAGCTAGTGCGTTAAACGTGTAAGGCTAAGCACTATAAAGGTGCAACTTCTTAATATATTTAGGGTTTAGGTAGTAGACTATATTAATAGGTGTAGGATATATAGTTAAGATACGTTATAGGTGCTTAAAGGTTAAGGCATGTAGTAGCAAAGTATTTAGTTATTTATAATATATAGAGCTTTAGCCTTAACTAAGTAATAAGTAAATAGTTAACTTTCTATACTATAGTATAATAATATATAAGCACTATACGCCTATAATATATATAACACGCAGAAGGAACGCTTATATAGTGTATCTATAGGTTAAACTATAGATACTCTTTTCCTTCCCTAGAGGGTAAGGTTTTTATTAAGGCTATAGGTTACTACTAGGGACTATAGCTAGAGGGGGAGATTCTATAACAACCCTATTATAAAGATACCTTGTAGTGTTCTAGTTAATTAGGTGCATCCCTAGCTAGGTTTAGTATCTTGGCGCCTAAGCTATGCAAAACCTGCGCTTTACGCAGGGCTTAGGAAAGAAAAGTATTATTCTCGTGTTAATACTATACTAATAGCCATCTCTACACTATTCTATCTGGTGTAAAGCAAATACTATTGCCTACAACTAGAACATTATAACTACCTCTACTACTACCTCTATTATTACTACCTCCTATTAGTAAAAATATTATAACTTATTATTATGTTATATATACGTATAGCGTAAAGCTAATCTTCTCTACCCCTTTTAGTCTTAGTTAGGTATTATAGTATATAATAGATATAAAACTACTTTTTATACTTAATTTAAACTACCTATAATAAAAGTAAACTACTACTTTAAACCTATTTATAGGTATATATAAGGTTAGTTTATACCTATATAGTAAACCCCTAGCGTACTATTCTATAGTAAACAAATTTTTTACTATAGTAGTAATAATAGAGGTAGTAGAGGTAGTAGAGGTAGTAGAGGTAGTGATAGAGGTAGTGATAGAGGTAGTAATAGAGGTAGTAGAGGTGGTAGAGGTAGTAGAGGTAGTAGTAGAGGTAGTAATAGAGGTGGTAGAGGTAGTAATAGAGGTGGTGGAGGTGGTGGAGGTAGTAGAGGTAGTAGAGGTAGTAGTAGAGGTGGTGGTAGAGGTAGTAGTAGAGGTAGTAATAGAGGTAGTAAAGAAGATTAAAGAAAGGAGGGGTAAAATACTTAAATAGTTAGTAGGAAACTAGTTATTACTAATACTAGTAGATTAATAGAAGTAGAAATAAAAGTAGTTTACTTTTATAGAATATATAGTATAATAAACCTTATTTAGGTTTACTTCTTCTACCTAAACAGCTTCTTAGTCTACTTTAGATAAATATGGCTACTGTAGACCGGTTTTGTACCGTAGTGACCACCTTGTCCAGACTCAATACAAGGGTAAATTGATGTCGTGGTAAGCCTTTTATAGAATCTTCGAGCATTCGCTATCGTATGTCTGCAACTGCTGCATCTTCATCTTAACGAAGGGCTCTAAGCCTTCACGCGCATCTTCATCCAATTGCTCAATACCTGTACCACTCTCTCTTAAACAATTGTCAAAGAAGACTTCGACATCAAATGGCTTTCGAGCCGCGTAATCGAACCAGAAACGCTTTGTTGCCCACGACTCACGCATGAGGCTCGAAAGACGCTGCGCATTATCTGCACCATTTCTAGACTTCTCACTGCGTTCCATGACTTGCAAGAAGTGCTCCAAGCGAGGCTCATAAGCCTCCACGAAGCTTTCAATGGTATGGTCTCGTAGCAGATATGAATCGGGTCCGACCAGCAGTAACCACCACGGCGGGTCGGATGCGAACTGACTAGGCATGGCGTTTGTAAACTCGAGATCAAGCACGGCCTTGATGCGGAGAGTTTCCGGGTCCACGAGGATGTTTTGGGGTCGGAAGTCGTCACAGAAGAGTTTAAATGGGCCGCGGTCATCAACAGAGTGCTTGTCCAATGACTTTGCATACAGAAGACGGGAGACGTATCGATCGCGAGCCTCAGATGGACTACCACAGATGTTACGCTGGGTCCAGAGGTGGGTCTTGTGCTCATGCATAAGACAGCGGAAGTACTCGGCCGTGGATGCAAATGTCGTTGAGGGAAACTCGTCTACGGGAAAGAAAGCTGTAGTTGCTAGCTCGTTCATGGTGTAGGTCAGCGGCCTTCCTGTTACGGACCAAGAGCCTGAAGAAGCCTCTTTTGAAATGGCCCCAATGCTAGCGAAGTCGAAACTATACAGTTGCAGCATGATGTCAGCGATCTGAGCATACACGGTATCTAGTATTTGCCTGTTGATGTTTGGGTCCAAGTAGAGGCACTTTGGATGAGCAGGATCTTTTAGGATATCAGAAAGGTGGGAACCTTGCACAAATTCTGAAATCATAAAAGGTCCAAGCTGTTGTGGACTATCTTCGGTTAAGCCCCAGCTGATGAGACGAGGAACAGGTATCGTGGTATTCTCCTGGAGGAATTGAACGACTTGGACCTCGTTGCGTATTTTCTCGTCACGAAACGTCGTGTGTCCAGGGCCTGGAAATCGTATCACAACATCTGGGGTTCCGTCATCGTACATGATTTGCAGGCAGAAGTTGAAGGAGCCTTGGAACCAATCTAGGACTTCAGCTCCACCTCCTGGCCAACGACTAGCGACGAAGGAGGCAATCTCTTCTTTTGCATCGAGCACCTTTGTTTTCCACTCGTCCCACTGGTCATCCCCAAGTCTCTCGGCCATCTCGTCAAATAAAGTCATGTTGGGAGTATGCGTGAAACTATCGTAGGTGCTGCGAATGTCAAAGAAATCGAGGTGTAAGCAACAATGCCGCGTGAAACAATACGTGCATTTAAGCCGTCCAAATAAGTCTAGGAGTAAACAGTAACGTGATCAGCACTCCTCTTATGATGTGGAATGCCAGCCGACCCGTGGGCATTGTGTCAGTGCGCCAGCTGTGCCGCTCGTAATATGATGCGGAGAGTCGCCCATCCCTGCATGCACTTCCGTTGTCCAACACGTGATAAAAACTTCAGCCTCTCGTTTAGAGTCTCATTAACACAAAGATTTTGTATGGCCATGTAGCTATCTTTTGACCAAATGAACAACATAAGCCTATAATTGTAAAAAAAAAGCTACTAAGTAAAAAATCTTCCTATAAGTTTCTCGTCTTGAAAGAGATTGTGTGTAAATGCCTATGTAACAAGAGACTTAGGAAGTGTATATGTGTTCTAATGCATACATCGTAAATGTTTTTTGTGGTAAACCTCATTACTACTGTTTCAACGCCCTGTACGGTAAAGCAAAATTGTGCCCTGAATTCCAATTCGCAACCTGTCCCCATCCACCTAAGCAGTTTTCTTGTGGCATGGGTACTTCTTGCTCTAGAAAAACTGGCATCGATGACACCCCGGGCAATGCAGTAGAACAATGAGCTAAAGCTAGCCTTTCAAGAACTGTCATTGTCTTGAAATTTACAATGTTTGCATAGCAGGCCCGTAATCGTTTCAGCCTTCGTTTCCGCTTTCTCAAGCTTAACGTCTCCTCCACAATACTAAACCTTAATTTTCTCCCCTCAATCCCCAGTATATCTTTATTAACTAACTCGCCATAGCGAATCTTTAAGCTCTTTAGCTCCTCTGATATTTTGCCTATTGCTAATAGTTGTTCCTGCATTACTAACCTCTCTATTACTATATTGCCCTTAGTCGCTATTAGCTATAGGTATACCGTTCTGCTATCGTCAACAGATGGCGATAACAGCAAATATAGTAGTGGCTGCGAGGCAGATGGAGTATGGAAGGATAAGGTTCAATGGGTTGGCGAATGAGTACGTGGTGTGGTAGGTGGTGGTGGTGGTGGTTACAGGTACCATGTCCCAGCATGTTCCAAGGAAAGGGCGGAGAGGGTGATATTTGTTAGGACGTTGTTAAGGAAGTCTTCTGTGATACTCAAATCGGTCCCGAGGCTAAAATGGGTCTTGGTGGCGAAATTTTCGAACTCCTGCTGGAACCGAGCTGTCTGAAAGACGGTTCCTTTCAGAAGATCTACATACCAATTATTTTCAGCAATGACATGGCATATGTAAATATGAAATTTACCACTATAATTCGGAGGATTATACGGACCTATGACTTTCAAGAGGATCGAGACGGCAGAGACTTGGGATCGTCTAAGATTGCTGGTATCAGTGGGCGTGCCGTCCAGGCTTCGGGCACGAAGGTAATGCCCAAGAGCTGAAAGCAGAGCTGAGCAAAGTCAAAAGCGTTCACCTACATTTATAAGTACACTGACCCGCAAACAGGAGCTTATGATCATCCCCACACATTTCCAACGGCTTGCATGATGGGAGAATATAGACCGCGCATCTTTTGCATCGCGTACGCTGCTCGGCTTCGATAGCGCAAGAGAAGTTGAAGGTGTTGTTTCAACATCGTTTTCAGCGTGATTTATGACGGCGGTTGCGTCCTGATCATGTCCTGGAGAAATGCGGTGCAATTGATTTGGAGAGAGCAGTCCAGGGCTTTCGCTAGAATGGCTGCTGATGTGTCCGCCCGAAGAGGTCGAGTTCGATCTCGAGATAGTTCCGTAGGTACCTTGGCCAGGAATAAGAGACATCGTGACAAACTTTTTATATTAAGATGAACAAATAATGGTGCAAAAGAAAAGAAACAGAACTAACCCTAGTATACAATGTAATAGTGTCTTAAGTCGGGCAGGCACAACATCATTGGGAAGATATGAACCTGTGGTGCAGCTACTGGTAGGCGTTTGTGAAGGCTGCTATTTGTCTGTCCAAAGCTAGTCGTGATACAGAGTGTAGCAGGCAAACAGCCTGTCAGATCACGCCCACGCCGTATCACAGTTAGACAGACGTCCAGACACGAGCTGTGCTGTACGTGCGCTACCTGACGTACGTGACCATGCAACTAAACTGCTAACCATTTCTGTGGCGACTTTCCCCCTAGGCAGGACGCAAGACGGTCTTTGGTCAAGATAATGATCTTCAGTGTTAAATTGCCTGGAAAAGTTTTTTCGAAAATAGAGGTTCAATTGCCTTCCAAAGGTGCTAATTAATCATGACTGACAGTAGGATCCCAGGCACAAGGCTCATAAACTCCGGTGTTGAGACTCTTCATATCTTCCTCCGCCAGCTCAAAGTCGAAGACTTGTGCATTCTGCTCAATGCGAGATTTGGTGACCGACTTGGGTAATGGGATGAACCCCTAAATGTGAGTGTGAGTAGAAAATTGATATCAGAGCCGTTGCTATGCCTACCATTTGTAAACTCCAGCGGATTAGTATCTGCGCGGGTGTCTTATTGTACTTCTTCACCAGAGGTGCCAGCAACGGATCATCGTTCTTAGTTGCTCTGACAATAGGACAGTATGCCTCACAGAGTACACCTCTTTGCTTACACCAGTCAACGATATCTGGTCTTGCAAGCCAAGGATGTAGCTCGATCTGATTGATGCTGATCACACCTCCTTTGCCCTTGTGTTCTTTTGCATCCGTCTCCTTGATCCACGCCTCGAGCTCCTCTAGATGGTGTACACCATAGTTTGAAACACCAATTGATCGGATCTTGCCAGCTTCTACACCCTCTACGAGAGCCTTCCAAGCACCAAGGCGGTTTTCCTTGCCACCGTACGGGCTGTGCAGCAGGTATAGATCAACGTAGCTAAAGCCTGTGATTTTCAGTGTGTTATCGATGTGTTCCTTTGCAGTCTCGTATCGCATGTCTTTTGGTGGGATTTTAGTGGTGAAAAACAGTTCTTCTCGCGGCACTTTGGACACTTTCATGCCTTCTGCGGAGGGTCCTTCATTTCGATAAGCCACAGCCGAATCCACATGACGGTAGCCATGATTGATCGCATGAGAAACAACCTCTCTCGCTATATCTGCAGGTGTCTGATACACACCGTATCCAAGGACGGGTATCTCATACCCGGAGGGCATGCGGTATTTGGAGTCGATCGTAAGCTTGGCCATGATCGATGATGACGTGTGGAAGGGTCGAGGGGGACTAGGGGATGGAAGTTGTGAACGAAGCTTCGTTAATCTCCCGAGTATTGTTCGCATTGAGTTATACTTCCAAGTTCGAAGGACAGCCGCTGAAGGTTGATCTGGTAGCCGCGTCTGCGCGCGGAGTTAAGCCGCCGGCCGGTGTGGAGACACGGATGACTACCATACCGGTAAGGCACGAGAAGCTACTTACCCAATGAAGCTAGTCGGGACATTATCATTCATTCATTCATTCATTCACTCTGTACACAACACCTGACGTGCGTCCTCATGTTTATCATCATTCCCATACCAAAACCCAGCCATCCAGGCTAAACAAGATCCCCGCCTATTAAAATGCCAAGAAAACTTTCGCCGGGATATTGCTCGGAATCTCGCACCACCGATCGTTCACCATGACTCCCTTTCGCAAATTGAAATGTCGCTAGAGCTACGCCAGTGCTATTCAGCTGAATGGGCAATTGCCACCTTTCGAAGCGGATCGCGCGTGACGTGAATACAGTTGTATCAGCCTGCTTTTTTTTTTCAAATATGGCTGGACATCCCAAAGGGGTAAATTAGTGTCAAATCTGCTGATCTCTGGGATTACACCAAATTACTGAACGTGCTCGCCGGATAAACTATTCGCGCTTACCCTATACAGGGATGTCATAACAGTGCCATAACAGTACAAGTAGTCTTCACCTTTTGATTCTTCTTCTCAGCACTTGCTTGATCGATGCAAGCATACCTACCTAGTCTTGACCTCATGATTCGCCCATACGTTCGCTAGGTGCCCTCGCAGACTTCACCTGCATGGATCCCAATGGCACGGGCTTGTCAGCACTAGAACCGCAATAGAAGCGTGGAACATCGAACCACAGAGGCATATGGTGGGGCCACTCCGCGTTCAGTGCTTTCTGGATAAATGCACTGCACGTTTACTATTCGAGAACTCCGATCTTGAAACATCATAAAGCCCCATGTAGGCCGACCGCACGGTTCGATGCTCTTCAATCATGCATCGCAAGTAAACCGATAGACTGGCACGCGGGACTCTAAGATTCCACCCCTGAGGAGTGCAGATATTGTCGATGCTGGCCGATGACATCTCCAGCCACCTGTGCTATGCCAATTGCCAAAACGCGTGGAAGGTACGCAATCTCAACTTGATCTCTATGGCATACAAATAGGTAGATTTGTACTACGGCTGATAGCGCAATTCATTGGCCCAGTTATTGTAGTTCACGTCTTTGACTAGTTACACCGCAGTAAGCTATGGGGTCTGCAGGCTGACATAGGCTTGCAGCTGGTTTTCCCGAGGTCTGCTCCAGTTTTTACTTTGCCAATCAGGGCCTGGATGAAGATGTGCAATTCAACAATATTATCAGTATTAATCCCTAGGTTGTTCTCTAGGATCACATGTGCCTTAAACAGGAAACACTTTACATACTCAAAAGAGAGTGCAGATTTTGAAACATCATCCCGGCTACACCAGGGCTATAGCTTTTACTTACTTTAGTAGGAAGAAAAGACTTTGTAGTTCATGATCATTGATGACTGTGTTCCCCTCCGATCCAGGTTCTGCCGACAGCAAAGGAGACGTGGATCCTTCACATCGAAGACGTCGGCTTAGCACTCCGATCGACCATGCTAGGGCGGATCAAAGAACCAGCCAATGATACTGCATTGACGGGCATATAAGAAGATTCGGAAATTGCCTTTCGAAACTATCATTGGCTTCTCCTGTCGGAAAAACAATCCAAATGTCGGAGGACGCCCGTCAACACCTTACCAAGCTGCGTCTAGCCACTAGCGAAAATCCAGGTACTGAATATGCAGTGCATGCCATGCGTGGAGAGCGCATCATCGACTTGGAAATCCTTGAATGAGGGATAAATGGCCCAAACAGCTGACTACAGCTTTCAAGAGGACATATGCCATATGATCTACCTTACAATCCACTATTGGAGAATGTTTGACGCTGGCCTATCTACCGGTACCTGCCCTTGTGAAATTCCCATCCAGACTTCAGTCCGATAAGTCACCAAAGGTCCGAACGGTCCGAAAAGAGTGCTTCCAAGAGGTCACCCGGTCCTCTTCGGGGGCCGGCACCATATCACAAGCATTCGTAAGCTTACTAGTGCTTGTGACACATCTTCTCAGCACTGAACAAGCCTTCGAAGACTTTGAAGCGAACCGAATACCGCAAAACGTGGACATATAAACTCGAAAAGACTACTAAGAGAAATCGATTTGCTTTTTGGTAATTTGCCGGTCTCAGTACGGCTTTGCTACGTGGTCTGGACTTTCGCCATGCCAGTGAGATCGGCATGGAACGTATCATGATCTGATTTTGCAACCTGCTGATCCTTAGGCTCATTGAACCATCATCTTCTTGTTCCTCACTGGGTAGCGGAACATCTCTTCCGATCAGAACAGGAGAAAGGTCTCGATATAGATCACATACTTGTGAGCTTTCCATCGCTTGTGAGGCCCCGCGGATGGATGAGCCCTATGGTATGCCCATGCTCTTTTTGGACACGACATCGACATTGCTCTGAGGTAAAGTCCCAGATCTATCTACCTATGAGAAGTCCATGTAATAACCATGGCCTAGTGATGAGGACATGCGGTGTGAAAGTGTTTCAGCATCCGCCGAAGCGATGCGCGGTCGTGTGAATGCTGCAAGGATGTGTGAAGGGGTTCAACATTGGTCTTGTGCTCACTGAAAGTAGCAAATGCGAAAATGACTTTGAAACTGATGCCGAAGCATCATTTCCTAAGTAGACGTTCAAATTTTTTCTAGTCAAGGTACGTTCTGTGAAAACAACGCGCAGGACTGGTACATAATTCATACCCAGCACTACCAACCCGCCCTCCTGGGAGTCTAGACCTTCTACAACACCAGCATCTCATTGCTGATCGAACAGTCACCTCTCCTTCCTCTTGCCCTTACTTTGAGCGCCACAGATTCACAATCCTTCCGCCGGTCAGCATGAAAAAAGGATAATATCCAATGTCAGAGTTCCCCTAATACCTATGCCCGTTCCAAGGCTCGTAAAGTGACATCATACCGTCGTGCAAGTCTGCCGCCTCGTAGGGGATCTTCGCAAGGTCTAAGAATCTCACATGATCTAGCAGATAAGCATATAACGTAAAAATCACCCGCACCTGCTCTTAGCGAACTCCTATCCCACACGCCCCAAACATGAACGGTCAGCAAAAACGGGAACCCGGGAACTGGAGTCACAATTGTGGTCTCGTGACGCTGCAACGCTGCAGATAGTTGGGGGCCAATCCAAGGCGCGGGCAACGCCCCTTCCTGAGGTGAGATTTTGCGGGGTTTTGCTTTTGGGTTTAAGCCTTGGGAGGTATTGTGACCACTTGGTGATCTGGATAGTCGACTGCTTCGCGGGGGATAGTGACACGGGAGCCGTTGCGAAATGTAAGGCAGCAGAGTGGCACTTTGAGGCGGTTGTGGGACAGTTTGATTTGATTGTTGGTGCAAGTGGGCTTAGTAGGCCATTGCGGTTTGCAATGCATGGTAGATCTCGGGATCTGCCTTGTGGCGGATGCCCCTTGTGGCGCTTCTTGTCAGACACAGTGTGACTCTGCCTGCACGGTGCGGTTTCCAGAGATGTCAGTGAGCATCGACAGATGCTAGAGGGTGAAGTGTGCACCATGAGTGGCGCATTGGCTTCGATGACCCCTTCATTCCTGTCAAAAGAAGGATCATCATATGCCTAATCTTCCAAGGAGTCACAGTACTAGAGGCAGTGAAGTTGGAGTAGGTACATGTGAACGCGCAGGCGAAGCGATGATGTCGCTTGTTGCGAAGATGCGCATCAAAAATATGTGAGCCGCGCGGCTAACTTGGCACAGTATTCTTGCGCCTTGAGGAGAACAAAGCACGGCGGGGCCTCTGAAACGGCGGAAAACCGATATACTGTTGATTGCGGCGTGGTGACTTGCATATTGCGGCGCAGGCAACCACAGGCCACATAGTGTGAGCTCGCTGGCCATGGCCCCACTTCAAGAGACGCTTGAGCCAAAATAGAGTAACGCAAAGGCGCAGAGAGGTAAAGTAGGTGGAGTCATTTTTTACATTTGTTGTGTCATGTCCCAGTGGTCGGTCGTCTAATGATAGGGACGTGAACGTGTCACCCAAGCTGGCCTTCATCAAAGGGAAAGAAGAAAAGGAGTAAACAAGCTTGCAGAAGATTTTCAAATCTGAAACATGATCTCAAGCAAGGGTATCGAGTGAAGAAAGTCCCACCAAAGTTGGCACGTGGCATGATTTGCCATGTATCCCGCAGCTTGACCGTTCACGACCTGTCCGCGCCGCCTTGATCATACACAGGCCTGCTCCTGCCGGAATCGAGATGCGATTGATGTCAATGGCATTTGGGTCGAAGTATCCAATGTGAAAACAGGGCCACGCTTCATACGTGTAAAAATGGAAGATAGGTAGTTGGTGGCTCCACCGGACTCATAGTGTAGGGCGCGAAACCTTGCTGAACTTGCTGATCGAAATTCGCATAGGTTGCGGGTTCGAGCTCCGTCGTCCATTTCCTTGCACACTGGCGAGCTGTCCATTTCTCCTGTGCCCCAAATTCTAGCATCTAGGCTTGTTAGTCTTGAGCATCACTGAGATTTGAAATGCATTATACTTACTTTTTGAGCTATGATGTCGAACTTCGATTGCACCCAGTACTCGTGAGCCATGCGCAATGCCTTTACGTCCGTTTCGGTCCATACACGCATTCGCTCCTTCAGACGCTTGAGGCGCATCTGAAGGGCTGGGATCTGATAGGTTTTGCCTAGATCAGATTGGAACCGAGCTGCGATATCTTTCCAAGGCATGCACTCCTCCTCTTTGAGTTGCAAAAGGAGTTTGTCTTCATCACTTAGCTCAAATTGCGCAGAGGTAGTCGAATCTGATCGTTTCCTTCGCTTGGACTCATCTGGAGTCTCCTCTTCGTCCTCTCGAGATCGCTTTACCCCGTCCGATCTCGGTGCCTCGGTGGGTAGGGGAGCTATCGGTGTGTAGGTACGCCGATATTGGGGTGAAGTCAAATGGTTAGACGGAAGCTCCAGGAGCGGCTCGCTAAGGCGAGGACTACGAGACATGGTGGGAAAGCTTGAATAGTATGAATTGTGTGGAGAATGTATGCCCAGGGGATTTGTAGACCATGGGCTCTCGATGGGATCGCGATGTAGTGAGTTAGTGATGTTGTGGGGTCGGTCCATGAGGTGAGACTGAGCTCTCAGGCGAGTCGTTGGCTGTTGAGCTACACTATTGCGGTCTCGCTGGGGTTCCTCTGAAGGTCGTGCAGAGTCAGGTACCGCGGAGTCTGTAGAGTAGGCTGAACTTGGCGAAGTCGCTGTACCTGGTTGACCTGATTGATCACTCCGTCTGCTGGAACCTAAACGTTTCGCTGGATATCCATAAGAAGGGGCTGACGGTAGTACAGTCGTGGGAGATGTTTGCGGGGCCATGTATTGGGCATATGTAGTGTAGCTGGTCTGGACAAACGTTTGTGAGGAGTCGATCTTGTGATATGAAGAATTACGAACCTCGCTATGGTAATTTGGGGCCGAAATTGAGGGGCCGTACCAGCCCGATGCCGGTAGATGGTTAATCTCTTGTGAAGGAAGTGGACTCTCCGGTAGACGTGACATGTATGAGTGAAGCGATTGAGGAGACATCAAGGCTGGAGATGGATATGGCGCGGGGTAGTCGTAAGTGGTATAGGGAGGCGAACGTGAGGCTGGCCGAGACTGGACAGGATGTGACGAAGGAAGAACACTTTCAAGTAAGAGTGCCATTGCAGAGAGCTTTACCGGTTAGGTATGGACAGACTTTAGGTTGCTGCGCCTCTGGAACCCGATGTAGCCAACAATCATGGGAAACGGCGGTAGTTGGAAGGTGGACGCGGCACACAGTGATGCTCAGAACGGGTGGATGGCAGGGCCTTAGGGCAGCGCCGCAGACATTTAACAAGACGACCATGGCATGGCGGCCGCCTACGAAGGCAATCTCCAGAATCTAGTGAGTCGACCCTATCCTCCCCCCGGTTTGACGGGGTTCGAAGGATTTGTGCTGCGCATGGGCTGTCAGGCCTGCACGTTAGCGCCCCGAGCGTTCACCCTACTGTCTCTGCACGGTTTGGCGGCCTGTCACCCCGGCCGGCATGCTGTTACGCTTGAGCCGCGCAACGGTCAGTAATGAGCGACCTTCCTACGGTTGTGCCCGGCCGAGTCGCTGGCCAGAATACAGTACTTGTACAATATAGCTAGAACAGTCCGCTGGGTGGTTGCGGTCCCGCAGCGGCGAAGATCATGGCCATAGGCCAAGAGCGTTGATCCAGCCCTGCGGTCATGACACTTCTCTAGGTAGGTATTGCTGTGCCATGGTAGCCGGTCCATGCAAGTATGTTCGAGCAGATCTGCTTGGTCTGATGACGACTTCCATTCCCTTCTGTCAGCCGGACCTTGAAGTCTGCTCCCCAGTCCGAGAGCCTTGCCAGACGAGGCTACATAGACGCAGCTGGATAATCTCTCGTCGCTGCAATGTGAAAGAGGTCAAGTCGTCTGTGCTGGCGGCGCCGCCATAGGATCTCGTTAGCAAGGGTATCAATAGCAAGGGTGTGACTCCATGGCGTAGTACCGGTACGGTACGACAAATTATCGCAAGCCGTGTGCGTCTGTTGTCTTATTCGGCGAGCGTCCAGGTGAACTGTGCCATAGTCGTGCAGTGGAGGACGCAAAAAGTGCCGCGTGTGGACCATATGCTGATTGACGGAGGGCACGAATGGGCGCTTAATTGCGTTAAAACGGGCAAAGATTAGTAGCCAACGTCGATGATGTGTTGGCCAAAAGACCGCTAATTAGCCAAATAAGCCCTTCACGTTGCAAGGGCCTGGTGCATTTGCCGCTTGCTTGCGCATCACCACTTGCCTGACTTATCGACCATCTCACCGCCACCACCACCACCACCACCACCGCCGCCGCTCAGATGCGCCGTGCGGTGCGCAAGACTTTGGACTCTAACACTTGCCCTTTGAGTTATAGCACTTGGACTGTAAGACTGATGACGAGGGCCGCTTAGGTCTCGCTGACATCCTGTAGGGGCAACCTATTCGCTGCCAATCTTTGTTAGCCCCTTGGAGGCATGCGCCTCCGACAGCAACGGCTTGACAGTGCCGAGGACACCCATCATAGATCGCATGTAAGTTCGAGAGTTGATTGAATTCAAATCCTGTGCCGCATGAAGCTGTCGTCGAGGATCCGCTCCATTCCTCCAATACCTAGGTGCAAGCTGTTATCGGTCCGTGAGATTGACAAATGATGCGTTCATTTTCCATGAAGCGAAATCCTTCCGGAGGTTTGTCAGTATGTTGAACCCTGGTCTCTAAGGAGTGACTGCGAACGTGCACATATTGCACCAAAATGCTGCCTTTGCGAGTCCGCATGTCGACTTTGGTCACTAAGCAGCTCGCCACTTAGTCGGTCGCCGTCTACTATCAAGTCGAAACTATTGATAGGAGTCCTAAATTCATGCAAAGTGCTCATTATGGCGGCCGAACCCACCCTACCAGCACCGTAGTCGTCGATCAGGCCTCTGGGGCCTTACTCGAGAAGCCCGCCTGGCCGCCCCGCTGACGGTAATCCATGTGTATATCCGCATGTATTTGAGTTTTATGAACGATTATTATACAGGTAATGCGGTATCAAACTCGTATCAAGCATGCTAGTCTTCTGCAGTTCATGGTATCAAAACCCCTCAATCTTCGTTGGAAGAAGCAATTTTGACAAGAAAGTTTGCCAGACTACAAACAGGGCTTGCTTATCCTTGGTCTCATGATGGCTCATGCGGCTGCCACACACCCGGTGAAGAACATAGTTGCCGAAAGCCCACATGAAACAGCAGATCTTCATGACTTAAAACATATCCAGTTGTCACAGACTGGAATCCCAATGCCTATTCTCAGTTCCATATCGGCAGTGTCCGATCTTCATAGGTATTGCCGTCGGCAGCTAGGAGGGCTGCCTGGAACCTTTTCTACAACAAACCCCGAAGGAGTCAAGAAGGCAGGATGGCCTTGGAACAGCAGTGAGCTGCGGCAAGGCTCTGATCTTGATTTGGAGCACCAACATCTCAGGTATGCAAGGAGAATATACTGCGCACCGACTGGGCGGGAAGAGCTCGCGATTGGGTTCATGATGTACTGTTCAACCGCCTGAGCTTGACAGTTCAAAGATGGTTCTGCAGCAAGGCGAGCGTTGTATAATTCGAACGCCTAAGACCCACGCTCGAACAGTCTCGTGGTGTCAACAGATATACTATTCCGTCTCGGCGGTTCAGCAGGTTGCCTGACACTCGGCCACATTCCCAAAAAGCCACGAGTCCGACGGACAGCTTCGGTAGTCGGGTGGGTCCGTATAGACTTACGCAAGCAGTCTACAGATGCAGGCTTGTTGAAACAAACGAATGCATGCTCTGTGATCAATTCGGGCCTGATAGATGGTATATATGTGCTTACGTGCGTGGCAGCTGGAGGTCAATTTGCTGGTGGTGGGCCAGAGCATTACCTAACACACTGATTCGAAGCGTGCCTGTTCGCACGATGAACACCGACACTCTATAGGATCTGAAATGCCCTACTTGTACTATGAATCTGACTCGCAAGTAAGGCTTGCCATGACAGATTGAAGTCCTGCCACGCTCTCTGGCACCATTGCTCAGGTCTCGGAGCTTGCACACGTTTTGCAGTAGGTAGCCCAAGAATAGATCGCAGGCCAACAAGGGAGGATATATGGCCTGTACGGTACCAGTACCATGGGCATACATGTGAAGACAACTGAACGAAGATGGTTGCACGGGCTCCCCAAGGCCACAGCGACCAAAGACGTTGCAAGAGAGACGATCAAACTTCACGTGGACCCCCAGCACACACGTGAAAGGGAACACGGAAAAGGTAAAGGCTGTTGTGTGGCTGGGCTGGCTCAGAGTCAGTCTCGGATAATGGGTCCGGCAACAGTGGCGCCAAGATGCGCATGTGTTGCTCGCGCACAGCTTACGTAGGCCGACTTGATGCCATCAAAGCCATCACCAACATTGCGAAAAAGCACAGTAACGTCGACGCCAAAACTCTCCAACTGTCCACGTGGGGGAGACCGGTCTCCTTCCCTAAGCCCATCATCGACATACTCTCTACGGGAAGAGAGTGTCCACGTCAGGTGGCCAATACGCGATTCCCGGCCACCGGCGGCTGCCATCGTGCTGTGTAGCCGTCGTCGCATCACAGAGCAGCAGCAGTCATGAGATTCAACATCTTCCACATCCTCGGTGATCTTTCGCACACTTCGTCGAAACTCATCCTGATATGGGCGATACATCGGAACAGCAGTGCAGAGGGTAGATTGCCTTGCCATGTAGACTTGACCAGGTAGCTTACGTGTCTCAGGTGTATCTCTCATCACCCAAGTCCTCTATGCGCTGGTATTTGCGACTAGATATCTCGATATCTTTACTTCTTCGGCTACCAAGGATGGTTGGCATACATGGAACTTCTCGCTCAAGGTGAGATACCCCTCGGTTCCAGGTGCACCACCAAAACTCACCTGTCACAGATCTTCTACACACTGTCTTCACTATACATCATCTTTCTGATGACCAGCGTATATGCACGGACACGCGAACGAGAAAAGGCCTGGAAACTTGGCATGTATACCTTGCTGGGCAGTGTCGCCATCACCCCCTTCTGGTACCTCATCTTCCACAAATGGGTCATCGGCCCCAATGCCTTTCTAAAAGTATGTGAAATCGCCTTGCTCTCCCCAACACGATGCTGATGAATACAGATCCTATGGGTCTTCTCCGAAATCCTCGAGTCGGTTTGCGTCATTCCGCAACTCCTTCTCCTGCGCCAAACCACCGTACCTACCGTCATAGACTCCTTCTACCTTGTCACACTCGGAACATACCGCTTCATGTATGTTCTCAATTGGATTGTGCGCGGCGCCAACGAAGAGGGCTACGCAGACCCAACAAGCTGGGTCTGGGGCTCGGTCCAGACAGCCCTCATGATCGATTTTGCATGGGTATACTGGACGCGCCAGCGCGTCAAGCTCCGACATGGTGGTGTCGTTGATTCAGACGACCTCAGTCGCGGCTGGCTCGTGGGACGCCTGATTGGCAGGAAAGCCGTTGATTTTGACTTTGACGAGGAAGCCGGACGAGGTGAAGACACGGTGCAGCCGAAGAACAGGTGGGGAAGGCGCGGTATATCGGTCTCAGCGGATGACGATGTCGAAGGGGCGCCGCAGAGAAATACAGCCCAAGGAAGCAACTTGGATCCTGAAAGTCAGCCGTTGGCCGATCCGGCAGCTTTCGAGGATGAGAGTGATGATGATGCGCCGCCTCCTGCTGCCAGTGCCTCGAGTGTCGAGCACGAGAGTGGAGTGAGAGGGGACGAGTGGGCGGATGATCTGGATGAGGATGCAACGGAGCATGACGGATCTGCCAAACCCACATGATGGGATTTCAAAACAGGAGTGTCTCCAGCCATTGGGCATGTACAGATTAGGATGTATTTATCACAAGCCACATACTTGTTCTTTGCTCGTTCCAGTCCTGATCTTGGTAATATGCGTGAGAGACAGAGAGCCGATCTAGTGGGACTCGGTACAGTTCACACATGTATATTTATCCATAATTAAGCTATCCCCAGCCTCCCAGCTTACTGTCCCCCGCAGAAGAACACACTTCTTAACCAGTCATCGCACCACTACCAACCAATCCTCTCGCCCTTCAACCCCCTTCCCCAACTCCCACCCTCGTGTACCCAGGACCTGCAACCCTCCAAGCAACCAGCTATTCACTCAGACTACCCTCAAATCCCTATTACCCCCCTTTCCCATGACATAGCCAGCGCTACCAATTCTCATCCTCTTCCCCTTACCGAATACGCATACAAGCGGGTATAATAATACACAGCTATGCTTGTGATTTCCCCGTCAGCTGACTGCATAGCCTCATATATGCACGTGCACACTTGCAGATGGCACCTCAGCTGCTGATGCGCGATACAGTGACGGTAGCGAGAGTTTCGGAGACCGAAGTTGTAGGTAGGAGAGGCTTGGGTTTGGGGAAGAGTGGATGGGCTCTGCGCTGGGGTGCGTGGTGGTGAAGTTGGTTGCTAGGGTGAATGGGGCGGGCTTGGGATGTTATTAGTGTTTGAAGCTGTGGGTTTGTGGTCTCAAGTAGAGCATGTGGAGAGCGTGGGTGTATATGATAAATACTAATAATTGATATTGAAAGATGTAAACGCCGCCCATGCAAATTGACATGACGATGCCATAAAAGGAAGCCGTCCAACCACAATAAGTCCATCGTGAATAACGATACGAATCGTAACAGGGAATCAAAAGAAGTAAATAAGTAAGAAGAGAAAAGAACAAACATCAACACAACATCTAGCAGACACCTTCAGGAAGTTCGAAGCTGTCCGTCCTTGTGGTAGGATCATACCTCGCGCCCGCACCAAGTCCCCTCTTCGCAAACCCACGCCAAATCTCACAAGCATTCGAACCTCCGGTAAGAGCCTTGTCCGCATCAATAATCGCATCGCGCGCCGACACAAACGTAGGGTTGCAAGGCTGCAGCGCCATTCCATCCAAGACAAGCTTCATAGTCAGATACTTGCCATCGGTTGGGACGCCGTTGGCATCAAAGTCAGGCTTCGCGGCGTCGTTCTTGCCGTGCTTGTCGATGAGGTTCCACAGGACTTCGTACAGCATCGAGGCCCAGATGTTGCCAATGGGGTGGACGCGTATGTACTGGTCGACGTTGGTGTAGACCTGGGGGTTGGTCTCCATCGAGGTGGAGTAGAGGAAGTTGCGGATACCGCGTGAGTCACCCTCGATCCATGCGCCCATGGGGTAGTCGGTTGCGCGGGTGTCGGCAGGCTTGAGACGGATGGCAGTGGCGTAGAAGTCACTCCAGCCCTCTCCCATGCCACCGGATTCGATCGAGCTCAGACAGCCAGCGTTGGCGGGGCCACCGGTAAGGCGGCTGGAGAGGCCGTGGGTGTACTCGTGAATGACGACGCCGGCGTCGAAGCTGCTGTCACGAGACGGGCTGGTTTTGGTCCAGATGAACATTCTCATGCGAGGGGGCTGGCCATCGGGTGGAGTAAGAAAGTTGGCGTTGTTGACGCCGCCGCCATCCTGTGTGTTGAGGTAGACTAAGTCGCCACCGCGGCCGCCGGCACCGTTGTTGTTGATTTCAAAGTTTCCGGCGCGCTCGTTGAATCCCAGGGTGTGCAAGAGGTCGTGGTAGGCGTTGGAAGTGTAGTAGAGCTGGGTGATGGAAGCATTTGCGTAGGCTTTGTAGTCGGTCTCCTCGAGGGAGTAGGGGTACTCAAACTTGAGATCCGCGCTCGAGGGCCTGGGGAAGTTGAGGTAGCCGGAGGACAAGTTCTCCCAGTTGGTATGGGCCAGACCGTTGTTCCCACGCGTGGTGTTGAACTCAGTAGTGCCGTCAGAGTGCCAGCCAAATTCACTGGCCTGGCGGTCAAATGGGTCTGTTAGGACTACGCGCTCGCCCTCTGTTGGGTCACTGATACCCCAGGGGTAGACTTCATAGGTGGCTTCTGCCGCGTAGTCGACAACAGCGTGAACTTGGCTACCATCTTCAGCATCCACGTATGTCAAGAGCCAGTTGCTCTGAATGTCAGTCTCGACTCTCCAGGCGAGCTTGAGGTTGCCCGAGGCATCTTGAACGTAGACGAGGCGTGCTTCTGGCTCCTTGACGGCTCCACTGGTTTGCGTGATAGTGAAGGCATCAGATCCTTCCTTGGGTACGGCAGTGGCGGACTCAGCAGACATGGGAAGCGAAAGGACGTTGACTGCGGAACGGAGGGCGTTGGCTGCTGCTTCCGTGTCACGCTTCAAGGTAGGTGCTGCAGGGAGTTTGCCCTTGTAGAAAGAGTTTCCAAAGGAGAAGACGTTTCCATCCTTGCCAATGTTGACGTTGAAGTCACCACTGTCAACGTCAAGACCATGGACAGTCTGCTTGTAGTAGAAGTGGGCAACGCCGTTTGTGCCGACATAGTGGTCGCTTACAAGGCGAAATTGAGCGTCAGGGAGAATCTTTGCTACCAGCTCGCTGGCAACCTGTTCCGGATCCGCACGCCTAGCAAGAGTAGGGATTTCGGGGTCAGCTTGAACAGCTGTGGCATTCGTGTAAGAAGTCGGGACCTTGGGGCGGAACGCATCAAGGTCAACAGCTCGTCGCGTGAGTCCACGCGAGTTGTGGGTGGGATGTGCGTAGACGTTGACCGCAGGAAGCGACGCAAGCGATGCAAGAAGAAAGGCCCGCATGTTGTCGTGAGTGTATAGTAATGAAGGAAGCAAAGCTGTGCGATACTGAACAAACAAAGCGATCTCCTTCACCACTTATACATGTTCCCTCACACAATACATGCCCCCCCGAGCCGTTCACGACTTGCCATATCACCCCTGACTCCGTGGAGTATCCTCCACGAGTCCAAAAGAGGCATCCGCAAAAGTCACGAGCCAGCTAAAGAGCGCGTGAAGGGCACCAAGTCATGACGCTACTCCACACAACTTCTTTGCGATTTCTCATGCAATGAAAAGGTTAGCCAAAATGGAGGCTTGGCGGTTCAGACGAATGGGATCGAATAGGCAGGCGAAAATCCACCATCCTGGCGTGATATGGCTGGGCACTTTATCTCGCAGACTGTATGCTGGCCTATAATGCCTACCTTCCAGATCAAGCCTCCACTACCGGAACATAAGATAGAGGACCCACAGAGAAGGGACGAGCCGTTGTATTTTGCACAAGATTGGACGCCTCGCAGCCCCTGGCAATGATATGGTCGTGGAGCACAGGATGCTGTGTCCACCAGTGACGATGATGAAGCGCCATCTCTGCAGGTACCCGGCACATGCACGAGCGCCGGTGAACGTCGAGTATGAGCGACTGTCGCGGATACGAGTGAGCTGTTGCATTAGGTGAATGTGTAGAAGGCCTATAGACACCAGAATGCCACTGGATGCGTAGCCGATGGCAGGCAACCTTGGCACCTGACAACCTGCCTTTTGCAGCATTAGTGCATAGGATGAAATGCGAATCAAATATTTATGATCGACGGGGCGATATCAAGTCGATGCGGTTTTTGGTGTAGTGTGAGCCGCGGATGTTTGACGTTGTAGGCATCACGGGGAGATGAGATGAAGAAGGGAACGAAGGGGAAATCGGCGTGGCGTGGTGGCTTGCTAAAAATACGCTAGACCCCCCACGCCGGGCCATTCATCCTCTTTCACTCCACACCTCCCGCCAATTCACGTCACGAACAATCACCTGCGCACTCCAGCTCCGTGTTTGATACTGCTCCTCTGCTTGGTTTTCAGTGTTCGACGACGGACGATGCTCCTTCTCACAGGACCACCCTTTATCTATCACATCGCCACTTCACCCTTTCTTTTACAGGGGAGGGGCTGCTTAGGGGGCCTAGTTCAGCTGAGTTTCCTAATGACGGGAAATGATTGGATATCTACAACTTCGCCGAGAGAATCCCAAGAGGCGAAGTAGGAAGTCCAAAATACCTAGAGGACCGCAAAGGCACAAGCCTAGAGTCGCTGTGGCTAGCAACACGACTATATGCAGAGAATTTCACTGCATCCACAAAGCCATCCCTCATCAAGACATCATCGATTTCTCCATGAAAACCAACTCCCGATCTCGATATGCTATTATAGTATGCGATGCTCCGTTCATCATACGGACGTTTTGCCTGGCTTCCTTTTGCCTCGGCTTGAGCATTTCTCTTGATAGGACGTTTGACAGTTCGAGGCTTGGGTTATAGTCAGGCTGCGCCTCAGTAGCTCCTCAAGTCTTCTACTCTCCAGCCCATCTAGCAGAGCCAGCAGACTGGATCGTATCAGCTCAAGATTCAAAGATGTTGTGGCATCAGGAATTTCAAAAGGTCAGTAATCGACCGTTGGCTCGGCAAATGCAGCGCTGGAAATTGTGTCCAAGAGTCTTTGCTCGGGATATGTAATATGGTCCTCTAACAAGTTGAAATAAGCCAGTCGTATTACTAGAGACAGAAGTATCCTCTGAAGAGGTCGCGACAAACACATCAGCATCCGAAGACCCTTCAGTTGTGCGTAGGTAAAATGGCGTCAATGTCATCGATGTTCAGCCATGCAACGATCATTGCGCCATCCTCCAATTGCTTCGAGCTAGCAGTAGTCTGGCCCTCAGCCATACCTATGATGCGACTGATCCCGTGAAAGAAGTGAATTGGCCTGAGACACCTATGCACATCGCAGCCAAAGATAGCGACCTTGCACGTAGTACATTGCAGGACCAAAAGCCTAAAAAACAACAGTCAGTATCGAGGATAGTGAAGCTTGAGCTTGCAATGCCGAGTCAGTATCAGCACTTTATCAAAGGCCAAGGAAGCTTATGATTACATGCCGTCTCAACCTCGGCATTTTCTCGATGAACCTGTGCGCATAGGTAACAGCTGATCACGACACAAGAAGTTTGATACCGAAAACCCCCGCCGGGGACTCTGTACGTGCCAATATAAGCCCGTAGGAATGCACGAATGAAGCGCTGCCGAACTCTAGGTCTTGAATACCAGAATATGAACATCTCATTCATACCAAGGTGTAAATCTCTCTCTCTTGTTGGTTGCAGAGTTGCTTTGGGATAGCATTCCCGCAGTGGCTTCAGATGTCTGTTGAGAACAATGATTGTAATGTCCCGTGATCCAACCAACTCAAGTTCATATAGTCTTGCTCATGCTTGCGAAACCAAGGGTCGCTGTGAAATGCGTAATGAGGATGCAGATGCAGCCATCACTCGATGCTCCTTTATCGGTAGAGATTCTGCTAGATAAAACAAGTCTTCTGATATGTTTCACACTTGTAGAAGTGAGAAGAGACTGCTCCCTCTGGGCGGCACCTTTACACGCCTCAGTACGTGATCAACAACTCCTGCGGGCCATTGAAATCGCATGGCAATGTCCAAGTGCGCGGATGCTGGATATCGATTTGTCGTCATGCATTTACCATCATGCAGAGATGATCAGCTACCGAGATTGCAAGTTCTTGCACAAGAAAGTGTTGTTCCACTACCGTATCGCCCCGCATGGCTACGCTCCCATTACCATATTAGTGGCTGAAGGAGAATACTAGGGCGACTTTTTCTGCGCAACGGTCAACGGTTGTACGAGATCGGTGAGGTTACTGCAGTGCCATCTCGATGGGTAGATGGATCCCTTGGGTATGAATTGATAGAGAAGGTGGTTGTGGGAATCAAGCTTACAACACAACCGGCAGAGAGTGGAAAGCATACCGTAGGCATGACGCAAATTTTGTTTTTGTTCAGCAAGTACTAGAGACGCGCCTGTTCCCCGCTTGCGTGGTCATCCCCAACGCCACACCGGACGCTACCGTTGAGATGACAGCAGGCTCGGGGTACAGACTAGGAGTCGATGTGGGAGGGTAAGTAATGGCTCTTCTTTCCTCGGCCAAGCGACAACGGCGAAAAAACAAAAATCTTTGGCCGAGAGTCCTACCTACACAGCTTCTCCGAATTGGGCCAACGCGCGCTACCAAAATCTGACGTCTACGCGCAACTCGGCCAACACAACCCCTATGGCTGACATAATAACATAGGACCTTTACGGACGTCTGCGTCATCACGCCGAACGGGGAGACGGTGCGCACAAAGGTGCCAACTAACGCAGCCGACCAGTCGATTGGAGTCCAAGAAGGAGTCTGCCAGGCGCGCGACATTTTAAAGGCCAAGTACGGCTGGAATGGGAAGTTTGAATATATCCACCATGGCACGACGACGGCTACCAATGCGGTGCTCGAGGGCAAAGGCGCAAAGTGCGGCCTGGTCGTCACAAAAGGCCACAGAAACATCTTGACGATGAGACGAAGTCAGATCCCTGGAGGACTGGGCGCATGGATCAACTATGTGGAACCAGAGCCGCTGGTACCTTTGGAGCGCACAGTCGAAGTCAAAGAACGCATCAAGATTGATGGCCAGGTTTTCTATGAGCTGGATGAACTGGATTTTCGAGATGCGCTCCAGGACCTGAAAAGACAGCAGCCACAGGCGATTGCCGTCTCCCTCCTCAACTCGTTCAGCAACAGCGTTCACGAGAACAGAGTTCGAGAGATTCTGAGCGAGGAATTTGGACCGGACATCGAAATCGTCACGTCGACTGATGTGCTGCCGGAAATCCACGAGTATGAACGGACAGTCACGACGGCGGCCAACGCAATCGTGAAGCCAGTCGTCAAGAAGTACGTGCAAAATCTGCAGACGAAGCTCGCGGACGACACAGACGTGATACGTATTCTCAAATCCGATGGAGACCTCACTTCGGTAGATCTTGCTGGAGAATCTCCCGTACACATCCTCATGAGCGGTCCGGCGGGTGGTGTCAAAGCTGTTTCGCATCTGATTGCGAAGAATACAGCCTTTCAGAACCTCATCACAATCGACATGGGCGGTACAAGTACCGACTGTGCATTACTTTCAGGGGCAGATGCCATCATCAGACGGGAGACTGAGATCGGCCACCTATCTGTCAGAGCACCGTCCGTTGATGTCAAGACGGTAGGTGCAGGGGGAGGCTCCATCGCCATCTACAATGAATTCACCAAGAATTTCCGCGTGGGCCCAGAGTCCGCGGGAGCTACACCTGGACCTGCTGCATATGGCAAAGGCGGCACACAGGCGACTGTCACGGATGCGAATCTTACATTGGGATATCTTCCATCAAAACTACTAGGAGGGAAGTTTGAACTCGACCTAGCTGCATCGGCCGCAGCAGTCGAGTCCATCGCTCAACAGACGGGACTAGATGCCATATCCACAGCAGAAGGCATCATCGATCTGGTCAACGAGAGCATGCATGGTGCCCTCCGTCTCGTCTCTGTCGAGCAAGGGTACGATCCTCGCGACTTTGCTCTTGTAGCCTTTGGTGGTGCTGGACCTCTGCACGCCAACTCCCTGGGCAAACTCCTCGAATCCTGGCCTGTGATTATTCCCCCAAGCCCGGGTACACTGTGTGCGCAAGGCGATGCTACTACCAAGATGTCGCACGAGCAGAGTTGCACGTACATCAAGACATTTTCTGAAATCACGCTCGATGACTTGAGAGTGACGTTGCAGACGCTGACGGAGAGTTGCATGAAGACGATGCAGAGCTCACTTGTTAATTCTGAGGCTCCACTTCGTATCGTATACCAGTCTGATATGCGATACCAAGGTCAAGCCATGACACTCACCGTTGACTTTGACGAGTATCAGCTCGACGAGTCGCATGATTTGCTCAAGCTTCTCCGTGACAAGTTCAGCCAGGCTCACGAACACCAGTTCGGCTTCTCGCACGCGGCGGCTGAAATCGAGACGATGCGTATGCGCGCCAAGGTCATCGACGCCTCGGAAGAGGTGGCCATAAAACCTATTGACAAGGCTGACAACGAAGAGCCTCCTGTAGACGCTATTATGCTGAAGCAGCACATCATCTACCAAGGCCAAAAGGTCGAGGCCACGTTCTGGGATCGCACCAAAGTGACCCAGGCTGGCATCAAGATTCACGGGCCAGCCATCATCACAGAAATGGATTCGAATACGCTCATCCTGCCTGGATTCTACGGCGAAATCGATGCCATGGGCAATATTCTGATCTGGCCGGAAAGCAAGAAACCCAAAGAGACCACCCTTCACACAGAGGAGTCGGCAACAGAGCTCGTAGCCAAGCAACCCCTGATAGCCACCCTCATCGCCTCCGCACTGGGCTCGATTCGCCGCGAGATGGACACGCTGATGTTGCGCTGCGCCATGAGTCCCGCGATCCGCGACCAACAGGACGAATTCAACGTCATCACAAACACACGGGGTCAAATGCTCGTCGGCCAATTCGGCAGCTTCATCACACAGTTCCTGGAGAGCTGGCAAGGCACGATTGACGAAGGCGACATCTTCATCACAAACGATGTCTATCAAATCGACGGCGCCGTCTCCCATCTCAACGACGTCATCGTCCTCCTCCCCATACACCACCACCACGAGCTCGTCGGCTGGGCTGCAAATTTCGGCCACTTGACCGACGTCCAGGGCAAAGTCCCGGGCTCCATGAGCATCAACGCGACCACAATCTTCGAAGACGGCCTCCAGATCCCCATTGTCAAACTGTACGAAAAGGGCGTGTACAATGCCGGTCTCGCGGCCGTGCTCTTCCGCAACTCGAGAAAGCCAGAATGGTTCCAGTCCGACCTCGTCGCCCTCGTCACCGCATGCCGCACCGCATCCACGCGCGTCCAAGAACTGTGCGCAAGATACGGGCTAGCCGTCTACAACGCCGCCACAGACGCCCTACTCGCACAATCCCACGCCGCCATCAAGAAGATAATCGACACAAAACTCAACACGGAGCCCTACAGCTTCACCGACTTCATCGACGACGACGGCCACGGCACAGGTCCCTACGCCTTGACCTGTACCATGCAAACCGTAAACTCAACCCTCGTCTTCGACTGGTCCGGCACATCCCCACAAGCCAACTCGAGCATAAACTTCTACTTGTCCCCAACCCTGTTCAAAATCTTCATCGGATACTACCTCCTCGCCATCTACGACCCACACGCCCTCGTAAACGACGGCTTCCACGACCTCCTCGACATTCGCATCCCAACCGGCAGTATCCTGCGCCCCGTTCGTCCCGCCGCACTCAGCTGTCGCACCCATCTCCTCGGTCGCGTCATGGACGTCATGCAAGCCCTCATCGGCCACCACGACCCAGCCTACCGCTGCGCCGCCGGCTTCTCCGACTCGCCGCACCTCTTCTACTCTGGCTTCCGCCCCACCGACGGCTCCTTCTACCTGCTCTATCAAATCGGATTTGGCGGCGTACCCGCGCGGCCCACGGGTGACGGCCCAGACTGCCACTGCTTGTTCCCGGCCATCAAGAGCATCCCTGCCGAGAGCATCGAGTTGTATTTCCCCGTCGTTGTCGAGGCCAACGAGGCGGTGCCGGATTCAGGGGGCGCGGGGTTTTGGCGCGGTGGGAATGCGCAGCGTACGGTGTACAGGTGGTTGTGTGAGGGCGAGGTGAGTTTGCATGATGATCGGTGGTTGGTGAAGCCGTGGGGGGTGAATGGGGGGAGGCCTGGGACGCGGTCGAGAAAGGTGTTGTATCGGGAGGGAAGTTTTGGGACGGAGAGGGCGGAGCAGATGCGTGAGGTTTGTGGCAGTAAGCAGGATTATATCCATGTTTATCCTGGTGAGTTTTTGCTTTTTATTGCCCTGCAGTCCTTTTTTTTTAACTCATCGTCTGTTTCCAGGCGACGTCCTAGAATACACAACCTGGGGTGGCGGCGGCCACGGCGACCCACTAACCCGTCCGGCCTCCACCGTCGCCCTCGAAGTCCACCGCCGCCTAGTAACTCCCACCGGCGCCGCCCAAAACTACGGCGTCGTGGTGAAGCGCGATTTTTCCGTCGACGAGGCCGGCACGACGGCGCTGCGTGCGGCGATGCGCGAGAAGAGGGAGGCCGAGGCCGAGGGTGAGGGCGGCTGGAAGGGGGAAAGCGGGATTGATCGGGGTGGTAGGGTGAGCGAGTTGGTGGCGCGGTGTGAGGCGGAGACTGGGCTCAAGGCGCCGCGGTGGCAGTGGGAGAGGGAGCCGTATGGGCCGCATGTGGGGTTGGAGTATGTCAAGGCGTGGTATGAGAGGATGAAGAGGGAAGGGGTCGAGGTTTTTGATAGGGCGTAGTGGTAGTTGATGTACATATACCAGGGACACGGTCATGCATAACGGTGGACAGCCAGATTGATTCGTTGTAGGCGCCAAGGAGAAAGATATCAAAACAAATTGGTCATTCCTTTGTGTAAAATTGCTATTGCCATCAGAGCGATGATCGGATGGTCATTCAAAACGCCGTGCTATGCCGAGTGGGTATCAAGGTCTCTCCAAAAGAAATGTGTCGACGATAACGCCGTTGTCCAAGCCGAAAATTTCAAAACCAAGCCAGGCTCCACAGTGCAGGCATATTAGGCCATCGCTCTTGCCATGTTGCAAGAATCTCAGGCACACGCTCATCAAACCCTGAGCGAGCAGCGCCACTGCCAGAATCCCAGCCACCTCCGCCATGTATTTCTCGCTCCTTCCCAGCAGCCTCGTTGAGGCACAGAGCAAGGTCGAGAATAGCTTTGCCACCAACGAGAGCCTCTTCGTGGTTGTCCTTGATGTCGACATTGAAGACGTGGACGGGGCGGTTGAGCTTGCCACCCTTGTTGTGCAAATCTTCCAGCACAGCATCGAAGCAGCGTTCTTCGCAGGTGATGACAACATCCACAACACCGGCCTCGGTACCTTGCGAGCCCTTGTCTTCGGCGTGTTCCAGCCGTGGCTTGCCAGGCACCCAGTCCTGGAAGCGCTCGGGAAATCTCTTGATGTTGAGATTGCGACCCAGCATGTTCAGCAGACCATTGTGCGTGTACAATGCGGTATTTTGCTGTGCCAGCTCGTCATGGATGGCGCGGTAGGTAGTGCTGTTGAAGTGGTACACATTGGGCTGTGTGATGGTTGGACCTGGTAGGCGTACTAAAGAACCAGTTCCGAAGCTGATGGTGGGTAGGTGGGCAGAGGCGAGTTGAAGATGAGCCTCCATAGACCTGCTGATGTTAACACGACGTTTCACGTTTCATTGGGGAGTGGATGCTTGCCACTTACCGATTTTGATTACTTGCACAGACGGTGCAGAACTTGAGCTTGAACTTGTCGTCCGCCACCTTGTTTTTTTCTGCATGCGCATCGTTGGCGGCGACATCGGTGCTGACTGGAGGCTCATTAGGTGGGGGCGGCGGCGGGGGCGGCGGTGGAGGCACGGCAGCAGCCTGTTGTTGCCTGGCCCGCAGACGAGGATCGGCCGACATGTCAAGGGAAGTGACCGAGTCGTGATGGTGCTCAAAATGAGGCGTAAGGGGATGGAACGCGTCTCTCTCCTGTCTCTCCCTATGCAGCCCTGCAAATTCTTCACAGATGTTAGCTGAGCTCAGACGAGAACCGTTGTAGCCATGACAGCGACATGTGATGCATGATTCAGAATTTTCAGTGTATATTATTATTGTGAGTCCTCAAAGACGGTAGCCTAGGACAGCTCCAATATGGTGTTCATCATTGCATGCATGGGCACTGCGGCAAGGCGCGATACGTACATTGAGAGGATGAGAAAGCTCAAGTCATTGCCTTCGTTCGTTGAAAGGACAACGAGAGGTGTTTGATGGTTGTGTGGGGTGGGTGATGATGGGTGAGGGGAAAGGCACAAAGGCCTGCGGTCAAGGCAAAGTCTGAGAAGCTTTGATGTTGGTTTGCTGGGGATTGTTTTTGGGCAAAAGCTGACTCAGCGCTCGGCCAAACTATTGTGCGGGGCGGGTTCTTTTGACTTCAAGGTGTGTCACGTGCCGAAAATCATCCATTACGTGTCTCCAAACTCGTATTTCAGTCCAAAGGTGGGGAGTCTACTTTGGAGCGTCGGATCTACTTCCTGTTCCTGGATACGATAACATTGTGTTGTAATAGTATTCACTGTGTTGTACCCACACAGGATGAATGGGGAGGTGTTTTGCCATGCGAGCAGCGATTGCGCCACTTGGCCCAACCAGATGCGGATCTCGGTAGAAACGGCCATGGTACGTCAAGGCTGTTGGGCCAGGATCCGTAGCCTTGCGCGACAACACTTGACGTGATGTGATGTGATGGCCTACTAGGCACCCTTGTGCTGAAGGCGGCCATGCTAATACTACTGTACTGCCGATGCTGATGCTTTGTTGTTTCCGTAGTGGACCACTCACTGTAGAGTATGTATGTATGTACAGTAAGTATGTACCTACCAGTACTAGACCGTAGACAGTGGATGATGCCCAAAGAAGAGTAGACAACGGCTTGGACGAACGGATGTCAACTGGTGGGTGCGCGAGCAAGGCCCTATCTAGCTAGTGGTGGCACTCTTCTGAAACATGGACGTGGGAGACTAGGGACAAAAGCAGTCAGGCCTCAGCATCGAGGAAACCTTGGAAGCGGTTTGCATCCAAGACTCTTGACACTTTGAGCCGCCAGACAGACGAGAAAGCCCAGCGCGCCCTCTTATCCGTCTCGGCCGGTCAGTCCAGTCAGCCAATCAAACAGACTGACAAACACAGCAGGCCCTGTTGCGACCGACCATGATCTACCGTACCTACTTGATGTCCACCCCACCATGCTGCCGTGAGGGGAGGGATGCCATGATGCCATGATTATGAGGAGCCACATGTGTACCGGTGCTGCCCCTGTCTCGGCGCCGTCGTTTGCATCTTGCTATGAACACAGGAGTCTAGTGCCTGCTAGGTGGTAGTAGTAGTAGTAGTCGTAGTAGTCGTAGTAGTCGTAGTAGTAGTAGTAGTCGTAGTAGTCGTAGTAGTCGTAGTAGTCGTAGTAGTCGTAGTAGTCGTAGTAGTCGTAGTAGTCGTAGTAGTCGTAGTAGTCGTAGTAGTCGTAGTAGTCGTAGTAGTCGTAGTAGTAGTAGTAGTCGTAGTAGTCGTAGTAGTCGTAGTAGTCGTAGTAGTCGTAGTAGTCGTAGTAGTCGTAGTAGTCGTAGTAGTCGTAGTAGTCGTAGTAGTCGTAGTAGTCGTAGTAGTCGTAGTAGTCGTAGTAGTCGTAGTAGTCGTAGTAGTCGTAGTAGTCGTAGTAGTCGTAGTAGTCGTAGTAGTCGTAGTAGTCGTAGTAGTCGTAGTAGTCGTAGTAGTCGTAGTAGTCGTAGTAGTCGTAGTAGTCGTAGTAGTCGTAGTAGTCGTAGTAGTCGTAGTAGTAGTAGTAGTAGTCGTAGTCGTAGTACACTACTCTCTCTATCCAACACGATATACGATATACGATAGATACTACCGACACAATACACAGTTACACAGCACACAGCACACCACAATACATAGTATCCACTATCCACCCATCCACCTCTTCGGACGTCGATGACTTTCCCGCGCTGACGAAGCCGCTCTCGAGATTGTGAAACAAGACATCCATCGGCTGGCGTCTAGCCATGTTCATGTCCCCCGCTGCCTTGAATCCAAAAATAGCGTTGCCTCTTGCAGTTCGACCACCCACGCCTGCAACCAACACGCTTTCCCACCCTCTGCCACTTTCAACAGCCCGCCAGCCCGCCAGCCCACCAGCCAGCCCGACCACTTTCACCGCCATCCGGTAGGCTATAGCCTGCCGCCCCCCATTCCATTCAACCCTCCACGGCTGTCCCGCAAACTGCGCCCATCTCAAGGGCCGTTCACTGGCTGACTTTGTTAGCGCCTGGCCCTTACACCCTTCCCCCCCCCCCTCCTCCCTCCCCCCATACCTATTAGGTGCCTACCGTGGACTTCCCCCGCCCCAGCGAGCGAGCGCTTGTGCAGCCGCCGCCGTCTGCAAATAATCACCTCTTGTCACCTTCGCCTGCCCGCCGCGCTTCCCAATCGCCAGGCGCACCCACTCCCCCCGCCGAACCTGATCTTCCACTACTACTACAGTACCCGTCCTACCCTTTTCTCTGGACTCTGCAAGCGCTCCCCGCCGACCCATTGGCCACCACCCACGCCCACAAACGCTCATCGACACCAAGCCATTAGACACCATCTACCTGACCTGTAGTCTCAGCGAGTCGTCGTGCCCCGCCCCCCTGCTCTTCTGCCGTTCAGGTACCGCCTGCCTGCCATTCGAGCATCTACCACACGCCGAGGGACTGAGAGACTGAGAGACCAGCAGAGAGACAGAGACGAAAGAGAGAGGGAAAGAGGACAAGAGCAAGAAAAAGAACAGAGCAAAAGGCACAGTCTGTGTGCGCCTTGCGCGCTGACTGATCCACCCACCCAGAGTACGGTGTACATATACACACACACACACACACACACACACACACACACACACAGCCAACGGCCCTCCCGCTACCCAACTTGTGGCTGGGTGTGCCCGCCATACTCGACGCTTGCCCACCTGGGAAGTCGACGCTGCCACCCACGCCCACGCCCGCACAAACCCACTCGACACGGGACTGGACTTGGCCTTGTTTCGAAACATTGCACACCACACTCTCTTGCCGATTTCCGCAACTCCCCCACTACCACATCTCAGCTACCGTAAAAGCGCATGATCACTGCCACCGTCTCCTCGCCCTCGCCCTCTTCCCCCTCCTCCTCGGCTGCTCCCCATCACCAACACCACCACCATCACCTGCCCGCTGACCCTCCACGGCTGGACGACATCTCCGAGGGGGTCGCAGTGCGCGAGCACCACAACCGTCCAGACATGGCCGCCGACATAATACCTCCCAGGAGCGAGCCTGGTTCCGCTGCACAGGTCGGCATCAATCGCACCTCATTACCTCCGTTGGTCACATCGCCGCCATCCAAGGCCAAGCTGGAGCGCGCGAGCTCCTACGCCAACAAACGCCTCTCCACCTTCTCCACGGCATCCAATACACAGCAGTCGGTCCGCTCACGGCCGCAATCCACTGCCTTCCCCATATTTCATTCGAGCCTTGCTTATTCGCTCGTGCGTGACTTCGCATACGATCCGCTACATCCGCTCTTCTACGGACCACTCCCAGACTCGACCTCTGAAATCTCGACCCCAGCAAGTGAAGTCGGGAGACGATTGTCCGACCCGCCCCCAGTGGCATGGCGCAACGACAGAGCCTGGTCCGCCACCTCCTACGACGAGAACGGCGAGCAACTCCCGCAAACCGCCTATGACGGTGGTCCACCCTACAGTGAAGACGATGACATCTCCAGTCCGGTAGTCACCAGCCACCACGGCGCACGACATAAGAAGCACAAGTCCAACATTGTCAACTTCGACCACACCCGCGGCCGGAGAGGATACCCAGAAGACCCCCGACGGAGCTCGGTTGGCCACATGAACGAGGCCAGCCCCACATTCCACATCAGTGAGGCAGAGGATGCGAACGGATCTGCGAGTGAGTACATTACCTACCCGCCCGAGTCGTCACGCCTTGATGTGCCCTCAGAAGGCACATCGCGCCGAGACTCGCATTTTGCCACGTTACTGCCACAACGCACATATGCCGATGCCGACGGTCCACCGTACGATTCCGACGACGACATGTCAGAACCCGAAGACTATATCCACGACGATAACCGCTTCTCTCGCGACTACCAATTCACCATTGCCTCGCCTGATGAGGAGATGCACGGCAAAGCAGTCGCCTTGTTCGACTTTGCGCGAGAAAACGACAATGAGCTGCCCTTGGTCGAAGGACAGGTCATACTTGTATCGTATAGGCACGGGCAAGGTTGGCTGGTCGCACAAGACCCCAAGACGGGCGAAAGTGGTTTGGTACCAGAGGAGTACGTACGGCTACTACGCGACATTGAAGGTGGCTGGAACGGCCTGGTGAATGGCTCGATACAAGCCCAGCTCCAAGCGCACGAGCCCACCACCCGGCCCGAAGGTCTCCTCAGCCCCGTCTCAGCAGGGCCAGAAGCGATGACACCCACCCAAGCAGACCACCCGCAAAACTACACACCCGTCATCTCCACCTTTTCCACAAGCCACAAAGATCTCGAGCCTTATCCAAAGGACCGGCTCGGCACGCCGACTACCACCGAGAGTGGTGGATTTGCAAAAGCAAAGGAAAGCGGGCCCATGGAGGGTGTAGAAACCACTCCGGAACCCGCCTCACAGGAACAAAAGTCATGACAGTTTGGGTGAGGTCTGTGAAGTTTGGAAAAGCCTGCACAAGGAATCCGACTGCCCGAATCCGACTGCCCGTCTCCCGTCTCGTCAGCACAGGCACTCCGTCGATTGCGTCTCCCATGCCCCAAAAGCTCAGTCTGCTTAGCTTTTGTGAATCCATGAATATTGGCCACATGGAACTGTACACACGACATCCGCCCATATCTCCTCCCCCGACATGGAAGTACAAAACCGGCCTTGAGACATACAACGACGACATACTTTCGACGTACTCTAGAACCATGACTCAAAACGTCCTCTTCCCCCCAGAAACCCGCTCGACACCACACTCCATCCCGCCACATACAGCGTCCCACCACACGCCCCCATCTCCCACTACACGCCCCCATCTCCCGCCACCCTCACGACACACGACTTCACATATCTTGTCTTATACCACAACGATTTCAGCATAATTTTTCTCTCAAACCCTTTGCTCTTGGTTTTTTGCGCGCTTTTTCGTTTTACCCCCCCTTGGCCCTGAAGGAAGGAAAAAATGGCCTGCAAATGTTTTTTACGACGGGTTTGGGTTGGATTGGGTGATGTTGGATTATTCTGCTGGGTTCTAAGTGGGGGTTGGCTTGGGTTGGGTGGATGGTGGATGGGTTGATTGGGAAGGGGTTTGTGGGGCGCTGGGGGAAACTGGGTATGGTATGATGGGATGGATGATGGATGATGGGATGATGGATGACAGATGACGGGATGACAGATATTAGCACCAAGCAGCTTTCATAATCCTGGTCACGCCCCTGTATTTTTTTCTTGTTTTCGGGCACCCAAGGATACAGCGAAGACGCGTTTCATGGCAAAGATGTATACGGTGTCACGTACCTTTTGTAAATAGTGCCTACCCCCTGGACCTGAAGCGTTTTTTCGGGTTGTTTGGTGGGAGTGGATGTGGATGTGGATGTGGATGGGATGTATGAATATGAAGGGTGCCGGGGTTAGGGTTGTGAATTGGGGTTGTGATTGCCCTTAAAAGGGCAATTACAATTCCGATTCGAAGTATCCTAATAGAAATCAGAATCGACATTACAAATCAGGCCTTGGAAATCAGGCCTTGGAAATCACAACCGGAAATCACAACCAGAAATCAAATCAAATGCAAACACACAAGTCCCCTATACCTCATGCCTCGCACGCTGAGATATTCAGTCTGAGTTGTATTTGGCGGTGTGGTGTGGTGTGGTGTGGTGTGGTATATGATAGGTGAATGAGAATCAGAGTGAATGGGTGGGTGAATACAAAAACTCCATCCATCCTCGGCCACGACACAAGTAGCCGAGACAAGACAGGACAAAACAACATCACCAGACATGAGCCAATCCAAGCCAAGAACAAGACCGAACAAAATATTACTACAAAGAAAGAAGAAAACCACTGGAAAACCACTGGACAAACACTGGAAACACCACCTCCCAGCATCCCAACATCCCAACAACTTCACTCCCATCCAACAATCTCATCTGCATGCTTCCGTCTCTTTCTTTGCCTTGATCCAAATTGTAGCATGGGGTGCGTATGCGAGTGTTGTATGATGTTACGTTGAGATATACAATGCTGACACTACTATACTATAACCACTACATGATACTACACCACACCACACCATACCACTAATACCCCATCCTTCCCCATCCCTCCCCTCTCCTCCCCAAACCCCGCTATCCCGCATAAAAAAGACGCCGGGGAACGAGAAACCGGGCACAGAAAAATCAAGGACGTGGGTTAGAGGCATACTCATAAAAAAGATAAAAATACCATGATACCATAACAATACCCCTGTCCTAATTCAAACTCAAAACCATAAAATAGACATGATAGAATATAAAAAGAATCCCACCCTCTGATACAAACACCCCAAGCTCCGCCCAAGAAACGCCACGGCCGTGACAACGAAACGAAGAAGAGAATTCATTGAGAAGAATGAATAAACATACATGCATAGCATGTACACAACAACAAAAATTCCTATCACAGCGTAGGCGCCCTCCTCAAATTCCTCGCATACCGCACATGCAACTGATCAATAAAATGACTATGCCGAATTCCCGGCGGCCTCGCTGCCTCGAACATATCAATTGCCTCCTCGACCCGCCTCCCCTGACGTTCGACCAGGTAAGCGACGACGAAGAAGCCCGTGCGATTGAACCCGTAATGGCAATGTACGCCAATGAGGCCCGGTCTGCCTTCTGCGCGGATGCGATCGACGAGCTCGATGAAAGCACGGACTTCGTCGGGCTGAGGGGGCTGTTTGGAGACGGTGGGGAACTTGTGGTAGGGGATGCCGCCGTCCTCGAGGCCTTTGGGGTCGTAGACTGGACTGTCGTGCGAAATGTCGATGACGGCGCTGAGCTTGCCTTTCCACTTTTGCGCTAGGACGCGCGGGGTGTGTTCCTCGTCTACTTCGCGCAGCGTCTTCATGGCGCGAAAGACGTTGCCAATCGGCTCCGAGACTGGTTGCACGGCTTTCCATTTTGCGAGGTTCTTCACGTCCCATTTACCCTCTGTGGAGAGGTAGTTGAGTTGCCAGCTGAGCGAGAGACGCGGGTCGATGTGGTCAGCAAAGAAGTTGCCGATGAGACCTGAGATGATGCGCGAGGTTGTTGGGGCAAAGAGAAGGGCGTGTGCGGCAGGCTTGGGGAGGATGAGAATCTTAACCACGAGGCGGCGGGGATGGGGAGATGGGTTGCTGGATTTGTGTGTTGGGGTCGTGGAAACGAGAGGTGCGTCGAGCAGGGTTTGACTGCTGTCTGTCACGGTGTCTCTGGTAGTGACGGAATTAACATCGTTGGTAGCAGCCATCGAGTCTGTCATGTCAGTATCATCTTCGATTTTGGGTAGATCGTTTGCGTCAATGCCCGAATCTTGGTGTTTGCGTATGGTAGTAGAATCTGGGTCTGCGGGAAGAATCACAGCTGGATCGAATGGAGCGGCCGCAATGGGCAAGCTAACCTTCTCGCTAGGAGACTGAATTGCGGAGACGTCTCTTCCAAGAAACTCGACAATCCGCTTCACATTGGTGATTGGCGTGACCGTATCATCTTCGCCGGCTACCAGAAACACTGGGACATCGAGGCCACTCCAAACTGCCTTGCCAGGCAGGCCACCTCGAGGTTGCCCAGTGGAATAGTCAGGACACATACCCTTTGCCATTCTTTGCCACACTGCGCTTCGACTTTGTTGGTTGTAGCGCAGTTGGAGCACTTTGGTGCCTTCTTCGGCATCGGGACCAGCCATGCGCAACACACTCTTACTATTCGCACCGCCTCTACGATCCCACTTTCTAAGCAGGTCAAATACGGTGGCCGGTATCAATGTAATCGTGCGTAGTTGTTTGCTTTCCTTCTCTGTAGGTGGCTCCGCCTTGGGACAGATTGCAATGACCCCACCAACATGTATCGACATGAGATGTGCAAGTGGAGACGTGGATGAAGCTAGCAACGTGGCCAGTGAACAGCCCATACTGTGACCTACGAGTATGACGGTCTGGTTCTCGTTCACAGCGCGATATTCCTCGATAACCACGGCAAGCAGATGCACCAAGGCTTCAGTCGTGTAAGCGTCCCATGCCTTTGGCTCGAAAGATGAGGCACCGCATCCTGGTAAGTCTATAGCCAGGCAAGAGGCAAGGTTGGATAGACTCAGTAATATAGGGTTGAACTGAGCAATTGAACCTCCCAAGCCATGAATAAAGACGAGAAGGGGCAGCGGAGAGGGCTCTCGTGGCAGCTTCGTCTCCTGATCATGAGTGCGATAGAAAGTCCTGATACGTGGGTAGGTGAAGCCAGTCGACGGAACTGTGTATGCGCGAGTATGTGAGAATTTCTTGATGAGTCCTGGGTCAGTGGCACTGCTCGCATCTGAACGGAGTTAGTCATGGATTGAAATGCATAGTGCATCATCGGATCACGTGAATCTAGTGGAGCCCAGATGTCGATCCAGAATAGCAGACTTACCCATGGTCGAGTTTGATTGAGATTGGGGCTCGGAGACATTCCGTCTCGTTCTCTGATTGCTCCATAGCCAAAACGCAGATCCTATCCCACAGACTGCTGCCAACTTGACCATGCCCACGGCGGTTACGCTGGCCAGATTTTCAGGGATTGCAAAGGGATTGAGCAGACGGGTCAGACGGTAGGGCAGATTCCTTATATCTGGCCAATTTGCAGGGTGCGCATCGGCCTGTGACACACGATCGGGGTCGGGTCCAGCCAGGACAGTCCTTAGGAAGAGCAGCAGAGCCTGTGGAAGACGCAACGTGCCATTTTGGGACGAGCATGGACGCGAATGAGGCTCCATGTCTCTTTGCGTACTCCAACGCTGAATCTATATTCAACGGGGCTTGACGGTGTTGGCGGGCGGGCGGGCGAGATGCAGGCCCTCGAAGGCAGAGCAGCCAATGGAATGAACAAGAAGCCTCTCGTGCTCTGATTCTTTGGCGAGCAAGAGCCGGCTTCCTGGTAACGTCTATTACGGTGCAGTGCGCGCACACGTCGGGAACACAGCAATTATGATGTTTAGGAGTATCAAGGATGGAACCTAATTTGCAGCCGGAAGACCTGTGTCGTGTCTGATAGTCTCATGTTGAAAGGCGATGACGAGAGCTGGAGCGCCGGTAAGCTGCGTCTGACGGTGGTGGTGGTAGTGGTGGTAGTGGTGGTAGCGAGCTGAGATGCTTTGATGACAAGATAGTAAGTTAGTGGAAAAGAATAGGTCGCGCAGAGTCGCGATAGAGGAGTTGCACATGGAAGAAGAAGGGATTGGCATGGAGTATGTATGTGTGGCATGGGGGGGGAGGGGGGGAGGGAAGGGGAGAGGAGAGGAAGAATGGGCTCGGATGACGTTTGATGGTTGGGCTGCTCTTGCTACCAAATGGGTCGAAGCGGAAGTGGCGCCTTCCCCCATCGTGAGAAACTTGGCAGGGCCTGTGTTCAAGCTTTCCACTGTCCCCTCTCTCCCCTTCTCCCCTTCTCCCCCTTCTCCTATGGCCATCACTCCTCCATCGCTCTTCGAACACTTGTCCATCTTCTCTTCCCCTAGTTTGCAATCAAAAGCATCCACTTGGAACTGAGCAGGTAGCCATCCATTGCTCACCGACAAGGCTCTTTTCGTGGACCGCTACAGCTAGACCGTCACGTGATCGTCGATGCTTGCACATGCACTGTGCAGCTATGGATTCCTGATACCGTGCTAACATAGCCATTCTACTGTGTTCATTCCACTCTACCTTCTCTGACCACTTGGTCATCGCTATCTACCCCGTCTTTGGGCGGCTGATCGGAGATGAAGCGAAATGTTCAGCATGGCAGCCGAGTAGCCTATGAACACAATGAACACACATGGACTGGAAACACTGCGGTACCTGCATCAACATGCAGCAGAACCTACAGTATACCATATGCTACTACACAGTAGTACATAAGTCTTAGATGATCCCGAAGTTCCCTCCACTCCAAACGAGATGCGCCGTGGAAGGTCCCAAGTTTTTGGCTTGCCCCAGATTCCTGCACACCGATGCATGTCGGAAGCGGTTCCGCAGAAACAAAGATTCCTTCATCGGCTGCGCCAACGCGATATGGGATATCGCTCGCTGTTCCGACAGACGTGGGTCCCAAGATCCCAATGGCGCCATGACTCGGCTTACAATTGACCGCGCAACATTGGTTGTGCCAAAGGCTTAGGGCTTCGAGATCAGAGCTAGCCAACGTGCTACGTAGGTCGGTATCAACCGTCGGCCATGGAGGGGCACTTGTTATACCTTACCTAGAGCACTGCAGTTGTACCCCTCCCTCCTGTGTAGGTGTGACGGATCAAGCACGATGCGATAGAAAGCTGCCCTCGCCCCACAGCCCGCTGTCTTTTGAGCTTTCCAAGAAACGGAATTGCTTATTTTTTACTAGCCTGCTATCATGGCTTTGCGATTGGATCTCTACCATGGGAGTGGCTTAATACGCTTCGCTATCTCTTCCCACACCGGCCCTACCAGCCTTTGCGCCTTCTTCGTGACTCTGTCTTTCCTTCTCACCTTCTCTTTGCCGTGCTGCACGCCTTCAGTTGCTTCAACTCCCAATTAGCTCACCATTGACTTGTCCAATCGTCAACCTCACATCCTCTTACCGTACAATTGCCAACACCATTGCCTGCAATGGATCCGAGAAATCTCCAAAAGCAAAGCGAGCCAGAGGAACCTCGTTTTCTCAGCTTCCCACATCTCCCAGACGACGCGACCTTGGAAGACGGTCGGCCAGCGCTGAACAAGTACTCGTCCACACTCACGAGGGGCCATGACTTCCCCGGTGCACAGGTTTGCCATCCCCTCGAGCTCTTGATGAGCACGATTAGTGATAGCCGAGCTTCAGCTGAGTGGTACAGGCCATGCTCTACGCGGCCGGCGTACCTTCACGGGAAGCGATGAAGACGCAACCTCACGTCGGAATTGCTAGTGTGTGGTGGGAAGGAAACCCATGCAAGTCCGTTGACCCCATGCCTAATCCCGTCACTCTGCCGTAATGGTGCTAACGGGACGGCAGCACTCACTGTATGTCAGACGATTCACAGCGGCTCATTGGTCAATCTGACCACGCTCTTATAGAGCCTCATTGATCCGTGGGGGCTCCAGACTGACTATATGCATGCAGTGCTTGGACTAGGGAAAGAGATCAAGAAACATGTGCTGAATGATGACATGCTAGCATGGCAGTACAATACTGTTGGTGTATCGGATGGTATTACAATGGGTGGCGAGGGTATACAGTTGATCCGTCATTACAACCGACTGTGCTGACTTTTCACAGGCATGCGCTTCTCCCTACAAACGCGTGAAATCATAGCAGATAGCATTGAAACCGTCACGTGCGCTCAACATCACGATGCCTGCATCGCCATTCCCGGATGCGACAAGAACATGCCGGGAGTCATCATGGCTTTCGCTCGTCACAATCGCCCATCTATCATGGTCTACGGTGGCTCCATCATGCCAGGCTACTCCGAGACCCTGAAGAAGCCCATCAATATTTCCACCTGCTACGAGAGCCATGGAGCATACATCTATAAGAACCTGAAGAGCGCCGAAGAGGGCAAATTCTCGCCCGATGAGATCATGGAGGATATTGAGAGGAATGCGTGTCCAGGTGCAGGAGCTTGTGGTGGCATGTACACTGCGAACACAATGTCGACATCCATTGAAGGTAAGAAGCGAGACCACCCCGCTCCATCCTATCCTTCATTACAAAATCGAACATGAAGATACTAATCTGACATAGCCATGGGACTCACGCTTCCCAACTCCTCGACCACACCCGCTGAATCGCCTGCGAAAATGCGCGAGTGTGCCAAAGCGGCTGCTGCCATTCGCGTCTGCATGGAAAAGAACATTACTCCACGCAAACTTCTCACTAAAGCTTCCTTTGAAAATGCCCTCGTCATGATGATGGTCCTCGGCGGCTCTACCAACGCTGTCCTACACTTACTCGCTATGGCCGGCACAGCAGGCGTCCCCTTGACCCTTGACGATTTTCAGCGTGTATCCAACAAGATTCCCTTTCTCGCCGACCTAGCCCCCAGCGGCCGCTACATGGCGGCCGACCTCTTCGACATTGGCGGCATGCCATCTGTTATGAAGCTCCTCGTTGCCGCCAACCTCCTTGACGGCTCCATCCCCACCGTAACCGGCAAAACGCTCGCTGAAAACATTGAGCCCTACCCCTCTCTCCCCCAAGACCAAGTCCTCATCCGTCCCCTAGACAACCCTATCAAACCCACTGGTCATATCGAAATCCTCCGCGGCAACCTCGCGCCTGCCGGCGCAGTCGCCAAAATTACCGGCAAAGAGGGAACCCTCTTCACCGGCAAAGCCCTCGTCTTCAACAAAGAACACGAACTCGACGCCGCCATGAACGCGGGCCTCATCCCCCACGGCGAAAACGTCGTCGTTGTCGTGCGCTACGAGGGCCCCAAAGGCGGGCCGGGCATGCCCGAACAACTCAAAGCCAGCGCGGCCATTATGGGCGCCAAACTTACAAATGTCGCTCTCATTACGGATGGTCGTTACTCAGGCGCCAGTCATGGCTTCATTGTCGGCCATATTTGTCCAGAGGCGGCGGTGGGCGGGCCTATTGCTGTGGTGCGCAATGGCGATGTTATTACGATTGACGCGCAGAAGAATCGGATCGATATGGTGGTGAGTGATGAGGAGATTGCGAAGAGGTTGGCGGAGTGGACACCTCCGAAGATGCCGGTGACGAGGGGCGTGTTGGCGAAGTATGCGCGCTTGGTGGGGGATGCGTCGCATGGTGCCATGACGGATTTGTTTTGAGGGGGCGTGTTGGGAGAGTGGGACGGATGGATGGATAAATTTGGGGTTTGATTTTAGATATGGGTTTGTTCGGCAATGGCATTTTCGAGTTATTGTCTTCTCTGCGCATGATGATTTTATTTCGAACCAATGGAAATATTTCCTTGATGGGCTGTTCAGGCCATGTAAACCCCCATCCACTATTCAATGGTTCAAAGCCAGCTTCTACGCAATAATCAAGTTGGCAAGAGAGCACGAGGCACACATAATAAAGGGTGTATCAAGTTGCTTTCAGGCCAAGCCCAGTATCATTTCATGTCCTAGGCTAATCCTTGCCCCAGCGAAGTCATGATTTTCAACGCCATAAGCCGTAAAACCCGTAGATCCATGACCGCCCCGCAATCAAATGCTAGCAGTTGCTTTTTCCTCTGAGCCGCAAAAAACATCTACTCGTCGTCCTCTTCCTCGTCAGCCTCGAGGGTGGTCTGCGCAATTCGGTCCAAATCACGCTGGCCAGACTGTGTGATGCGGCGGCCACCTTTGTCCTCATCCTGCTCGAGGACACCGATCTTCTCAAGGGCCTGCATGACCTTGCGGTCGACGGAGCCGGAGGCATCGACGTGGTGCGAGGGGCGGGAACCGCGGTTCTTGGTGGCACTGCGTTTGTGTATTAGTTTACATTCTGCTGACATTATTCGACTCGCGACCTGGGACCGCGTACCCGTGGACCTTGCGGAGACGGCCAACACCGACAGTCTTGCGCATGTAGACGTGGCGTGCAACGGCAGCGGCGCGGACGTAGAACCAGTCGATATCCTGGGGAGGCAACTCGCGGGAGGCTAGAGAGCGGGAAGTTAGGTGCCAGTCCAAAAGAGAGATGAGATTTCTGTTTTTCCTATTGAGAAACATACCGGAAGTCTTGACAGTATCAACCCAGCCTGTAGATAAGGGTCAGCAAGCTGAAGTTATCCCCCATTTACGGGATTCAGGCTTTTCAATCACCCGCTGGACTGATACGAACCTGGACTGGGGACAATCGTTAGCACAGATTCATAGACATCAGAGTATACGGATGAAAACTTACATGGGGAGCTTTCCCTGCCTCTTCAAGAAAGCGGCATATGCGCCGATGAACTTTTGCGCCTGCAATAAGAAGCAATCGTCAGTATCAATACCATGTACACAACCTCCAGCTCTGCACACACGTCCGGAAAACCACATACCTCGACGTCCTTGACTGTAACACCACCCATATTGTCGGTTGGTCGGATGAGAATTGACGGGGTAGGAGAGAAAAAGAGAGTTGGCGTTATGGAGTCTTGTCGAGTTGCTGCGGTTTTCGAAATCGCGAGTTTCGGTTTCGCTCGACCTGGCGATTTTGCGCTGTGGCTCGCTTACGCCCGTGTTGAGGGGGGGGCTGGAGAAATGGTCGGGCCGGGGTTAGCGCTGTGAGCTAAGTGTCAGCCAGGATCCGACAGCCGACCAAGACCAAGTCATGTATCGCGAACATGACGTATCGCCGCGGAGGCGTTATCTTTAGAAGGCCTGATTGTTCTGCTAGGCTGGTACTCTCGCGCTCTGGTTTGAACTCGCAGCTTGTACTATTTCGTTGATCCAAAGTTTTTTGGTAGAGGCTTTTTTTGGACGTGAATATTCTGAGTGGACTACGGTATCCCCATTTACATGGCACACTATCTTCCACTGAAGTCGCTGGTGACGCCCACCGCCGCCCCAGAACATCCCATCAGCAGACCATATCCATACTGAAGTCGAGACTCAGCCATCTCCATGGTGCGAAAACAACCCAAGCGGTGTGACGCAGAGAGATGGCCACGTGTGCCAGCGTGTAACCTGACACCGCGGTACTTGTTCGAAGTAGCAAACTCGCTTTTTCACTCTCTATGCATCGTGCCTTGCCCTCCACTTATCTTGCTCCCTTTGAATTTTCTGGAATCCTAGCAGCAAGATGACCGTCTGCTTCCATCTACTCAATACCCTTCTCATGGCCGTATCAATCCCCCTTGTCCATGTCATGGCCAGTCCGACAACACGGCGCGCAGCGAGCAGTCAACAATGTGGTTGGGAACTCATGCAAGATTTCAGTACTTTGTTTTCCCCTTCAGACGCCTATAAATAATCTCGCCATGCAATCTAACCCCCCATTGTAGACATTTCCATTGCGCAACTGGGCATCCTCTACGTCCAGCAGACAGGGGACCGCTCATTGTGCACTACGACTAGTCGCGGCGAATCCTACTGCCCGTGTGTGTTTGAGTGCGGGAATGGTATTTGGAGAGGTGATGGAGAGTGGATGGGAGGCTTGGTGTTTGAGAAGGGGTGTGGAAAGTATTGTCATGCTGGGGTTTGTGACGGGTAGGACTTTGGAGCTGGATGTGGATGTCGGGGGCGTGCGTAGGGGAGAGTAGAGGCAAGGTTTTCTGATGGGTCTGGCTGTGCTAGGCCGAGATACAGATCGTGATTGGACTGGTTCGGGGCTTGTGTGAGTAGAGAGATGTTGCATTGCATGGAGTGAGGTCCACGCAACATGCTTTTGGTCCTCTTCTTCTCTTAAACGGATATACGATCTTATACAACGATAGATTTCCACATTGCTGAAAAGATTTTTCATTAAAAATATTATTCAAATAGTATCTAAGGTGAAATAAGTAGGCAGGCACGCAAATCTAGGGGGAGTCAGACTTGGCATGATCAGGCCGTCATGACGATGTGTTCATCAATGATTTGAACACCATTGCCTTCATGATCTCACAGAACCACTCTCTAAGGGCAAGTTTAACAGTACATATGTCATTTGATGAACTACTTTACTGTACGACCGAGGTCGACAGCCATCTAAGATGATCTACCACTTGCTAATATCAATGACGGTGTTCTCAACCTTGTTGATAGAGGTGGTAGGTGGGAGCTGTCCAGCACCCATGATCATAAGGTAAGATGGGTCGGTCAACACACGGAGGTGACGAGTGTAAGCAGTAGCAGCAGGAGTATCCTTCTTAATCCATGGTCCCTCTCCGAGACCCTTGTTAATGTAGACAGCCATGCTGTTGTGTGCGCTGGCAATAATGGTACCGTTCACGCCACCAACGGAACTCCAGACAACATAGGGTGAGCCGGTAGGGATGCTGCCATCGGTAGCCACCAGCGAGATACCAGTAGCATCGCCAAACTTCTCGGGGTCAGAGACGATCTTGTAGTACACGGGGAACTGGTAGGAGGTGGTGATGGCAGGGCCGCCACCGTACTCGTATGTCATGATGAACTTTCCGTTGGGCAGTTTGGCAACGGTGGGCATGCCGGGGCGGTCGGTGTACTTGGGGTATTTGACATCGTCGACGACGGGGCCCCAATTCTTCAAGTCGGTGGTGGTCTGGTGCACCATCTTCTGGCCGTGGGTAGCATTGTCGCGCTGGTCGGAGTAGTAGCAGATCAACTTCTTCTGGTGGAGCATCAGGAATGGCTCCCACACAGGTGTGAGGCCGTTGTTGGGGCGTGCCTCACCGCCTGCAGCGATGTGGCTGACAAACTTCCAGGTGTAACCCCCGTCGGTCGAGGCGTAGAGTTCGATTTGAGTCCGAGAAAGGTCAGTGGGAATGGAAGAACCAGAGAGAAGGACAGTGCCAGCTTTGTAGCCAGCAAAGTCCTCGGGAAGGACGTAGAGTTCGGGCTGGTAACGAAGACCCCATTTCTGCTGGGTGTCTTGCACACGCGAGATCTCTGTCCAGTGCTGGCCGCCATCCGTGGAGCGGTAAATGGGGAAGTAGACTTGGGGTGGCTCGGGGGAATAGTTCTCCCATGTCGCTAGTAAGGTACCATTCTTGAACTGCGCGCTGCGAGCATACAAGACGCGGGGGTCGTTGTAGTTCGCTGGAGGTGTGAAGATGACTTTGCGCGAGAACACCGGGTCGAAAGCTACCGGGGATGTCGGTACAGCCGACACCACCGACGCAAGGGAGAGGATGATCGTTGATAGATGCATCTTGAAGTTGGATTGAAGATGGCCAGATATCGAAAGAAGAAGAAAATAGCCAGGACACGGCGTCAACTTATGTGATCAGCAAGACACCTCCCCAGCTCGCAAATAGACACATCTTCGTCGCGCGTCCATGGCCGTGCCTTGAGAGCCCTGATACTTTGGACGAGGAAGATCGGGGAACCGCCGTGATTTTGGCACGGGCCATCAGCTTGTCGCCCACACAGATGCGAAGCTTGCGGGTAATCTCGAGGCCGTAGGACGGAGAATTTATGGAGAAGACTGGGGATCGTCAGTCGTATTGCGGGGAATCTGGTAGGTAGCGGTCATACAATGACCCGAGGAGAGACGAGGGGCGGTTTATTTTAGCTGGCGCCGAGCCCATCAAGAGATGCTTACAACCGAGGCGCATAGTTAAGCAACGGACTGATGAGGTGAATGATTCATGCTTGAAGGCCCTCGTGACGTATACGCCGGCAGGTATATACTATAGTGCTTGGTTGTTATGAAAGCTCGGAGAAAGCACCGAGGCCATCTTGAAGTTATTTACTTGATCAATGTTACCATGTGTCCATAATGCACGATCGATCGTAGGTACCGTAGGCATCGTAGTAGGTTCGCCGTTGAGCGGCCACGCAGGAAGGAATGTGCACACAGCGCAGCGCCTTTTCACCAGAGTTGCCACGGACAAGCCACCAATTTCCAGTTCCAGGCTGGGTCGCATCGCACCTACATTCATAGCGGCGACGTGTTGATCGATCTGGCATCGCAGAACTCATCCAATTCAAACCTCAAGCTCATATCCAAATGCTCTCTTCATCTTCGGATGAGGAAGAGGTGAGCTTCCTTGCGACAGGAGGCATCATGTACGGTACCGTACAGTTAGCTATCAAGTAAAGGTTCTCAGGAGCTGCGCCTCCAACAGGACTGCATAATCACGTCTAGATTACGTGAACGTCTTCGCTACGCATCTCGTGGTGGTCGAGATAGCAAGTTTGCAGCAAAGGAGGAGAACAACACATGGCAACACAGCAAGAGTCGCCGGCAGTCAGAGCACGCCATGTGCGACGCTCATCAGCAAATGAATCAAGACCTTTACTGGAGGCTAGCACAAAGCTCAGATTACAGACCAGCGTATCAAATACTAAGTCGAAAAAATCGTCTCCCTTGGAGCGTCGGAGAAGATCCCACCGACCAAAGTCACCAGAGCCGACTTCGTCATCTTCTAGTGACGATGAAGCTAAAGCAGAGAGCTCATGTACTTCGTCTCTGCCGCCACAAATTAATCCTTCTCACAAGCTACGTGAAGCCGTCGAAAGGGCACTAGGCCAAGAGGCTTCCCAACCTGGTACATCTAAGTCTTCGGCGTATGGATGGGCACTACCAAAAATAGTTGAGCCGCCGATCGATGAGAGTATTAGTAAGATATCGCTGCCGTACGATCTAGAGTTGAGGCAAAGTCCTAACAGTGGTCGGAATTCGACATTGAAGTTTTGGAGCCTTGCGATCGCTGCGCTTTTGGGCAAAGCTAATCAACGGTTGAAACTGTTGCGCGATCGTTATGGCGCAGAACCACCTGTGCCAAAAAAGCATGTGCGCGTACGTTGGACTTGTGTAAGGCGGTATATCTACTTTTCATATATTATGTTGCTGATTTTGCCTAGTTGTGCGGTGATGAGCTTTATGACGACTATATAGAACAACGTCCAAATGCAGCCCGTCTGCTCGAAGCGTATCTCAATCGTCCGAGGGCACATACTCCACGAAGTCCCAGTAGCCAAAGTAGCTCTGCTTCTTCAATGGCTTCCATATTCGACGCTTCGAGTAGAGTCTCTACGCTTACGACTCCTTCGTCCACGTATGGAGGATGGGCATCATGGGGCAAGCGCTCCGACACGTCGAGGTATAGCCCAACTCGCATACGACCGAACAATCCGTTTAGTGTTCGAATGCCAACCCAGGTTGAGGAATCGTGGCTGCTGACGTGTGCAAATGAAGGGAAGCTTACATAGTACACCCAAGGTCGTGCATATCGACGTAAACGAGGGACGCATCAGAAGTGACAAGGACCTTGCCCTTGCGCTGCGAGAGCACTACGATCAACTTAACAACCATTGGTATAGTTGGGCGCGTCTACGTGGTCTTACGACAATCGAATTCGTCCAGTTTGAGGTACATCGCAATCGCTTTGCAGATATTCGGGCCACTCCGTCTATGCCTCCCAAATCGGCGAGTTCGTCCAGCAACTCACCGGGTCCAGAGAAGTATCAGTCTCCATCCCAACACCCGTATACGTTTGAGCCAAATGACCTTCTTCCACCTGTGGGCAGTACTTACCTCCTCCACTTGTTCCAGCACCCAGCCGACTACTCTACGATGGCGAGCTCATCACATATGCGCGGTGTCCAAAAAGGCGGCAGCGACTAGAGACTGGCATGGATTGGGGTGTGCATCTTGTCGAAGGATTCCTTGCGCAGAAGACTTGGGCCGTGACTTTAGGCGTGTGGCTTGGGGAGCGCGGCGTTTGCGATTATGTGGGCGATCAAGAAACATGATGTGCAGGGCGCCTTTGGCATCGCACAATGGGTGTTGGGTATTGCGGTGTTATTGGTGGGCAGCTTGCAGGCGTGGTTGGAGTAAGTCTGGTGGCGATGCTTTTATCCGTATCCCGAGTGCGGTGATATCGGTATCTCGCTTTACGCATTGCACGGGCGAAATGCGGCCGTTTGAGCACATTTTTGGGAACGTCAGTTGTATATAATCTTAATAATGCACCTGAAGGATTGACGTACATAATACAAAGGACAGCCGCTCGCCCATCGTCGAGATCCTTTTCAGTAGCTTGGTTGTTGATATCTTCAAACGCCAGCACCCTTCTACGAGTTCCAGTACTGCCTCAATACTGAGACCTTGAGAGGCCGATATGTCTGGTTCAGGATGAGTGCCACTTTGATACTGACGGGAGAACAGTCCACAGGCTGAACGACAGTATCCTTACGGCCTTTATCCAGACCAAACACGCTTTCCTTCTCAGCATGAATGTGTGATGCATCCATCCACTCAGACATACTATGCTCAGAGAGCTCATCTCCTTCTCGCTTCTGTTGCTTCTGCCAACCCCATCGCCAACCACGACCCGCTACCGGTACCGATCCGTTCAGCCGTTCGTAAAATTTGACGTCGGAAATGTTCATGCAAGCCTTTCTCTTTCGAGATGTTTGTCCGCTCACTACTGGGGGAAAAATCTCCGTTTCACGTTTGAAACGGAACGGCACCCCTGGTTGAATCCAGGCCCACGGTCCAAACATCACCACTCGCGCCACCCGTCTTGTGTACAACTTCGCTTCGATGCATGACTGTGGCGCGCGCGAGTGGAAGAGGGTGGAATAGTATCTTATGAACGTTTCGATGCAGGCAAGTCTTGATACGATGTTGATGCAGCTGGGCCACAGTGCTGTGATCAGAGAGAGAGGGTGTTGGCTGCGCTTTGAAGTTCTTGTTCTCCTTTGGAAGATGAACGATGAACGCTGCACTGCGAGGCTTCGTGTCCGCCGGCGCTACCCGTTCCAATTACACAAGCGCATAAACAAGGCCAACATCATCTCATCAATTCTGATCAGTCATTCCCGCCACGACAAGTTGCTTGACACCTGACAGGCGAACCACGCAATGGGGCACTCTTGGCAGTTGTTTTAGAGAAACAAGTAAATGCTTGGCAAGGTCCAAGACCGGGCACATTACCACAACTCCAGACTTGCTTGTTTCATACCACTCCACTCAGCCCGATCGCTACACCATAATCAATACCTTTAGCCGATTCGTGCGATTCGTTGAAGGGATCCTTTGTCAGTAGCTTGCACCAATCGAGACAGAAGCAGCCAGGTAGTGGGGTACCGTATCCCAACGCCGTTTTGACGCCTACACTGCGGCTAGGTATGGGATGCCAACCAGTCCTGACAATATCGCTTGTCTGACCCCAAGAGGTAACATTCGAATGGATACACTGAGGATAGTTCGACGTGCGTGAATCGTTTTGCGCGCGGCATGAATCTTACAACATGGACTGTCGTTCTGCGCCACTCTGGAAATAATGGGTCAGGGAGGGAGAGGGCCGAGATAAATAGGTCAAGATACCTCGCCATAGTACAATCACCAGTGCTACAGCTTCATTCTTCGGTTCTTACACCAGTCCTTCTTTTCCACCTTCGTTCATTTCCAAGTCTCTTCACTGTGTGAAGCCGGCAGACGCTCTTTCAAACAAAATCAACATTCGCTTCCAGCAAACGACTTGAACTTTCACGCCTTTCCCCAAAGAATCCATTTACGTCACTCATCATGTACAAGACAATCTCCTCCCTCGGTGCCATTGCGGCTCTTGCTGCTACGGCCACTGCCCACGGCACCGTCACAGGTGTCACCATTGATGGTGTCTTCACCGGTGGCTTCAAGCTGGACTACTACTACGCCAAACAGAACAATGGTCCCATCCCCGAGCACATCGGTTGGTACGCAGAGAACCTCGACAACGGCTTTGTAGAGCCAAACGCGTTCGGTACCGCAGACATCATCTGCCACAAGGCTGCCAGCCCCGAGGGCTCCTCCGACACCCTCGCCAAGGTCGCCGCCGGTGGCACTGTCGAGTTCCACTGGACCGTCTGGCCTGACTCCCACGTCGGCCCCGTCATCACCTACGTCGCTCCTTACGCTGGCGACGTCGCTGCCGTCAAGAAGGAGGAGCTCAAGTGGACCAAGATTGAGGCTGCTGGCTACGACAATGGCGAGTGGGCTGCCATCAAGCTGATTGCCAACAACAACACCTGGGCAGTCACTGTTCCCGAGACCCTCGCTGCTGGCAAGTACGTCTTCCGCCACGAGATCATTGCCCTCCACGGAGCCGGCCAGGTCAACGGCGCCCAGGCCTACCCCCAGTGCCTCAACATCGAGGTTACCGGCTCCGGCACTGTTAAGCCTGAAGGCGGCGTCGCTGGTACCGCACTCTACACCGCTGAGGAGAAGGGCATCGTCTTCGACCCCTACGCCTCCACCATCAACTACCCCATCCCCGGCCCCCCTCTCTTCGCCGGCGCATCCAGCGGCTCGCCCACCACCCCCACCACCCCTGCCGTCTCCGCTGCTCCCTCCGGCAACGCCACCGTCCCCGTTGAACCCTCTGCCAGCCCTTCCCCCGTCGCTAGGCCCGAGGCTGAGACCCCTGAGCCTGCAAATGAGCCAGAGACCCCGGCTACTTCTCCTTCTCCTGCCCCTGTCTCCAGCCCTGCCCCTTCCACTGGTGGCCAGGACTCCGGCGACCTCCCTGAGCAATTCACGCTCGATACCTTCATCGCCTGGTTGGAGCGTAAGGCTTCGGGTGCCAGCTCTGCGCCCAAGGCTCGCCGTCATGCTCGCGCTCTCTTTTAGACGGCATACCGTGACTTCTCTAGTTAGAGCCGCGTTGGATATCGCGCATACAAACACATGGAAATGTATATTTTAGGGGATGATCTTGGCATGAGATAATGTTCACTGCGAGACAGATGGATTCTATTGACATGGTTTCAACGTCGTCGCTGGATGCGATGGTGAGGTTTCGATTCTTTTAGTGTATATACGTAAGAACTGGCGTGCTTTTTGGTAGCGTAGCAAGAGAATATTTATTCTTGGTCTGAGGAATCGTGCTTTTATTGTGGTGTTTGAGTTTGAACTTCTTCTAGTTTGAACTTCTTCTTGGTTGATGGGGTTGTGGACGACATCAAGGTTGGTCTGTCCAGTCTATGTCAATCCCGTTACTTGGATTTATGCAAAGTACGCGCGAGTTTTCTTTTGTCGCTCGTGCATGTTGCGAATAGTCTCATCCTCTACTATGATTATACCGCCACGTGATTCCGGCCCCCTACCCCACAAGAGCAGACCAACAGAACCACACTGTCCCAAGTATTTCTCACTCAAGTTCAAGACTCTATCCAACTCACCACCATCCCCATCGACCTCATCAACTCTCCCCTCATCTCCTTCCCCCTCACTTCACGGTCTGATTCTGAACGATACAAACACATGCCCTCAATACTCGCGACTATTTCCATACGAGCTACCTGCGATAGTAAAGCGATGTATCAGTGGCTTTTCAAAGCTCAACCCGCACTTTTGACTGTGATTGGGGGGAATGTTGGAGGAGCGTGGTATAGCGTGGGGTGGGGGCTTGAGATCTGAGTCTTGAGGTTAGATGGCTGAGATGGTTTTGGGCGTGGATTGGGAGTATGTTGTACGGGCCTACTGGAGATGGAAAATTAATGGTTGGTGGTGTTTGGGTAGTTGATGTATTTTATAGTATTCTTAGTGAACTTACTAGGTCTTCTGATATTTTACATATACTTGACGTACGGTCTGGTTCCTTAAAGTAGTTGTATTCAAGAGTGCCATTCGTCCAGATAAGAGGGGATCCAGGTTCGCGACTCTGGATACGTGATGATATTAGCATCAACCCTGCCTCATCAATGAAAATCTAGTTAGCAGTGCAACGGTTTTGTAAAGTGTCGACACATGGATGGTAGTTTTAGTATAGAGTATTTTCATTTCGTAGGAGCCAGTGAAGTGATCTATAGAAGGTTCCACAGACACGCAAGCGGCACTACGAATCAGCACAGTGTGCATCCCCAAGTATAGTGCACGACAACTCCAAGTCTATCCATGGTAGGCATAGCCCACAGTCCTCCAAATCAGGTGGTCTCATCAATGTTCCAAGACGCGACATGCCACATTTCCAATTTGCTCTTAGACCCTGTAGGACCAGAACTGATGTCCTGCGGTGCAGACTGCCTTCCCAAGCGCATCTGCCTGAACGCAATAGAGGCACAGGGTCGCGGCTCGGTAGACGAATCCTACGCGCTGGTTTCGAAGACTGCAGAAGTTTGGTGAAACGTGCTGATCGTTTAGGCATTGTCTTGTCGGACGCAGCGGCTGCGGATCGTTGAGGTGGATGATGGATTGCCCGATGGCCCAGATAGAACGTCCATGCAACTGATGAGGGGTGAGTCCACTTCCATGAAGCGAAAGACCATAGTACAGAAAGCGTTCGTAACCCCAGGTGCAAAAGCAGATGACCCTACCGGACGGTCCACTTCTCATTGGGTCCCAACGTCCATCCGCAATCGCCTTCTTCAAGTAGAACACACAAATGGCTCCAAGAATTTCGAGCATACCTATAGGTAAGAACATGATCAGTATTTGGACACGGGAATATAGTTGATGGTAAACACTTACAGAGCATTCGTTCGGGTACCACAGCGAAGACTTCGGGATATTGCAAGGCAAGAGACATGAATCCACCAGTGCGATGCATCAACAGCTGCTTGGTAATGCCCCGGAAAGCGGATACGTCACCGAAAATATAGGCAGCGGCCATAAGATAGACCAAGCCCCTGACATTACCATTGATGCCCATGTTGAGTGGTTGAAGCCAGGTGACCATGGCAAATTGCAAGGACTGGCCACACTGCAATTCTGTAGCCGCAAGAGCCATGGCGAACACCAGTTCAGGAGCCAGGTGGTAACGCTGAGATATCTTGTGGTGTATGACCTGGCAGATCATCTCCACGGCGTCTTCGTTCATCATAGGCCTGACAACATACTTGAGGCCTTGATCATTAACGCGCGCTCTTCCACAGACTTCTCCGAACGAGTTGGTGGAGCTCAGACAGGCCATGCTGATGACTGCCGACAGGACTCGAAGCTTCCGCTGGCTAGGACCGACCACGAGAATGAGGTCTCCTTGACTAGCGATGTTGATGGTCAAGTCAGGCGCCCGTAGAGCAGGACCGCCACCAAAGCCGGTGTTGTTGACGATGTCCTGGGACATGGTGAGAGTGCTTGTGTTTCAAATCAATAGCCGTGCAATGAGCAAGTGAAGATATACATACGACTTAGCGAGTGAGAAACTTCAAAGGTACCCAGTGGAGAAGGAGTCGAGAGAGTGGGAAGCAAAATTGAAAATGCTCAAGCTATCTGTGGGCAGTGCAAACGAGTGTATGCGATCGAACCCCAAAGCCCTGGCACTTGGACCCGCTCTTTCCAGGCTAGTCTGGAGCAGTGTAGGGGATGCTACTGATTGGGCCGCCGGTGCATGGGGCTATTCTCTGATTTGCTGGGTGGGCATTCATCAAACAACATTGGGTGTCCTGGTGACGGACATGTCACGTGATTACAGTATCTGCACTCAAGCTCTGTGCTCTATTTTGTAGCTGAATGATTAGGACAAGATCTATACTCGAGTTTGATTTTCTTCTGTGAGATTCTGCTCAGACTGTCTCACCGTCGCCAATGGTAGCGGCCAATGCCCAACCTTTCTTCCCGGCAGCTTTGCTAGGATATCTTGGGATACGATCAGGATATGTAGCTGTTGAGTGTATATTTCAAGTGTGTATCTCAAGTATGACAGAATGACAACTTGTCGCTTTGTAGTTTTGCACTGACAGTTCCGTGTCTCACCGTTTGCCTAGTCAGATAGAACCATCGCCGTACCCAGTGGCCATCAAACACCCCGCTTTATCGTCCCCAGTCGCAGAGAAGCGGCTGTTCGATCCTTCCATATTTGTAATATTCAGATTGAATGCCGAAATTCAGCACGTCTGTGGCCTTGTCAGTACGCACAATAGAAGTGCGCAGTGATCAAAGATGCATGTGTGGAAGCACTGTGGACTGGAACGGCTCTCAAAGCTTCCGGGTAGACAGATCAAGCCAGATTCATGAGGCGGAAGTACAGAAAGAAAGGGTGAAGGTAGATCTTGTAATGACTTGCTCCTCGTGTCCGTGCTGCATAATGACGACGGGAAAGTTTCGTTGAACACACAAAGTGGCACAGGAGCAAATAAAATCAAATTCGTTTGTGGTACTTAGGTATGCTTTCAACGTCAGGACCACACTGTGGCTTTTATTCTTTACTGTAGCGCAGAGTAAAGAGATCTCAATTTCACATAAAGCATATTTGCGCACGAGTTACAATGTTCAGTATGTGTTTTTGGAAGTAAATTGCTAGTAATGGCGGGCCCAATGAGTATATCCAGTCACCAGACAACCCAAGGAAGCTATCTGTATGCGCCAATCACATAGCTGCACTGTCACAATGGACAGTCCCGGCCTTGCGCTACCCTGGGGACGACGCCTCCTTCCTGCACCCACTCGTACTATCCATGGCTGCGGAGGATGTAGGCCAGGCTCCGAGTTGTATGAGGAGGCTAGTAGGATGCTATGCGTCGATGGGACCGACGACAGTCGCAGAGTGAAGACGTAGGAGGCGAGTGGCGCTGTGTTGGAAATAGGCTGACTGAAGTTGGTGATCGGTACACCTAGTGTTTATGGCCAGACTAAGGGCTCTTCAGGGTGTTAGAATGGGGAGGACAATGTGGTAGGAGAGTAAATTGCCTTATGATTTTGTTTAGCGTAGTGACTTCATCGGCGGCAGCGCACAGTGGCCAGGATACTGGCGCCAGCGCAGGTACCCGACCATGTCAAACCGATTATGGGAGTTACATAATGGAAAGAGATCTGACTATATCATTTGCAAACGCCTTGAAGGATAATATACTTATAATAGGCTTACTGAACACGGAAAGCGTCGCTCACTGCAAGTGCTGGGCAGGGCATTGTGTAGCGAGTACATGTAAACACAGTATGTTGCTAACAAGGCAGCCCGATGCTGAGAACCTGAGGCACTTGATAGGGCCGCAGACCATTCAAGTGACAAGAGAGGTGTAAGGTGAATCATGGTAGCGGGCTCGTGAGGGGGTTCCCCACAAGGGGGCCGCAAAACGACAGAGACAAAGGTGGTTTACATGTAGGAGGTTATGGTATTGGTAGTTGTGTTGGTAGTGATGGTAGTGGTAGTTGTGATCGTTTTGGTCACAATGATTGGCTGTGGCACTGATGGTGGTGATGGACGTGGAGGACCAGTTGGTGGAGGTGGAGGAGGATGGGATGGAGGTGGAAATGAGCCCTCGCCCGATTCCCAAGCCAAACTGAGAACCCGTCAGCAACTACATCACTCTTGAATGAAACTTTCAGAACTTACCGGTTGAGGCGAGACCACTTCTTGTTTGCCCGCCTCGCCTTACGGTTGAAGATCTTTACTCCCTTACTCCAGGCATCAAGCTCCCTCTGGAGGCCGATGATCTTCAACAAGCACTGGCGTTGAGGCTCGCAGACAAAGACATTCTTCAACTGGAGGTTGAACGCCAAGCTAGACTGCACGAAGAACCTGTACCGTACGCAAGTTCCTGCCGCCTCCAGCTCGCGCATGCAACGTTTGTACGAGCGGTAAGACCTACAAAACTGGGCTTCGTAGTCTTCGACCTCGTAGGTGGCGATCTGAAGGGGAGTCAAGGTAATGTTGGCCATCTTGTTGATTGAACTGATCGTGTTGAAGAAGATTGTGTGTGAATGAAGGAGATTGTATGTGAATAAAGGAAATTGTGTGTGGATCGAAAAGATTGTGTGTCGATGAAGGTTTGGAGGGGAGGAGCACCGTGGAAGGTTTTTGAGTAAACAGAGCAGCACTAGCGCGGACACAGGCGCTGCCTTGACGTAGTATCATTCAAACTGGACACAGTCACCGGGAGTGGAAGAGAAGATGTGAGAAACTCATGGATACAATCTATAGTACATACTTACTGTTACCTCGAGGCCCATTGGTTACTTGACCTTTTGAAGACCTAGAGCTACACCAGGCAGCTCTGTTGCTTCACCAGATCTGAGACCAGCCTCAGACTGTGTCTTGAGCTTTTCACCGGTGGCGTTCATGCAGCACTACCCTTCGTGGGTGCGAGACGCTCCAAGTGACGCCAGGTCAGCAGTTCAACCCACTTTTGAATAATATCAGTCCAGTTATCCTTGATGTCCCGAACCTGGCTGTATTTGGCAATGGCTGCTTCTACAATGGCCTCTTCGTCAGTCATGTCGACACCCGACATCGCAAGCACGGCTTCGTAATAGCGCATAGTGTGTGAATGGAGCAGGCGAGTGAGCACGATATTCAGATCCTCCTCGAGCTCCAAAGGTGTGGTCATCATTTTGGGAATACTTGTCAGCTCTTTAAGCAAGTTATTGTAGAAAGGATTGAGTGAAACATTTGCCCCGAACGAATCTTGGGCGCCTGCCGTGATATAACCCGGAGCCCCACCGAATGCAACGGGATCCAGGATCTGATCTTCGAATATGCTGTAAACGTGTTGCAATGCGGCCATGGCCTCATCGCGTGTGAAGCCAATCAAGTTGTTCATTACCTCGGACTGATTGCGGACCTTTCCAACGCACTCAATGTCATAGGATCTGGTATTAAGGTGCAACGCTTGGGCGAACGGAGACAAGGTCATGAAGCCGCGGCAACACGAACTAGGGCATCGAACCAACTCGTCCTGAGCAGCAAAACAGGTCTTTCTCAAGCAGTTGCTACAAAATAAGTCTTTGGTTTTGTGGCAGGATAGCTTGTATTGCGGGGCGCCAGAAGAGCCGCAGGAGCCGCAATTGAAGAGCATGGTGCTAATGAACTGGAGACGACTTATAGCAGAACAAACAAAACCGTGAGTAGAAGAGATGCTTACCTTTTGAGTGGGGAAGTATCAAAAATGACACGAAAACACAGGTAGAGGTAGTGTTTTCAGAAGGTGGGTTGATTTGCTGAGGTTGGATTATTGTGTCGAGTTGTCGAATTCCTGACAGGAGTGTACGTACCGGTAGAACGGAACCCGAGGGCATGTTTATATTCTTCGCGTCAGAGACAGGGGATGCATATTGTAGACTACACTGTGCAGCCATAGTGTAACTGGACAGGCAATAATATAGAAAAACAATGAGCATTTTCGGAGCAGAAGACCAAATAGACGGAGACTCAGCTGTCCAGAACAAAGAAAAAGGGCATACGGGCCAGATACACTGTGCGCGATAGTACAATGCTGTTGTCTGCATCACTTGCATAATGCTTTGAATCATGGCGTGCTTAAGAATTGTGCGCATGATGTAGGGGCATTTGAAGAAATCAAGGCACAGTTGACGAGGACTGAATCCATGGAATGGCAGGGCGACAAGAATCATGAAGATGGACCTTGGTGGAGGACATTGTGATGTTTGCAGGTGGACAGCCAGCCCATGTGGCGATGGAATCGAAGAACAACCTTCGAGGAATTTCAGTAGGCTAGAATGGTACATTACTTTGGAAAAGTGTGAGAACTGTTCCTCTATGCGTCGAGTTCGGCATCAAGATGGGAACACCGGCTCGGATAATCGCGACGTGACGTTCAGCGGAGAGAACGCGTGGGCACCCCTGACACAAGTCAAGATATGCGCCAAGTGATAAGATTACCGGTAACGTGATCCACCACCGAGCGCCCACCCCCACCGAGCGCCCACCAACACCAAAATCCACCACCCACTAAATAAGGATATTGCGCCACCTATAATAGCTATTATTACAAGATTTCTTAGAGTCGCGATTATTAGATCTATTAGAGTAGATTAAATATTTTAGATTATATAAGCAGCTTTTTAGGGGGTCTAATTAGGCGCCTACGCTGTAAAGTTGCCTCTACTACTATATCCTCTTCTACTAGCTCCTTATTAACTACCTTAGCTAGTATAATAGTAGGAGGCTTAAGGATTTACCTCTTACCTATTTAGGATATTTTAATATTATTTTAGAGTTACTTTTCTAGTTACTTAGTAGTTTTCTACTTATTACGTGTAGTAGCTTTTTAAGTAGCTTTCTCCTCCTACTCCTTCTTAGTAATTACTTAATTTAGGTAATACTCCTCTATAAGTTAAGCTTTAGTAAGCTTTTATTACTTATAAAGCTTAATTACCTTACTTTTTTAGTATTATAGCTCTTATTCTTTAAGGTTCTTTTACTTCTAAAGCTTAAATACTTACTCTACCTTTAATAGTAAAATAAATTAGGCACTATTACTATAATTATTATTAGGGGGTAATAATAGAGGTTTACTACGCTTCCTACGCTTCTTCTTATTAGCTAGGGTAGCCCTTAGGTGTTTATTTTTATAGTTAAGTAGAGTATTTCTTACTAATATAGTATAGAGTATCTAGCTAAGCTTCTTTAACTATTTATTATAGATATTAATTATAGTATTATAGAGTAACTACTCTATCTTTCTCTAATTACTTATACTTAATATTAAGGTTATACTATTACTTAAAGAAGGCTAGTTACTATTATTTATAGGTGCTTTAAACCTTAAAAGGATAATATTAAAGTTAAGTAGTAAGATACCTATTACTTTAAAAGCTATTAATATTAGCTTTTCCTTAAAGGTATTACTCTATATAGTATTAAATAACTAGTAGAAATCTCTCTTAGTAATACTTATAAGCCCTTAGAAGCTATCTAGAAAACTAGATAGTTAAGCTTTATATAAAGCTATAAAGGGAGTAAATACTATAATATTAAGTAGCTAAAGGGTATAAGTGCTATAAAGGGGATATATTATAAGTAGGATCTTATATTTATTATAGTACTTAATAAACTTTATTATTATATAAGATCTATAGCTATTAAGGATAAGAAGCTAGTATAAAGTATAAGCTTTAGCTTTTATCTTATAATTAAATACCTCCTTAAGCTAGGATACCCCTAGGGTGTAGCTTATCTACCTACTTAGTAATCCTATAAAGAAAGCTTAGTATTATAATAAGTTAAAATCTTATAACTAGGTATCCTATAGAGCTCTAGATTAGGACTAATAAATAAAGGTAGAGGTAAGAGTAGTACTATTAGCGTATATACAAGCTATAGTAGTAATCTACTCCCTATTACTATCCTAGAGTATAGCTCTAATCTTTCTCTACTTATAGGCGCTCTTATTAAATATATATTTAGTTTTTAATAGTACTTTAATAAGAAAACCCTTCTTATCTATATTATAAATATACTAACTCTTAATATTATATTATTCTATTTTTTAGTATAAAAGCTTAAAGTATAAGCTATACTTAAAGGTAGAATTAGCTTTAAAGTAGTTATAATTAAGCCTAGTAGCCTAATAGGAGATAAGATTAATATTATAGTAGTTAATAAAGTGCTATACCTAATTTTTACTTACTAGATTCTTTATTATTTTAGTTATAAAATTTTAAATAATAGTCTATATAGGGGGTAATCCTTACTTATAAAGCTCTTTAATATACTTTATAAGCTTACTTTCTTATATAGTATTAAGTATTTAACTATTTAGTAGAGTAGTAGTATATACCTACTAAATTTTCTAGTAGTATCTAGATAAGGTTAACTATAAGTAACTATACTTTTCTACTATTTCTAAGTATATAAAATCTTCTCTAAGAGTTAAGGATTTAATTGCTACAAGCGCGTTATTAATAGGTGCTATAGTTATTAAGAAATTTAGTATTGAAAATTTAGTGATTTTGGTGTTAGTGGGCGCTCGGTGGGGGTGGGCGCTCGGTGGTGGATCACGTTACCGGTAGGTGGACATGAGTCGTGGAGAGCATTTGTGACGCCATCGCAACGAACCTCACAGCTTCATGGAAGTACACCGTATATCAAACACTGCTGGCAGTTGTTTCATTATACTGAATCGTGATACATGAAGCTTCCGGAAAGCAACGAGAAGCCTGTTCCCAGCATGGCCGACGAACGCACGCCCCTGATCCAGCGTGTGGATGTCAGACCCCATCGCGACCGCTACCCACACCATCGACTCCGCTTCTTCTGCATGACGCTGTTGAGTGCGACGATACTCATAGGAGGCGTTGCTGCAATCATCATCTTTAGCATCACGCCTCCGACCCACGACAGATTGGCGAAAGAATCAAGCTGGAGCCTCTTCTCCGCAGCCCGTACACCCCACGGTTGGCTGCACAAGGCAGGAATTGGCTACGAAGAGCTCCAAAGAATATTGTTGAGCACACCAAAGGCAGAACAAGCCAAAGAATGGAGCAGATACTACACGAGTGGGCCACATCTGGCTGGCAAGAATCTCAGCCAGGCACTATGGACCAAGGAGCGATGGGAAGAGTTTGGCGTCGCAAGCATGATTGCTGATTACGATGTGTATATCAACTACCCCAACAGCCATCGGCTGGCTCTACTGGAAAGGAAGTTGCACAGGAATGATAAACCAGGCCTGCGATCTCCTACTGCAAAGGAGGACTGGGAGGTCAGATACGAAGCCCAACTAGAAGAAGACCTTCTGGAAGAGGACAAGTCCAGCCAACTTGAAGATCGCATACCCACCTTCCACGGATACAGCGCTTCTGGTAATGTCACAGCGCCATACGTCTTTGTCAACTATGGAACCTACCAGGACTTCGAGGACCTGCGCGCAGCCAACATCAGCTTGGAAGGCAAGATCGCGTTAGCCAAATATGGCGGCGTCTTCCGTGGTCTCAAGGTCAAGCGCGCGCAAGAGATGGGCATGGTAGGAGTGGTCATGTACACCGATCCGGGCGATGATGGCGAGGTCACTGAGAAGAATGGCAACGCGACTTACCCTTATGGGCCAGCCAGAAATCCAAGCAGTGTGCAGAGAGGCAGCGTTCAATTCTTGAGTAAGTCCAACGACAGTGTGAAATTGGACCAGTGATGACTATTTCGCAGGCTTCGCTCCCGGCGACCCAACAACACCAGGCTATCCCTCCAAACCAGGCTGTCCTCGCCAGCCTGTCAACCACGCTATCCCACATATCCCCTCCCTGCCAGTCTCATACGTCGATGCGCTTCCTCTTCTAAAGGCGCTCAATGGGCACGGCCCGAAAGCCTCGTCGCTTAATAAATCCTGGCAGGGTGGTGGCTTGGATTACAAGGGCGTGCACTACAACATTGGACCATCTCCAGACAATGTTTTATTACATCTCGTCAACGAACAACAGTACGTCACAACACCACTCTGGAATGTGATTGGCATAATCAATGGCACAATCCCCGATGAAGTTGTTGTTCTGGGGAATCACCGCGATGCCTGGATCGCGGGTGGCGCCGGTGACCCTAATAGTGGATCTGCGGCATTCAACGAAGTTATCAGAAGTTTTGGATCCGCATTCCGAGCTGGCTGGAAGCCATTGCGGACCATAGTATTCGCCAGCTGGGATGGTGAAGAATATGGCCTTATTGGGAGCACGGAGTGGGTCGAGGAATACCTGCCTTGGCTGTCTGCTGCTACCGTGGCCTACTTGAATGTAGATGTAGGAGCCGTTGGTCCCGACTTCCACCTCTCAGCTGCACCGTTACTAAAACAGGTGGTCGAAGAGACATGTAAGCTATATACAGTTAGGGATTGTCCGACCGCAGCTGACACCGTCTAGTAAAAATCGTTCCATCACCCAACCAGACCATTCCTGGCCAATCAGTTTACTCAGCCTGGGACAAAAACGTCGGCACCATGGGCTCCGGCAGCGACTTCACCGCTTTCCAAGACTTCGCCGGCATCCCTTCTATCGACATGGGCTTCGGTTCTAGCTCAGACTCTGCCGTCTACCACTACCACAGCAACTACGACTCTTTCGACTGGATGCAGCGCTTTGGCGACACAGACTTCGAGTATCACGCCATTATTGCCAAGGTCTGGGGTCTCTTAGCCGCAAATCTTGTCGAGACACCAGTCCTCCAGCTCAACGCTACTGAATACGCTCTTGGGGTGCAAAAATATATCGATGCTATTAAAGAAAAAGCTAAAGCATCTGGCTTCCCCGTCTCCACGGGCGATGATGCGAGCGATATTTGGACACCGCTCGACGACGCAGTATCCCATTTCACGTTCGCATCGCTCCTACACGACGGTACAGCCGCACAGCTTCTCGACGACTACTACCACGCCGACATACCCTGGTGGCAGCCCTGGAAAAAGCTACAACTCTACCTTGCCATTCGCGCCATCAACACGAAATACAAACTTCTAGAACGCCAGTTCTTGTACCCCGCCGGTCTAGACGGCAGACCCTGGTTCAAGCATGTGGTGTTTGCGCCGGGCAAGTGGACGGGTTACGCGGGTGAGACCTTTCCCGGGATTGTCGAGGGCATTGATGAGAAGGACCGCGAGGCTGTGGAGAGATGGGTGGGTATTGCAGCGAGAGCTGTTGATGGAGCGGCAGACTTTTTAGAAGCGTGATTGGGATGTCGGACGAGAGATTGCAGCTATGGTAGCATATCGTTTGTGTAATAGCAGGCATTAATGCTATGAATGACGACCGCATTTTTTTGATTCGGCATCAATGTAGGTTGACCACACTCAAAGGTCAGCAGGATGACTTTAAAAGCTGTCTCAACCATGCATGATCGTGATGACAAATTAGTAAACCAGTAATGTAAACGAGCTGATTGTCGAACCTTGTGGACACTGGGATATTCTGATTTGACGATATGGAGCTCTCCTACGATCAAGAAGGGAGCAGTATTACTGTAACATCAGCTGCTTCACCACAAAGCAGGGGCAAGGCATAGATACTGGGCGCCTATTTCCACTTATGGGGAGTTGAAAGGTGATGAGATGGCGAACGTTGTATACCACTGTGGCAACATATATATAATCTCGTTGAATGATAAATGCATGGCAACAGAGGATGAGTGGCGGTGATTAGAATGCTTGCGACTATACCTATACGCGACCTTTGCTGCATTATGTGACCAAATGGGCAAGCGATAGCAGAATTTGATCATGTCACTTTCTGCATGAGTGTGGTCATGTTTGATACGGTGTAGTAAGGAAACGAACTTTTTATATACAGACAAAAGAAATTATTATACAAATGCCCATAGGCCGTAGGGAATCTCTTCTTCTTCTTCTTCTTCTTCTTCTTCTTTTCCTCCTCCTTTCTCATAGCCAGCTGAAGCGGGGGCAGCGGGAAACGGGAAAGGTGGCGACTCAGACGGCGATTGGGGCCGTGGGTGGAGGTGTTGGAGGAGGGGGAGGAGGCGTGGGAGGGCCACCAGGGGGAGGCGGAGGAGGCGGGGATGCGCTGTGAGCCTGGCGGTGATGACGACGAAGACGACGGCGACGACGACGACGAGAGTGCACTTCATCGTCTGAGTCGTTTCGCTGACCCGGAAGTGACCTGAGACCTATGAATATCAGTGCCTCGTCATTGGCAAATGTTGTGAAGCTCAACCGGGCAGGGGAGCCCTTCTAGCTTGAAGAAGTACTGAGACCATGGGATCCTGAAAACTTACACTCGGCTGTCCCAATCGTGCAGTTTGCCTCCCATCGAAGGTAAGGGAGAAACCACTCCATGAGCCAGGTCGCCTCCGCCTGGCGCCATAGCACTTCTGGGTCGTCTGGACGGCAGACCCCCGTGCTCACATCGACCGCCACATAGTATTCTATGTCTTGGTGCTACACGTTGTATTAGTGCAGGTTGAACCTCAATGAACAGAAATAACGTACCCTCTGGCGGACCCAGTAGCAGAGGGTCGTCCACCCTCGGGCTGGCGTGTATGTCGCCAGCTCCCGGTCAAGCTCTGTCCAAAAGGAGTCGTCGACTTGTCGAGAACTCATATTGACTGCAGGCTGTCTATTAGCTTCTAATAAGATTTCAGTAGAATGCGTAATGAGGGCAAGGAGAGCAGAATGCATGCGGAAATGGTAGGGGTGATACTTACGGTGAGCTTTGTGTTGTGGATTTGTGTAGGAAGAAGGTCAAAAGGTAAAATATGATTAAATTCTCCCCACCGCACGGTACATTGGCAGATGTGACGTCAGTCAAACACAATCCGAGTCCCCATTCACCTTCATTTTTGGCTGGGAGAAATAATGCCCATGGTATCTGTGCAGTGTCACTCAATTGGTCACGGGGGCAGATTGCCCTTGGAACTTGACAGTTGTCCATGAGAAGCCACAGTTGAAAATGAAACTTGGTCTAAACTAGATTATATATGGTATGTCCCAAAAGCTGATTATCCAAAGAAATGAGTTTAGTTCTTTGAGCCTTTGCCTTTGAGTGAGCGCCCAGAAGCTGGTTACAAATTCGAGCCATTTGCACCAAAGTGCGCAGGCTCGAGACTGCAACACATGGAATCCAGAACACTCATTGATCTTGGAAATCTTTCGCTGTGTTCAAGTCTATGGAAGAGACAGAATACGGTAGACGAGACGTCCAGTTGCTTGATATGTGCCGCGTTCATTCGTCCACCATCACTATCGAGAAGCTGAGGGAGGCCTTTTTTTAACATGACTGCACCTCTAACCAGAAGCTAGGAGGGCATTATTCTTGCGAGATCAAACGTCTAAAGGCGATGAGAAGGTAGTATTCGACTCGACGCAACCCACTACCATTGGATAGGTAGGGCAGACATTGTTCACCGTCGCATCGACGGTAAAGTGAAGGATCGACAGTTGACTGCGTGCTCAAGTGTGTTGCAAGTCAAAGCCATAACTTCCCGTGATCTTCAGAGGTGCTATGAAACGCGTTATCAATTGTGTCTTTCCGTGAACAGCTCACCTGGCGTTGTTCAGGCGTTGTTGATTATATACTAGGGAGCTCAAAAACGTTCGACACGGATCTGAGCAGAGATACCGGCTGACCCTTGCTCTTTGTATGTGGAGTAAGCTGTTATGTCGAAGTTATATTCTAGTGTCTGCGCAGACATGTGATGAATGGAGTACGATGATCGGTCGGAGGCAGGACGCTTGAAATTATCTAAGATCTTACTGGGAAAATTTCAAAGTCAGCGTCGTGATACAAATAGGAGGTGGGCCACCAAAAATTCAAGTGAATCAGAAGATCAGCCGAAAAACATTCCATCATCAATGTGACTCAGTCTTTCAAAGAAGTAGTTTGATCATCATGTGGAAGAAGAGTGACCTGTAATTCACTTACTTCAGAATGACAGTCATCATGCACACTGGTTTGCAGTTGATACCAAGTCTCATAATTGTTGCTAGCTGCGGTGACTTCGAATAGCTCCTAGCAGATCGTGTGTTAAGTGGCTGTGTCTAAAATCGGAAGAGTTAGCGCTAGAGCGAAACTACATGTAGGTTCCAGTGTGCGAAGGTTGAGAATGGGTACATCAGAACTTGATTGTCGACAAGAGTGTTCAGAAGGAAAACTAGAGCATCATTGGAATATGGAAAGGTAAAAAGAGTGGGCACTTAGCTGATAGAGTTGCTCTGTCACGTCCGAGCACTGTGAGCTGTGAGATGAGACCCGAGCTGCCAATTGATGGAGAATCACTCAAGCGAAGGTTATATTGGATATGAAATGGACGAAGGTCGAGGATGTACGGTCGTACCGGCCAGTCCAAAGGTTGTACGTGCTGATCTTGCTGTATTCCAATCGCATCGTAGAGCTCGTCGGCGCGAATGCGAAATGAGGGGATGAACTAGATTCATTAATGTGGAATGAAAAGGATTAGCAGCATTTGAAAGTTCAAAGTGGTGGCGATTGAAAATCCACATTGAGGTTCATATGCAGTATTTGTATCACACGAATTGGCAGCGTCATCCGCTGCCAGGTCGGCAGTGCCAACGAAAGTAGCGAAAACCTGTTTGTCTAAGCATGACCAAAAGCGATAACCCTTAGAGTTAGCACTTGATTTGAAGGCTTGTATCACTTGGAGGGTCATTCGCAGCCTGAATATTGGATCTGAAAAGGAGCCAGTCGTCGTGGAAGAATTGGCGTGTGGCGCGAGGAGGTGCAGGAGTATGGTAGTGCGAGATGAATCGTACGTTGTACCGATAGTACTGTTTATGGGAATATTAGCAGCGATCTGGTCAATCAAATGAACAAAAGATGCCAAAATAAAGTTCCAAGTCTCAGAAAGCTTTCTACTCAAGACGCTGCTAACCACCAAAATAAGGGCTAGCAGCTAGCAAGAGTGAGACAAGTGAATGAGTTGTTTCTTTCAAAGAGAGAGACAAGTCGCAGATTTCCATGAATTGTCGCCAGAGCTGTTAGACAGTCGGCTCTCGAAAATGTTCTTTTCATCTCATCACAGACAATGAACAGTACTTGGAAGATTGGGTGAATAACCTACCAGAGAATTGAATTGGCTATCAGTATAGTGACTTGATGCATTCTGTGCTTGAGCTCCACACTTTCGCGCGAGCATGTCCAGCAACGACCGTGTCTTTGAAGGGGAACTCATTAGAACAGGAGTAGCGATGGGGTAAGGCGAGACTTCTCTGTATCAGGTCAAGCTTGAGCTTTCCAACTGCGTTGCAGCCTACTGTCAATATTTTCCGTCTCGATGCATGGTGAAGCAATGTTGACCGCAGCAGGGGTAACAGTGGCAGCGCTACACAAGGAGGTGAGAAGTAAAGAGTTGAAGAGGTGTAGACCGCATCAATGAAGCGGAGCAAAGCTGAGTGATGCAAAGTGGTGATGGCCGCAGCAGAGTGTGGAGGGTGGTCAAGGTGCGGAGTGGATTTGAGAAAAAGAGTCTGTTGTGACAGATTTGGGGCTACTAGCTGTTTAGCAAAGATCAAACGTCTGGTTTGGGAAGGCACACGTTGGCTGTTTTCCTAATGAAAGTGAATGAGACTGGAAACTTGTCGGCTTGTTTCGGCATGGCCAGTGTGATTGGACGCCCTAGGATCATTTGAAGGGCTCCGAATCTATCTGTAGCTCATAGTAACATTGAAAATGCTTGTCTACAGTTGTAAAGTTGTAACCCTGACGTTGATGATACGGTTCACTGAGCCTGTGCCGACAGTCCTTGTTGTCGAAAAACTCCACTGGCGTTGGAAATTTGCACCAAAATTTGATATGCCCGTCACTTTTACTTGCTTCATGATTGCATAGAAATCGGTGGGATTTGCGTAATTTTATGTACTGTGTTGCATCATGTAAGGACCAAAGCTCTCGCCTGCATCGACTGTGATAAATCCCCGGCTTTCTCTTCAGATTAAAACCGTACAAGGCAGTTAACTCCAGTACTTATTGAATCAGATGTGCTGTAAATCACTCCAAAATTTGCAACATCAAAGGCCTCAGTGAACGCCTCGGTGATAGCTAGATGCGTTATGGAGCCAGTTTGATATGAACAGGCGGTCTACACAGTGACGCATACTATCCTATATGGCAGGTACCAAATATCAGTGACGTACTACCAACTCTACAGCAACCATAAGCAAGCTAAAAACTGCCGCCGAAGTCCCCGACTTAGCGTTATCAAGTCACAGATTCTTAGTCAGCGCTGCCCTCAGAGGGACTATATAAACCCTCTTCCCCTCTTACGTTGAGAGGTAAGTGGCTTGCAGACACACACCGGGCCCGTAACAAGGGCCCAATTTTTGTACCCAGGTTGTGGGTTTACTCACAACCAATGGTGTCGTCAGTATTGCACTGTCTCTGACTTGATGCCGACTTTTTCATTGAGACTTCTGGCTTGCCAGTTGCTTGAGGAAGAAATCGTCTCTACATCTATATCATACCTACATTGTCACTGGTGCTATGACCGTATTGTCGATATGCGTGCTGTTGGTGCTGCTGATGCCTTCCTATTGCCTACACACAGCGTTACTCGTAACTTGAAATTATTGTGAGCGTTCCATGGAGTCCAGCAGTAACCGTGGTGTTGAGCAAAGCTCGATTGTTGACTTTTGGGCGATTGCACAGACCACTACCACAACGCAAAATAAGGTGCGAAATCCTGATCTGGGCCAGAGGGCATAATCTCATCCACAGGATACCACGTTTCACAAAAGTGGTACTCATTGGCTTTAGCTGCGCGCCATGAATTTATTCTACAGGCTGCAGGCAGGCAAGCTGAGAACTCCAATCTCACAAACCGCGTCAAGAACAGCACCAAGAGCAGCACTAATGACCACACAATTGCTTGGCGCACAATCATTGTCGCCTACAGCCGGAAGGAAATGGCTGAATGACGGAGAATGTGAGTGATGAAATATCATCCATGCACAACCCTGTGTATCTGTTAACGTGTCGCGAGAGGCAAAGAGGCTCTAACGGCGAAAGGAGCTCGTCGAAAACGGAACTCGCGATATCCCTACATGCACCCCCGAGCACTTCCAGAAGAAGAAGAACAAGCTCATCGCTGTGTTCTGGGTCAGAGTCTAGGATTCATCGAGAAACATGGGAAGGCAATCAACAAGTTGGACCAGAGCGAGGCAGCAGAGGCGGGACAGCCGGTAGGGGTCTGTGAAATCTATGTGTTAAGCACGACAACAACCATTTACCAGCGATGAAGGCCAACTAGCTGACCGCGAACGCCAGCGGTAACTCCATCTATTCTCAAGCTACGAGGTACTTATAACTGATTTACGAGTCACCTTAGAACCTACCGCATCGCTTGACAGCAACGACCGTTGCTTTCCCAGCTTCCACCCCGCAAAGATCGTCGCCGGACACGCTACCCGGAACCGAGGAGGGAGAATGAAAGGCAGCAGTGGCATACAGGGAGAAGACCGCAGCTCTTCTGTATAAATGTATAATCTTTGGATGGACATTTTTCTCCAATACTGCTCCCTCGCGCAAAAGGAATCGGCCAAGTTGATTGCGCTGTTCAGCTTCAGACAAGGCTCCCATGAGGCGACAGTAATGCTAATCTTTCGATCGTCTCAAGCTAGTTTTTCCCATGTGTGGTAGTCACTAAAGGATTGTCTAAAACTCTGATAATCGCTTAAATATGCAATTGATGTGGTAACTACTGCACTAATGTGCGGAGAAATGCTTTTTGGTTCACAGTATATTCAATACCACTCATTTATGCGTAGAAATTGCGCCGAAGATACACAAGAAGGATAAGAACTCATGATATTTGTAACCTGTGTATGCCCAAAATTCCTCGACCTCCCATAATGACGTGTCTGCTTTTATCTTCTCTGTTCCTGATCTGCTGAATGATGATCCTCCATATTCCTGGTCGGTTGAGCGATCATTTCCCAACCGTCGACTACCCTCTGGCTGTTTCGGAATTCTTGATCAACGAGGAATAACGGCTCCAAATTCTAGATGAATATAGCCTTCCTTGTCTTCCGAATTTATGGGTCCAGTTTGGGTTTCATAGCGGTCTCTGGCGTGAAAGCAGAGCCACAAAAAAATACATGTATATACAACCGAGGTTGCTTCCATAATGGTCGCTTATGACTCTAGCCTTTTCTGAGCCTTTGTCGTTGTATGTTACCAATTGATGTGTTCTGCGCGTGGAATGAGGCGACTTGGGGTATTAAGAGACGAGGATGTACCAGCTGTGGCTGTCGGCAGCTGTGTGACCATGTCCGCTTTCAGTCTGTCGTGATGACATGCGGTCCGGTGATTGCGCAGAGATAGGATTTCGAGTCTGCCAAATGCTTCTTCGAGACGTTCTGACCCAAAGTATCTCTCTTATTCAATATGTTCACCGTTATGAGGGTCAGCGCCGTCGTCTTCTCGTGCCGCTGCGAGCTGTTTGTGTGTCGTTGACGTTCAGGCTTGTGCTGAAGGCTGTGTGGGGCCCACCAATCGGATGCGTCATCCGATCCCGCTTCGGTCGAATTCTGAACGTCAAATCCGAATGCCTCTCTTATCTTGCCTACCATCCACCACCAACATCGTTGTATGAATTCTACCCTTGTTTATATCACAAACCCTCTTGTGCGGAGCAGTTATAGAGATATGACCGTGATTAAGGAGTACGATCCAAAGTGCGTATGGGGTCTGCTTGGTGGCTTCGAGGGTGACCTGGTCGAGGTGCCGTACGCGTTCTGAAAGGACAGTTGATTGACCAGGTTTTGGTTTTTGAGGGAGGTAGAAGTGGGATTCGAGATTTTAGAAGATCTTTGAGCAGCTGTGGAGCCTGATCAGTAAGTTTGTGGAAACCATTGACTATCCAGGGGATGAGAAGTGGACTCGACGTCTGGGCGGGTTTTCGTGAATGTTGACCTACTTCATAGACGCCAGAAGGGCGATGAAGTAGGCGAGGACTCTTAGCACCTGTTGATGAACTCAGGTGAGCGGCCGACCCTACGCCAAGGGGGTCCTCCTCTCGGCCGTACCCCCAGACCTACTCAGTCCGTACACTCCGTGAGGAACTAGGCCTTTCGGTCTGGGAGCGAGTCAGTATCGCTCGTTCAAAGCCCCATCTTGGAACCACTGCGTGTTGTACCCCAGAGGACGGTAGGTGACCCGGGGATTCCAAACCCCAGCACCGAAACGTCTCTGGACATACTCGGACAGTGGCGACAAGAGGGGCCAGTCCAAGCCAAACTGGATCCCGGTAGGATCGAATACCAGGTGGTGCTCATCATCTGTCATGATGATGAACGCACAGTGCCTGAATTTGTAGTACGGCCCTGTCCAGAACTTGAGTTCCAGGATCTCACGGATCCGGCCGGCGGCTAGAATAACGGTCAGCAATCAGGAAGCACCGCCGTGATATTGGATACTTTACTCCTCCTGTCGAAGTCCACAAGGGCTTCTAGGCAGCCTGACATCCACACCAGACTGTGCTCACACTGCTGGTCGCAGATCTGGGACAAGTCGGCCCAGAAACTGCTGCCTTCCGCCGTGGGCTCTGGGTACCCAATCCAGTCCCTGATGAACCTGTCTGTGAGCCAGACCAGGAAACCGCCGAGCGCAGCTTCCCAGTCGTCCTGAGACGACTGGAGCTTCTCGGGGAGCGGATTATGCTGCTCACAGAACGCCCAGGTTGGGTCCTGGACAGGTCGCAGGGGGCGGCGAGAGCTTCCGCATACGCGGCAGGGCTGGCCCTGGATCGCTTTGAACTGCATGGAGGCATCCCGTTCGTATGTGATGTTTGTGGTCATCTTGTTTTCAATGCTTTTATGAGCTTGGATTTCGTCAAGTAACAGGATTTGACTGTAAGTAGTTGCAAAACAACAGCGCCAAGACATGGCTGAGCCCAGGGCTACCCCACCAATGTGGTCTCCAACAGGCCTGCAGAGTCTGGATGTCAGTAATGTTTGCGTATCATGTCGATATTCAGTACGTGAACTGCATCAGGACGAGGTTATATAACGTATTGTGCTGGGCATTACTGTACTGGCTTCGCTATACACAAGGGCAGAAGGTATACAGAACTTTGCAGCAGCTCCTGGGGATTAGGAGATTGACGGCATTTCGTCTCCATCCTATACAAGGGATTGAGATACTAATGATCATTCTATGTACTTCTGCGCATGCCACTGCTATTGTAATAGGGTATCCTGACATCGCCTGGTAACAGATAGAGACCCAAATAGGACGACCCAGCAGCACCCTCCATCCCCGAGACCTTACCACAAAAGCGCCACCCAACAGTTCCTTGCTGCGTCCCCGAGTACTACAAGGACTCCACTTCCATCTTGCGATATCCTCGAATGATCATTCATTCCCTCGCTACCCGCACCGAGCATTTGAAGCCATTATGCAGCGCCTTGTACGCAAGGCATGAGCGTTACAGTACGGCAGAGGGCACACAGTTTGAAGACGAAGAAGGGCATAGTATAATCAGAAGACAACATGGAAAAGAATTGCGCCTGTAAATGGTGCAGGCTGGAGATTGTATTGCACGAATTGGGTCGGCAGGCGGTCTGTGGCCCCAGACAACTTGATCTAGGGTACAGCACATGCAGAAACGATGCGTAGTCAAAGGCGGGCGCATGTTGACATTACGAAGACCACAAAAGAATGATTACTACTTAAAGTGACAGGACAAAGACACGAGCAGTAAAAGGTGCGCTGGCAGGCCGGCGGTAGAAGCGCACAATGAGAAGAATATTGTGCACGCCATCTCGAGCAGAAGGCAGCGCACAGCGCAGAGAACGACGAGCAATAGGTAAGGAAAAGTCAAGAAGGCCAGAAAGAGGACCCAGGGAAAGAAGAAAAGAACTATGAAAGCGGCGAAGTTGGATCTGACAAGTTGTGTTAGGAACCGAGACTGCTGCTAAGCAAGTGGACATGGACATCCAGAAACGGACACAAACGCGCCGCGCGCATATATGTTTGGAAGGAGGTACCAATGCTGGGATACCATATGAGAGGTCTGGAGATCACAGGAGAGGACCGGCTCAGCGGCAGGCGCAAGGGGGCCAATTGGTCAGAAACAAGGACAATCAGTCGTAGCGGTGGCATACGAAACAGAAAGCTTTACTGGAGAGCATGAGAAGGATTGGCAGCAATGGTATTGTCAGAGCATCCCGGAGAATACGAGTATGGGAGGACAAATGGACTCGGGGGCGAGACTACACAGCCTGAACTCAAGTTGTGTGCTCCACAGAGCGAGAGGGTACCGGTTCAGTACACTAAGAGCCAGAAAATCAGTTGAGAATGGAGGCATCACGTCGTAGAGGGAGATCGGCGGCACACAAGCCGACCGCCAGGTTCAGCAGGAGATGATCATACTTCAGGTCAAGATGATAGATGGGGCTTGGAAGAATTCAAGGCAAGGGCGAATCGACAAGATCAAGCAGATAGTGCATGGAAATCCTTTGCTGCAGCCAAGATCCATCAGGTATGAAGGATATGATGGGCGGAGAAGTGCAAGCTTAAGTGTCCCCAGACTGACCCGGGCCAGAAGTTTGACCGATGCAGCAAACTCGTACATCCACCTGGCAGCCGGCGCCCCAACGGCATAATCGATCAAAGCTTCTGGATACTAGTTGAAGACGGGGTGCAGCTTGATCCAGTTTGCCCCAGCTTGCTAGGCACATCAATGGGACCCTGAGATCGGCAGCGGAAAACCACAGCCGCGACTCTGGTACCTGACCTTGGCCCTCACCTAGTTTAGACAGGGCTCAATGGTACACTACTGGCGCAACGCCCAAAGGACTCTACAGCCTCTTCCAGGCGGGCTGCTCTGCGCTGGTCGCTACGTGATCGACGAGACCCACAGTCAAACGCGCGGTCAGAAAGATCTCGGGCTCAAACGTCTACTCACCAAGAACGACTCACGCGTATATGGACAAGCGGGGGATTTCTCCCTCCCTCATCATATACTGCGCTTGCTAATACTAGACATCACAGTCCTTTTCCAGAACCTCCGCCGTTCACGTGGCGCTTGTCAAGCTCGAAGCCGCCAGTCTTATCCTGTCCGCAACGTACGCCGCTCTGCCCTGCCCGATGCGACGAGATACTGGGCTATGCCTCTTCGCGAATCCATCGATACTACGAGCGATAGCGACGGCTGAACCATAAGGTAATGAGACTGCGACAGCGGCAGCGACAGCAGCGACGAGAGCGGCTACGACAACAACGGCGGCCATTCTTTTAAACTTGACCTTGCCGCAAGCGTCGCGCGTATGGCGCCCACTACACAGACGGCAGCGACGATATGACACTGGGATAAACACAGACCCACCTAAGGGAGCCTTGTATCGAAGGCATTGAAAAGACGGGCAGGGATAGAGAGAGAAGACACTGTGGACCAAGGAAACATGGAGATAAGAGTGGGATAAGGAAAAGAAACTTCGACAATCCGTTGGCAAGGGCACAACGCGTGAGGGCTGAGGTTGCTGGGTGATAAGAAAGGTCGGTGATGGTACAGTGAAAGAGTGAAAGGTGGACGCTGTGTCGCAGACGGGAAGGCTGAACGTGCTGGAAGCGACACAAAGAAATTTGGGAAGGGAGCTGGGAAAATTAATAGCCGATCAAGAAAGATGTGATAGGAAGTATAAGAAGAAGGAATGATAAAGAGGGATATGGGGCCAGATAAGTGGTGGCAAGTAACGAACCGGGAAAAACATGACAAGAGAGATCAGAAGGAACCTTGAACCCAGAAATTGAGCAGAGAAGCGAGGGTGGACATGAGCAGAGAAATAATACAACCAAGGTGATGGAGCGGACGGGGTGGGAGTATGGAGGCGAAAGCCAAGATTGGAAGAATAGATAGAAGGAGGATAGAGAGACTGGAGTGCGAAAAAAGGAAATACAAAGCTCGAAAGGTGAGCAGACGGTAATGATATATGAAATGACAACGAAACTCTGAATGGACAGTATATTTCAGTGAAATACGTGGGATTGAGAGATGAGAGTGTAGGATCCAGAAGCGGTCTTAGAGGGGGAGGGGGGAAGCTCTAGTAGAGCCTTGAAATGAAGAGTATGAATTGCTCACTGGGAAAGAGAGAAAGGGATCGTGTTGAAAGTGCAGAAATGGAAAAGAGTGCGAGATAATGATGGGCCTGGGAATGTGTGTCTGTGTGTGTCCGTGTGTGGAAGAGAGGAGGGGAGGGATCTGGAATTCGATAGGATTTAGGAACTCAACAGGAAAAGTGAATAAGACTGAATACATGAAAAACTGAGCTTGTGAAGGGGATGAAGTGCAAGCCATTGGCTCATGATGCATGAATGAACAGCGTGTCCTGGGAAATTGAATCTAAGAAGAGTTTGGGATATGACAGGAAAGTGATCAGAGAAAGAGGGAGAGAAGATAACGCAAAAAGGAAATATGCAGCGGAAAGAAGTGATGACGTGGGGAAAATTAATAGGGCTTGGACTGGGGCAACGGCAGTCATGAGCTGAAGAGAAGGGGATGATGGAGAGTGCTGGAAGTGGGTAATGTTTAATAGACAGGATTGAAAAGGGTGGTGAAGTTTTGGAATCGACAAAGGAATCTAGAAATAGCTTAGGACAGAAATGGACTATTGTGAATAAAATTTAAAAAATGACGGACAAATGAACTAGGAAAGTGAAAAGCGTGGGAAATGAAGAAGGGGGAGAATGATGAAAAGGCGAAATTCATGAAAAGGGGAAGAAAGAATTTAATGTGATGCAGGGAGAAACCCTCGTGAGAGGGAGAGGGGGAGAGAGTAGTAAGATGGGGGGAAAAGAAAAATAGGTAGCTGAAGTAGAGAGAGGTGAGCCATGGGCGTTGAGTACGATTGAAAGCGAGAAAGAAAAAGGATCGAAAATGAGATATCGAAACTTAACATGACGAGGAAGGATAGGGCTGCTTTGAGAATCTAGGAATGACTGAAATAGAATGTGGGGCCACATATCTTATAAAGCAGATGAGAAGAGATGGGAAGATGTGAAATAGAACAAAGATCAGAATAGTAAGGGGTAGGATTGACAGAAAAAGAAGAGGCTGGAAGGAAAATAAGAGATAAGAGATCAACGACGGGTAAAAGAAGAATGAGACAAGGACGAAGGGTAGTGAAGGAGGGCTCAAAATGGAAACGGACTAAGAGAGAAAACGGCTAGATGAGGGTAGACGTAGAAGCAGAGACCTGTAATGAGAAATGGATATGCGGACAGATAGGAATGGAACTGGGCAATAGAGATGAGTGAAAGAGAAAAGAGGAGTGGGTACGTGCTGATTATCAGGAACTGAATTGGACTGTGGGGTAGAAGAAAAGGGGGTTTGTGCAAATGCGCAGTGCAAATAGGGGTATAGTTGTGAATATAATAAATGACTTGAGGGCAGCAGAATCAAAAACAAAGAATAGCTACATACCATTGATATTCCGATAGGAAAGGAGAAGACACAAAGAATAGTGCTTAGGAGGATCAGAAGAATTGGAAAATTGCTCAGAGAGACAAAAGAGAAAAGTATTGCGAAGGTGGAATGGACCGAAGAAAAAGTAAAAGATGAGACTGGACATAAATGAAAAGATGGGGAAAAATTGGAACATGGAGTTTTGAAGAGGAGGGATTTAAGAGAAAAAAGGGAAGGAGTTCAAGAGAAAAAGAAAAAGAAGGTAAGATATCTCACAGTCATGAGGCGTGAAAGGACGACACGAGCTGGCTAAACAGGAATTCGAAGAAACTTCGACATCCCAAGACCAGACCGACCTGCTGCCGTGGCAAAAAGTCTCCTTCTCAGATTGCGAACGTTCAACAATTGACGTTAAATCTCGAGCCTTGAAGTGAGTGCGGCTGTTTCAGTCCGCTTGTTACTGCAAGCGACTTCAATCTTATGTGCAGACACAAGCAGGCTTGAAAGGCACCGTCAGTCTCTCCCACCATTCAAGCCACTCATCCTGTGAGTATATCTTACTCTAATCGTCTTAACAGATAGCAATTTATCTTCAGCTTCACCAGGACATTCCTGAGGGCAAGTGAGAAATTTGTTTTCGAAAGTCCTCTTATAGAACACCAGCATTGAAGTCTTGAGGTCTGGTGTTGAATCCACTCGTGAGTCGCGGACGTGAAGCCTGAAATATGGAGTATCAGAGCCAATGCCCAGCTGTGGAATCCCATCATGCCGAAAGGCACAGTAAGAGTGAGATCGGGTTGCATGGAGTTATGGACTTGTATGATTTTTCCTCGTGGAGAAGCACATATTGACTTTTGTGACAGTGCCCCTGAGCGAGAAGGGGGGGTTGGAAGACTATTGCCAACCGATATATGGCGCACAGGGAGAGAATGATGCCAGCATGGTAAGCATTGACGATAGTGAAATGCAGCAAGTCGTAGAGAATTGTAGTCACAATATCACAGTCCAAATTTCCAGATCCTCAGATCTTCCGAGTTGGGCATGATGGGGAAGGTGCTGACCATGACGCCCCTTCCCCCAGACATTAGTGTTGCAGTCTCTAGCACATCAAGACAAGTATTCCGCAACACCAACATTGCAACATTGTGGTGGCCCTGGCAAGTGGATTACTCAAGGTGCAACGAGACTTGCTCATTTGATTGCCAGTGCGACTGAGTGTCCAAATGGTGGTTGCGGTGGTTTACAGTGCCTGGAAATCGTGTATGTCTGCCCGTACAATCGTGAAATTGTCGCAGAGGACGTCTGGCGTGTCGACATGGCTGATGTAGCCTTTGCATCATCGTTCTTGCTTGCGAATGATCACGACACGGCAAATATGGGACTCTCGTCGCCTCAGTATAGTATGAAGAAGAGGCAGGAGATGCAGCTGCAGGTCTGGCAGACGCTCCCATTGCAAGGGGTAAGTCCGGTTCATGAAGCTCTGAAACCACCTCTGCTGAGCTGGTATTTATAGCGCGGGTTTTAACATCGCGTAAAGTATGGTCTCCAAGCCCTTGCATGCACTGAGTATGCAGATCGAGACGCCGAGAAAGATGATGGCGACCAGATCTTTCGGAGGAGAAGCCTGCTTGGTTGATACTTTCACGTCATCCTCCACCCGCTGCATCGACGATTTGAACGCAAGTGGGTTCTGTATAGTCAAGGAGGCAGATATCACAGTTCCAGCACGAGCAGGAGAAGGGGGCGAGTGCAGCGCTGCTCTTCGCTGTTATGATCCTTTCAGATAGACAAGTGAGGCGCTCCAAGTTCTTGAGATGTCTGCATCATGCTCAAACTCGTGGATTGAGCCCAGAGAGCAGGGTGTCGTATATCCACCCACGTCCTCGCACATTGTGAATTTTCAAACATGATCACTGGAGCTTTTAATCACAATTTTCATGTGGCCAGTAAGACAATGCCTCCTAAAGACTCTGTGCAGCTGTTCTAGCCATCTTAGGGCAGAGGCCAACAGCCGGTGCATCACATTTTGGCGTGCAAACCCCCCCAGCGGCGGTTGAAGGACAGAGAGAGGGGAGGGGCAGCTGGCAGGGCTCTATCTGCGGTGCTGTCCGAAGTTCAGAGGGCCGAGTGAGTGTCCAACACCTCGCATAGCTACCACATCCAGCATGAGTAGACTAGGTGAGTACCAGGGCTTGACTAAGGGTGCCCCTTTCATATCTCGATGCTTGTTTGTATGCGTGGATGGCGCTGCTTGCCGTACAGCCTTGTGGCCTAGGTAATGCCATTCGAGGAGCAGACTGGCTGCTACATCCAGCATGATTGCTCTCCCAGTGCCTATATTTGCTGTGCTTGCCCCTGCATCTCAGCAACTTCTTGTCTGGCCATTGCGGGCAATCTCTTCATCGTAGTTGGAACTCAGACTGACTGCGAATCTCTGGCAAATTCTTATTGTCTCATCCTCATATCTGCGCGGGGTGGACGGGGTCTGTGCGCGCTGCCGGCGAGAAGGACGTAAAGGGACGATGCTGGCCCTCCTCCCCCTCTTCTCCACCACCCACAACACCACACCTTCCATGGCCTCATCTTTGAGCGCAAGGTACTTTTGCGCCGTCTGATACACATGAAGGGGCTTCTATACTCTGTGATCACGTCGGTGCCATGCTCTTTGCTCCGTGGCAGCTGGCTTTGGCGGTCTGGTCAACCTCCCACGGCTTCATCAAGGGCAGCGGGTGACTGCAGCTTGCAAGCAGCTTGCGAGTATCTGCTCAGGCCATCAAAGCTGAGCGAGTATGACCACCAAGGTCAACGGCTTTGCACTTTGCGAGCCCCTTCATCAAAGCGACCCAAAACTGAGTGAGCAGGACCTCGCCAAAGGTCGCCGGTGTCGTCAAGCTGCTGTGAATAGCTTGATAGTAAGAGCCATCACAACCAGGTATTCCAAGCTGAGCCATCGAAAGCATTGCGTGCAGGTACATGGTATGTATTGACCCCACTGTTCGTCGTTGCAGCTTCATCCACCTTCTCTGTGAGTGCGGCTGCACTTGGATGCCTTCATGGCCTTGCGCAGTCCTACCATGTCTTCAGCTTCAAAGCAGAGCATAGGCTGCATCACATGATGGCATCCCTCCTCTTATGCTTTTTAAGCTCGACAAAGGCCTTGTTCTTTGCTATGAGGGAGGTATCAGCCGCTTTGATGACACGGAAGCTGACCACCGCTTTCGCAGTCGACAATCCTAACAAAACCCACAACCCAAGGCGGCCCTTCCGCCTCTTCAAAGGCAAGCAACAAGAACTGCTTCAATTGCAATCTTCCTGTCGACGTCCGCCTCCATGGTCATTGTGGCATGTCTGGACGAACCGGTAACTCGACACCTTCATATTGGGTACGACTTAACTCACGACCATCCAAGTCCGCGCCACATGACCCTTCAGGTATGTGAGGGTCAAGATTGTGCAGTATCATTCAATCTGACAGATCATAGCTTCATAGCACGAGCGTAACATCGCAATAGCCTCCCTCCACTTCCTCCCCGATCGCCACACGCGGCGCGCCATGAAAACGCCAGCCAAATTTATCGTTTTGTAAGTTTCTCATCACCAAGATGATCCTGGAAAAGGACAGCGTTCGGACAGCTCCATTGTCCGGGCGCTGTCGAGCATCTATTAGAGGAGGGTGAGCAGATTCCGCATCAGAGCAGCGGACACCAAGCAACCTGCAATGCTGAAGCTGATCAAGTTCATCGCCATCCACCACCGCTGGACGCAAAAATTCAGAAGCGGGCTTCTGTGGGCGCGGCAGACTCCGGGAGTGCGATGGTTGAATTGGATCCAGAAACAGGACAGATACGGGCGAAGCAAATACTGGAACTGCGAAGGGGACAGCGCTCGGACAGCTCCATTGTCTGGGCGCTGTCGAGCCCCTAATAGAGAAGGGTGGGCGGGTTCCGCATTGCAGTAGCAAAACCGAGCGACCTTCACGCTGTTGAAGCTGATCAAGTTCATCTTGGAAATTCCTTGCCGGTGGAATGGACAGTCTTGGAACCCCAAGTCTCAGACAGTTGATTGTAATGGGACGACATTACAAAACCTTCATGGACTTATATGGAAACCAAAGACATTTACTATGGAGATTGGAAGTACAATTCGGTCCATAACCGAATCACTTCCTGGATCGACGATGCTGGTCCACAGGCCTCGTTCAAAGAGGATTTCGATGCGTCCATGCAGGCCAGTCGGCGATTAAGGAGGTACCTGTGCTGTGCACGTTGAAGACGACGCTTGAATCAATGTTCGAAAAATCGGGCCTTGGGTTGTATAGCCAGCCGTAAGTCTTGCTTCTACTAGTCCGAGACAGCTGCTGACCCTCTGTGAAGACATTTTCTCCCCTTTGGGAGCTTCAATGCTATGAGCCCAGAAAGCTTCAGCCAATCTAGAGTATATCGAGGAATGGTCCCCGAGGCAGATGTGGGCTATAGTTTCGTTTCAACCTCACATAGCTAGACGCTGTGGAGCCTACGGACCTCATCTTCGTCCGCTGACCTCCGCATATTCGCCTCTAGCCTTCTGTACTAAATCACATTCCTGCGGCGGAACTAGCACAGAAGGCTGGGGTTGCAGAAGTTGTTGGTCGGTTTGTTAACAACATGAAGGACGAACATAAGCAGACAAAAGAGTGGTGTTGGAAATTGCCGACAAATCCATTAGCACTCTTGGTGCTCACGACGAAGACCAGCGACTAGAAGAACAGCTCATCGACGATGTGCTTGTTGCGTTCCAGATCAGAATCATCATCGATGATTTGGCAGATGTTATCACTTTCGTCGATCTGCACGCCATGCAACCATCAACCAGGAATTTACTTCCCCGCTCGACGACCATTCTGCGCAATCGACGCGAAAACGTGCAAGAGAATACCATTGAATTTGGTAGGCCAAGATGGTGGTAACAACAATTGTGGCACCTACCCCGAGAGACGGGTAGAAATCTTTGTCCAGTGTGTGACGAAGACGGACGATACGGCGGCAATGATTCCGAAAAGTAAGATCTGATTCCCAACTCTTTCTGCGATAACGCGGCTTCTGACTATTGACCAGGCAAACCAGATCAATGATCCTCTTCGTACGGAACACGTCCGACTAAGTCCACGGCAATGCTGTAGCGGTCTTCTACGATAAAAGAGCTCCTGTTTCTCCATCGGCCTTGCTACCCTCACGCCCACGGTTTTACACCAACATGGGACGATCAAGTATATACGGCCTGTCTCTGGGCAACTCCCAACCTCGAAGTCATCAGCCTTTAAAGCCCTTCGCGACCCCGGGGCCAACCTCAGACTCCTAGGATTCGACACTACTTGTTAGAGCATCCCCAAGCTCTTGCCAAGGAGCATTTGTCGTTTCAAGCAATCCCACGCTCTCATCAAATGGCAGAACTGTCCAATACACAACAGCTGCGCTTCATCTTTGGTGGACACGGGAAGTTGTCGAGCCAGCCACGCAGGTTATCAATTGCGGCGAGCATGGCCACTTACCAAGGGATGCTTCATCATCCCACTGCGTACCCCGACGTTCCATTTTCGTAGCTGACGGCCCGACTCGAATACCCTTCACGATCTTGTTGGTAGCTGGTATCGTCGAGTAAGAGTAATAAGAGGTGGAGTTTGCAATGTGGGTGAGCAAGATGCTTGCACGGTCACACCAACATTATGTCGTGCGATCTGTTACCAAGGCCAACTTGCGCGGCCTCGCGATGATGAGTATGCATGGGGCCAGCGTAGAATGAGCATCAATACTATATGAGTTTGTGTCAACAAATGTTTTCGGCTGCGATGCTTTCTCGCGCGAGTAAGCTGGTGTTGAGACTGCTGGGTCATGTCTGCTTGTCGCGAGTATCTGGCGCAGGCGTCGTAACATGACCCACGCTGACATGTAGCACTAACGAGTTGCAGGTGGATGTTCTCCTAGTATGGTGGCAATTCCCGTATGACTAGAGTGCTCCGAAAGACCGCCGATGCCCTAGCATACCAGGTTGAGGGAAGGTGGACTGCGCAGGACAAGACCAAAACGCACAAGGGCGAAAGGGTAGTCGCAGCGAAAGCGCCTGTCTGATTAGTAGCCCATACATACATTGGATGGCCTTGTCAAGCAGTCCAGTGTGCTGCTGTTCTGAAGAAGTCCGATAAGTGTAGTGGTGTTGTTCGTGGGGAAAAGGTGAGTGAGGGGGTGTGTGCGCAGGGAGGAGGGGGATCTCAGGGTGACAGCCGCCAGACTCGAGCAATGGGGTCCCGAGTCATCGAGGGTCCCACAGAGCTGGATATGAAGCTTCTTATCTTCTTATCTTCTTGAGAGAAGGTAAGAGGCGAGTGGGAGTGGTGTTGCGTGCTGGGGAAGTGGTGTTGAGAGACGGTGGGAGCTGGGGATTGGCCGGGGGTCTCGCCGTTCTCCACCACCGCCCTCCATCACGGCCAACCTGCGATCAAAGAGGTGTAAGAGCGTTCTCGAGTAGCTGCCATGTATCAGTAGACTCGTACGAAGCTCGGCAGTTCATTTGCAGAAGCTCGACGCGTCCAAGGGGCTAATAAAGGCTGGCCGATCTCGTGGGAAGAGCCATCGGACAGAGCTGTCTGTGCATCGAGCAGCGCTTGATGGAGACCAGAAAATTCGACATTGGTGATCATCGACGATGCTCCAAGGTCTGGCGTGTGGTACAGCAATATCGAACGTGGTTGAAGTTGGTCGCTGTGGTGGTGTTGGTGGTGGGGGCGGGGGTGAAGTTGGAGAAGCAGTGAGACTCCAAAACACGGGACTTCGCTAGCATTTGGTGTTGCCAACTCACTCTACGCGTAACATTGAACGATGCGGGGGACCGTGCTCTCCAACCTTCACAGTTATTCTCCCACCCCATCCTACAAGTCCATGGGCTGAATTTGCTCAACCTGGCGCCCTGGCTGTACGCAGATTCTCAACCAGGATGGCAGGCACAACTTTCGACATTGTTGTGCTTTCCTCCTCGCCTCCTGAGCACTCGGCTCCTCCCCCGCACATCAATGGCCACCCACTTTGTCGCGTCGCGGTGCCTCTGTCTTCGCCGCTGAGATATTCTCCGCCCATGAGCCCCCTCAGGTCGATTTCCGGCGCACCAAGGAGTAACTCCAGGACTGCTCCCATAACAGAAAGTGCAGTGAGGGGATTCGCCACTGTGGGGAGTCTGGTGCAGTCAGAGTACTTTGTGGAGCCAGTGGAGGGAGAGACTCCACCAGTACAACAAGCAGGATCGCGACGAGGATCACGCGAAACTATACATGACAACAAAGTACCCACCAAGAAACCTCGAAAGCGTACAACGAAGACTACCGCAGAGGAAGACGATGTCGAGAAACCGAAACCAAAACCGAAGCCCAGAGCACGCAAGCCCAAAGCAAACAAAGACATCCCCGCAGCAGACCCAGAGCTACGTCTTCCTGTACCTACAAAGTCTCATTTCTTCAACCACGAGACTACGGAATCAACCACAGATCCCACTGACGAAGTTGTACCCAAACTCACAAAGTCTGGTAAGCCACGAAAGCCTCGCACAAAGAAGCAGATGGTCGAAGAACAAGGCGTAGAGTCCATTCCAAAACCAAAGAGGACCAGAGTCACAAAGGCCAAGAAGACCACGAAAGATGGACAGCTGCCTCGGGAGGATGCAGCTCTGACGTCCGCTCAAAAGCGGGATGCTGCAGGCCAGACAAACGAGGAGCTCAAATATTCCCTCGGACAGGGCCTAGCTCCAGTGCGAGATGATGCGACAATTTGGGAGGTACCGCAATCTCCACGGCCAAAGAAGAAGACTGCACCTAAACAGAAGAAAGTAGACCCCCTGGCAGAAGGCTTAGATTTGGAAGAAGCTGTGACGCGACGACGAGATTGGACACCACCATGCGATACTGCAGTCGTGAGCCATTTCACAGACTCAATAGGCAAAGAAAATAAGTCACTGGAGCCCAACACCAACGGTACATTTACACACTTAGTCTCCAACTTCGCTTATGCGCAGTCGCCCTCGTTCCAAACCACTGCAACCACGACAGAATCAGTCTCAACTAACGAGAGAATGCCCGTTACCAAGCGACAGCGAGTCGAGCTCATGGACATTCCAGGTCATCAGACAAACTCGCGAAACTCATCGCCTGAGAAGGGAAAAGCGCCGAAGAAGAAATCACGAACCATCACAGATATTGTTACCGAGCAGTACGCACCAAAGGAGGTATCTCCTGATCCAAATGCTGTCATCAGTAACTTTTTCGACGCCAGATCCACAACATCCAAGGTACCGTTGAATGACAACCCTGGCCCTGATGGTATTGAACCTCCGAAGAAGGCACCACGCAAACAGAACAATTCAAAATCTGACCTTGAGAAGACTGGGGCAAATTCGAAGCCAAAGCGGGCACCGAAGAAGTCTGCTGCAAAGCCCAAACCAATATCTGAGAAGCTGCTTAGTCCAACTTCCGCACTATCACGACTAAGCAGACAAAATGTCTTATTTGGAACGTCGAGTCAGCTCGCGCTCGAAGAGTCACCAGCGACGGTGCGTCAGATTCAGCAAGCAATGAGGGAATCAGAGAGGGATTCTAGTTTTCTTGATGACTCGTTTCTTGCTGCACCACCTCGATGGCCAAAGCTTGAACGAACGATTGGCAGGCGGGGTCTTTGGTCTGAGAGCGCACGTGATGCAGACGGTGGGATGTTAGAACACATGGAAGATGTGCACATACCCGAACCAGATCGAACAGAAGACATACAATTGCTTATGGATGGATCAAATGATGATCCTGACGTGGCAGGAAGCTTCATCGATATTGACGATATTGAGCCTCTCCCACAGCATACGGCACCTTCAGATTCGACTACACCTCTGCAGACAGCTTCTCAAACTATGAAGGCTGTCGAGGTACAAGATGATGACTATCCCATGATCGACGATATTTTGGAAGAACAACAACCTCCTCCTTCGAACCAGAACGCCGAGTCCCAACATAGTTTCGCCGACATCGATGACTTCACCCCGCCTCCTGCTCGAGTCCATGCATCCGTACCATCTCAGCTTCCTTCCCCAACGCCCGACTCTACCAACACATCCCCCAAAAAGCGGCGCGGCCGTCCTCCTAAATCCAAACCCGCCTCAACACCCCAACATTCAACCCCTCGCTTCATCGACATCGAAGAAATCCTCGATTCGGAAGACGAAGCCCTCTCACCCTTCTCTCCAACCCCACCCCGCGTCCACCGCCTCGCCGACCTCCCGCCCCTCCCTCTCACCTCCCCATCCAACCCCTCCAAATCCTCCACCCCAGACCCAACTATTCCGCGCATCCACCGCATCCCAGCCACCCACCTCGAATGGTCCGCCATCAAGCCCACCATCTTCACAGCCCTGACGTCGCACATCCGCTCCCTACCACCGACACGCGACCCGCACAACCCCTCCTGGCACGAAAAGATACTCATGTTTGACCCGATTGTAATCGAAGATTTCACAGCCTATGTGAATGCAAACACGCAGGTTCGCGTGTTTAGACGGGCGACGCAGAAGCAGGTCAAGGCGTGGAATGCAGAGCTTAAGAGATGCGGTGGTGCGGGAGTTCTGGATGTCCGAGACAAAGCAGAGGACGAGGTGTATGCTGTGGAAAAGGAGTTGGAGGGGTTTATGGTTAAGGCTTGGTGTGAGGGGCTTAGTGTGTGTTGTGTTAATCGTATTAAGGGAAATGGGAGGAAGAGGAAGGGATTTTATTGATGGTGAAGGGGAGGGGATTGTGGTGGTACGGTAAACCTACGGTTTGCATGCGTGCCTTGGAGTGGAAAAGACGGGCTTGACACGATGATACGGTGGTATAACGTGCTCATGATATGAATGCTACGATACGATAATCTACGAAGTCTTCTTGACGATTGATACATCTCCTCCTTCTTCCGTGCCTTACTGTCCTGTAATCGTGCTCGTTTTCATACCGCAATAGACATGTCCAAGAGGCGAAGCAATGCGCGTGCACATGCTATCTTTATGCATAATTACCGTCACTCAACTACTTCTCTTTTATTCAGTCATGCTCCCCCCGTAGGAGGGGTATCTTCTATAATATGACCCATTATATTGAGACCTGTTTCTGAGCATCAAAGCCACGGTTTGGCTAGGTACGGTGCGCAGTTTATGATACTTCCAAGCACGTGATGCATTACAGGTGCCTGCTAATCCTTCATGTCGGAACAGAACTTTCCAGTGGCGTGTAGTGTATACTCGCAGTTTTCCATAATTGCATGGTGGGCTTTTCTGCTTCACTGGGGGAGCTGGAGAGGCGTAGAGCGCAGGAAGGAAGGATCTGGTGGGGGAAGTCACGTGCGTGTGCCAGATGCATGATTGAGTAAATGATAATGTGCAAACATGGTCTTTCGTGAACGAGTGGGGTTGTTTTAAATTGATTATATAACTTGGGTGTGTGATGGGTACCTAATGAAATAAGGAACGGAATGCAAAGGACGCCGTTGGTGAAGATATGCAAAGGACGCCGTTGGTGAAGATAGCTTCATTGGATTGTAGCTGTACAGTGGCACTTTGTATATCAACTTTGCTGTGTAGCGCGCTTGCAGAAGAGAGGGTCCGTTGTTGCAAAATGAATGGACAAAGACGATATGAAAGATAGTACGAGAATCAACCCTCATTCGACCAAGCAGGCGAATAACAAGCATTTTTCCTGCTGTTATCGAACGTGACAGTCGTATATCTATTCCACGCAGGCGATAAACAAGGGTTACGAGGCGCATCGTTCCCCAAGCTCGTGCTGCGCATGCTATTCGGCGTCTGTGGCCACCAGCTCGATGCGAAGCAGGGGTGGCCATGGGGAAGTTCAGTCAGGGGCGCTGTTGTGGTGCGATTATGGGTGGGGGAGATCCTGGGGAAAGCAGAGGCTTTGTGGGTGCTGTCCAGGAGGACGGTGGATGTAGCTGGTGTTTCGGGCCACCAGCCAGATGTCGAGCATAGGTTTCTGCCTGTGCTGTGTATGAAGTCAACGGGTCTCATCGCTGGATTGGTTGGGGGTGAGGGATCGAGGGTCGAATTGTCGGGTGACACTTCTGTCAATGATGTATCATGCATGGCTGTACTTCGGAATGGCAACTTCTGCACATCCACATTCTCTCTCTGCCATTGCTGGTCGGGCGTCAAAGGGTGCGGTGACCGTTTTGGAGGAGGCCGCCCGAGTTCGTATCGTTCCGAGTAGGTGCCAGTTTTGTTCTCGTAATCTAGTTTGATAACCATCTCCCCATCTTCTGCTTCGAATCGAACGCGCACTGGCAGCCAATCAGGAATTGGATCTCCTGACATGCAATCCAGAGCTTCTAGAAGAGGCTTTTCGTCGGCGACGGCCACGTCCCATTGTTTGTGGATGCGATTACAGCGTTCCATTAGCCAGGCTTTCATACGCTCGGCTCGCTTGAGTTCGAATGCCAATGCTGGGTCAATTTCTGATTCTGGAATCTGACTGATGTAGCGGATGATGCGATGCCAGGGCCCAATTGATACTTGAAGCGGGGTATGCAGTCGTAATGGCACAAGGGGTAGCCTTTGAGAGGTTGATTCAGCCCAAGGAAGAGATTTCGCGAGATACATGGCGGCATCCACGTCAATGGCTCTAATGCGTTCTGGGGTAGGAAGTAAGGAATCTGCGGACTCTGCCGGAAAATGTCGGTAAAGACTTTCAGCGAGGCCACATAATATGTTTTGCAGCATCCAGTACCGCGTACACAAGATCATGTCTTGAACGGAGTTGAACTCTAGTGAATCTGATAGAATATCGGCGATTTCCGAGGAAGTTGGTCTCGGAACAACAGTTATTGCTGATTGCAAAAGTTCGGCAACGTATTGTGGCAAGTCAAGTTGGATCAACGACTCCATCAACGACATCGCGGAAGCTAGCGCGTTGACATCACTAGGATTCATGATCGCCTTTCGCACCAAGCCCGTCAAACGTGGGCATTGTATTAGGACATGCATAATTGCCATAGAAGCTCTCTGGAATGCCGACATTGACGCAACGTTGGAGTCCAGTGATAGGGGGTATGTTGCAGAAAGATAAAAGTCGTTGTCATATACGGATTTTCGACCAGCAAGCATACCTTCGTTGACCTAGATGGTTGAGCACATGGAGACACAATCCAAGGGAAGTGATACTGACATCGTCAATGTAAGTATTATCAATGAGATTCCAGAAGTGTTCCTCATCAACGCCCGACACATTTCCAGCTTTCAGAAGCTCTGCCAGCCCAAAGGCATGTATTGCATGGTACATCGTATCGATTCCCATCAAGGCCTGATGTGGTCAGCCATGTCCGGATATCTGTTTGATGACGTACCTCTGCAGCATAGTGCATTTTGGTCGCAAGAAGAACATCATAGCTTGGTGTAGTTTGCGTGTTCAGAACCATGAGTTGTAGCTCTCTCAGCGCTTTCGCTTTCGAAGCTCTAGCTACTTTCCGCTTCGAATGCGAGTCGTCCCAGAATGTAGCATAGCTGTTGACGAGGAACTCGACTGCAAGATCTACCATCCGGTTCGAGCCAATACGCGATGGTATGGACTGGATCCAGGTGCCTAGAATGGAAAGAGGTTGTTTTGTAGCAGCCTCCGAGCCGAGCATGTCGATATATCTGGCTATGAGTGTAGTCTCTTCTGAGATGGGTCGAATAGTGAGGGGAGAAGACTCATGCTGGAGTCTTTGGAGGTAGACTTGTAACGCTCGCTTTCGATGTGTTTCTTTCTGCTTGGAAGTTCGGCTCAATTGTCTCGACAGTGGCGCAAGTGTCTGGAAAACTCCTTTTCCATTCCCTGCTGCTCTTTCTGTCATGGTTCGTAAATCTGACGACAAATTATCGGGAAAGGTAACGTCAGATTCTGTAGCATCTAGCGGCCACTTCGTCGATGCAATTCTCGATGCTCCATGCTTGGTCAATTGACTAGGATCTTGTATCACAAAGGCAGAAGCCTTGCCATACGAATAAGTGCATGGTCGTTCTTTCTTCCGGCAAGCTCCACATTTGGGCTTCGTTTCGTCACACTGCCAAATTGTTATTCACGTCTTCGGAAACGCAATACTAACAATGAAGAGGATTCCATCGACGACGGTTGAAACCCAGACGATCTTCGTACCTTGACCTTCCTCTGCCGACAAATGTCGCATTTTCCGGTTTTTGTCATTCTATTTCACTATCTCAGAAATTTTCTGTTTAATGACAAGTTCAGTGATTCAAGGGACTAAGAACATATTGCCAGGCAAATGAGTGGCAATGAATGCCGTCAGCAGACGCAGGGGAGGCGGGGTCCAGGCTCAATGTTCAAAACACCCAGTTACGTAGGATGAATCTCTCCTAAGTTACCAGACTCTTGCGTATGAAAGGTTTTCTGCCTAGTCGATGGGTTGCAATGTTGGAACATGAGATGATGCGTAAGGTGCTGACAAAAAACAAGCGCCACATGCGCAGCTCAGCGTACCCAAGCTTAAGATCCTATGCCGTTTACGGTTAGTGGCCTTGCTTGTTTCGTTACCCAGCCCTGTCATGTGACTAAGCTAAGAGACGTGCGCAGATCTAGCAAAGGAAGGTGTTATGCAATCTGACATTTCTGAATCATGTAAATTACTCAGAGATATCATTTGGATTGTCGTTGTCGCTCTCAAGTCATGGCCGGAACTATGGTACCGAACAGCCGCAATGGGGTTAGGTACATGTCACTATCAGGCCAAGACCACACTCTTACATTCCAATATAGCCGATACCACCGCGTTGGTATACAATGTTGCCTACTCCAGACGTACTTAGATAGATGATACCAAGTATAAGCACCTGTTTAGTTTTTTACAATGCTCTGGGTCACGATACTGTCACATTTCCCGAAGAACAATCGTTTGAACTTAGGTAGTCATCTCTTGTGGACGAGAGCATTTAATTATAAAGGAGCTATCATTATCTATGATCGACTAAGCTGATTCAAAAGCACAAGACACTTTACACATAGCGATTTCGTATATTTGGCATTAATAATAAAGACCAGCGACTCCTGTTTAAATCATGCGCTACTACTGATATGTATGATTAAGCCAGTAAGGAAGAATGAAAGCCCACAAAGCTCGATTGATGCGAAGGGCACATATCATAGCGAAAGTTCACGCATCCTCGTACAAGTAAGCGTGGCAAACGAACACAACGCCACAATACTCAAGAATCTATACATACGAGTACCAGGATCCCCTGGACTTGTGTCACTTGAATCCAGTATACAATCTCCATCAATATCATAGCTCATGTACATCACCTCACAGCACTCTCCACCTTGCCCACTATATTACACTAGCAACACGACTGAATTATATACAAAGTAACTTATTGCCATGCGTAATACGGCATGTGATGTACAGTACCTGACGTATCATAGCGGGCGCCATGTAACAAGAGAACAAAGCGCTTGAATTCCCAAACAGAAACATCTGATCTATGAAAACGGGGTTCTCCATTGTTTACCGTGCTCTTTTTGATAATTTTTATCAAGATTCCTTATTCCTGACCTTTTGCTAGTGGGTCCATCAGTGGATCAGGGATGAAATAGGACAGTTTGCAACGCACAGCGCTTGATAATATGAAGACTACATCTAGATATATCGAGTAGTATATTTAAGAAACCAGAAAATAGACAAGGCTTATTCATGGTATCACTCTCCTCGAACCCTATACAGTATGCCCATTATCTACCACCATCCCATCAAATGTCAAACCACCATCCATACTATCCTATATCAAACCAACATCCAAACATCATCCTCACTGCCCCGGTGCACACCTCCATAACGCGTACCAACATCACTCCTCTCCGCCCGCGAAGACAAAAGCCGCACCTAACGACTCTCCCTCCTCTCCCCAGGAACCATGACCTTGAACTGCCGATCCGCCCCCGCCCCGGCTCCAACAGGCGCATACGGACTAAAATGCTGCGGTTGTTGCTGATGCTGTTGCTGTTGCTGTCCCTGCTGCGGTGGCGCCGGCGCCAACGTCGGTGGCCCATTCCTCTCCGCCCCACCCGTTTGCGGTCTCCTACCCGCCGGGCTCTGCGGGCCGTAGGGGCTAGGGTAGCTTGGGAGATTGGATAGGGGCATGGGTGCTGGTGCGAGGGTACGGGCGCTATAGGCGGGATTGGGATGGGTGGAGGGGTGTGGGTGCGGGCTGTGGGGGTTGGGGTAGGAAGGGAAAGAACCGGAGGGTAAGGCGGCGAGTGGCGAATATGGTATCATCATGTGGTGGGGTGGTGGTGGTGGCGCCGAGACATACATGTAGTGTTGACCGGGATGGGGTTGCGAGTACAGGGACATGTATGCGTCTGGGGGCCCGTGGTGGGGAGGGTGCTGTGGGTGATGTGTTGGCGAGGGAAGTGGTTGTTGGTGTTGCGAGTCTGTGGGCGTGGTTTGCGGTGTTGCGGCACCGGTGGCGAAGCTCACGCATGTCCGCGGTCCCTTACTAGAGACTGAATTGGACCGCCAGGTGGATGTTTTGGTAGGAGTGCCATTCTTCTCGTGATGTCCACGATTTTGAGGTTTTTGCTAAGTTCAACCATATTTCCATGGACTGGCTGCGCTTCTCGCTTTTAACCCGAGGTTTGCGTCGTGAACCTGAGGCGGGCGATGTCTCTTCTACATAGCCGCTTGTGTATTGACTCAGTGGTGCCGTCAACATGTAGGCATCTGGTGTGCTTGACTCATTTGGATGAACCATGGGTACTTCTTGGGAAGGGAGTACTCGTGGTGTAGTTTGATAACCTGCCTCGGCTGCATTCGGTGGCAACAAAGGTTTGTCAGCCTGAGGCTGTTCCCCAATGGTAAATTGGCCCTGGCCTTCACTCATAGAGTTCAATGCTGGAGGTGGAGCGTTTGCGGCAGGGGCCGTTGGAGCTGGTGTACCAGCAGCACTGGTTTTCTTGCGTGGTCCCTTTTTCACGCCATAGTCACTTCGCCTGGCCACGTTCTTGCTGCCAGCAGGACGACCGCGCTTGGGGCCGACATCTGATTGCTCGTCCACATCCATGACGGATGAGCCCTCCTCTGCTGAGCTCCCACCAGCCGACTCTTCTCGCATCTCTTGTATGCGTTGATGGAGGAGGTTGGTGGCTGCCGTTCGAGCACGCTTCGCCGCTCGGCCTTCAGGCTCTGGTGTCTCGGAGCCTGGCTTACTGAGCAGCTTATTACTGACACCCTTCTTTCGAGCGCCACCCCAGCCATTGTGCTTCTTTGGTGTGTTGGCCCCCGTCCCTGTGTCAGTACCGTCAAACTTCCGGGTAGCTCTTCGCTGTCGCTTCGAGGGGCGGCCTTCTTGGTCGCCTTCCTCATCTTCCTCGCTTTGTGCGGCAGACTCTAGCATATCGCGAGTCCGTCGGGTTCTGAGTTCACGTCGTCCACCCTTTTCAGCTCCTGGTCTTTGCGCCCAGGGATCTTGACATCCAGGCTGCTTCTTCGGATCGTAAACGTAGCCGTATAGGTCGGCTTCTTTCATGTCTTCGAATACCTCTGGGGCTATTGGAACGCGTCCACCATTGCAAGCCTTCTTTGCAGGGTGCATGTGAGGTGCCGTCTATTATTGTCAATGGGGCTGTGGGGCTACTTAGATGACCGTACTTACTCGCGCGTCTAGCATTAAATACTCATCCTGCCATGCTTTGAGAATATGCTGCGCATTTTCGGCCAACGCATACAGTGTTTCTGTACTTCGCTGAGAAGCAGGATATTTGGTCAAAGAGGCAATTATGTCTTGCAGGTCAGTCATCGGCTTGAACCGCGTTTGAAGCAAGTAATCAGCTCTGTCCTCACAGTCTGATTCCTTTGGCCAAGGAGCATCTTCTACGAACGGCTCTGGCAAATCGGATTCGGACAGGATGTCGTCTTCAGGATCCAAAAGCCTTGGTATTGCTGACTCAGCAGGCGTTGATACAACGTCACGTGGTGTTTGCGTGCCAGAACCCTTGGGTAATGAGATTTTGGGAATTGGAAGTTTGCCCATGGCTCTCCTTGTGGGTTTAGGATCCGAGTTAGGGCCGGGTCCCGGTGTATGTGACCCTTCCGCAATGGAGTCTTGGAGTCCAGATGATGGTGACCTGTTGATCATATTGGAAGATTTCTGAACGCTCTGCATGGGCTCAAAACCATCGTCACTTTCTTCATCCTCAACAGCTTGCTCGTCCTCGTCTTCCGAGTCGGAATAGTCTTGCTGTTGCTCGCCGCTGTGCATTGGTGGCTTGGCGTTAGCGCCTGGAGTGCTCTGATTGGACGGTTGTGCATCGTCTTGTTCTGTAAGCGGAAACATAGGAGCAGCACTTCGAGCAGGTCTGCTCGGTCGAGATGGAGAGTTGGCTCGAATAGATCCTCCTCTTGCGCGGCCTCCTCTTCCTCTTCCTCGCGTACCGCGACCGCGACCTCGGCGTCCACCGCGGCCACGGCCTCGGCCACCTCTCGGACCTGGCTGGACGACGGCTGGTACATCCAGGTCGCTGTCCTCGTCAGTCTCCTCATCGGATTCCGACATGTCTTCCGGTGTCGCCGAGTCATTTAGAATAGAAGATACGATGGATTTGCGTTCTTTGGGCAATTTGCCGTGATGCTTCTTGAGGCCCTCAAAAAACTCTCGTGATAGGCCAAAGACCATCAAAAGCGGGTGCTCAAACGAAGCGTACACTTCTGAAGCAGCCTCAAACGAATTGCCTGAAATATTTGAAGCTGAACGGGTCGTCTTCCTTGTGATTGTTGGACTCAGTTTGGTCGGACTGTCTATCTGTGCTACCATCTCTGGTCGGTCTGATTTGGAAGGGGCTGACTTTCCTCCACGGCCAGCGCGGGTGCGCACAGGTGCATCATCTTGCAAAGAATTGCGTCTTTGCGAAGCGCGCGTTGGCGCGTTCCTGGGCGGTAGCATTGGTTAGGATGCAGTGAAATCCTGCTTGATCTTGATGGCAGGTTGACTTGGGAAAGCAGGGTAAGAAGCAGAGGTTGGTAATGCTCGGTACGCTCTTGGGGAAAAGTAGCGCAGATCGCAAGCCTGCTTAGGGAGAAAACGGCCAGTAAATTAAGGGATAATTGAAACCTTGTAGATGAGCAGGCAACGCGCGCAAACAATCGCTCGTTACCGCCCCATGGAATTCGATTGAGAGAGAGAGAAGATCTCGAATGGTAAGTGAAGCCGCGGAAGCGCGTGATGGATGACCTTTGTCTGGGAACCGTGGCTGTACCAGCAAAAGAGAAGCATCACAGGCTTGGCGACAGGCCAAGGCAGCCAATCACAGGCCCGCGCTAAAGGGAACAGGCATCTACCTGCACTCGACCGACAACAACAGCAGTGACAGGACGCTATTGTCGTGATAGTCGCACAATAGATACAGCTTGCCCCAGATTGTGGCACACCTTACCTTCACCACATCCTCTTGAATACCCCGTGTGATCCATTGTGAACTGCCATGCCGCCCAAGAAGAAGACGGTCGAAGAACAGCTGGCCGAGCTGGAGATGGAGGCCGAGGCGCCCGCCGCTCCCCCGCCCAAGACGAAGGCGTCTACCAGGCCGCCACGACAGAAGCTAGCAGAGGACGTGGATGCCCTGAAGGAGCTCGAGGAGCTTGAGGCTCTTGAGAAGTTCCAGGCTAGAGAAGCACCACGTCCAATCAGCCGATCCAACACCCCCAAGCTATCGTCATCGTCGACTGCATCCAGCAACCGTCGCACAGCGGGTGGGGTGGCCACGCCTTCTTCTTCGACTGAGTCTGCACGCACGAGTGAAGAGAGGACTGCAGCCCCGCGGAAGTCTGGCGAGAGTACCCGTTCGTTTCGTCAGAGCTTCGCGCCCACAGAAGAGGAGCCTTCCAAATCAGCCCCACCACCACCAAGGGAGGAGCAGCCCAAGCAGAGTGGAGGAGGGTCGTGGTGGGGGGGAGGATGGGGTGGTCTCATCTCTACTGCCACTGCCGCCGCAGATGCAGCCAAGAAGCAAGCAGAGGCTGCCTATCAGGAACTCCAAAAGAATGAGGAAGCCCTACGCTGGGCAGAGCAAGTGCGCGGCAACGTGGGCACACTACGCGGATATGGTATTGGATCTCTCGTCCCGTCGCCTTTTTCCACGTCTTTCTCTAACACTGTACAGGGGGAGAACTGAGCAAGCGCGCCCTACCCACCTTTACCAACATCCTCCACACCCTCGCACCCCCCATCTCACAGCATGAGCGCCTCCAGATACACATTACCCACGACCTCATCGGCTACCCATCCCTTGACCCGCTCATCTACCAGACCTTTTCCGGCGTCATGGCGCAAGTCGAAGGCGGTGATCTCATGGTCATCCAGCGCGGTTCCGAATCCACACAGCGCGCCTCGTTGGACGGCTACCGAGGTGGAGGGGGTGGTTGGAACGACGGTCCCTGGTGGCGACACACCGACAAGCGCGACCTCAGCATCGTCAAGGGCCTCGCAGCCGGTACGAAACTCGCGCGTGTTAGTGCCGAGACGTATGCTAGCGAGTTCTTTGCGGCGAGGGGAGGGATAGAAGAGGCAGCCAAGCACGCAACGGAAGTTCTGAGCGAGACGAACCCAGTGCGAAGCAGTGATATCTTCATTGCTATTCAGGCCATCAGCTATCCCGCGCAAGACGACTTGTTTGCTCCGTCGTCGGCGGCGGAGAAGAAAAAGAAGAAGAGCAAAGCGCAAGCTGATGAGGAGGAAGAAGACGACAGCGATGATGACGATGATGATGATGATGACGAGGACGAAGAAGAAGATGAGGACGAGGACGAGGATGATGAGGAAGTCGTATTCGCTGTATACCTCCACGACCCCATTCACGGCATCAGCTTGAAGACAATCAGTCAATCGTTCCCAATAAAGTGGGTGGAGTGGCTAGACGCGCCCGCTAACACGGAAGCGGCAGGCGAGGAGCTGCAACTACCGCCAGAGATCCAAGAGATCATCGAGAGCGGAGGAGTCGATCCTCGCGAGTGGGTTTCGGAGTGGATGGAGGAGACTATCAGCCTCAGTGTTGGCATCGTAGCACAGCGCTATGTTGCACGGAGAATGGGCGTAGGAGAGGATGGTCTGGGAAGAGGCAGGGCACGTGAAGCAGCGCTGGAAGCTGGTGGTGGAGAGGCAGCACGTGCAGGTATCATTTGATGTCTGATGTTGGGACAGATTTTTACGCATTCTTATGATCCGGTTCATGGGGCTAGTTACGGTATTTTGGCGTTCTTTGAGGGCAAATCCCATACTTCTCTTGCCTACAAGGCATTCTCCTCCGCGACTTGCTCGTTTCCCCTTGCCACTTGAGCCATCGTGACCGCAATGTCTGGCGTGTGTAAAGCAGCAGTTCCAAACCTCGCTCATTGTGTCCTGTCACTCGCCGTAACACCCAGGCCTATCCCTTGCTAGACATGCCCCATACCTCTACCCTAGCCCATCCAGGAGCTTTCAATTCTCTAGCAAAAGCGACAAGTCCCTCCCTCACCATCCTCCGAGTTTCAAACGCACGCCCCTCCCCCTCACTTTCCCACTCCCTTCCCTCCATCCCGCTTATCCTTCCGATCCGCCTTCCCCCCCTTCAACATCTCCAAATGCCCCGCCTTCTGCGCCAGCAACTTCTCCGTCTGGCCCACCAGCCCGCACGAGCTCTTGTGCTTGATTTTGTTCTGCACAATGAGTGATGCTTTCTTCGGCTTGATGACACGGGCACCGGGTCGGGGGCCGGATTTGGAGGGTCTGGTACGCGGGGGGGAATTGTGTTAGTGAATTGATATTCCTGAGACAAGATTCCTGAGACAAGGGGAGTAGGGGTGGGTGGGGGAGGGTGGAAAATGGGTGAGCGTACTTTCTGGATGCGACGGGTTTGGATTTTTTGACGGCGCCTTGGGCCATGGTGTGCAGGCGGGTGGGGGCTTTTTTTTTCTGGTGGACGAATAGGCTGAGTATGTTCGTGCGGCGGAGGTTTGCGTGTTCGTTCGTTTGAATGCGGTGTGTGTATAGCCGGCGCTTTTGCGGTTGTAGACTTGCCCTGTGAGAGAGATTCTTTTTGGCGCCGTTGCTAGAGCTGATGGGGCTTGGCTCTGGACTAGGAGCTAGGATGGGAGGGGCTTAGCGTAATGCGGGGATTGCGGGCTCTATTTAGCCTTTTTGTTCTACTAGCTACACCACACGATGTCTCCCTGAGCCCGAGGACCCGGCTTCCAAGCTTTTTTTTTCTGCATCGTTTGCGCCGAGGCCGATGTTTTGACTGAGAAGATCTGATAATTGCGTTGTGAGGAGAGCGATGATGTATGCGGAATAATTCCTTCGTCATTTGAGTATCCAACAAACTGTGCAGCAAAATGAACAGTTCCCCTCACAGTATCGCCTTCATGTGTAGCGTCGTACCAGGCTATATTGACGTGGGCACTTGAGCGGCGGAGCTTGCCAAGTAGGCTTCTCGAAGACGATGGCTCAATGTAGACCGGATCTTTCCTATCCAAAAGCAATTTAGCCATGCAGAATACCCGGGTCCGCTCTATGTGAACTCACCACCCAATGAATCAAGGATCCGCCATCTCGGGCCGTTGCACCCCGAGGACTGGTCGGAGCCGGTTCCTGGAGCATCGTAGTCATGCGAGGCTCCAAGGGCCGGCTGGGGATGATGTACATGGGCCGGGGCAACATGGAGAACGATAGCTCGGTTGGTTTGTGGGGCTGGGGTAGGTAATATATAATATGCAAGATCCAGACGACGATCCAAAGTTAAGGATCTCCCCGTCTCCTTCAAGTTTCTTTCCAGACCTTGTTGTTGGTATAGGTACCTCTCCAGCAGCAATCATCATGGAACTCCTCTCCCGCACAGTGCTGGGCTTTCTTTCCCTCTCGGCCGCTTTTGCGGGCACAGCTTCTGCTGTAGAGGGATTTCGAAAACCGATCGTCACGACTCAAGCAGGCAATGGAAGCTCTCTGCTCGCCTCTCGCGGCTCTTCGGTCCATATCCAAGCGGATGCAGCAGACTGGCCTGGTGTGCTGCGTGCGGCTCATGATCTTGCTCTCGACTTTGGACGTGTCACAGGTACCAATGGTACGCTGAGGGCATCTGGTACGCCAACGGCAAATGCTTCCACTATTTTCAATGTCACAGGTATCAGCAAGGATTGGAGTGTTGGCTCAAATGCCTCTGCCAATACGGCTGGAACTATCATCGTGGGCACAATTGGTAAATCTAGTCTGATTGATGACATGATTGCAAGTGGTCAGCTCGATGTCAGTGCTATTGAAGGTCAATGGGAAGCCTATGTGAGCACATTTGTGTACAACGCTGGCAACGCAAGTAGTGGAGCGCTGGTCATTGCTGGTATGTTCTGGAACTCCATTGTACCACGCTCTACTAACCCCAGCCAGGAAGCGACCGTCGCGGTGCAATCTATGGTATCTACGATGTTTCGGAGCAGATTGGTGTCTCGCCGTGGCATTGGTTCGCCGATGTCCCAGCCAAGTCACATGGTTCCATCTATGCTCTTCAGACCACCAAGGTCCAAAAGACGCCGTCTGTGAAGTACCGCGGCTTCTTCATCAACGATGAAGCACCCGCTCTGACTGGTTGGGCGAACAAGCGCTATCCTATTTCGCCCTACGGAACGCCTTTTGGTGCCGAGTTTTACGCCCAGGTTTTTGAGCTGCTGCTAAGATCCAAGGCAAACTACCTTTGGCCCGCTATGTGGGATGGCATGTTCAATGTCGATGATCTGCGAAATCAGCCGCTTGCCGACGAGTATGGCATTGTAATGGGAACTTCACACACCGAGCCAATGGTCCGAGCTACCCAGGAATGGAGTAAAGTAGCAAAAGGTTCTGAGTCCGGATGGTCGTGGGCTACCAACAATGCCACGCTGTACGAATACTTTACCGAAGGTGCACAGCGCGCTGCACCATACGAGAATGTGGTGACGGTTGGTATGCGTGGATACCACGACACTGCCATGTCTGCAGATGTCCAAACCAGTGTTTTGGAATCTGTTGTCGAAGCTCAGCAGGAAATTCTCACCAAGGTCTACGGGAACGCTTCAGAGGTGCCGCAGATGTGGTGCCTGTACAAGGAGGTTCAAGATTACTTCGAGGCAGGCATGCAGGTTCCCGATTGGGTTACCCTTCTCTGGACTGAAGACAATTGGCAAAATATTCGAAGACTTCCCGTTGGTGATGAGAAGAAACGGTCCGGAGGTGCTGGTGTCTACTACCATTTTGACTATGTCGGTGATTCGCGTAACTACAAATGGCAGGATACCATCCAGCTCCAGAAGACTTACGAACAAATGAAGCTAGCCAAAGACAGAGAGGCGGATCGCATCTGGATCGTCAACGTAGGCGACATTAAGCCTGCTGAGATGGCTATCAGCCATTGGTTCGACATTGCCTACGACATCGACGCTTACGATGAGACCTCCGTTCCCCAATGGATCACGGAATGGGCTGCTCGAAACTTTGGAGAAGAGCACGCCCAGGAAATCTCAGATGTCATGGATGAATACGGCGCGCTCGCGAACATGCGTAAATTTGAGTGGGTCGAGCCTTCATCCTACAGCATTCTCAACTATGAGGAGGCAGACCACATCCTGGCCAGGTGGCGGGCAATTGCGAAGACGGCCCAGGACATCAATGATGCTCTTCCTGCAGAGGCGCAGCCTGCCTTTTACCAATTGGTGCTGCACAGAGTTCTTGCTGGTGGAAACTTTGTCGACATTCAGGTCGCCGGTGCCAGAAACATGATCTATGCACAAATGGGCAGAAACAGCGCAAACAGATGGATGCAGCACGTCATCGACGGTATGAAAATCGACCACAACCTTACCAGGAAGTACCACACACTACTGAATGGCAAGTGGAACCACATGATGGACCAGACTCACCTTGGATATCAAGGCTACTGGTGAGTACCCGAGCAGTTTCACTGAACAGCAGCACTGACCATGATTTCAGGCAACAACCAATGCGTCAATCTACTCCCGATCTTCGTTGGGTGCAGACTCTGGAAGATAGTCTTGCGGGTAACATGGGCATCGCCGTTGAGGGCAGCAATGCCACCATTCCCGGTGACGATATGTGGCACAGCAACGGTGGCAGTTCCCTCACTTTGCCCGGCATGACACCCTACACACCCAAGCGCTGGGTCGAGATTGCCCACCGAGGTACTGGCCCATTCAACTGGAACATCTCAGCTGACCCCTTCATCACCCTCTCCCAAACCGCCGGTACTCTTAATCCTGACGACGATGACGTCCGGGTATATGTCGACGTAAACTGGAGCAAGGTCCCCTCCAACTTTGGCAAGATGAGTACTCTCAACTTCAGCTCATCCACCACATATGGCACCCAAGGCGGCAACCCCCACGTAACTGTCATGGTAAACAAGACCTCCATCCCCTCCAACTTCACCGCTGGCTTCGTCGAATCCGCCGGTCAGCTCGCATTTGAAGCCGAACACTTCACCCGCCACCGCCCCTCCGGCAATCTCTCTTACGCCATCCTCCCCAAATACGGCCGCACCCTCTCCGCCGTCAAACTCAACAACAACCTCGCAGAAGGCCTCACCTCTTCAACAGCACCCATGCTCGAATACGACTTTGTCACTTTCACTCCTACCACCGCCGCAAAGGGCCTAAACGTCACCCTCATCCTCACACCCACCCACAACATCAACCCCAAAAAACCCCTCGCCTACATCACCCAAATCGACAACCTACCCGAGCAACGCAGACAGCCGGTCATTGACCAGAAACAGCCAAACTTCCCGGTCGGTTGGGGCAAAGCCGTAGCCGATAGCGCCTGGTACAATACCACAAATTTCGGGGCCGTGGCGCCAGGAGTGCATACGTTGAGAGTGTGGCTTGTGGAAGCGAATGTTATTTTGCAAAAGGTTGTGCTGGATTTGGGGGGCGTGGTGGCGAGTCATAATGGGCCGCCGGAGAGTTTTAGGGTAGGGATGGGGAATGCGACGGTGGGGATGTGAGGGGTGGGAGTGGAGGTTGGAAGGTTGGATTTGAGTCAGTGGGGAGTTGGAAGTCAGTGAAGAAAAGAGAAAGTATTAATATTATTCGTAATCCAAATATGGCAGTTCGCAATTTGCACTTTTCTACCACCTATCTCCCTTCCTCTTATCTCCCTTCCTCTTATCTCCCTTCCTCCTATCTCCCACTCTCTTCCCCGTCCCCTTTCGATAAAAAAAAATTGACACAGTATCCCCACACAAACAGAATTTGGATATGTATATATATCGCCCCCAGGCACAAGAATCCCACACGTTAAACGCAGAATTGTTCCTACGACTCGAATCCGCTAGGAAACTCTAGATTCGCGAATTCTGGGCTTCTTTTTCTTTCCTGGTCTATTTTCCGAGTGTTTGAATACTTGGTGGTGACGTCTTGCGCTTTGTATCTTTCGCGCTACGTCCTAAGTGTGTTGGATTTGAAACCCAACGAGTAGAGGCCGTTTGAAAAGGATTATGAAATCGAGTTGCTTGAGCGTGGAATCCGGATTCCGCAGATAGTTTACTTAAGGGGTGTAAGTGTCTTGAGGGATTTTCTTTCGAGGATAGAGTGTTTTGTGCAAGCAGTAGTTAGGCCGTATCCTTGAATCAAAGTCTCGACAAGAGCTGTATATACTCTCGCCATCACGAATATCATGATTCCCATCGTCCTGCTTCTACTGCATAGCTCGCCAAGCGCACTAGTTGTCTGAACAATTGATTTAATAATCGCCGAACTGGTTCTTTATATGTGAAGATTTCAACTGACTTTACAATGTTGATATTTTCGATTTTGTTCTGGGTATGATAGTGTGATTCTGCATACAAACCAAGTTTAGGTTCATCGCTATGTTGGAGCGGTTACAAAAGATTCAGCTGTCGGTGTTGACTGTGAATATGAAAAACCACCAGGGTGATCTATGTATCTCTTCCACTCAAAATCTTCTGGAGGCCTGAAGAGGGTTTTCGTAAAGTACCAATGATGATTACGTACTTACTATCGTATGTGTCTCACCCAGGAATGTAAGAACAATATCTCTGGTGAACCATCAGGGATGGATACTCTTCCCATCTTGAGGAGTTGTGTTCGGCAGCTGTAGTAACCCAGGGGAACGGGGAAGATTGATCACTTCAAATAGAGGTAGTAAAGTTGGGAGAAGTCTATACCTCCAACTGCATTCTTTTTTCGTGTTGTGGATAAAAAATAGTCCTGTTCCCTCCAACATGTCCATATTCAAACACAAACTAACTGCCTAGTCTACGCGTCCCCTCTTCAGCACCCTGTGCCACAGCACGGTACTAAAGAAGTTAGGTGGCTCAGCACAACTATAATAACCTAGCTATACTAATCCCCCCAGAAGCTGATAATGTTGCCAAAGTCGAAATGATGAACTTTCGGCATCCTAGAAACCATGACCTGATCCCATGTCTATTCCAGCATTCTAGAATTAGCCATATCCTTTTTCTGGGTCCCAAAGTCTAGCTTTTTGGGTAATGGGTGCTCTCTTGTATTAGTCTAGATTTTATATTGGGTTGTTTTGTCTTATTAGGAGGGAATGGCGGAGTCAACTAAATCCAGAGACCTATATGTACCGCCGTGGTGATAGCTATAGAGTTCTTTTTCGCTTTCGTGTAGCTATTTAAGAGTGCCTGATGGCCCTGATGTTTAGTATTCAAAGACAAATTGTAACACAATCAAGAAACTTTTGTCTTTTCACTTCGAAACTGTTCAAATCAACAGTGACTTATCATTCAACATGAAACTTTTCTTCGCCCTCGACACCACTTTTCTGTAAGCAGTTTGCTCATACATCTTTTACTACTACTCTCCCCTTTCTAACACCACATCGCAGAGCTCCTACTCTGGTCGAGGCGGCATATATGTACAACTGCTTCAACGTCGAGGAACCTTTTCGCAAGACCGCGACACGTTTTTGCCATGAACTCGGCGGGATCTGCCTTGATAAGATGACAAAGCTTAACTCAGTAAACATACCACAAAATCAAGACATATTGTATTCTAGGGTTAATCGACTTTGTCAGTGCATTAGAGACACTTTGATTACGGACGAAGACTGCGCTAAATCCTGCCAGAAGCTTGAGAACGGTAGGCTGGTCGATGAATACAGGTGGAAAGTTAATTGCATGAGTTGGGCTGCGCCATGTCCTCCCGGAACCGCGACCTGAAATATTGACATACTGATACCAGCTTCTCGAAGGCCAGGGCTTCAGCCTTTCACTGAATGTTGGCTAGCGTATCCTTTTGGTTCTTTTGACTGGCCAGCTCAGTTAGCTGATGCTCTGTGCGGCAGTGGTCAACGTTCTTAGTCCTCCGTGATCCCTCCATCAACGGGTTCATCCACTTTGCGTGACAGTACCGGTACCGGTAGACTATAAGATACTATCTCTAAACTGGTGTATATAACAATGGTACACAGTATTGTGTATTAACGGACGATTGCCAAGTAGTAATACATGGCTCAGGCCAATTGCTCCCGACCTATGGCTAATGTTGGATACTGCGATGTTTCCTCGCTTTTATTAGTTGCAACCACCATAGTGGTGTCCAGGATGAGTTTAGTGTATTCAATTTGAACCAATCCTAAAGAGAAGCGCGATCGGCCCTAGCGTAACAATCTGAAGCTCACAATTGGTTTAAGATTGACCGGCTCTTCGTACCTGGGCTACTTCACAATAGTACTAGCTTGATCTGGTCCCCGATCGATGCTTCCGCGTTTCAGGAACGATCTGCGTCATCGATCGGTCTCGCGACGCGAACGCGAGTGCAGGCGCTTCTCATTACAACACAGGAGAGGCTCATCTGTGCTTTGTGAACAAGGACTATTTGTATATGTGCAGAATAACCGCCTTTGTTTGGACTTTTAATCCCCGCACTTTCCAACAACGCAATTACGGATACAGCTTTCATTCTTCACCTTTTGTAACCAACGACTACTCCTCTCGTCCTACATTGATTGCGGCCATGTTACCCAAGCGCAAAGCCACCTCCCTGATCCCACCAAACGCTGCCTCTGCGGCTGGCTATACCGATATCTCCAGCGCCTCTCCTAATAAACGGTCTCGTCTCTCCAAGCCTCTGCCGAAAGCTTTCTCAAAAGTTGCACCAACTGTCAAAGCCATATCCAGAGTGGACGAGAGTGGTGCGCCTGGGGAACATGTCAAAAATGATGTAAAGTTTGACCACTCCAGGCTTGAAGAGCGAGCTGGTATCATAGATAGGAGATACTATCCTGCAGAAATGAACAACGAACGATGCGCCATGTACAACGAGAACAGTCTAGTGAGGCCGATCGAGGCCCTGAACCAGACATTGACAAACACAAAGGACAAGCGAACTACGATTCGTGACGGAGAAGGGGGAACAAGTGGAGACGCAGTCATACATTGGTTTAAGCGCGATCTGCGTCTCCGCGACAATACCGGCTTGTCGAAAGCGTATGAATTGGCGAAGGAAAACAATATCGGAGTGATTGGTGTCTGGATCATGAGTCCACAAGACTGGGAGGCTCATCTCGTGAGTCCTGCGAAATGCGATTTCGAACTTCGGTCTGTGGAAGCCTTGAGCAAGGAACTCAATGAGCTTGACATACCGTTACATATCGAGACAGTATCGAGGAGAAAGGAGGTGGCCTATCGTATGGTTGAGCTGGCACAGGAGTGGAATGTCAAAAATGTGTACTGCAATCTGGAGTATGAGCCCGATGAGCTGCGTCGCGAGGAAAGATTGGTGCGCTTGATGTTGCAAAAGGGCATAAATTTCGACCCACAACACGATGATTGCGTTGTACCACCTGGTAGTTTGAAAACCGGTGGCGGAAAGCAATACGCCGTATACTCACCCTGGTTTCGGTCGTGGTTAGCCCATCTCCATGCGCATCCCCATCTGTTAAACGAACGAACGATGCCTGAAAAGAACCCTTCAGGCTTCCGCGAGAGATTTGCGAAACTTTTCGATTCTACAATACCTGAATTACCAGAGTCAAAGAGTCTGACTGAAGATCAGAGGAAGCAATTTCACCATTTATGGCCGGCTGGTGAAGCAGCAGCAATCGAACGACTTCGAAGATTCTTAACGGAGAAGGTCGCAAAATACAACGATACACGCAACTTTCCAAATCTGAACAGCACTGGCCGCGTGAGCGCGCATCATGCTGCTGGAACACTAGCGGCGCGCACTAGTGTACGACTGGCGAGAGACATGAATACCAGCAAAAAATTGGACGGTGGTAAGGATGGTATCAAAGTCTGGATCTCTGAAGTTGCTTGGCGAGACTTTTACCGACACGTCCTCGTACATTGGCCTTATGTGTGGTGAGTTCATCGCGGCTTTGCCGTAGACTAAGCTAACGAATCATCAGCATGAATAAACCGTTCAAATACGAATACACAAACATCGAGTGGGAGTACAATGATCCGCACTTCCGCTCTTGGACTCAAGGCAAGACGGGTTACCCTATCGTCGACGCAGCAATGCGATCCCTCAATCAAACAGCATACATGCACAATCGTTTACGCATGATCACGGCGTCCTTCCTCGCAAAACACCTCCTTCTTGACTGGCGGCTTGGTGAACAATACTTCATTTCTCATCTCATTGACGGTGACTTCGCATCCAATAATGGTGGCTGGGGATTTTCTGCCAGCACAGGAGTGGACCCACAACCATACTTTCGCATCTTCAATCCATGGTTGCAGAGCGAGAAATTTGATGCCGAGGGAGACTTCATTCGCAAGTGGGTGCCCGAGTTGCAAGGCGTGGAGGGCGCAGCAATACACAATCCTTATGCAGCTGGTGGCAAAGCGGCGCAGATAGCGAAGAAAAACAGATATCCGGAGCCCATTGTAGAGCACAAGTTCGCCCGAGAAAGATGTTTGGCAAGATATAAGGCCGGAATCGGTAGGGACACTGCATGACAAGGACTTGGTGTTGTGGCACATACAACGGAGTATCCGTTCACAGACCAAGTCACAAAAAACCCCAATACCGATTTGCAAGCTTCGTGGAACCATGGATGTTTAATCCATGGCCTTTCCACTCTTCCAGACTCATGGCGCTATCCATGTCATGTGCTGTGCCCCAGAAATTCGCTTCTCGGACCCACTTCCAAATTAGCTTATTCCTTCGTCTGCCTATTTGTACTCCACTCCGTCCACACGGTACTTCATTTTGCAATACCGTTGGAGTGCGCTTGCAATTGTGCAATTATACGGCTCGTTAAGACTGACAATCCAGGACACACAACTATCGACACTGGGTTGACATTCTCGTCGCTTCCAGCAGTTTTTACTGCTTCCTATCCTTGAGCCATGAGTCCGGGGAAGTGTCACCCGATGAATCGCATCACATGCCCACGCTAGTGGAATGACCATACAGCTGAAGTGGTATCATTGGTAAACCGGATAGGCCCGATTCAACTGCGGAGAAGCCGGCTGCATGCACAGTACCTAGTACCTCAGCTGGCGCAAAGATGCTTTTCAGGCGGTACACGTCTAACTACCAGGATACGCTTCCTGATCCTGGGAAGAATGCAGGGCCAGATAGGTTAGACACACGACTGAGTATTCCGATCATCTGCTCGGAAAATTTCCACGGGGGAAAACACAATCACGTTGCCGACGAAGTGTCTACTGTAGTATTTCTCTCCCAGCGTCCTGCCCTGCAGGGGAAAGTACTTAAAGATCCGGAGCAACCTAACATTATGTACAACATCCCTACTGGATGTCGAAAGTCTAGATCAGCTTCCATGGCTGGATGCTGTTCTCAAAGATCCTCTTCGAATCTATTCACCGCTGCTTTCGAGCCGCGGTCAAGTCTTGCAGGCGCCATCATCGATAGCTGCAAGGCACGTAGCATCGCAGGTTACTCGTTGCATCCGAACGCAAGTAATTTTCTCTCGAAGCTATCGCGATGGGTTCCACATGACCTATTGGAAGAACCCAGTGCCCCAGTCTTAGTGGAGATGAAGACGTGGTAAATGCCTTTCTTGACTGGCGCCTGAGTATGCAGTTTGTCAGCATCTTGGAGGATTTCTGGCGCCGCGAAGCTAATGGCATACTACAGCTTGGCAATGGAAAAGCTGGCACCTGTCCCGTACATCTACCGACGCTACCTTGCGTAGTTTACGCCTGGCTTCAATGGCATACGACTTGATATCGCGTCGAGATCCAATATTTCACAGATGAGGCGGTTGCAGAGATATATTGTCTATTGATACTCCTACAGGAGCACTGTGTTCACTGATATCATGGGTTGACTGAAGTCAGGAATACTGGTTATGTGTGCGTCATCATATCTAGCCCACATGAGAGTTATCCTGCGCCCAAGGGTCTGACAAGGATCTATTTGAAAACGGATCCACTTCAAATACCGAGAGAAGCTACATCCCAGTGTACAACACATGGAGATGTGGGACAGGATGTGGAGCAGATTTCTTCTCTTGATCACATGACAGGATAGCTAGAAAAGGCTCGATGAACCGTTCACTAGACGTCATATTCGAGACTGGCGACCAATCATCAGTTTGACGGCTAATTTTCGGGGCGGAGATCTTGCTAATGTCGGTGGGCCTAACCCGCTTGCTTCCTGCACTCCACATTCCCCGACCTTGGCAAGACTATCAACCGTGAAAGATGGCAGTCCAGATGGAAGTCGGTAGCTGGCGGAAGAGGTTGGCTTACGTCTTGGACATCAACTACTGGCCCGAAGATACGAAAGAAATTTTCAATTGCCACATTCTCGGTTTTGGTTGAGTAATGGTCAAATGACAATGACCATGCCATTCCAAGAAAAAAGAAGTACATATAGCTGCGTGTAGAGTGCCTGGTTGTCGGTTTTCTGGAGAACAGATCACGGCTTAGTCCTTCTATTAACTGCATCACAATGGTTGCACGCAATCGTAGCCAGCGAAAGCTGACTGCTTTCACAGCACTTCTTTGCGCCACTTCGGCCATGGCATCCGCCATCTTCGCTCCATCCCCAGGAAATGCCAAGCTGAACATTATCACAGCACGCCAGTCTTCACCAGAGGTCTTGCCATACCGTAATGCATCGCTATCGGTTGATGAGCGCGTCGAAGATCTCATCCAACGGATGAACCTCGACGAGAAAGTAGGCCAGCTTTTTCACAACATCATCACCCAAGGACCAAATGGCACCATAACAAACACCACAGCCCCGGCTGTCAGTGAAAAGCTCATGACACATTTCAATCTCAACGGACCCATCTCGGATGTACGTGCAACAGCAATGTGGCACAATACTTTGCAAAAAATGGCAGCCGATACTCGACTAGGCATCCCTATCACAGTCTCGTCAGATCCTCGTCACGCTTTCAAGTCCGCCGATGGTAGTCAGATCGCAGCGACTCGATTCTCGGCATGGCCAGAGAGCATTGGGCTTGCAGCACTGCGTGACCCTGATACTATTCGTGCTTTTGCTGAAATTGCACGTCAAGAGTACTTCGCCGTTGGTATTCGGTCTGCCCTGCATCCCCAAATTGACGTCGCTACTGAGCCTCGCTGGGCCAGAATTGGTGGCACAATGGGTGAAGATGCGTACTTGACTGCCAAGTTGGTCGTTGAATATATCAGGGGGTTCACTGGCCCCGATGGTTTTGGAAAGACTTCCGTTACGACGGTAACAAAGCATTTCCCCGGCAGTGGACCGGTGCAGGATGGCGAGGACAGTCACTTTACTTACGGAAAGAACGCGACCTACCCTGGCCACAATTTTGAGTACCACCTCATTCCATTCAAGGCTGCTATCGCTGCTGGAACCCGTCAGATGATGCCATACTACTCGCGACCAGTGGGCACTAGCCTAGAGGAGGTTGCTGCTGGACTCAACAGAGACATTGTAACTGACCTTCTCCGTGAGAAACTCGGGTTCGATGGTATCGTCGTTTCTGATTGGGGTCTCATCACCGATGCCATCATCGCCGGCCAAGATATGCCAGCTCGTGCATGGGGCGTTGAGAATCTGTCTGAACTCGAAAGAGCAGAGAAGATCCTGAACGCTGGCACTGACCAGATCGGAGGTGAAGAACGTACAGACCTCATCATCGAACTCGTGAACAAAGGCATGATCAGCATGGAGCGCATCGACATCTCCGTCCGCCGTCTTCTCCGCGAAAAGTTCCTCCTCGGCCTGTTCGACAACCCATACGTTGATGTTGATGCTGCTGTCCAGAATGTCGGACGGCCGGAATGGGTGCGTCTAGGGTACGAGACACAACGCAGGTCTTTTACTCTTCTCACGAACGACAACGATACCCTCCCTTTGAGGCCAGCACCGGGCGCCAAGTTTTACATTGAAGGTTTCAACTCGACCTTCCTCGAGAAACGCAACATGACCGTCGTGGCCACACCCGCCGAAGCCGACTACGCCTTCCTTCACCTCAACGCACCATATGAGCCCCGTCCCGGTGGCTTCGAGCGCAACTACCACTCCGGCAGCCTGGAATTCAACGCAACTGAGAAGGCACGCCAGGCTGCCATTTACTCCGCCGTTCCCACCATTGTCAACATGTACCTCGATCGACCTGCGGCCGTACCCGAGATTGCAGAGCAAGCAGCCGCATTCATGGTAAACTATGGGGCCAGTACGGACGCTTTCTTGGACGTAGTCTTCAGCGTTGAGGGGGCGGGTCCTGAGGGACTGCTCCCATATGACTTGCCAAGAAGTGATGAGGCAGTTGCAGAGAACATGGAGGACGTGCCGTTTGATACCAAAGATCCTGTCTTTAGGTTTGGACATGGTTTGAGGTATAAAGTAGGATATTTGGATTGAATGGTCTGGATGTATGTGAAAATTGATGCGACCCACGAAAGTACGACGTAGCTGTACATAGTTAATCTACATGTTCGAATTGTCACTTGTCATTTTGACCTGCAAGGGTGACTTTGTGTGAAGGTAGATAGAAAGGAACGTGTGCTTTGCGGGACGGAGGCGAAGTGGAAGAAATGGGAGTTGTTATTCAGTGTTATTTTGAGTGAAGAGAACGAGTGAAAGGGTGAGTAGGTTTGGGGGAGAAGTGGGAACTTCGGAGGACTGGTTTCATTAGGCGGACAGGGGGCGGAGGATTGCTCTGTGTTGTGAAACTCGGTTGGAAGATTGCAATACGCTGCATACAGCAACAAAGAAGAGCCGATGAGGAAGTTTACAATTTCGCAGTTCTTTTGTTGTTCGCACCTGTAAAAATGTGAATCCCAAATTCTCCCGACATCGTATGATTTCTTGTACTGCCATCCGTGGCATACGTCAAAGTAATGGAGCACGTTAGCTACGGAAGTACAAAATTCCTTGGCTCTCTTCTCACCTACCTATACCTCACAAGCCTGTAATCGATATACTTTCTTGTTGAGTGAACTGTTGGAATGTCGACGGCTGGTCTGAAACAAGGATAGTAAATCATGTGCCGTGTCACATGTGGATCTCGGCCGCGGGCTTGCATGAGTGGGATAAGGTACTCCGCAGTAGATTGGTAACCGTAGGCTTTTGTGAAGAGCCTCATATGCAGGGCAGCCTTCTACGGGTGGATTCGCAAGTCCTATGATTGGCTGATTGGCAAGAGAGTCAAGAGATTCCTAAACGTTACCGTCTGGCCAAAATCGCTAAGAGACATTTGCCCACTTAGGAATCGGAGCATGTGGACAAATCCACTACTTGTACAATATGAATGGGCAGATATTGTTTTGAAATCGGACCTACCGTTGGCCTTCAGAGGCCTAGCCATATGTGAAAGGGCGGCGATGGATGGTTCCGACATTAGCGCATCCGATGTGCATGCGCTCCCCACAAAGGCGGGGACGCTCGTGGCGTTTGGGGTTACTTCGGCGGGATTCTCTTCCACACCTGAACGAAAGAGTGGGTAAGATGCTTGAACTTTGTCTGTGCACGGTCGGTGAATGTCGAGCGTTGTTGCTTGTTTCAACGCTATAGTACGGAGCTCACTGGACTATATGCCACCTTTTCACCTGGCCTGGTATAGACACCATACGTCTTTCCAGGCCCGTTAGCTCAAACGACCAAAGCGAGATCTGGTGGAAAGTCTCTAGAACGGCTCATATAACTTCTTAGGGTGTAAGTTACAAATTCCATGGAAATCATAGGGAACGAAAACAATTGAAGAACACGGAGACGATGTCGAGAGGGGTTGCGTGAGACTGACGAACAACATCCAGCTACCGACGGGCTAGCGCCTCATGGGTCATCTCCACCATTGACACTGATACACCATCCTTCAACCCACTCTTCAACCAATCTCGTTCCCCTCGCGAACCATTCCTGGCGTTTCTGCGCGTCAGCAGCGCATGCCTCAGGCCATTCAAACACCCGAACACTCCACCTTGCCAGGATCTCTGTCCCCCTGCTCGCGCTTCAGGGGCTATGTGCGCCTTTTATTTTTCCATGACCCGCGTGCACGAAGTTCACCACGGTGGCGACCCATCTCATGCATGTTGGGTTTTTCACTGATGGCTTCCCCGTACTCGGTAGAGGATCTGAAGAGAATGCGGGGATCATCAACGCTTTCTCAACACCAGGAATGTTGGAAGTGATGCTGTCGTGCGATCAGTGGCCGTTGAAAGAAGCCTGTTCAAGACTGCTCGGCTGACAAACTGGAGCCACCCGCGGCCAGTAAGCAACACACTGAGTAGCTTCTTCGCCTTGGCTGTCGCATGTGCCGTTATCCTTCTTGGCTGACAAGGTGTTTTTGAGCATTCGGTCAATCTGATGTGTCCAGCTTAGTTGCGGGGTCGCTTGCCAAGTTTAGTGGCGGTCGCATCCTGTTGAAGCTTTTGTGAGGTGTGCCACCGAAAAGGCTTCGCCGACACTATTGAGCTTGGTCAAAGTAAGAGCTGAAGCACCGTTATCTGTACGACAATGAGTGTGGTACCAATCTCACACCTCCGAAATGCCAGACTCCGATATTCTGGCCTTTGGTAGAGGTGGGCACTGCACAGGACGTCTGTAGGAACCCCGTGGGGTATCAGCAAATGTTGGGGAGATCAACACGCCCACTTCTTCTTTCTCCTTCCGAAAAATTCCTCAAACAAAGATCCATGGTATCCCTGTCATCACCATGTTCGCTGACTCGTACATCTCTAGTGGCTGAACGCACCGGTATGCTTAGTGTCCTTGGCGCATTGTGTGCGGTTACATTCACTGACCACCTTCCACACAAGTGTGCATTAAGCACCTTGGCAACATCTTGGCCCGCGTCTGTACTATGTAGTACTGTCGTACGGACGATTGACAAGGGAGCAGCTGTGTTCCCGACTCCAGGTGGAGACCTACTATCGAACGCACGCGGGTATATATTGAGCATCTCTGCCCTCGATCGGAGGCTAGCATCGCCATCAGACCTGCACCTCATTCGCAAGGTTGCAGTCGCTGACGTACTCTTTGCCCTCATTTCAAGTACAAGTCACAATGGAGAGTACAAACCGCCCTGCTGACCCATTGGCGAAGGGTATCCTGCCCTCCGCGAAGCAGGGTCTCAAGGATCTGTTCGTCTGGGACCAGCGCATCGTCGTGCGAAATGACTATGGAGAAGAGCACTGCGAGTGGAAGAGACCTGAGCCTTTGGCGAACCCCTTCACACTTCTTGGACAGTTGAGCTGGAAGGACTGGCTGTACTTCATCGTCGGTTTCCTCGCCTGGACAGCCGATGCTTTCGACTTCCATGCCCTCTCGATCCAGACTACCAAGCTTGCAGATTGGTATGACACTACAAACACGGCCATCACAACTGCAATCACCTTGACGCTACTTCTACGCTCTGTTGGTGCCGCCTTCTTTGGTGCTTTGGGAGACAAGTTTGGCCGGAAATGGCCAATGGTTGCCAACATGATCATTCTTGGTCTCCTCCAAGTGGCCACCATCTACTCTGGCACTTTCCAACAGTTCCTGGCTGTACGAAGTCTCTTTGGACTATTCATGGGTGGTGTGTATGGAAACGCTATCTCCATGGCCCTTGAGAACTGCCCGTAAGCACATCCTTCTTCGCCGTCCAACGTCAGATGACTAACAAACGCTCAGCACCAACGCCCGTGGTCTCATGTCTGGAATCCTCCAGCAAGGATACTCTTTTGGCTACGTCCTTGCAGCCTGCGCCAACCTAGGCGTCGGCGGTGCCACAAACACCTGGAAGACCGTCTTCTGGGTCGGCGCCGGCTTCTCCATCGCCGTTGGCCTCGCCCGCATTTGTTTCCCGGAGTCCAAAATCTTTATCGAAGCCAAGAAGGCAGGCCATAGGAAAGCCCCCGGTGCCTTCTGGATCGAGACCAAGGCCATGCTGAAGAAAGAGTGGAGGATGTGCGTTTACTGTATCATTCTGATGACCTGGTTCAACTACTACTCGCACACGAGCCAGGACAGCTACACGACCTTTATGAAGGAGAGTAAGCACCTCAGCTCCGCTGGCGCAACACGTGCATCGATCTTGATGAAGACGGGTGCATGCGTTGGTGGTACGATTCTGGGTTACACGTCGCAGTGGTTTGGACGCAGACGCACGATTGTCTGCGCTGCCTTGATCTCCGGCTGCCTCATCCCAGCATGGATCCTTCCCACCACTGAACGCGGTCTCTCCGCCTCGGGCTTCATGATCCAATTCTTCGTCCAGGGTGCCTGGGGTGTCATTCCCATCCATCTCTCTGAGCTGTCACCACCTGCTTTCCGCTCCTCATTTGTTGGTATCACATACCAGCTGGGCAACATGATTTCCTCGCCCTCCGCGCAAATTGTCAACGCTGTGGCTGAAGCTACCTTGATCACTACATCCAAGGGTGAACTCTCCCCCGCATATGGTCCTGTCATGGGTGTTGCGACTGCGATTATCGTCGTGGGCATCGCAGTCACGACAGCGCTGGGTCCGGAGAAGAAGGCTCGTCATTTTGAGGAGGAGGCGCCGATTGGGGCTGCGACTGCGGTCAAGGATATTGAGACGGGGAGCATTCATAGCGAGAAGGATGGCGCAAAGGCGATTGAGGTTGCTGAGTCGCATAAGAGTGAAAAGCTATAGGTTGTCTCTTGCTTTGTCTCCGGATGCGATATGCATACCGTCTGATGCCACATGAATAATCACGAGCAATGGAAATTTTCGCGACGAGCCTTGATTCTCCTTTAAATATGCCAGACCCTACCATGAGAAAACCTGAACTTTGCAGTCTCTGCTTCACTCCGAATCCCCTCCCCTCTCATCATATTCTCCTGTCAACTCCAGTTGCCCTCCCCTCAAAACACTAGCACGCATCCCCAGTTCCCCGTCCACCCTACCAACACAATCCTCGTTGCTCAACCTAAGCAGCTTGCAAAGTTAGTCTGAAAAGGCGCCCCTAGACAGAACCTACATGCTATTTGGCTGCCTTACTTACCAAACTCCCGGCCAGAGAGATTGAGCGCGCGGGTTTTGTTCGGACTGCAGGTGCTCCGGTGAATAAGGGAATCTGGGAATGGTTATGGAGATGGAAGACGTTGGGTGCGGTGCGGGTGGGACATTGTGCTGGTTTGTTATTTGTCTGTTGGCAGGTACAATGAATGGTATGGCTTGAGCCTTTTGGCCTATTTATTGCGGTAAGGGTGTGGTATTGTTATTATCACTGCTTTCAAGGTTCGTGGCGCTTTTTGGAAGGGAATGGGGTATGAGATATTTCTAGTGAAATACTCAAGAAATTACTTGGATCAATGGTACACGCGTGCATCCTGTCCGAGTACTCTTGTTTGCGTTTCTCGATTTATCCAACCTTTTTTTATTCGACCCATTGGTAGCTGTTCATCATGTGACGTGAGTGGGGAAGAGTGTGGTCCTATGCAGTGAGTTGAGGGTTGTGATGGTAATAGGTGCTCGAGTATCTTGGTACTGCGTGTGAGAACATTGGAGGTTGCTGGATTTGATTGGTTTTGGGTGTTCAGAAAGGGAAATGGTGGTTGACGCATGGGCGAGGGGATTGTTCTGAGGATTTATTGTCAGCACGTGATGCAAGTACTGATTTTGAGAACGACCTCCAGCAACATCAACAAGTCTATGTTAGAATGTCCTACACGTCACTTGGACGATGATTGTAGAGTGATTGCGGTATGAACGTTTAATCATGCATTCGATTTTAGATGCATAGTATTTTGAACGAGTAGCGTTCATACCCAGTGCTATGACGATATCAAAACCATGGAAGATGTCATGATGCGATTCAGTTGTTCGAATATCAGGCCAGAGGAGCTCCATTCTGTCTCTCGAAGAATCGAAAGACCAGGAGTGTTGGATGAAGGAGGCATCGGCTGGCCTCGGTGATGGAATGACGCACGGGCCACATGTTCTGGCGCTTTCCATCACTGGTGAGGTCATATTTGCGATTGAACGTGTTCCGTCCAGCGCCGCCTACACTTCAACACCATTCCACTCTTCATCATTGGCACCACAATCACCATGGCGTTTCTCCTCCGGAGGCCCTTCGCTATCACAGCGACATTGCGACAAACTCTCCCCAAGTCATCCGAAACCCTCACAGTGCGCGCTTTTCATAACACGCCACTGAGACAACATCCACAGTTGTACCGTCCCGCAAAGCCCAGAATATCAACATCGAACAATGTCTCCCTCTTCCGACAGACATTCAGAAAGTATCAGCAAGCTGCCTACAATCCTGTGGCGCAGGGTGACGTGAAGCAGCGCTTGCTGTATGGCGCTGGCATCTTTGGCGCAACCTTGGTAGGCATCAACTTCATCTTCAACCGCGAGACACGTGAAGATGGCGGCATGCCACCATTCGAGCGCGAATATCTCAACGACACTTTTATGCACACTGGCCTCGGTGTTGGAATGATTGCTATTGCGGCACGCGCTCTGCACATGAACGGTTGGAGCTTCAGACTCATGAGCGCGAACCCATGGCTTGTCCTTGGCGTAGGGCTCGTGGGCAGCATCGGCACCATGTATGGAACTATGGCGACTCACCCAAGCAAGTAAGTCAATCCGTCCATGGAATCTGGAGTCATACAGTCGGATGCTGACAACTCATAGCTACGTCCAAAAATACGCCCTCTGGTCTGCCTTCAATGTGACGCAAGCCATGCTCCTCTCGCCACTCTTCTTCATGCACCCCGCCATCCTCGCACGCGCCGGTCTTTACACTGTCGGCATGATGGGCTCCATTGCCTTCGTCGGTGCAACCGCAAAGACAGACAAGTACCTGTACCTTGGTGGCCCGCTTCTAGCCGGTGTTGCCATTGTCGCTCTCTCTGGTCTTGCCCCTCTTGTTGTTCCAGCCACGGCCGCGCGAACGCTCATGGTCACTGAAAATCTCTGGCTCTACGGTGGTCTGGCCGTCTTTGGTGGCTTCACCCTGTACGATGTACAGAAGGTGTTGAACCATGCACGTCAGGCTGAGCGTGGCTTGATCCCCAAGGACCCTGTGAACGAGGCTGTGTCGCTGGAGTTGGACTTTATCAACATTTTCGTTCGCATGGTGCAAATTTTGGGAATGAGCCAGAACCGGAAGAAGTAGAGAGATCTTTGACATACGATCGATCGGTGCAACGTAGACGAGAGAGATTTTGAGTTTGCCAAATCCACAAGGAAGTCGATAGACGTTGGGCCTCGTTGTAGCTCTTTTCTTGTACACTACTCTCCGCTCTTTGACGGATGCTTCTGTAAATTGCAAAAAAACAATTGAAATATATGAACCATTCGCACGGCTTTTCTTGGATTCAAGGTCTTGAGACTAGTCTCGGTGGCTGCATAGAGTAAGCCCGAACGCGCTAACTACCCGACATCACTCTCTAATCTCTCCCGATCGACAACGCTGGTTTCTGTGGGGAACAACAGCCACAGCATCTGAAGTAGAGAAATGACATCCCAGTGCACATCAACGATGAGAGATATTGCTTGCTAGAGGCAACTCACCTCAAAACTTGAATTCTTCACCGTTGCCAATCTCAACGCTCGAGTGTCTCGCCCCTTTTCAGCCACCCCATCTCCATACACACTAGCGTGCTCATCCATATTGTCTCATCCTGGCTGCGAAACACCAATACACCTTTGCTGAAACACGCAACGACAGGATCCCACATCCAACAACGTCTTGATGGCGTTTTATAGTTACCCTCAAGGTCGCAGATAGTGCGCAATGACTGCATTAGTGTCATTCGTTTGTGCACGCAACCAATGTGAGCCATCAGTAATATGTTTGAGAGACCCGTGCGCGTGGTCAAATGTGTCGAATAGAACCGAAATAGGAAATGCAAGGGAACAAGCTAACTGATTTGGCTTTTCCGAGGGGAGGTGGAGTGTATGCTTGTCAAATGTTGAAGAGGTAAGGTCAGGGCCGTCTACTTGTCTTTGTTAACTTGGACTGCCTTCGACGTTTGCCGTCTTTCCTCCTTCATCGCGCAGTCATTCTTTTGCCTCTTTGCCTCCTCACCATGGCCACTTTTCTATACTCTCCCATGTCTCCTCCTGAGACTGGGACTAATTTCTCTTTTGTGGAAGGAACCTCGGTCTGCGATTTCATGCACGTGTCCGATACGGTGGAAGTGAAGGATAACAAGACCAACCAGGAGCAAGATCGCGATAGTGATAGTCAGACAACGTGCACACCGCACATGTGCTCGTATTATCAGCCAACCCAGCTACAAAGCCCATCTGAGCCATCGACAGCGAAGATTCAATTACAACAGTCAAACCGACGGCTGCTCGAACTGCTAGAAAGTGTACAAGCAGAGCTCGACAAACAACGCGCCTTGATGCGAGACATTCAGAATCGCGTTTCGACTCTGGAGCACGAATCAGAGAGCAACGCTGTCACAAGAGTCCAGTCGAGCGCTACATCAGTCACAAGCTCATCCCAAACACACATCAAAGCAGCACCAAAGTGCACTAGCAACTTGCCCATGGAGAGCCGCGCCTGGTGGGAAGCCTGCCAGACCTTTGCACACAACTGCTCCACACCCTTCAACGCTACAGAGTTCCTGGTCACACCTCATCAACCTCAACCTCAACAATCCATTGCTTCACCTCAGCAACCACAACAACAGCAACAACTCTCAGCCCTTAATTTTGACTTTGCCTTTGAAAATAACCCTAATAACAATACCGACGACGACGCCCAGACTTTTGTCGCGCGCCCTACTGCTTCAGAAATACTCCTTACAGAAGACTTCAACAACGCCGTCCCCAAGCTTGCCCACGTACCCAGTCCGACAGCGCCGGAATCCGGCATCGACACAACACCCACCACCATCATCCGTAGTATCACTATCGAAACACAGACCCATGTCGCCCCCATCGCCCCCTCCCCCCCAGCCCCCACAACCACCACCACCATCACTGCCCAATCCTCCACCCCCGAACCCCCCATCCTCGAACGCGTCCTCGACTTATCCCACGCCAAAATCCGCGCTCCACCACTCCTGCAGTCCCCGCCCCGCAGCCTGAAAAACAAAGCCAGTGTCGTCACGACGCTGGAACAATACGAGGAGCTGGATGACTGCTACGAGGACTCCGATATCACGGCGCTTCCTGAGATACCGGCTCTAACATCGCCAGTGCCGTCGGTGCAGAGTTTGAAGAAGGCGGGCTTGGGGGTCGGAGGGGGCCATTGGAAGATGAAGAGTTTGTGTATGGTGAGGACTTTGTTGAAGGGGAAGGCTGGCGAGAGGGGGGAGGAGGAGTGCGGAGGGAGTAAGAGAGTGTACGTTCATCGGTGATTTTGTCTGGAGAGAACGGTGGATCGTGGGTCGTAAAGAGGGCGTTAAGGGGTAGTTTGGGATGTTTTGATATAGTGTATGAATAGATTTGGATGCATTTACGTTGTCATTCTGATTATATAAGATAAATTGCGTGTTACGCTATTTTGATAGAGTGGGAGTCTAGTGCGGCGTGACAAGTCCACGGCGACGAAATACACAAACTCACAACTCAGAATGAGTTCACAGCCCCCGCCCTTCCCCAACCTCCCCCCCTACCCTGATAATGAGACTGGCTGCGAAATCGGCACGTGCTCTGCTACCCTCGGCCTACCTATTTTGTGAACACGAGAAGCAGACACACCGTTGCACCAACAGAACCCGTGTCCAAAACCCAGGATATCCAACTTCGCCACTCCATTGAATCCTATAGCCGGGAGAACTCAAAACACGGACACAACGTGCACTAGCGTCCCATACTCTGTCGTAGGCAACCACGCGATATGCCTGCTCTAGCTTCGCAAGACGAAAACCCGGTACGCCGGACCAAGAGTGTCCAAGTGCATTCTAGTCCTACTGGATAGGTCCACTCGATCTCAAAAAATACGTATACGTGTTACATTGAATTGGATATTTATATCCCAAAAAACTTTGCAACCTCGCCCTCCCCCCCTTGCACTCTCCAGGACGCTCCAAAAAGAAAATCCCCCCCGCATGAACAGCGACAACTGCATACCCCCCATCCCCCCCACGTGATGTAGCTGGGATCCAAGATTTCATCCCCACCACCCCATCACATCCACCCTCTACCTTATACCCGCACACTTGCACACCGCCAAGCCCACCTGTGCAAAGCCCACGCACCACACACCCGGGTGCAACGTGTCCCACAGTAATGGTACCGATATCGAGCGCACCGTACCGCACCCGACCACACTGGCCAACTTCATCCCGCGATAAGCCGGCCACATATCCCAACGCTCGGAAAAGCTGGTGCATGGGCGCGCGACAATGCACCCAAGGAGCGCGAGCGGGAAACTTGCGTGAGCGGGAAACTTGCACGGCTAGATGCGTGGGTGCGGGAAAAGGGTGGGAGGATGTGAAAAGGGATTGTGGGTGGGTTGGGTGGAGATGTATGGTGTGCGTGGTGCGTGTACGGTGGGAGGGTTGGTGTGCGGTGGCCTGGGTGGGGACTTGGTGTTGGGTTTCTGTGTTGGTTGGGTTGGGTTGGGTTGGGTTTGCAGGAAGAAGCGCACGTGGAGGTGGCTAAAGATGGTGAGATTGGGATCTGGGAGTTGATGTGGCTGGGGTGAGTGGGGGTTTGGTGGTGTTCAGCAAGGGCTGAGTTTTCGGAGGGATGTGGGTGAGGAGAGGGTGAATGTGGTTTTGAAAGAAAAAGTCGTTCGTAGCGAGATGTTCAACATGGGTTAAAATTGTGTATCATATGCATGTCCACAGACAACTTATTTCTCAGCATCTACAATCATAAAACCTCCCATTTAAAACTATGGGTCATAACAATGCACATTCATCCCGTACAAGGTCATCCTCGAAGCATCATCAGAACAATTGAGTGCCGGCAAGGGTAATATTGCCACCTAGAAAATTCAATGTACAAATACGCAACACTGACAACACAATTCAACCTAATTTTCCAAACCCCAAACTCCTAGCTCATCAAAACTCACATCCCAAAAAAGGTTTCAAACGCAGTACTTCCGTTGCAAATTCGCTGTCACACAGATCTTTTAGATTGTCGGGGGTATAGAACAGAGAAAAGGAAAAAAAAAGAACGCGAAACTCCATGCTACGGCTACGCTGGGTTATATTATAAAGAAGCACTGATTGCCATGTTCGAGTCCAGCAGTCCAGGAGCGGGAGGATGGCCATGTTATACGGCTGGTTGTAATGTCCCTGGATCAATTGTGCTTGGGCAAAGCGGCTCCTAATTGAATCCTACCATCTCCATACCGTAGTAACGACCGACTACCGGGGTAGGTTGGAGCATCGTGAAGGACGTCAATGGCGCTGTGAGGTACATGCTGTCAACGTTGCGGATACCGGTGGTGTGTCCGGATGACAAGGTTAGCGGACCCTTGGGTAGGAGCCGGGCCAAACTGCAGGGTCCCAACGCTGGGCGGGAGCATGGTTGATATTTGGAGCGGGAGGATAGCCTATGGGCTGGGAAGGTTGGTGGCCGATATGCCGAGGAGGAAACTGGCCCGCGTGAGGAGCAGGAGCCGGGCTGTAGTACTGATTGGGACCCTGGTATAATTGCGGACCAGGAGCCTGAGCAAATTGCTGGACGGGAATTTGACCAGACTGCAGACCTGGACTCTGGCCGAATTGTTGGAGGGGAATTCGACCAAACTGCGGACCAGGACTCTGCCCAAACTGTGGCCCAAGACTCTGCCCAAACTGCTGACCAGGCATCTGACCAAACTGCAACCCCGGACTCTGGCCAAATATTTCCCCCCCACCACCAACCTGCTCCATTGGAATCCCAATATACTGCTGAGCAGCCGGACGCCTCGTCCGCCTCGGCCTTCCCGCAGGCTTCTCAGCCCGCGCCATCGCGGTGGCTGCTTGTCGTGCTTCGTCTCGGTTAGCGTGCTGTAGTGAAAGCTGTTCGGTTTGGGGAAATGTACCCAGGACTTGTGGTCTGGCCTTGGGAGGCTGGGGAGTTGTAGGTCGAGGAGGTTCGTGTGCGCTGTCCCTCCTGGCCTTCTTGTGACGGTTGACAGTGGGGGTTTGGCGCCCAAGGCCCATGTCAAAATGCTCTTCAGAGACCTCAGCAATGGTCTCTGGCTCATCTTCATCACGGGGTCGCTTCCCGCTGACACCCCGTTTGGGTGGAAAGTCGTCTAATGGGGGAACGCTCCCATCGTCTTCGCCGTTTTGATTAAACCCTGGCAGTGATGGTTGATTGTTAATAAGTGCAAAGTAGCTTTGTAGACGACGAGTGCTGAATTTAGAGGAATCGTGGTCCAGGTACTGCAGGTGATAAGGGTCAGACTTACAGACGCCATCTGAGGTACTAGTGCAGCTGTCTGCACTGCTATCTTGCAGCACAGATGCATCGACGGAGAGAGGGATGTCATCAAAAGGGCTGACCATTTGCCTAGCCGCCAAAAACTCATTCAGCGCGTCGCTATCAATGATGTCTGGGACATCTTCTTTGTACCCCGAAGGGTATGCTGCAAGAGCAGACAACAGTGAGACATCGATGTGGTATGAGTCTTCGGCTTCCTGTTGTTGAGCCATTGCGAGGGAAGGGGGTTGATTGGGGGTGATAGATGCTGCTTGCTTAACAAATTGAAGGGAGAATAGATAGTAGACGTCAATCGGTGATGATTGTGGTTGCGTGCTTTGAACTGAAATAAATGTAAATCCGATGCCAGACCCGAGGCGGAAAATTTTATATACTTAGTGGTTCTTTTCATTTTGAAGGACTGCTACAGAGCCGCCTAGGCTGCACTTCCGCAAGCTGTGCACGTACCGGCTCGACCACTGTTGCAGATTCACTCAACTCCTATCATTCAAAGACTGGGCGCTAGAGAAACGCATGATTGGGGCTTCGCATCGAAGCTTAAGGGGGGTGCTGCGAGGTGACGTTGTTCATAGCCATATATTCGCTCGTCAGAGGCCCCCCATCATGGAGCGATCATTCCATCAAGTTAGACCTCCCAGATATCCTGAATGCGAACCACAATCCGAAATCAAGCTTGCAACACCAATAGTGTGGATATCGTACCATATCTGCCGAATGAAGTGCTAGGCCTGGGTAGGGTTGTGGCTGAGGTGGACAGCGGCCTGCACTCAAGATGTGGCCTCATCAACAGTTCCGTACCAAGTACCATCGGAATTCAACAGAAGATGGCTCGGTGGGTAGCACGAGTGAAGGCCAGAGCACCCACTTGTCTTTCTGCAACACTTGGTAAGTTTGTATGGAAATGTCCGACGGGTGAGGCTTGGAGACGACGCAGCCTTTGCAATCCTCTTGCGGCCCTGTTTAGGAAAGCATGAAAGGGGGCATAATGTTGCCGGCATATGGGATACGGAGTAAACTTGATCCTAGTGGCGGGCATGATCGGAAACACGAGGATCATGGCATACCGTGCCAGCATCGATATTGACCTTGCATTTGGTGCCTGCACCCTGCTTGTACGCCGTGTAAAAGCTCATAAGATGCAGAGGATTTGCATAGTGACGCGGACATTGGTAGTGGCGAGCATCATGGTAAATCTGATACAACCGGTCGAAGACACTCCCATGTTGCGGATTCCAGGAAGCTTGGTCCTGTCGCCACGATTCAATCGATGATAACTGTCATGGTCGCAGCAACGGCATAAGGAGGGACAGACAAGAGCTAAGCCGTGGTTCCGGTGTATCCCATGCCAAGGAGAATTGTCGGGGAGAAGAGGGAGAAGCAGTGTAGTGGGCACAAGCAGCCCATGTGGGTGACGGCATACCCCCAAGTCTTCCAGTCCCTGGGCGCCGCCAAAACGCGGCGACGATCAATACTGTTTAAGAAGTCATGTAACGATAGGCAAGGCAGCATGCGGAGAGAAAGGATGGATACACGTCGCAAGCAAGGCCAAGAATAGATAGACAAACGCAAGCATGATCAACATTGTCACCCAGTGCTTGACACGCAAAGTTTGTCAAGATTTGAATCAGGCTCGGGGAATCCTTAGATTTTACGTGCGATTTTTTGATTCCGGAGACGTCTCGGTATCTGCGGGATGATTGTATTCAGAATTCTGAAGACAGTCAGGTATGGAGGAGTAGCACAGAAGCTAAAGCGCTCGTGGGTATTGTACTATACCGAGTTTTCAATGAGAGTTGATCGAACTCGGGAAAACTGGAGATGATGCAGGGTGCCTGGTATGCTTTTAATGCGGTGGTGTAAGAAAGTTAGGCAATATAAAGCCAACCTAAAGGATCATTATTGAAGTCAACGACAAGCCAACTCCAAGGGCCTGTGAATTGACGTCAGCTTCAACCTAACTCTCCCCAAGATCTTAATACAAGGACATGAGCATCAACTCAACCCCCCAATAAAATAACATCACCATCGACCCAACCCAGCAGTAGACCCTCACCAAACCAATGCCCATGTCCAGCGTCGTGCCAAAAACATCCAATCTGGTGCCAACCACAACCAGCCCGCCTCAGTACCCGCCTCCAAGAAATATAGATAAGGGTAAGAAACGCACAGATGACAAAGCATCAACGGAATGTAGTCACACCACGCGTGTGGAGGGTGATTAAATGCCATCGTGGGAGTTTGAATGGAAGCGAGCTTAGGCAAGATCAAGGAAGCCCAATCAAGCCCAGGTCCCAAACAAACCACAAGAATAAAACACTCCAATCCCACCAACCCCCCACAGCACTCCTAACCCCGACCCAACCCCCCCTCTTCCACCTTCAACATGACCCAGCACCTCGCCACTCCAAGCAAAGAGCCACGGGGCTAGGAGAGACACAACGACCCACCTACTCTCCAACAAGAAGCTGTCCCTGCACACAACGTATTAGAAGCCACTTGCTAGATATCATACCCAGCACGCAAGGGCATACGCAACGCCGCACCGACGCTCGATCCGACTTTGCACGCCTCGTCTCAATGCCCCACGTCGAGCTCGGTCCCGGTTCCTGGGGGCAAAAGAAGAGGCGCCAGGAGAAGACCTTTTGCATGCGTTTAGATACCCGGGAGCAGGAACCTGGGACAAGGGGAAAGAAACGCATGAAAAAGGCAGTCGAGACGCCGTCTCCTTGTCAAAAGGAATCGAGACCAGCTCGTCATGGGCAGGTGGAATGAAGCGGTCAATAGGATCTAGGAGTGGCGGATTAGTTGCAGGAGATGTGTTCTTTGGCTATACGACCGAGCGCAAGGGGGGGTAGGAAAGACATTACCGTGAGGAGAGGGTGAGTCAGGAGAGTGAAATCTTTCACGAGGGTTTGGACAGCGGGGTCGCCACCATCTGCGAATACGGCGCCAACGAGGGCTTCGAGGGTCGTGGCTAGCATTTTCGCCGAAATGGTGGGGTTACCGGGGTTGGGGAGGATGCAGGTGGTGAGGTTGAGGTGGGAGCATTGTTGGGCTAGGGTGGTGGTGGTGAGGGTGTCGTTGCGGATGCTAGTCCAGTCTGAGGGCAAGTATGGGTACAAGAGTGAAGAGGAGGAGGGCAAGTATGGGTACAAGAGTGAAGAGGAGGAGGGCAAGTATGGGTACAAGAGTGAAGAGGAGGAGGGCAAGTATAGGTACAACAGCGAAGAGGAGGAGGAGCAAAAGAGCAGGCGCAAAAGGCCAGACGGATATAAGCGTGATGACGAGCGACGACAATGGTAGCAAGGCGCAAGGCTGGACTGTAAGTGGCCGTGGAAACAAGTCACGTGTATGCTTCCTAAACGAACACGAGCTTACTCGAGAGAGAGCTAGGCCGGATGTAGAATGGTGAAGGAGGGGAAAGCTAGTCATGCGGTCGGGTAGTGTGAGTCTCATGTGATTTGCCACTGCTACATCCTGGCTGCTTTGATGACACAAGACAAGTAACGTGATCCTCAAACTAGCCGAGATCACTAGGACACCGTCTGCGCACAGTGACTTGTCTGCTTGTCAGGGCCAATTTTGGCTTTTTTCACATGTGGCACCACGCGTCCTGTGGATTGTGTTGTGTGTGAGTATATATCTATGTGTATGTGTGTGTGTGAGTATATATCTATGTGTATGTGTGTGTGTGTGAGTATATATATATATATATGTGTGTGTGTGTGAGTATATATATACATGTGTGTGTGTGAGTATATATATATATATGTGTGTGTGTGTGTGAGTTGTGAGTATATATACATGTGTGTGTGTTCAAATCAACAAGGCATCTACTAGTAGGCCGCTGTAAAAATAGATGGCTGGGGACTGTACAACAGGGGTAGCTACCAGACTCTACATGACGTCCCGTGTCTGCGGCAACACGATCTGAAGGCGGAGGAGGGGAAGAGTGGGCGGAGGGAATGGCCGGCGGTAGGAGGATAGGAGCCCGGTCAGGGGGTTCCAAGGGTGGCCGTTAGTGCGGTGTGTGGAGGTGTGTGTGTGGAGGTGTGTGTGTGGAGGTGTGTGTGTGGAGGTGTGTGGTGTGGGTGTGTTGTGTGTCATCCTACTAATAGCCGACGACTTGGCGCCAGATGGCCATCTCACCAATCCTTTTTTTCTTCTTCGGCGAGGCGAGGGGAGAGTTTCTACAAGGCGCGGGTTGACATGCATACTTTCGAGGAGAGGGGGAGATGACGACACCGTGGCCATGGAGCTGGATAGCACGGCGGACTGGATTGCTGCTGGACGAGGATGGTGACTTGTTTGGGAGCTGGAGGAGGAGTCCTCTACTCGCTACTCGACTACTGCCCACTGCATGCGCGGTCTTTCCGTCTGTTCGCTGTGCAGATAAGGTGGGCAGCTATGCAGCCTTCGCGCATGGCCTGTGCTGGTTTCGAGAAGCTTGGTAGAAGGGGGAGGCGGAGGGAGGCGAGCAGGCGGAGGGAGGGGGGCTTGCCCTGAAGGGTTGGACTTTCTCCACTGCTCGCCTTGCCGCCAGACTTGCGGGCGGGACGGGCTTGGGGGTTCCCTCCCTCATCCGCTAGAGCCCCAGCAGCAGACAGACGGTACGGGTTGGATTGGAAAACGGTGTCTTGTGCGTGCAAAGACAAGAGTAGTAGTAGTAGTAGTAGTAGTAGTAGTAGTAGTAGTAGTAGTAGTAGTAGTAGTAGTGGTAGTAGTCTGACTTTTCTTGGGCATTCGGAACAGACCATCCTCTGTGTGTAAGAGAGCACACTTTGTGACTTGCCCGCTACCTTGGGCTTTCGGCCTTGCAACCTGCAGCCCACTCGCAGCAAACATTGTCCCACCCAAAAGACTCAACACCAACCACGGCTGACCGACACGACCACGACAGCACCACCATGAGCTGAGCACCTGGCAGCTTCTCCATTGCCCCTTCCCACTCCACGCCCCCACCGCCTTGCCCAATCCTCCCTCGCCTGCCCCGCGCGCGTGCTCACCGACGCCCACACGAGCAGCAGCAACTGCAGCAACAGCAGCAGCAGCAACAACAGCAACAGCAGCAGCAACAGCAGCAGCACAACAGCAAAAACACCAACAACGTCCACAACAAGATGCGCAGATATAGGCCTGCTGGAGGTCCAGTGCGGGCTCATGGCGTCGCGCCCATCCCAGACCCCTTTGCCATGGTGCGCGAGTTCGACAAGCACGCCAATCCCACACAGCCCATCAGACCCTCGCCGCTGGCTGCGTCCACAATCCAGGGCCTGCCCCTCGATCTGCTCGAACGACTACGCTCCTTTCCCCTCTTCCAGACCGCCGACGAGCACTTCCTCACCCAAATCGGCCTCCACCTCAAGCCCCAGCTCTACCAGCCACACGACACCATCCTCACCGAGGGCGAGACGGGCAAGGCCATGTACTGGCTCGTCCGTGGCGCCGTCCGCGTCACCTCACGCGACCAGGAGAGCACCTATGCAGAACTCAAGCCCGGCGCCTTCTTTGGCGAGATTGGCATCCTCATGGACATTCCCCGCACCGCCACCATCATCGCCAACATGCGCTCCCTCGTCGTCCGGCTGAACAAGGAGGACCTGATGAAGGAGCTGCCCCGCTTCCCCGAAGTCGAAACCGCCATCATGCACGAAGCCCAGGAGCGGCTGGCCATTTTGCACCGCAAGAAGCAGGAGCTCGGCGCAAAACGGCCCATGATGCCCGTCCGCCACATCACCGGCAAGCGCGACCGCGACGACGGCGACGGACAGGGCGACGGCGACGGCGACGTCGTCATGGCAGAAGGCGGGACGCTGCGCGAGGGCGAGAGCAACGCGTTCAAGAAGCGCAAGTCGCCCAGCCCTGGTCTCACCGAGGCCGTTGCCCACAGCGCCTTCGGAAGCGGCAGTGTGCATGTGAGACCTCTGCTCAAAGAACTGCCTCTCTTCTCCGAACTCCCTGACGACATCCTGCACTTCATCGGTATGCGCGCCCAACCGCGCTCCTTTGACCCCTTTACCGATATCATCAAGCAGGGCACCCAGGGCCGCGACGTCTTCTTCATCGTCAAGGGCGAGGTCGAGGTCATCCACATGAACCCCCCGGAGCAGAATGGCCACTCGTCGCCCAACGTCGGCCGCAGGAAATCCATTGCCGCCGGCGAGCACCACGTCCAGGAAGTCAAGGCGCGACTGAGGGCCGGCCAGTACTTTGGCGAAGTCGTCAGTCTCTCGCTCGCGCCCCGGCGAACGGCAACCGTGCGCTCCGTCTCGGCCGTCGAATGTCTGATGATCAGCGGGGATACGTTGAACCGGCTGTGGGAAAAGTGTACGCCAGACGTGCGACGGCAGGTCGAATCGGTGGCCAGAGAACGGCTGCAGAGTGCAAGAGACAAGGATGTGGAGATGGCGGATGCGAGCAGCACACCGAACATTGATGATTTGGCGATAGCAGACTCGACGACGAAGACGGCCACCACCACACCGCGAACCCCGCGGCGCAAGAGAAGTGTCCCGTCTGTGACGTTCAACGAGCCCACGACTGCCATGGACAGCCCCATGACGCCGACACGGCGGGAGGACAAGATGATGGAACCCTACGACCCCGACCCCTTTCTCAATGTAGACCTGGACAATGTGCGATCTAGATCTCGGAGAGGATCACTGGCACCGCCCACGCCCGGATCGATGCATGCGCTCGACCCGCCGCCGCCGCCGCCTAGTCCGACGAAGAGCGACTTTGGCAAACCAGCTTCCACCTCTGTTTCACCGCTTGCCCCCTCGCCCTTGTTGCTGCCGAAACATGCCTCCACCCCACCAGAAGCCCCCTTTGATTACAAGCGTCCCCGAATGATCCATCTACCGAGTCGACAGAGCAGAGGGAGACTGCCAGACCCCGTCCTCACCCACGTATTCCAGTACCTAAACATCCACGAGCTGATGAAGCTCCGCCAAATCTCCTCGCACTGGCACAGGACCATATCCACCAGCCCCGATATCCTGCACGACCTCGATCTCACCAAATTCAACCGCAAAGTGACGGACCGCTCGCTCGTCGATGTGATTTGTCCCTTTGTGGGCAGCCGCCCCCGCTACGTCAACATCAGCAACTGCTTCCACGTCACCGACGAGGGGTTTGGAGCCCTCGCCAGCACCTGCGCTCCCAACGTCAAGGTCTGGCGCATGAAGAGCGTCTGGGACATCACCGGCCCCGCCGTTCTCGACATGGTGCAAAAGGCAAAGGGGCTCGAAGAAGTGGATCTCAGTAATTGCAGAAAGGTGGGCGACAACCTGCTCGCGAGGGTGATTGGCTGGGTAGTCCCCGAACTCCCTCCTCAGATGGCAGGGGCACACGCACAGCAGCAAGTCCAAGTCAACGGCCGCCGCCCACACAATGGCAAGGCCGCCAACGGACAGCCCGTCCCACAGCCACTCCCGCCTGGCACGGTGGTTGGATGCCCGAGACTCCGTCGCCTGACACTCAGTTACTGTAAACACATTACAGACCGGAGCATGGCACACATCGCCGTGCATGCGGCGAATCGCATCGAGAGCATTGACCTCACGCGGTGCACGACGATTACGGATGTCGGCTTTCAGCACTGGAGTGTCTATCCGTTTCCGCGCTTGACGCGGCTCTGTCTGGCCGACTGCACGTATTTGACGGACAATGCGATTGTCTATTTGACGAATGCAGCCAAGGGGTTGAGGGAATTGGATCTGGTAAGCTCATCCCTTGCACCACCCCATACCTGCACACACAAACCCCGCACAATCACACCCACACCAACAACACCACTAACCCACAAACCCCCAGTCCTTCTGCTGCGCCCTCTCCGACACAGCAACCGAAGTCCTCGCCCTCGGCCTGCCCTCCCTCACCCACCTCAACCTCGCCTTTTGCGGCTCCGCCGTCTCAGACACCTCGCTTCGCTGCATCTCCCTCCACCTCCTCGAACTCCGCCACTTGAGCGTTCGCGGCTGCGTTCGCGTTACGGGGACGGGGGTCGAGGCCGTGGTCGAGGGGTGTAGGGAATTGGAGCGGTTTGATGTTAGTCAGTGTAAGAATTTGGGGCGCTGGTTGGAGGCGGGGGGGGTGGAGGGGGTTAGGGGGATGGGCAGACGGGTTCGGTTTGAGACGGTTGCGGATGGGAGGTGGAGGGATGGGAGGGGGTGATTTTTGGGGGGTTTTGTCTTTTTTTTTTTTTTTTCCGAGGGGAAAGGGGGGATGGGAATTTCGGGATTAGACTTTTCTGGGTTTCGTTTTTCTTTTTTCTTTCGGGACAGGTATGTTTCTTTTCTTGTCTTGTCAGCGAGCGACCCTTTTTTTTTTTTGGGAGTCGGTTGTTTTAGACATGGTTTGCATAGACTTGGGATTTTTTTTTCTGGGATTTATGTTTCTGGGGGGGGGGGGGAGCAGGGTTCTGGGATTTTAAGACTGGATGGGGGTCGAGCGGGTACGTATACTGTATGTATGGATTTTGGAATGTATGGGATGGGTTGGATGTGTAAAGCTGGGTTTGTGTTGGTGGGGTAAAAGGGGGTTAGGATGGGATGTATACATTTTAGCTTTGGGCTTTGGACTTTTCAGTCTTGTTCTTGCCTCTTCCCGGCCCTGTTTCATTCCCTTTTACCTTTCCACCCCACCCCCCTACTCCGTTCTACTCCGTTGCATTCCCTTGGTTTTTTCTTTTGCTTTGCCCTTGTTCTCTTGTCTACTTGAGAGTTTTTACATTTGGTTTGTAGGATGGATTGAGGGGGTTTGGTATTGTTTATGGGGTATTTTCTTTGCATGGTTCGTTGGCAGGGGGGTGGGTGTAGGTGGTTTCTGGGGCTTTGAAGAGGGTTTTATAGGAAGCCTAGGCAGGGGAATGGAGGGCAAAGGAGTAGCAGGGAAAGAGTAAAGGGGAAGGGAGTGAGAGGGGAGTAGCACGGTAGAGTATATAAAAATGCAGTATATTAGTATTCACACGTCTATATTCCTACTTCCTCACTAGCACCAGGAAAAATGGAATATAGAATGCAGAACACGGGATCATTGGCGGAGTAACGGTTTCGATTGTAATGTCTAGTGTCTAGTGTCTAGCGTAAAAATGCATTCCATCTAATGTAATTCATGTACTTTCCAAACATGGCGCTTGAGCAGATGGCAGAAGAAGGATTGATCTGGTACTGGTTTTATTTATCCACGTCTGCGCCCCGTCCTTCTCACCCAGCACCGTCCATTGTCGTGATTCATCCCCACCCATCCATCCAACCCTAAATCCACGCCCTCCTCTTCATATCGCTCTCCGGCGGCGGCATCGGCCCCGCTTTAAACCAGTACGCCCTATCCGCCTCGTCCTCGGCATCGTCCGCCTTGACCCACTGGCATTTGTGGAAGGATTCCCACATCGCGGCGTTGAAGTTTCCGCGGTCTTGGTGGTATTGGGGGCCCAGGAGGGGCTGGATGGCCTCGGTCGCTTGTTGGGTGTGGTAGTGGGGGATGCGGCTGGGACGGGGAGGGGGGTTAGTTGGGGGTTTGAGGGGAGGGGAAGGGGAATAGAAAGGACGAGGAATGGGAAGGATAAACTGACGAGAAGAGGTGGTGGATGACGTGGTAATCCGCAATATTGTGAAGCATATGCTTGCCCGCAAACCCAAGGTTGCGATCCACCGTTGCCAATGCGCCTTTGATGAACGTCCAGGCTTCGGGCTGGTATTTGGGTAGCTCGGGGTGCGTGTGGTGCAGATAGGTGATTGCTACGATCCAGTGGTTCAGCCACAGGTACGGCTGCCCGTACATCAGCGCCACGCTCGCGAATCCAATCTTCTGGCCAGCCATGTACAAGGCCCCGGCAGTGAGCGCCAGGCCGATATCCGAGGCAATCATGAGATGTGCTTCCTCGGGTCTGAAAAGAGTAGACCACGGGTTCAGGTGCGAGTTCCCCAGTAGCTTGTCCGACTGCTTGCCGTACAAACTCCCAGAGGATGCGGTGATGTTGTTGATGAGGTACATGGGCCAGCCGAGGAGTTGCTGCATGACGAGGCGACCGAAAGCAGCCAGCGGTGCATCTTCAGTCATCTCGTCGAGCGACTCGAGGTGTTCGGCGCTGATGCCAAGTACGGAGGCGTATTGCTCGGCCTGGGGTGGGACGTAGTTGTGGTCTTTGGCGAGGTTGTTGGCGTAGATGTGATGACGGCGATGGGTGGATTGCCATGCAAAGTACGGCGTCATCAACGAAGAATGAATCACCCAGCCAAACGTATTGTTGAGCAGCTTCGAGGCCGAAAACGATCCATGACCGCATTCGTGTCCGAGGACCTGGCTGCCGTTAGCTCGCCCTCTTCTCGTCTGTTTTCCTGTGATTTCCAAAATACCCAGAGACCAGTAAAGGCCAGACCTTGCATGTATCCGTACAACATCCAGGCAACACAACGAGCCGGCGTATGCTCGATCTGGGGAATCAGGAACCACGCAATCGATCCGAATGTGCTAATGACAAGCAAGTCGCGGACGAGGAAGAAGAGCGACTTGGTGTATGAGGGCTTGAAGCAATGAGCTGGGATAGCTCGCTTGAGATCATCAATTGTGACCATTTTCTTCACGCCCTTGACCTCGCCCGATCCGACAATCTCGGCCGGATGACTGGTATAGTCGAGCGTCATTGTGATTGGTATACGTCGACAACAGAGGAATCGGGGTGTGAAGAAGATTTGGACTTGGGAGATGATGAGCAGGAAACTGAGTTCACTGGTCAATCCCCGTTGTTTGGATGGCTGGAATATACGACGACCGCGAGCATTTTATGCATCGTTTTTTCCTCGACGCAAAGTTCATCTCTACAGACGCCCTGCATCTGCCATGCTCACTTCAGCTTCTCCACTTGCTACCGGAGACCGAAGTCTGTTCGGCGCAGGTCCCAGCTCGACGACGAGAACGCGTATTCTTGCCATCATCTTGTGTTGTGGGTTGATCTGGACTGTTTTCATCGCCGACTTGGCTGCCCTATTTCTTGGAGTTTGGGTCGGATTATGGTTTCATTGCACACCGACTCTGGGGGAAATCTCACTCGATGGATTTTCATGGTTACTCTGGATTTTGGGCACGGTACACTCCTGTGTCGTTGCGTTTGAGTTGCTGCGCCATGTTGTTGCCCTGTCGTGTTGGCTCTTTATTGTTCAAGTCTTCTGCTTCGACGTACATGACGCCCATGCATGCTCGTGATGGATTCCAGGCGTCCTCACTCATGACTGTTCCAAGGCTGATGGACATTGAAATGAGTTTCATAACCATCCTAGACTCAGCCGCCTTGTATTTCCTAGGCGGTCTCGTGTAACGAATACATACAGAGGCTCGTACACATGAACACAACGTCTGCAGTCAGAACACACAGTGGCGCCCCGCTCACCGGCTCATCTGCAAGCCATAAGAGCGGTTTTGAAAGTACGGTATACTTCATGCAGCCATCTTCACTACGGTACAAAACCGGTTTACAGTAGCCATATTTATCTAAAGTAGACTAAGAAGTAGTTTAGGTAGAAGAAGTAAACCTAAATAGGGTTTATTATACTATGTATTCCACAAAAGTAAACTACTTTTATTTCTACTTCTATTAATCTACTAGTATTACGTAGTACTGTAATAACTAGTTTCCTACTAACTGTCTAAGTATTTTACCCCTCCTTTCTTTAATCTTCTTCACCACCTCTACCACCTCCACCACCTCTATCACCACCACCACCTCCACCACCTCTATTATCACCACCTCCACCACCTCCACTACCTCTACTACCTCTACCACCACCTCTATCACCACTACCTCTATTATCACCACCTCTATTATTACCACCTCCTATTATTACCACCTCCTATTATCACCACCTCCTATTAGTAAAAATATCATAACTCATTATTATGTCATATGTGCGTATAGCGTGAAGCTAATCTTTTCTACCCCTTTTAGTCTTAGTTAGGTATTATAGCGTATAATAGAAATAAAACTACTTTTTATACTTAATTTAAACCCCTACTATAAAAGTAAACTACCACTTTAATAAAAGTAAACCACCACTTTAAACCTATTTACGGGTATACACGAGGTCAGTTTACACCTATATAGTAAACCCCTAGCGTACCATTCTACAGTAAACAATTTTTTACCGTAGTGCTTACGATCACAACAAAGGATCGGAAACTACGCTGACCGCATAACACATTCCGAACACACTCCCCAAGACAAAATCATAGACGTGGGTCGCATCAAGGTCAGCGTACCACGGTCGACCAAAGAGGTAGCGCAAGCGATGAAACCAGAATCTCGGGTCAGGCAAGCCACAACCGTCAGACTGCTGGTCAGCATCAGCGTCAGTGATTACTATTCCGTCGGCTTTGTTTAACACGCGCAGCCTATCGATGTTGGAATTGCTGTACTACCTCTCCATCTCGCGGAGGTGTTTTCTTTGCTGCCTCGGCCTTGGCATGGCTGCAATGAAGTTGATGAAGTATTCAAGCACAACATTGGGTTGGCCTCAAAGCCACGGCGTTTCATGGCTCATGCCATACTCCCCCTTTCCCCCCTTCGTGAACCCCATGCAGCAATTGTAGAGTTTTTTCCAGCATACTTTGGCGGCTTGATGTGAACGACATACCAGGTCTTTTTCATTTCCCTCAGCTCCGACGGCTTTGCAGTTCCGATATCATTTTTCGACGGACGAGATGCAGGAGCCTGAGCCTCACATGGCTGTGCCAGCACTTACAGGGGATGCGGTTGTCCCAGGTAGTAAGAGTGGGAAAGCCGACACGAATGAGCGCAGTGTAGGAGTAATTCTTGACAGCGCGGGCTATCTGCGTGGATGGAGACTTCATCTTGTCTCTCTGATGTTCGTCGGGCTTGTAGATGCCCCCAGTATCTCAACGCAGCTAACTCGACCTATAGTACTTGTCTATGTCTTTTCCTTGTCAACAGTGAAGTAACCGTCGTCGGTACCGCGCTGGTCTCACTCGTCAAAGACCTAAATGGCATCGAGCAAATGGGATGGGTAGTCACCGGCTACCTCATCACCTACACTAGTACTCCATCAAACTCCCCTGCAGTCCAACAGATGCTAACACGTTCCCCAGGTATGATCATTATCTGGGCGAAGCTGAGTGACATCTTTGGCCGCAAGTATACAGCCATTGCTACCGTGCTCATCTTCACCGCCTTCTCCGGAGCTTGTGGTGCCGCGCAGACTATGAACCAGATGATTATTAGTCGTGTGTTCCAGGGTATCGGTGCGGCGGGGTGCTGGTCTGTCGCGTTAACAATTGGATACGAAATGGTTCCCAAACACCAGCATCCCATCCAAGGTGCACAGTTCATGACTGCGGGGGCGCTGGGCTCGCTCGCTGGGCCTTTGATCGGAGGCGGTACGAGTCAGAATGGGCAATGGAGATGGGCGTTTTTGTTCTGGTAAAAAAAAAACCTCTTCTGTCGAAGTTTTGCTCGAGATTGTGGAATTGACGTCCGGTAGTGTTCCTCTAGGGGCTGTCACGATTTTGCTGCTCCTGATCGTTTTGCCGGCCTCCTTTCCGCATCAGGGGGATTCCCATTATGAACATCCCACTTGGCGAGACCGCATTGCGAAGCGTTCGCTCGCTCGTTTGGACGTTGCCGGTGCATTTTTGCTTCTGGGCGCGACGATGCTTATTGTTGCCGTGTTGCTTGAGGGCGGGCTGTCGATGGCTTGGGACAGCGGTCCTGCAATCGCACTGTTTATCGTGTCCGGGCTGATGTGGATTGCTTTTCTGGGAAACGAGTGGTTCTTCACAAAACATCAGAGGACACTGGAGCCCATCTTTCCGTGGCGGTTTATCCATAACAAGGCCTGGATGGGAGTGTTGCTGTATGTCCCATTTTTGAGTGTCATCCTTTGCCATCAACACGATGACACCACCCGCTAACCTGTTTTCCAGTTTCTCCTTCCTCTCAGGTATACCCTACAACATCCTCATCATCAACGTCCCGCAACGCTACCAAGACGTCACCGGGACTTCACCCCTGACAGCCGCAATACGCCTTATCCCTTTCAACATCATGATCTCATTCACCGGCTTCATAGTAAACGGCTTCATCGCCAAGCGAGGCGTCGCCTGCATCTGGATCCTCCTCGTCGGTTCCCTCCTCCAAGTCAGCGGCCTAGCCTGGTTCTGCGTCCTCCCAGAAGACGGCACAATCCCCACAACCATGTACGGCGCCCAAATCCTCACCGGTCTCGGTATCGGCGCCGTCATGGGAATCACGCTTCTCATGCCGCCTCTTGTTGTTGAGAAACGCGATACCGGTACGTCCAGCCCAACCTCACAATTTCTATATATATATATATATATATACGTTGTTAACCCCCCGTGCCCCCCACAGCCATTTCTAGCGGCGCACTCCTCCAATTCCGCGCCCTAGGCGGCGTCCTAGGTCTCTCCATCACAACCACCGCATTCAACAACTACCTAAAAACCCACCTCTTGCGCTTCGCCCCGCTCTCTACATCGGACTTGCTCAAGGCCGTGCAGGCCGCACACAGTTTCCCCCCGGATGTGCAGCGCGAGATTGTGCTTGCCCTGGCGCAGGCGTATAATCTCCAAATGAAGATATTGATTGGGTTTTCTGCGCTCCAGGTTGGTGTGCTGGTTATGGTGTGGCGTCCTGGTAACCAGATTCGTGTTATGGGGGTGCAGGAGGAGCAGGATAGCGTGGAGGAGGAGGAGGGGGAGGGGGGGCTCGAGTTGGAGAGGTGGGAGTCTGGGAGTGGGAAGTCGAGTGGGGTTGATGAGGGTTTGGAGAGGTAGGGGGGTTTTGAAGGGGGGTGGGGCTGGTTTTGAGGGGGATGGGGGTTTCTGGATTGATTTCTGGTAGCTTTAAGGCTGTGTTGTTTGACTTTTTTTTAAAAAGATTCTGGGTTTTGGGGGTAGAGTTGTCGTTTCCATATCTCGAGGCGATTGAGTGAGATTTGCAACTCCTTCTCAAAATACCACCTCAAAACTCCATTCTTTCGATCTTATCCCACCTGGCAGCACAAATTTGCAAGAACCCATTTTTGAAGTCCCTCGCTATAGTAAATCACCGCACAAGAACTACCTCCCCCCTAGATTCCCTTAAAACCCACAATCCCAACGCACCACCCCACCTCTCCCACCTCTCCCACTCCCAATCCACACGGGAAACTTGGCAGTCATCGCCCAAGCAAATTCTTACCCCTTGGCGCTCACAGCGTGGAAGTAAGATAGATGCTGACCATGCACACACACACGACACCCCTGTCCGTACACCTCCGGCTCAGACATACCCGCATGATACAAAGATGATGGCGGCCTTGAATCTCAGCTCAGAGACGGTACCCGTGGTCCGCGGTGTTTTAGCCAGGTTGGTTCTGTGGGCGTGGGTGTTGCCGCGTGGTAGAGGATGCATGTGCGGTTTCTTTTTCCACGTGGTTGGGGTTGTTGGGTTAGAAAGGGGAGTTTGGGGTTGCACTGCGTGTTTACATGGGATTCGTGGGGGCGTATGGCGCGCGGTTCTCCGTTGCTAGAGGAGGTGGAGTTATTGAAGGGGTCTGGATGTTTGGTGGCTGTGGGAGTGGGAGTGGCAGTGGCTTGGTGGGTGCTGGGAGGGCTGGGGAGGTTGTGCGTTGAGGTACCGGTAGAGGTTGTGATATTGGTACTTGGCAAACCATATAAATCATTCTTGTTGCAGAGTAGAGATGTACTGTAGTATCCCGAGGCACTGTCATCTTGAATATAGACGAAACTCGCATTTTCTCGCTTTGACAGGCTTGTAGGTCTCGTGGGAAGTAATACAGCATGATATGCGTACGGAGCCGCTCATGCACCGGTACGCACTGATAGGCAGGGTTCTTCCCTTCTCTGCATTCCCATGTACGTCCTGCGGGTGTCATCTGGAGCGGTATGCATGGGGCCCCTGGAAAGATTGAGGCTGGACTGATGAACAAGGTCAGACGGTGAAGACCCGAGTCTGCTTTGTTTCTAGATTGTGGGACCATGGTAGCATGATGATGGCGTTTGGCCTCAAGGCCCCCCTTTCTCCAAACCCGTAGGAGCGGCTGACATGACATGTAACAACTGACACGGGTCTCGCGAGATCTTGCCAACGCTGGGTTTGCAACTGTGCTTAGCTTGTGGATGGAGCTCGGCGACCTTGATTGTGTTTATTACATAAGCTTTAGGGAGTCGAGTATATCCCGACTTTTTTGGTGTGAGAAATCACAGAATTTTAGTTTGATGTTGGGATATGCAGAGCTTTTGTTTCTCAAGACCGTTTTTTCATCATGAGTTTTGAGAACTTGACTTCGTTTGATTTGGAGAAGGTGAAAAGTCTTGGTCAACATCTTGTTGCTACGAAATATGAGCAGCTTACCGGCATCGACTTCAAACATGTGGTCGCTACTAGTCTTGAGAACTTTCTTACCTTGAAAGGGAGGGAGAAGATGAAAGTGCTTGGATCTTTGTTGCTGGGTTCTTGGCTTGTATACGTAAGTCATCGTCCTCAACACACCGGCCATTCCATGGCTAATATGAACAGATTATGCTAGGAATCATCTACCGTGTTTACTTCCACCCGTTGGCAAAGTACCCAGGTCCTTTCCTGGCAAAGATCACCAACTTCTACGGCGCATATTACAATGGCAGAGGTGAACTCCACATCCAGACTGAGAAGGGCTTCAAGAAATACGGACCCGTGATTCGGCAAGGTCCGAACAAATTGATGTTCCAAAGTGAAACTGCGTTGATGAGTGAGTTTAGTTTCTTCCGCAAACTATGCCTCGAGATCGACACATTGACAAGGACGCAGCGATTTACCAATCAAAACACGACATCCAAAAGTCGCAGGGTTATACAAGCATGGTGCCCGCACCTGGTGCATGGAACACATTCACAGCTGTGGACCGAGAGTACGCTCGCTTCAGACGGCGCATCCTAGGCCACGGATTCGCAGACCATCGCATCCGCGAGTTTGAGCCCATCATCATCCACCACGCCAAGATGTTCGTCAAGCGTCTCATTTCAAGCCCTGATCCCGAGAGCGCGGGAAAATGGTCAAAAGTATGGAATATGACGGAGAACTGCCGCCACATGGCCTACGACATCATGGGCGAGTTTGGCTTCGGACAGACGTTTGGGCTGCAGACGAGCGAGGAGAACCACTTCATCATCGATGCGATTCATGTTGCTGTTGCACGAGCGGGCGTGTACGTCCAGTACCCTCAGCTGCAAAAGTGGAATCTGGATAAGATCTTCTATATCAACGCGTGGAAGATGCGCAGCAAGTTCTTCGAGCTGATGGGCCGAATGGTTCACGAGCGTGTTGCTGAGGGGAAACATGCAAAGAAGGATCTCTTCTCTTTCGTCATCGACGTCAAGGATCCCGAAACAGGTCGAAGTCTGACAGAGACGGAACTGGCGGCTGAGAGCAGATTCCTGCTTATTGCTGGTGCAGATACGACGTCGACGGGTATGACGGGAATCTTCTTCTACCTCGCATCCAATCCGGGAGTGTTCAAGAAACTGGCTCATGAGATCCGCACCACTTTCGACGACCCAAATGAGATTCGCGGCGGCACCAAACTGAGGTCTTGCAAGTATTTGTATGCGGTCATGGACGAATCGATGAGGATGTCACCGCCAGTCAGCTCTGCCCTCTGGAGAGAAGTGACGTCTGACGATTTCAAGGTCGATGGAAACCACGTGCCCAAGGGCATGGACGTAGGCTGCTCGCTATACGCGTTCCACCACAACGAGAAGCTCTTTCCAGACTCGTATACATTCAATCCAGAGCGCTGGATCGTGTCCGAGTCGAATCCAGCCGAGAAGGTGGCAGCGCTGAGAAAGTACTTCAACCCGTTCTCACTCGGAACGCGAGTGTGTTCGGGCATGAACTTTACGCTCACAGAGCTGGCTGACTCCATCGCTGCGGCAGTGTGGTATCTCGACATGGAGGCGCCGGATCGCACTGCGGAAGGCCTGGGCGGAGGTTACGTTGGTGCAAAGTATGGGAGGCACCGACCCCAGGAGTTTCAGCTGTATGATCACATCACCTGCGGGCACGATGGGCCGTACCTGAAGTTCCGTGTTCGAGAAGGCGCCGAGAAGTGGGCGGCTGAGCTCTTGGACATGTCGGCGACGCGAGCGGCAGACGGGATTCGCAAGGGGGATGTGGGTGAGGCGTAGGAGGCCTAAGTCCCGAGGAAGAAAAGAAAGACTGGGGCGAATAAGTGTAGCATATATAATTTGGATATATAAGCAGTCCTTTAGTCTTGAAATACTCCCCTTATACTGTCCGTTCCAGCTGCTCATATTTCCTTACCACTGTTAATCATTGGACATGGCCACACCAACAAATTCTGACCCTGTCTTTGACAGCCTCGGACCACGCATGTCACTCTTCACACCCCAAGAGGCCGCACCAGGCCAGCTCATCATCCTGTGCACCTGGCTCGGCGCCGGAAAAAAGCATATTGCAAAGTACGCAGCGGGATACCGGACCATAGCCCCGCGTGCTAAAATATTACTCATCGAGTCTTCCGTCTGGATCATAGCCAGTCCTTACACAAGACAATGGGCAGCCATCCAACCCGCCGCGGATGTCGTCCTCGCAGGACTAGCCGCTTCTAGCCAGGCCTCGCTAAAACCAAACATCATGATCCACACCTTCTCCAACGGTGGCACCAACTCTGCAACACAGCTGCTTATTGTGTTGCAGCGGCGGCTGGGCTACGCACTCCCCGTCACCGGAATCTTGTGTGACAGTGGGCCTGCTCGTGGGACGTATACAAAGTCGTTCCATTCGATGCTTCTTTCACTGCCCAAGGGACTCTTCTGGCGTATCATTGGACCCATTATCATCATGTTTGTCACCAACGTGCTGTTTGGCTCTCAGCTCATCGGGTGGGAGAAGCCAGAGCGAATCTATCGGCGGACGCTGCTCGATCACAATCTGGTCAATTGTAGGAGAATCTGTTATGCGTTCTCCAAGGCGGATACGCATGTCGATTGGGATGACATTACAAGCCATGCAGATGATGCCCGAAGTAAAGGCTGGAATGTCAGGGAGCTGTTGTTTCATGGTACGCCGCACTGCAACCATATCTCGAAATATCGAGACGAGTACTTTGAAGCCATGCGTCGGGTTTGGGAGGGTGGCGCACTGGCACCGGGCCCAAAGGCGTTGTTGTAAACTAGGTAGTGCAACCGTAAGCGCGATGGGAATCATCTTGACGACGTCCGTTCGGGCCGGCGAGAACGTTGGTGGCTGAGTAATCCCATGTTCCTATAGATCCTTTGAACGATTAGATTAGACAATGAATAGACATCATGCATTCCAAGCCTCACCATCGGAATCCCAACACATCCTTCCAAGTTCCACTTCAGCTTACCGGTACCGGTACCGTACGCCTCGGCAATTTCCCTTTTCGTCCAACCTCAGGCAATGATGAGTGAACAACCTACGCCGCAGGAAAGCCTTCGGAAAACAGAAATGAACAACAGATAATACCCACATACCAATAATCCTCCATCTCTCACCGCGCAGCCATGGACAGCAAGACCTCAAAGCCCGTGTACGTACCGGCTACAACACGTCGAGAAGACGCGCCCCCATGGATGCGAGGAGACCAATACATCAAGACGGGTTATCGACGCCAATTGTGCAGCGCCCACCGTTGCCTCCTCTCCCTCCTCTACCTCCACAATGAATTTGTAAACGTGTGGTCCCATCTGATACCTGGCATAATCCACACCCTCCTCCTCGCGCGAGAATGTCGCGAATTTGCCAAACAATGGGATGAAGAGCGCTACATGGACCAGATGATTGTCTGGCAGTACATCCTATCATGTATTCTCTGCCTTTTATTCTCTGTAAGCACTACAACCCCATGACATGATCCCCCTTTCCCCCACATCTGTTATTCGACACCTCCATGGGCAAAACTAATAATCCTGTCATCCACATCCAGGCCGGCTTCCACACTCTTACCGCACATTCACACACCACAGCAACCCGCTGGCTTAAAATCGATTACTTAGGTATCATTCTCAACACAGCTGCCGGCTGCACTGCATCCACGTATTTCGGTCTGCGACACCATCCCACCCTCCAACTGTCCTACATCACATCTTCTGCGCTCCTTGCGCTTATTCTGTTCAGCATCATGCTCGCGCCAGGCGCAGACGGGGAGGCTATGAAAATATGGAGGTAGGGAATACCATCTACTTTGCCTTTTCAGTCTACTTCTCATTCTTTGCTTTTCTTGTCTTCTGCGCCCTTGCTCACACAAAGGTGCTCTAGATCGGTTCTCTTCGCGACCTTCTTTGCTAGCGGATTCGTGCCTATGCTGCACGCTTGCATCATCGACGGCGTCGAGGTCCTGGGGCTATTCCCGCTTGCACATGCGCTGGGCATGGGGGCTTGTTATGGCACAGGAGTTGTGTTTTACATCACTCGGTTCCCAGAGAAATATTACCCTGAGAAATTCGATATATGGGTACGTGTACTGCCGTGCAGTCAACACTTGCTTCAGTCGGTATATTTGAGCATGATGTACTAATGGTCATGGTGATAGGGTGCGAGCCACCAGATTTTCCATGTTGTGGTTGTGATGGGGCAGATTACATTTATCACGGGTTTGAGACAGATGGTTGCGGCGTTTAGTCCTGTGTCTGCGCAGATTGCGCAGGAGGCTGGGATTGGGGATTGGGGTTTTGGGCGCGGGGAAGTGGTGGCGAATGTTTGTCTGAATGATGCGTTGTGGGCACCATGATTTTGATTGTCGAGGTTCAGTTTGTGTATTCGAGGCGAAGCGTTGATATAAGTAACCAAAAAAATAATCTTTGGTGCGTCCTTGAGGACCAATATACTCTCTTCATGTTCGTGTAGTACCTTGCTAGAGAAAAAGGACGCAGGCCTCTCGGTTGAGCTTGTTGACTGCGAGCAGCAAAGAGAAAATCAACTCTTGGACACCCGTGGCTTATAGCAACATCGACGACGTTCCGGCCCTGTCCACGGTACGAGATACAAATACTCGTAACTCTCTATAAAAACAATCTCTCTTGGAAGCTGCCGTGGCTATGATGTCGCTGATGGAGGAGTTGAAACTAGCCTTTCCTTGAAGGTTGAGGCAAGTTCGGATCTATGAATACATTTGTAGAGATACGGTACCTAATGCTATGACTTCAACGAATTTTTGCCATGATCGTTTGAGCTATGGGCTGTGAGGTATCTTAGGCGATAGCAAGGGCCCCTGAACATCTGGGAGAAGACAGGGTGAGCGAGGATGTGGTGCTTACTGCATTGTCCTAGTCCCTTGTGGCATCGAAGACTGTGATGAGTTGTTTGATCTATAATGATAGCTGATAGAGATGATCAGTGGTCTTGTTATTGTGTCTTATACCAGGCGTCACACTGTTTGGCTGGGATCGGTGAAGATAGGTCCAGTATGGAGAATGCATTGTATGACCCTAGCTATTCAGCACCATTCCGCGAATTTTTCTACGATCATCTTCTGAGGCATTTAGTCACATTTAGGCTGAATGACGCATCTCAATGTTGTCAATAGGTCGAACGCTATCCCAAGCCCAGGTCAGGTAACCTGCTCTTAGAAACGCCAAAGCTCGCCCAATTTGGCATAGCACGAAGCCGTGGATATTTGAAGCACAGCAATGAAGCTGTGTTTGGAATCTGGACATCGTTCGAATTCCGTGCCTCGCTAGAAGTGTCATGTTATTACTGTCGGTGCTATCGCGTAGACAGAGCGACCGATCGGAGCAGATTGTGTATGAGATCTAGTCCTACGTGGCCTATTCTATCGCTAGTCGTCGGTCGGTGAGCCACTTGAATGGAGACAAAGCAACTGCTTGATGACCCAGAGTGCGCTTAGTTTCCAATCTGAAGCTGGTGACGCAGGCGTTCGAAGCGTGCCTCTGCGCAACTATCAATGTGATTAGAGTTGGGCGGGATTTTTTTTGCCCGTGAAATCCCATTTGTCTTCATCCAAATCTCTTGCCATAGCCTTTCACGACTCCGTCAAGGATGCCCCGCATTCTCTTGCAGCCCTCGATGCCTACTGCCAGCATACCTTCCAAGCGCTCCATCCTCACCCTGCTTTCCATGATGCAGACAGACACTTTGTCGCTCTCCCCCAGTGTGGCAACTGTCAAGAAAGGAAGCTCCAGCTCTTCTTGGTTATTAAGATCCAACAATGGATCATCCGCAGACGCATTGTCGGCTGCCGATGCAGAAGCTGACGAAGCCGCAGTGCAGGCTACAAGGTAATCTGACATGGGTATACCGGCATCAATTAGAGCGAGCGTGGCGGCGTTAATGCAAGCGGCGAGCAGCGAGCCATCCTGCGAGATGATGTGAATATTGAGTGTAATGGTCGAATGTGGATACAAGTGTAGTAGCAGGACGCCTTCAAAAGCAGAGCGCAAACAGTGTTCCATCTCACTTGTGCGCTTGTCGCTCTTTCGCTTTCGCCTGTCAACGCCGCTGAAGCCTGCAAAGTTGATCTCGACCTCGACTTTGCCTTGGCCGTTTTGTCCTCCTCTTTGACCTGATTGACGACCTTCGGCGGGTCCAGTCACGGATACCAGGATCTTTGTGTTGCCCATCTCGAGGTAGGACGAGCCATCAGCAGCTGCTTGGGTCGAGATTTGGGCATGAATGCGCCTCAGTTCGTTCCATCGCCGGCCATCAAGACGGAGAAGCGCGAGGGAATAAGTGCTGGTGTCGAGCGGCATGACTTAGGCAATAAGCGATATTAAACTGGTTCGTGAAGTATTGTATACGCTCAGCCTATAAGATCAACCGCGGGTTGCTGATTGACTCTACTTGGAAGAGCGGCTATCGCAATTGCGAGTGTGTTGATATGGATGAGGATGAAGCTGCAACAATATTTCGGTTGGTCAAAGCTTACCTATCCGCAGGGATATGGAGAGCTCGACGTTTAGCAGCTCACGTGACAGCGTGCAGCGCGTCTTCTTCCCTACGCGCTACTACTTCCACAGCGTGGCGACCAGCCGTCTCGTGCAATATCCTCCTCATCACGTGGTATTGTAATCCACCGATGAGACGTATTCAGCTACACACTGATATGTTCTCACTACAAAAAAGTACCTGCTCTGTCACTCTCATGGCTTAGATTTGAACTCGTCACACTCACCATGTCCTTTTCCAAGGATAAAGCGAAGGAGCATCGTCGAGCCATACGTGCTTTTGCTGAAAGCGAGCCCTTGAACAGTAGTGACAATGAAGATGGACTTGATATAATTGCATCATCGCGTAAAGGCTTGAACCTTTCACAGTATATTGACGGTCAGTCGATGACGCCAAGTATCAAGCGAAATCGCTGACAGACACAGTCTTGACGCAGTCGCAAAGCCAATCTCAGCATGCCAATGCAGGCGAAAGCTCTCAAGAGACCACGGACGAAGTCACTGATGATGATCTTGTCGTAGCCAAAGCATCCGAGTCACAAAGTATACACGAATTGAGTTCAGAGGGGGGCGATGATGCATTTGAAGATGCTGTTGAAGAGCTAGAATCCGAATGGTCAGACGAGGATCCTCGAGCGGTATATCGGGATTTCAAAAACCGAAGAACCATGAAGCGTAAGCGTGTTGCAGCCGAGACAAACAGAATTCGGGCAGAACGCAAGACCAAGACGTCAGCGGCCGCAAGCATTGTCGGCCGCAAACCCTCAAAAAAGAAAAATACAGCTTATGGGTCCATGGACTTTGACCATAATTCCTTGCATGAGGATGCCAACGTTGCGACAACCTTTCTGGATGAGCCCATCCCGGAGTACTTTCTAGCACGACAAGCGGCCTTGAAAAAGCTGCACGAGGCAGGTCTACGCTATCCACCCAGCTATCATGACATTGAATTTCTAGACCCCGTGACAGAGGAAAAGCCACAACTTGAGAGAGCTGTGAAGCCTCAGCGGGAGAAAAAGGATATCAGGCTGAGAGAGTCAGGTGGAATAATTCCTGCACCAATCGCGCAATGGCTTCGTGACTACCAAGTTGAGGGCGTAGAGTTTTTGCACGAACGTTTTGTCAAGCAGACTGGGGCCATTCTGGGGTACGTGTCCTGCTTCAATGACCAGATCACAATTGCTAACTGCAGATAGTGACGATATGGGCCTTGGTAAAACTATTCAGGTCATTGCATTTCTGACGGCGGCGTTTGGCAAGACTGCAACGAACAATGACGCAAAATGCATGCGGAAGATTAGGCGTATGCCAGGTAAACGTTGGTATCCGCGAGTACTCATCGTTTGCCCAGGAACACTAATGCAGAACTGGGAAGACGAATTGTCAAAGTGGGGATGGTGGGAGGTCTACAGATTTCACGGTGCCAATGTTGCTGACCGGAAAGGCGTGCTGGGAGCAGCAGCAAAGGGCATGCTTGAGATCATGATCACAACTTACACCACGTACCGTAATAACGAAAGTGAGATGAATACTGTGGACTGGGACTGCGTCATCGCTGATGAGTGTCATCAAATCAAGAGCAAGGATGCGGAAATAACCAAGGCCATGAATCGAATCAACGCTCTCTGCCGCATCGGGCTTACAGGTACCGCCATCCAGAACAAATACGAGGAACTTTGGAATCTACTCAACTGGTCAAGACCCGGTGCATATGGCTCAGCGCAAGAATGGACGCAGAAAGTCAGCAATCCACTCAAAATGGGTCAAGCGCATGATGCGACCAACGCTCAACTTGCTGATTCACGAAGTAGAGCACAGGAGCTAGTTCATAACATACTACCAAGCGTGTTCCTCCGCCGAATGAAGACGCTCATCGCACACCAGCTTCCTAAGAAGAGTGATCGTATTATCTTCTGTCAGCTTACCGAAACTCAGGCTGATGCTTATCGAACTTTTCTGGAAAGCGACCGATGTGAATTTATCAGAACATCCAAAGAAGAGTGCGACTGCGGTTCGAAAAAGACGAGAGGACATTGCTGTTACAGCGTGATTCCTTCCGAAGGACAACCTTGGCACAGGTTCATGTTTCCTTGCATGGTTACACTCCAAAAACTTGCCAACCACCTCGCACTCATTGTGCCAGTATCATCCGACAGTCGCGAAAAGCAAGCAAAAGATCTACAAAATTTGGAGATTGCATGTCCGGACACAGTCAAGGACTTGTTCCAGATTCGCGACAACATCCTCAATCAATCACAGAGCGAGTTCTGTGGGAAGTGGAAGGTGTTACGGCGCATGCTAGACTTTTGGCACTCAAACGGCGACAAGGTGCTCATATTCTCGCACTCAGTCCGGTTGCTGCGGCTTCTCAAAGGTCTATTTGACGTTTATGGAACAAAGTATAACTTCTCGTATTTGGATGGCAGTATGAAGTATGAAGAGCGATCGAAAGCCGTGGCGGACTTCAACGCAGATGCGAACCAGTTTGTCTTTCTTATCAGCACCAAGGCTGGCGGAGTTGGACTGAACATCACGTCTGCTAACAAGGTTGTCATCATGGATCCCAATTGGAATCCCGCGCACGATCTCCAGGCACAGGATCGTGCATACCGGATCGGCCAGACGAGGGATGTGGAGGTTTTTCGTCTGGTTTCTAGCGGTACGGTTGAGGAAGTTGTCTACGCTCGCCAGATCTACAAGCAGCAGCAAGCCAACATTGGGTATAGCGCATCAGAAGAGAGGCGCTATTTCAAGGGCGTCATGGACAAGTCGAGTAAGAAGGGCGAATTATTCGGATTGGAGAACTTGTTCAGCTTCGAGCAAAACAGCATACTACGCGACATCTTACACAAGACAAACATTGCTGAATCAAAGGCCGGCATCACAGCCTTTGATTTGCAGCTTGATGAGTCTCAGGCAGAGTCCAATGATGATGAAATCCTTTCTAATAAAGCACTTGGCATCACCGATGACGACGGCAACCTTGCTGAGATCAAGAGGCTTGCAGACTCATTCCTGTCAACGCATACAAGTGACACGGAACCACGCAAAGGAAGAAAAATACCACCAAAGCGCAAAGGTCCTGATCCTATCAATGCCATTCTCGCACGAGCTGGAGTCCAGTACACGCATGAGAATTCCGAGGTCATTGGCCGCAGCGAGATAGAAGCTCGTCTCGGCAAACAAGCCATGGAACTTCGCCACGATGCCGATCTAGCTATGAAAAGAGTGTTCCAGGCCTCACAATCACAGTCGCAACCTGAGCATCACTCCCACCAATATGACAGCCCAAACGACGACGATGACGACGAGCTCCAACTTACGGCGAGCAGTACAAAGGGTGAGTTTCAGATTAACTATCGATACCGACCTGATGAGCGCATCCGTAAGCGCCAGTTTTGCAGCATGGCGGAGAGCATGGGGTTTGAGGATCCGCTGGAACTGGCGCTGCTTGTGGAGAGTTCCACGCAGGAACAGAGGAGGAAGATGCTTGAGCGGTTCTACAGAGGGAGGAGGAGGGAGCTGCTCGAGGATTTTAGTCGCGCAAAGAAGCGTACTGTGACAGAGGACTGAAGTGTGATTGAACGCGAGCTGGGAATCACTGACAAGGATGGACGTTGTACAACGTATGGATACTCTAGCAGGCTATATAAAACTCTGGGACTCACTCATGTGATGGTGAAAGCTTAGTTCGCTTGAATATTCGTGCGACTTCTGCAGCACGGTGAGCCGCATTGCATTTGTAGAACGCGTGAGGGAGCTGCACTACGCGTTCCTTCATGTATACCCTGTACTGTGCACGTACACTTTGTATCACAGCTTAGACTACGTGAAATGTTACTGGCCATTCCTCCTGAGCAAGATTCGCGCAACGCTTACACACGGCAGGAAGGAAGCCGGATCATGCAAGCGCAGATTCCAATCCTTGGCAAACGACTCGATATTTTCAACGAAAATGAATGGCACACAAAAAGCTCTAGACGGCTTGAATGAGCATGTTGGTATTGCTGGGCTCAATGGCGTTGCTGTAAGTGAGTTGGGTGTAGACGATTCACTGGGAACAAGACCATTTGGTATATCACTATATGATAGGATTGGCTCTCTCACACCCCATCAGAAAAAAGACTCTAGTATACAGGTCTCCGCGCAATGGTATTCACCAGGGCCGCTACAGGGTGATGGCATCACATTTGAAATAGATCACTCACAAGCATCAACATACAGCAGGCAAAATGCGAAGAGGAGGTTTGAGGGCCAGATGTTGTGATTGGTATTCGGACATTTCGATACACTAGGCTAAAAGGGGTATCGCGCTCTCCAGCGAGTGCTGAAACACGTGATATCGTTTGAAATGACCACTGGCGTCTCCTGTTGTTCCTAGTTGAGATATGCTGATGCCTCCGTCTGCTGGAGCTATGTGTCTTTCAAATCCCTACAAGACTGTAAGTTCTCTGCGAAATTCCCAACTAGTTACCTTGTCTGATACATGGCCGCTTAGTCGTCCACAATCCATCAGAGATCTGCAGGGTGAAAATGCACAGCACAGTAGTTTCTATCTAGCTTCGTTTGATCAAGGGCGCGGGAGTTGAAAGAGGTGTCCGGGCACACGTTCATCATTGATCCAGATGGAAGCGCGATATTGAGTTGAGTTGGTAGAGTCTAGTGGGGCGATGAGGCTGTGTTGGTCAGCCGTGGATCGGACCCTGTGGCGACGTCATACCTCGGAGATATTTGTTCCCTTCATCAACATTCTAGATGTCAATCAGTATAGTACTCTACTACTCTATGGGGGAGCCTCATTATACTTTGGGATCCGGAGTTGCTCCTTCACGGTCCAGCCAGTGGACGAGAGACTGGGGTCCGCTGACATTTGCCGATCATGAGGTGTGCGTGTGTCCGGTCTTCTGGCATTGGCGGTCCCACGCTACATCGTCATACCGGTACCACGACCATTGATGGCAAGGCAAGTCAGTCTGCGCAGTGCGCATCACAGTATAAGCAGCACGTACACACATACACACACACCGCCGGGCCCAAACAACCTCGACGAAGAAGACCCTGATCTCCCAACTACACAACATCTCCCGCGCAGTGTGCGGGGGATTGGCACGGCCTAATTCATGCACGGCCAGTGGGGTGTTCAGCCCGGCTATGGCTTGCGTCTTGGTGGGCCTGTCTGCGGGACCATCTCTGCACAATGATGGCAACACCCCTCGTCGCAGCCCAGTTGAGGCATGCCACGCCAACACGAAGCCCTTGACGGTACCAAACAGCCCCGCTTGGGACGCTTGAATCGAATGTACACTACGCGATGCGGCTATTGGGCTGACAGGTCCCATGACGACACAGGGCGCTGAGCACGCAGGGGGGGAGAGTAGCACGCAGCAGTCATGCTAGAGTACTAGGACTCGGCTTTAAGTGTCAGATGTTCGCCTGACATTATCATTACAAAGTGCTTGACTGTTCCCTGATCACATCTCATCTCAACTCTTGTTTACCACACAGTACACACACAGACACATACACACATCCCCAACACCAACACCAACATGGGCAGACGGGATCGCTCGCCAGATTTGCCTCCCCCTCCTCCTATGGGTAAGCAATGTACGTCCACCTCTTTTGGCTTCTGCCTAGTAGTCACGGATCGCTAATGGATGCATAGCAGACCCGACCTACCACTTTGACAATTATGAAAATGGAAAGCCAAAATGGGCGCCTGGAGTAGACCACCAGCGCGACTATCGCGACTATCGCAACAGTCGACGGGACCACCGCCGTTCACGCAGAGACGACGACCGACCTCCACGACCCCCACCCCCGCCAAGCATGGATGCTCCTCCACCACGACCAATGCCACCCCCAGGCATGGATGCACCCCCACCACCCCCTCCAGGAATGGCTGCTCCACCACCCGGAGCTCCACCACCGCCTTATCCGGGTATGTCTATCTTTGTCTCTTAGCTTCATGGACCCCTACCCTAACACCATCCCAGACAGTCGCGACTATGACCCTCGCCCACCAAAGCCCTACCGCAGCAGACGGGCCCCTTCCTACTCCGACTCTTCAGACTCTGAAGCCGATTACCCACCTCCCCGCCGCAGCCATCGACGCGAAGCACCACCACGAGACCGCGATCGTCGCCGCCGAGATCACGATTCCTACGACTCCTACGACGAACACTACCCCCCTCGTCGCCAACGCGACGAACCCCGTCCAAGCCGCGATGGCTACAAATCCGAAGGCTACAAGTCGGACCGCCGTCGCCGCGATCCCTACGCTAGCCGTCCTCGCGAGAAGCCCCGCCACGACGACCGAGATCGACGAGAAAGACGTCGTGACGATCGCCGCGATGATCAGCGCTACGACGACATGTTTTCGAGCCCTCGCCGTGACAAGCGCGATCATTATCGTGACGAGGATCGCCATGGCAGCGGTGACCGGCGCAGGGGCGATGCCAGAGGCGCTGGGAAACCTGGACAGCCGGAGTGGCAGAGACAGGCTATTGCCATGTTCAAGGACTACGCGGTGCCGATTATCAAGAAGGAGGGCGTCAAGTATGTGCAGAAGCAGATGTCGGGCATGGGAAGGAGGTGAGCGAACTTCGGTAGGTTTCGGGTGTGATGTGGTTTTTTGAAATGTTCTTTTTCTTTCCTTTTGTTCTCTTTTTTCCTTGACATGCAGTGTATTTCCTTTGGTTCATACTATGGGCGGCTGTCTCTATTCCTCTTTTTTTTTCATGTTTTCTTTCGGGACAGGGGGGTGGGGGGTGACTTGAAGGAGGTCAGGCTCGGTGTATACACTATAGACACGAAACCCAGTATTCCATCAATCCCAGTCATGACCCAATTACATCTTTCTCTCATCTACTTGACATTATCCACAAACCCCCGTGATACATATAACCTATCTAGCAAATACCTCGATTCCCTCTAAACATCGACAATTCGTCCTAATAGTTCAACTCCTCTAAACACTCTCGCCCCTCGCATACTGTTTTGGCATACGCAGATATTCCTTTTATATCCAGATATCCATTGAATAAAGAGATGACCAAGATATCTACCAGTATACTCCAATTCCCCCCAAACAAGCATAACAATATCCATAAATATTCTAATACCAACCTAATCCCCCAGGAAAAAAACTCACCTCCCACACTTATCCCACAAGTCCAACACCCTAGCTGAAATTCCTCAGTCTTGGTTTTGCGCGGATCTTTGGGTAATAGGGTGTGGAACTGTTTTAAATTATTTTGGGGTGTGATATCTCGTTGTGGGTATTTGTATACTATGTCCAAGGCGGTTCGGTGTTGATATGATTCTGCTAGGCACGCAGTGCTAAGGTGTTGAGGTGGTGTTTGTGTAAATCACACGTCCAAAAGTTCCAGCTCGAAATCACGTATAAGAAACAGTATTGACGCAGAAGGTATGATGACGGGAAAGGCTTCTGGGATACAAATTCCAATTTCTAGGATGAACAGAGTGTTTGGGATTGAATGTGCGTTGTGAAGCAGGTGACGAAGCTTGGAAGTGGGATTATTGAGATCTGCTTTCCGGCTAGTGGAGGGTTTTACCTCTGTGCGTTTATGATGAGGACGACTTATATCTTCTCCGGGCGCGAACTCGATCCTTCTGGGAACTCAAGATCCATGTGTCTGAAGTTTATCTAACTAATCTTGTCTCGCTTATTGACTGGCAGTTGATAGTAGTCTCGCCCATTTCTTTAAGAGCCTGCTTCTCCAAATTTCTACTAGTTGAGGAGGACTATGCGTTTTGTACTACTGCGTTACATTAACTATTGCCAACTTATGGGGAAATGAATGCGGACGGCAAATAATATGCCAAGTATGAGTTAAAAGAAAGCAAATCTAGCAAAGACATATAAATTACACAGCACAGTTGAAACTAATCATGCATATAGAGCCTTACGTATACTATTACTTATAGAAGAGCTCCTTATGGTGTGTAGAGAGATCTTAGAAGAAGGCCAATGCTTTTTTAAGCCTGTCTTGTTAAGATCTCCAAGGTATGGAACGATCTAGGCTTTGAAAATTATGCTTAATTAGTTTTAGCTAGGATGATTTACAAAGACGTAAGTAATAGTTTAAGGAATATTGTGGTTATTATACAATACACAAACCAGTCATAGAGATACTGGGCGCTAGTATTCAAGGCTAGATTCAACCTCAGATTGATTTTGCAACAGCAGCAACAGAACAAGATATTGTTCCAAGAGTTCATGGACAGGAGCACACAATCTGAAGACACAGCTCAAGGAGGGCAATACACACATGGTACGGACAAGAGAAACGCTGGGTAGAGCCTACCGCTACCAAAGACGGACCGCAGAGGCTATTACAGTACATGAAGAAGTTCTGGCAGCGCAAATTGAGCCCGTCGGAAATAATAATTGTCAAAGACTCTAGGAGTATTCAGGTATGTCAGGGTGTCTACGGGGCCAAGGCAGATGCTCTGAGGCTTTTCAACCGCATGTCGATGCTGTGGACGGTCGCACAAGGACCTTGGGAAAGCCTCATACTAAAAAGCTCTGGTAAATCAGTAACTTTAGCTTGATCGTATCTTTGTGCGGACATATTAATGATGCAAAAGATTTCTTCGATGAAGACTTGCACGGTTACGATCTGAGTCTTGGATGAGCCCACGAATATAACATGTGTACGCTGAGAATAGAGGTCGAAAGGACCGGTTTAAAGTGGTCCCGTATCAACAAGGACTATTCGTACATATAGCAAGGCCGAGCAAGCGATGAACTGGATCAAGGAAAGGCCGACTCCATCTTGTCTCTGGCACAAAGGGCATAATTCAAGGATGAAATGATGGTATAGTTGCTGCGTAGTGCGTGACCTCCTGGGATCTGGCGGATTGGTATGCATTGGATCATTTGTTTCACCATCGGAAATCCATTAGTAGCCACAGCTACGCAACGGGTTGTCGCCCACGAGAGCCGCCACGGCAGCGACAGACGTAATAGTAGCTCCAACAAAGGAGACGTAGCACTTCGAAGACTGTAGATAGCCAGGCATAACTTAGCATCAACTTTGCGAGCCTTTGCGAAAATATCATGTTGTCCATAAACTATACCATCAAGCAACCTTGTGATGCTCACAGCGAAGTCGTCAATTGAGTTCTGGTATATATATGATCAAAGCAGCATTTTCTTCCATTTACGAACATAGGACACTGGAAACTGGTATATTAGTCCGCCTCGCCGTTCATCAAGGTACCGGTTTTGGTATCTGGTTGATTTGCGAGGATAAGGTCTGCGTAAACAATTACGTGTATCTAGGCCACACACCATAGCTACGGACGTTTTAACCACTCAAGTAACTCTCGTCAGTATTAAATATAGTGATTGGTTGTTCTATAAAGTGACTAATACCAGCTGATTCCCAGCTCCCTGCAACTCTAATACATTATCTTCAAAGCCATAGGTCGCGTTCGCTGAGGACGACCAACTTCGATAGGGAATACCAGGATTGACAGAGCATGTCATTTCCCACGGGTAAGCAATAGCGGCGGGATTAACCCTTAATAGCAAGGAATACGAATATGAGTATGCTAATAGATATAGTAGTAGAATGCGGTAGAGTTTGTGATTCTGCTTGCCGTCACGTCCCTCAATAACTCGAATCTCGTCTGGCTCTCAACGTTGCACCGTAGCGCCACAGTATGCCCGTAGCCGGCAACGTGATACCGATGGACAAAAACGCCATCAGACTGTTGCCCCACCCGTATCCCAAAGTCTTATACATCTCGTCCGAGAATAATGGAAATGCAAACGCGAGCAGACTCCTGAGCACCTGGGTTGCAGCCGATGCCGAGCTAATGTGTTCGGGGTACGCATCCATGACATAGGCATGCAAGGTGGTATCGAATATTTGCATACCGAGGGCCAGCAAAGCAGCACCCACGTCGACAACAAGCCAGTAGAGGTGGTATTGCGCCGCCCAGCCGTAAAGCAGGAAGCCTATGGGGGTGAAGAAGACGCCTGGCAACAGAATTGGAATGCGCATCTCGGGTACACCCCCGTCGCCTGAGTGGCTTTTCATCCTTTTGTATACAAAGTCCATGAGTGGGCCACACAGCTGGGAGCCCAGTATCTCGCCAATGCAGATGGCAATGTAGTGCAGGCCAGACGTGGCGACGGATTCCCCGTACGCGGAGATATGTAGTGAAGAAAAACTGGCCAACGCAAAATATAACAAGCCGTAATTGATGCCTGCGAGGATGGCCTGGATCTGGATGATTGGATGAAACGCCAAGAGGCGCAGGGGACGGGATAAACTGCGGCGCAGCTTCCACATGGTCGAGCGGCCGGATTCGCGCATCTCGATGGTGGCGTGGTAGCGAGAGTTGCCAGTATCTTTGCGCAGTTTTTCAGCTCGCTTGCGAAGGAGAAAGGGGGCGTAACTCTCGTATAGCACGAGGAGTGAGATTGCCTCGAGAACAACCTGGAGAATGGTAGCAGACCAGAACATCCATCGCCAAGTGGAATACTCAACAATGAAGCCGCTAATTATGGGACCAATGGCGGCTCCAGTGAGTGGAATGAGCAAGTACAGGCTCACGGAGCGTCCTCTCTGTTCTGGAGGCCATACATCGCCGAGCACCCCGTATGCTAGACTGTATGCTGCACTCGCGCCAAAGCCAGCTAGCAGACGGGCGGCAATAAGCAGACCCTTTGAGTTCGCGAAGCCACAAACTAGATTCCACACTAGGAACCACACACTGGTAGCATGGAAGATGACCTTTCTGCCATAAATCTCTGACAGGGGGCCGATGAAAAGCGGTCCAAATGCTGATGCCAAGAGATAAACAGACAGCGCCATGAATGCCTCAGGCGTGGACATGTGTAGTTCAGATGTGATAGTGCTGATCGCAGGTGCCATCATCTGTGAAAACTGATCAACAATGACTTCGCAATCAGAGGGGGAGCATGACCGTTGAGACCATGATGCGGACAAAGGCCATGCCAGAGACAGCCGCCGTGACACCCCATTTGAGCTTCGTGGACCAGTTGAGCGGGTTACCAGCATCTTCGGCGTCAAATGTGACGAGGAAAGCCTCATCGCAGATGGCTCCATTGCTATTGGTAATATGCTTGCTTTGATCTTGACTTTGCTTCAGGGCGTATTTCTTGATATTTCGTATGTCCTCTTCGCTGTTGACGTGACGTTGTTGCACCACGCCTTCCGTACTGGTTTCCATGATTGTAGACAAGTGACTGGCGTGTACTAGATGGACAAAATCGCAAAAGAAACCTTGGCGCCTTTGTTGGTTATGATATATACGATATGGAATCGGAGTAATCGGACTAGAGCCGGCACAACAAGGATTACGTGACTGTATCCCCTCGCTTCGCTGAACTAACGCGGTTCCCTAGTAGATCATGTTGGCGCTAAACCTAAAGCAATAGATCGCTTCGGGAACAAGGAAAGTTAAAGTTCACCAACTCCGTCGTAAGAATAGATGCATACTCTTATTTGTACGGGAAAGGAGCGGGTAACCGGGTTCTAGAGCCCGCAGGCGGCACATACTTACCTGGTCATGTCCGACGCATGGGGCAACCTACTCGGACATCTGGTTGCGCTAAACTCATCACATAGTAACTGCTGTCAATCGGAATACACGGCGTGGAAGGGCATATAAATGGTGAAACGGGGTTTCCGCATGGCCAATCATCCACTCATATCCTGCCAACATAGCCACACGTTCCAAGGTACAGAGGTTCTTCAACTGCGTCTTCAGGGACTCGAACCTCTATTCAAGCCAGATCCCACATTGGGCCACTAATAGCGCATGGCGAAAGCTGTGGATGGAATGGCTGACTGCATCCAATGCAGGGGATGGGCGTTGCTTAACAGTTCTATCTGCGCCAACAATGTTTCAACCCGATCACTCTTTCGCTAGATTAGCAAGATCTAAACATCACTAAACCACTTGAGTAGCGATATTACCTAGCGTGCTGGCAGACGCGACTTTGTTTAGGAGACGAAGTATATTGTTAGTGAGCACATGCAAACCGAAAGAGTCGCCTTTAGAGCTGAGTGCCAGTTGCCAGATTAATCACCTCCGATATGTTCTTATCGCATACATAAGCTGTGTATTGGACAAAGCTTGCGTTTAGTATTAAATCATAACTGGCGTTCATAATCTTCCCAACCCAATGACGACTCAATCCGAAGCGCACCAGTCTAAATGTTTATCGAAGCTTCTTCATAGCAAAGTATTATACAATACTTCAATATATAAGCTGAAGAACTGTAAGGACAGCACCGACTATTTCACAAGCGCCTCGATAGTTGCCTGCCGGACGCTCCAGCCTTCATCCTCCAGCTGTGCTGCGATGCCTCGTAGCAACTCCTCTGTGAGATCGGTCTGGCCTCACCGTAGAGCGCCTCAGTCACTGCTAGTTAGGGATTTACGATAAAGATACTAAGCGTATAATATTGTTGGTAATTATTTAATATATATCCTAACTGTGTGGCTGTTTTTGATGTTGTTGTGATGAAAAGTGCTGCTGGCGTTCTGCCATGATCGGGTCTCTGTTACCTACTGGTACACAAGGATAGACGTTACGTCCACATCAAGTCCTCCTCGTCTCACTTCGCTTTCTGCCTGCACTAGCCTGCTTCGCCACTCGACAATCCCCTCTATGTTGCAACCTTGACCTAATAGGATAAAAATAACAAAGCTTCCTACGAACGGGCCATTTCCCAATACCGGTACGTTCTTGATTAAATTACGTTTTGCACCCCACCTCGTCTTACCCTCCGGAGCTCTCGTCCCCATAAAGTCCATTACTGCTACTTCCAGCGCCGCTGTGAGTCATACCTCCTCAACAAGCTCGACGGGCCAAACACAAACTACATCTTCAACAAGCTCAACTGTATCAGTCGCTGTTATCCGCCGGCCCACCCGCTAGCACGCATCCACAATGGCAGACCAATGGCCTGCAAAGAAAGTGCGCGAGACCTTCCTTGACTTCTTCAAGCAGAGGCACCACAGTTTTGGTAATAACCCTGGTTTCTCTTGGGCTTGCACCTGTTAACATTTGTCTAAGTTCCACCCTCGTCTGCTGTACCCCACGCTGCTCTTCAGCAATGCTGGCATGGACTAAAATAAACCGATCTTTCTCGGAACGGTAGATCCTCATTCGTACTTTGCACAGTAGAAACGCTCCACAAACTCCCAGAAATGTATACGCGCAGGCGGAAAACACAACGATCTAGATGATGTTGGAAAGGACAGTTACCTCACACATTCTTCGAGATGCTGGGCAACTAGTCTTTTGGCGATTATTTCAAGAAGGAGGCGATTGGATATGCGTGGGAGCTGCTCACTGAGGTTTTCGGTCTCGATCCTAACAGAATCTACGTCACATACTTCGAGGGTTACGCACCAAGTGGACTTGGCCCAGACGACGAGGCCAAGGACCTGCTTCGCGAGATCGGCGTTGCTGATGATCACATCGTGGCGGGTAACATTAAGGATGACTTTCGGGAGATGGGAGACCAAGGTCCTTGTGGCCCTTGCATCGAACTTCACTATGAGTTGATCGGAGGCCGCAACGCTACGCACCTTGTCAACCAAGATGGTCCGGACGTCATAGAGATCTGGATTGACGTTTTCGTGCAGTACAACAGAGAAGCCGACAAATCTCTGCGATTACCCCCAAGCAAACATATCGACACCGGTCTAGGATTTGAACGCTTGCTATCCGTATTGCAAAACAAGACATCGAACTATGATACAGACCTCTTTACTCCTCTCTTCGACAAGATTCAAGAGGTTATAGGTGCTTGCTCGTACCGAGGACGGTTTGGCATCGAGGATACTGATGGGATCGACACCGCTTATCGCGCTGTTGCTGACCACGTGCGTACGAGTGTGTTCGCCATATCGGATGGGGTGATACCTAATAACGTCGGCCGCGGGTACATTGTACGAAGAACTGTGCGACGCGGTGCTGGCTATGGTAGAAAGTATCTGAATGCTGAGCTTGGGTCATTTTTTTCTAAAATCGTCCCTACTGTCATTGAGCATATGGGAGACACGTTCCCAGAGATTCGAAGAAAAGAAACAGAGTTCAAGGAGGTCTTGAACGAGGAAGAATAGGCTTTCGCACTCCGCGTGGACAGGCCATGTTCAACAAATATGTTCAGGCTTGTCAGTCTGAGGGTTCGAAGTACCTTCATGGAGCATACGTGTGGCGCCTATACGACATATATGGATTCCCGATCGACCTGACCAAGTTAATAGCTGAAGAGCAAGGCCTGCATATCAAGGACGAGGAAGTGTCTGCTGCCCAGAGGGGTGAAAAGAAGGTTAACTCTCAGACCACCGTTCACGATCTCGCTAGCATAGCACTACGGTACAAAACCGGTTTACAGTAGCCATATTTATCTAAAGTAGACTAAGAAGTGGTTTAGGTAGAAGAAGTAAACCTAAATAGGGTTTACTATACTATGTATTCCACTTTTACTTCTACTTCTATTAATCTACTAGTTTCCTACTAACTATCTAAGTATTTTACCACTCCTTTCTTTAATCTTCTTCACCACCTCTACCACCTCTATCACCACCTCTATCACCACCACCTCCACCACCTCTATCACCACCACCACCTCTATTATCACCACCTCCACCACCTCTATTATCACCACCTCCTATTAGTAAAACTATCATGACTTATTATTATGTCATATGTGCGTATAGCATGAAGCTAATCTTCTCTACCCCTTTTAGTCTTAGTTAGGTATTATAGCGTATAATAGAAATAAAACTACTTTTTATACTTAATTTAAACCCCTACTATAAAAGTAAACTACTACTTTAATAAAAGTAAACTACTACTTTAAACCTATTTACGGGTATACACGAGGTTAGTTTACACCTATATAGTAAACCCCTAGCGTACCATTCTACAGTAAACAATTTTTTACCGTAGTGTAGATAGGATAGATGACGTACCTACAACTAACGGCACAGCAAAATATCAAAAAGGAGTGATACAGGCGACACTCAAGGCCATCTACTTCAACAAAAAGTTTGTCAAAAGCACCTCGAAGTTCCTCAGGGTGAAGAGTTTGGTGTACTCCTCCACAAGACAAATTTCTACGCTAAGTCTGGGGGTCAGCAATTTGACACTGGACGCTTAGTCATTGATAATCTTGCAGAGCTTGATGTCAGAAACGTTCAATCCTACAAAGGATATGTGCTTCATACTGGCTTCTTGAAGTATGGTTCGTTGGCAGTGGGCGATGAGTTACTCGCCGAATACGACGAGTCGCGACGTCAACCAATTCGAATGAACCACACTGGAACGCACATTCTCAATTTTGCACTGCGGGAGGTCTTGGGGAAAGAGGTTGAGCAACATGGATCGCTCCTCGCACCGGAGAAGTTACGGTTCGATTTTTCCCACAAGACTGGTGTTATTGATGAGGAGTTAGAGCGGATTGAGGAAATCTCAGACAAGTACATCAAGGATGGAAAGTTGTTATTTGCGTCGGACGTTAATCTATCAACCGCGAGACGAAAACAAGGTGTGCGTGCTGTGCTTGGCGAGACGTGTCTTGACCCTGTTAGAGTTGTCTCCATCGGAATGCCTGTGGAAAATCTCGTCTCTGACGTTGCTTCCAAAGGTTGGTGGAAGTACAGTATCGAGTTCTGTGGAGGAACTCATGTCGAGCGAACTAGTGAAGTCCAAGAGCTTACCGTACTCGAAGAGTATGGCATTGCGAAGGGCATCCGACGAATCGTCGCCGTGACTGGTCAAGACGCCTTGGAAGCCCGACGCGTAGCTAGCTCTTTTGAAGCTGAGAGCCTTAATCCGATCGAGCACATGGCTTTCTCTTTCGAAAAAGAAAAGCGCGTCAAGGAAGCTCAACTTCAACTTGCGAGGATTGCTATCCCAACATTGACCAAGAAAGCGCTCACAAAGCGCCTCGAAAAAGTCGTCAAGACCACATTGAAAGAGCAGAAAGAGGTTCAGAGACATCAATTCAATGACGCCATTCAACTCGTGGATACACACTTTGAACAGAATAGCAATAGTGTTTCATTCGTCGCTAATCTCCCCTCCAAATCATCCGCCAGAACCATCTCTGCGGCAGTCAAGCACATATCTAACCAAAACTATGGCAAGAGTGTGTATTTAATCGGCGTCGACAGTGCCACAGAAAAAGTTGCTCACGGATGCTATGTTGCACCGGTAGGCTCTGCTCAAAGTTTTGTGAGAGACATATTGACTAGCTGAACTAACACGTATACCTACAGGAGCACTCATCCAAGGGCTTAAATGCAAACGAGTGGGTCGCGCAGGTCGCAGGTGCGCTAGGAGGTAAACAGGGGGCAAAGGGTCAACGAGCGTCGGGAGTGGTGGAGATGTGGGGAAAATATATGAAGTGGTGGGTGTTGCTATCGAGCACCTTGAAAAGCTGGGGCTCCATTGAGAGAGCTTGGCATGCAGGTACGAAGGTTGAACTAAACATGAATTCACTGGCATGTAGTGGTTCAGTATGTGGATTTATCGAGATGTCAGTGTACAGTACTACGGTTAAATCTACGTAGAAGTGCAGAAAACACGTAGAGACCTGGCGGCTTGCAGCCTTGTTTTGTACATCTAGCTTATGGCTGCCTCCTACCGGTACGTAGTAATATTTCTGCGTCGCCAAGAGGTGAATTCCTCACTCCGAGCGCCCGACATTCAGGCCTCTTATCCAAGAGCTTAAGGTCGAATTCAAGAAGAACACTAATCGAGCATGCCTTCACGACCATACTGCCAAGAGATTTTCACGGACAAGCACTGCGGCCGTACCCAATATGCATCGCTTGTGTCGACGCCATCGTAAATTGGTAGTTGTGCAAATCTTCCGGTGAGCTAGCGCGGGCGTCAGAAAATTGGAAGCCCTGGAATTCGTGGATTGAATTGTACAGCGAGGAATCGAGGGAGATCATGCTTGCCGGGATGATAAGGTGAGCTCCAGGTGGGAGAGCTAGACCGTTGGAGAGGGTACAGGGCTTGCAGACGGTGCGGCTGAATGTCAGTGAATTGAATTGTGTTGTCAATTTGAGACTAGATTGGGGTGGGTGGAGGAGGGACGTTCTGAGGTGGGCTGGATTCATGCACTCACACTCTTCCATGAAACTGTCCAGCTTGCCTGTATGCTTTGATACGTGAAATGCTCAAACACGAAAATTGTAACGACGAGAATGGCACGCGGCTGCCATAGGTCGGGTCCGAAGAACGTGTCAATGTTCTTAGACAATCACAGGCAATTCTGCTCAACTAGGGCATTGAAAAGGCTGAGAAAGATCTTCTGAAAATGTTTCACAAATATGAGCTCAAAGATGAAACGAGTTACGATCTTCTTATAAAGATGTATGGTGACACGGGATTCGACAGCCGCGAAAGATCCTAGATTGAGAAGCAAATCACTCGAATCTACAATCAGGACTTCAGATCAGGAAAAATTGACATGCGCAGCGCACTTTTGTCAAAACCATGTGCCTCTAGTAGTGATCTACCACAAGTTCCCATCCTTGAGCTAATTCTGACATTCTTCCCGCAATTCAGGGGCTTCGAAAGGGGATATGTTCGAGGCTCATTCGCGCGTGGCACTGCTGACTTTCAATCCGACATATATCTTCTCTGCGAGGTCTTGCCCCAAAGTTTTGCCTCGTTCATCAGTCAGGCTCATTCTTGCATCAAAAGCCAGCATTCAGCCGTTGCAGATACACTGTTAGATACCATTGCAAATGACTTTGGCGGCATCAGTTTTATATACATGCTCGAAGTCGATGGCAACTTTTTCCAGCTCGACCTCTATGTTACCTACCAGGGAAGACCATGGAGTGAGGTCTGCGGAACTTACAGACGAGAGATCTTTCGCCAGGACTACCTATAATATGACGCGGAAAAGAAAGTAGCTTTTCTCTACCGTCCACATGAGGAAATAGTCGATCAGCAACTCAAACAAATGCGGGACGTCAAGCCTTCCGTAGGCGACATGTCGCTGGAGCTCAAGTCTTGGATGTAATGCTGAAGAATTTTCTCACACATGGTGACGATTTCGTGGCCAGCAGCGAATGTAACATGTGGAGAAATTGCTTCATCAAGCTGATTCGTCGGAAGTAGGATGTTGAATTTTGAGATTTTGGCTTCAATAATTTCAAGCGACTAGCTGTACAGGTTGGCGATGGAGGCGTCCTTAAGGGCACTTTTAAGAAGACTATAGTCGTCAAAAGAAGCTGATTGATGCGGTTTCGCGGCATATTGGAAGTTCTGTCGCGCAATCGTCACCGCTAAAGCTTGTATCATGGAGAGAAAGTTTGTGACATGTTGTAGCACAAGGGGCATGTCTGCGATTGACCATAGCACTGGACCAAAGCATCAGTTGCTATTTAAAACCATATTTCAGGGGAAGGTCAGGCTATTTTATGGAATGTAGCGAATGTGGAGAAGATATGCAGTCGGGACAAGTGGTTGGAAATTCGATGGTTCAAGCGCACTTAACACTCTCCACTCTTCTATTCTATGTTTGGAACTTTCTCAAGGGTGTCGGGAGTAAACGATGAGAATGTGACATGATGCATGAGTACTTCGTGATCGTTGACATCTTGTGACACTACGGTACAAAATTGTTTACAGTAGAATGGTGACCTAGGGGTTTACTATATAGGTGTAAACTGCCCTTATATATACCTATAAATAGGTTTAAAGTAGTAATTTACTTTTATAGTAGAGGTTTAAATTAAGTATAAAAAGTAGTTGTATTTCTATTATACACTATAATACCTAACTAAGACTAAAAGGGGTAGAGAAGATTAGCTTTATACTATATATATATATAATATAATAATAAGTTATAATATTTCTATTAATAAGAGGTAGTAATAGAGGTAGTAATAGAGGTAGAGGTAGTAATAGAGGTAGAGGTAGTAATAGAGGTAGAGGTAGTAATAGAGGTAGAGGTAGCAGTAAAGGTAAAGGTAGTAAAGAAGATTAAAGAGAGGAGGGGTAAAATACTTTAATAGTTAGTAGGAAATTAGTTATTACTATATAATACTAGTAGATTAATAGAAGTAGAAATAAAAGTAGTTTACTTTTATAGAATATATAGTATAATAAACCCTATTTAGGTATACTTCTTCTATATATACTACTTTATAGTCTACTTTAGATAAATATAGCTACTGTAAACCAGTTTTGTACTGTAGTGGAGGTCTATCTCCCTGACATGCGCGCCCTCCTTCCCGCTCTCGAAACCCACGCGACACAACGTGGGCTAAGTACACCCACCCTGATCCAGCAACTTGAAGCCTTTTCTTCCCGGTGGTGTCTCCCGAGGTATCAAGAAATTCACCAAGTTTTTTTTCAAAAATTCCTGTGCCTATTTCAAAAGAACTCTTGTCACCACTGGCTCACGCATGGTCACCCTCGGTCAGATACGTATCGAACTGAATGTATACTCTAAACCATGTTACGGGAGTTTATGTTACGTGTCTGTAATGAGGGAATATTGGCTCGTCTCCGTCGACATGATCCACGAACATTCCTGGATGGCTGTACGTTTGGGCCTTTCCGTGCTATTATGACTTTCTGGAAGGCGTGTGCGCATGAGGTTGTTGGCTTGGTGGTGTGGCGTGATGAGGAGATTTGGATGGTTGGGGAGGAGGTGGAGGCGATGGAAGGAAATGCAGATGTTGGAGAGGAAGTCGATGGAGAAGTGGCAGGCGTCGATGAAAACGCAGCCGAGTAACTTTGCTGCGTGAGAGCTCAGGCTGTATGATCAACCCAACTGACTTACAGCACATCTCGCCCTTCCAAGCAAGCTCGCATTGTAAGTTCTGCCGTAAATGGACGTTGTGTCGTTATTTGCCACCGCATCCTCCTGACAGCTCTTAGCTGTAGACTTTTATCGTCATCCTTGCACTGGTTCTCGTTTGAATCTAAATGTAGAATATCACAGCTTCATTACCTGCCTATCTCTGCCCGTTCCTTCTTTGAATGATACCGACGTGTTTCCCTGCTTTTTCTAATTCCACCATCTCCCAGCACTGGAACATGATAGCTGAGGTAGCCAAGTGGGGAAAGTGACTTGAGTATTTTGGTCAGCGAGCGCTGTTTCCTGAGGCTTATATTTTTGTTCAAACTATAGCATTGCACATTCCTTCCCTTGACCTCCATAAACTTGGATCTTGACTCCGATCGATTCCCTTCGGTACTACCGTACCATCTTGCAAATCCTCACGTGAGATCATACTAATCCAATGCAACCTCGCCCCAAGTTATGTGAGTGAGCAATTGCAACACAAGGCATACTATAGTGTTGATATGCTCCACAGAAACATGCTCGCGATCACCTTGAATAATCAAAGGCGATTTTATTTTTCTTTCTTCACTGCGCTGTGTTAAGTCAAATTGTGCGTTGTATCTTGGCCCATGGACTGTGAATAGTCAAACGAGATCTCGCTAATACCACTCCGATCAATCGGCATAACACTTGCAGAACAAAAGAGTGTGTGGTGAAGAGGAAAGTGAGTTTACTATAGTAAAATAGCCTTGGTAAAACGCTAACTGTAAATGCTATGAACTGCTAAGTGTTTGTAATATGTACCAAGCTCGCCCACATGAGCGGCCTGTCGACCTTCTACAGATCTCAAGCCGTATCAAGACCCAAGTTCTGCAACACTTTGACCAAATCAACCTCGACAATTTTATCCCAACCCCTCTCAGAGCCCCAGGTAACACTCTTCTGATTCAGCTTCGTCTCCTCTAGTAAGCCCTTCAACAGCGGGCTTGACTTCGATACACTCGGATATGCATCAAACTCAACTTCGCTAATCGAAGCCACTTGCCCCAGCAAAGCTCTAAGCAAGCCGACACAGTACTCTGTGTAAAAGTTTTGTCCCACGCGGAAGCCTTCGAAAACTTCATTGGACGCAGGATCAATCTCAATGAAGATCTTGAGCTTATACAGCTTCTTCGCCGCCGCCAGACCCAGACGGCTATCCACGACCCAGCATTTCGGCGGGCGTGTGAAGCCAGGGCCGAGGCGCAGCTCCAGCCTCGTTATGTGTGCGCGGTATCGGCGGGGAAACCAAGCGAGGAGCGGGTGCTTGCGATTAATGTAGCGCCCGTGAATGGGAAACACGCGAAAGGTGTTGCGGCCGTAGAAGACACGCGACGCTTCCTCGTGCATACGATGATCTACAAGAAACAGACGCAGATTCGGGGCGACGACGCGGTGGTTCGAAGGGTCGAGGTCGATGGTCTTGGGAAAAATGAGGAGGAACTCGTAGACGCGTAGGCGGAGCTCGAAGGGCAGGTCGAAGAAGCGAAACGGCTGGCGCACAACATCATCCTGCTCTTTGACATCTGGCTGCACACCTGACTTGATGGCGTTGGGCGAAGAGGCTGCAATTTCATCCACCAGACGCATTTTACTCATACGATTTACAAGGTGGTCGACAGCCTTGGTCTTGCGCGCCATCTCGACACCCTTTGCTTGCCAAAGCGATCACATCTACCGCCTTGGGACGGCGTTTATGCATACATCGCGTGCGATGATTCTCTCGACGTGTTGTATGCGGAACAGCGACAACGAAGGAAGCCTAGCAAAGAGCTTCAGATACGGTATGTCTCGGAGCTACGGGACCATCTGCCCATTCGTGTAAAGGCAGGCAGTTCTTGGGAGCAAAGATGTTCGGTCTCCCCAGCTTTGTTTGTCAACTGCAAATTTATAGGGAAGAAAACTTGTAGTCAAATTTCTGTGGGTGCAACTTTCTGAAGAGGAGAAGAAGAGCGGTTGGCGGCGAATCGAAGAGTTTTGTCAAGGGATGAGCTTAGTCAGCATGTGGTAGGTAGCCGAGGCCAGTAAGCTATCGATAAGGCAACGGCGTTGTTGTTCAGCAGTGCATGTTCTCGCTTCAACGATCACCCTTCGTTGACATATCTCTTTCCTTTCGAAATATAAAACCAGCCAGCCTAATTTGAATCACTAGTGTAAACATTTCAATATTTGATCTGCGTACCAAAGTGATAATTCAAGTGCTATGTAATTTAAATGTAGTCCAATCAACGCAAACCACCGCCCCCTACCGAGATCCTACACCCCTCCACACACTACACTGGTTCCCATCCTCCACAGTCACTCCTCCCCATCCCCTTTTCTCCTCATCACTCCCTGTTTTCCAAACCCACCGTGATATGACTTTCTTTGCTTGTGATGCGGTAGCGTCTTGGCCATACTACACCGTCCTATCTTTCCCCCAGATCACATACACCAAGCCAACACCATAAGTGCCGCAGTAATGCAACTTGCCCCTTCCTACATAACATTTCTCCAGTCCGATCCTTGAACCGACCAAGACGTCAATGTACAGCCATCATCGCGTCTCCAACCACCAAACACTAGCAACGTGGCAACAGCATAAAAGTTCATACATTCCATTACTTCCCATCTCGCTAATGCTATTCGTCAAGGAATTCCAAGATTCCTGCTGTGCTTATCGGTTATACAAAGTGTGTGAGTCTGTCAGTGAGTGTTGTGTTACAATGGTCCCTTGACCCAATCACCTTGCCTCGACTCGACTTGTGGTAGGAAACGAAGCGGCTCAAATCGTTTGTGTTATAGGAGAGAACAGGGGATACAAGGTGAAAGGGGCATGAGATACTAATACAAGAGAAGAAGAGAGAAAGAAGAGAAGAAAGAAGAAACAAAGAAATCCATCACACCCATTGGCTTCGTCATCCAATCTGTGGCCTTGACAACACCTCCTCTTCGTCATCAATCAAAACCAAGCCTTGGCATCTTCCAGAAGCAAGGGTCCGGAAAGGAAGGAGAGGTAGCTGCAAAAACCAGCTGCAAAAACCACCCTCAGTGGTCCGGCGCGCATGTGTTACAGGGCCAACCTCCACCCAGTTCCGCTGCAAAGACAACATCAATCATTCCGCAAGCTTCCGTGCCAATAACCACAGGTCTACCTCCCGGTCCCAGAGGCGGGCGCCCCTGAGGTGGCGCGGGGTCTGGGAAAGGAGTTGTCGCGAACATGGGGACACCGACGCTGCCCCGACCGTTATATAGGCCGTTGCCGGCGTGGCGATGGTGGTAGCGGCCGTGGCGCGTGAACATGGTGTGATAGTTTGTGTAACGTGGGTTGCGGGACTCTTGCTCGCGAGTGACGTTTTGGATGGATCTGAAGTCGATGCGAGGACCGTGGGGGCGCTCGATGTTGGTGTTATTTACGAGAACGTCTTGCTGGGCGATATGGTCTAGTTGGCGAGCAAAGGGTACATCCCTGTCGTTCATTTGATCGTTGCGCGTTTCAGCTCTATGAGTTAGGGATTCACTGCTACTCTGAGTCATATTCTCGTTCGACTCCTGCTGGCGCCTATGATCAGGAATGGGAGAAGGCGGCATCAACTCGCTCGAAGACAATCGCTGACCCATGGTGGCCAGAGGCGGGGCCGCAGTAATGGCTTTGCACGGCGGCAGATTCTGGTCTGGCATGCAATTATGTACATCAGTTGGAGATGAGAGTGAGTGTCGCTGCTTCTTGTGTTTGAACTTGCGGGGAGACTTTGAGCGGCCATTGCGAAAGCCTTGGTCGTAAGCAACCTGGACTGGATTCATGTAGTAAAACCATGGAATTCCGTGCTTGTCGAGTCCGGACATGTCTAGCGGAAACCAAGGTGCCGGCTGGAATTGCGGCGGATCTGACACATCGGTGGGAATAACATCGGGCGGCTCAGAAGCAGATTGAGGCAGACCATTCTGGTTAGATTGAATTGGTTTATCCACGATAGACCGAGGCACGAATTCGGGAGCAGTCGCACGAAGCTCAGAGCTACCACTAGATCGTAATGAATGCTGACTCTCTGTCTGTATTCGGATCTCAGAAACATACCGCACAGTCCTACCACGTGTTGACGAATCTGTAGGGGATTTGATTCTGGAACTCGGGAGCTCGAAATTTTCGATGCTGTTACGTATGTTGAGACTCCCTAAATCGGCAATCAGATCAGGGTTATCAGTCATCATGACGGTGATCGTGGGTAGTTTTGACGTGTGACGATAAGAATTCGTACCAATGGTCACACCATGGCTATCCGCCTTCTTGCGGCCATATGTAATTGAAGAATCCGTTGGCGCAGGCTTCGCGAGCAATGGCAAAGCCTTAACAGTTGCAGAGCTTGTAGCCCGTGATCCAGGCTCAGTGCCGTCACAATTAGGGAGCCTACTTGAGTCGTGTGTATATGCTACACTAAGGCATACAGGCTCTAGTGCTAGTCGGGTGAGCTGGTCGGATTCGTCAATTTCTGAGGAGGAATAGCCATTTAGGGACCCAGCTAACCCATGAGAGGGTTTAGTAGTTTCCCGAGCTGAGTGACGTGACAGGATAGGGGTCGAGCCTGAACTGTTAACCGTACGAACCTGACGAAGCGAAGAAGCTACAGGAGTTTCCGGCAAAGGGATCTGATGTGGCTCATTAAAGGGAATATTCTGAATGCTCGATTTCGTAGCCAATGAGCGAACAGATTGTGCCCGCTTCAGAAGTGAGCTTTGCGTCGCACTATAGGCACTACCGGACTTGGCAGTTGCAGTGCCGCGAGGGATACGAGAAGGCAATCGTGGTAGATCTGGGCTAGAGGACCTTGGGTTGGTCGTAGAGCTGCCCAATATCACTAATGGCGAAGCAGCCGAGTCACTATCGCCAATGAATCCTGTAATGGGAATGTGCAGTGCGAGTCTCGGCTTGGTATATTTGGTCTTCCCAACGGTCGCAGCTTGTTGCTTGACGGGACTTGTGCTGTCATGGCGACGATGGGACTGTAGCAGCTCAACATCAGTATCAAGCTTCAAATGAGGGATTTGAGCATCTTCAGGATATTCTGAAGCTGAGTGGAAGCTCAGCTCTGTGCCTGAAGGACTTCTTACAGGCGATTCATTCGCAGTGTGGAAAGTTTTGCAGGACGTCGTTACGCTGCTGGCCGCCCTCGAGTGACTACCTGATGTTGAACCAGCTTTGAGCAGACCAGCCCGAGTTGGCGACATCTTCATGTTATTCGTCGTGTGCTGGCTTGGGCTACTTCGCAGTGGCGAGGTGGCGGGACTGCGCCACGACGGCTTGGATGGCGAGCGACGCAGTCTATGTAGGCCATCTGCGCTTGTCGGAGATGACATGTCATTCTCGACAGCAGCAAGGGCTTCTTTTGTCAAATATGTAGGGCTCTCTATGTCATACGATTTGCGAAAATCAATGGCCGAACGTGCTCCACGGATAGTCTTGACTTGGATCGGAGAGCCGCTCTGAGAGTCCTTCTTGTGCGAACGTTCTTTGGAGCGTTGCGCTGTCGCAAGATTCGGGCCGCTGCTTTTCGGGAGCCAATGAGACGGCAGCGACTTTCGCGGACTGTATGAAGGCTGCCCAGCATGTCCGGTGTTATGGGACTGGGCATGAGCTAATTGATCTTCTTCGAGATGACCGTGAACGGTTCCCGCATCCGAACCTGAAAGGCACCGGGTGATTGCGATTGGGATGCGATCCTCTGTATCACCAACAGACAGATGTCAGCCGGTCTGGAAGAACAAAGTAGAATCGAATATGAAAATTGCCCTCCACAAACATACCTTCGCGAACGATTTCCATAGGTAGTGTGGCTCGGCTGTACAAAGGAAACTCAATGTCACAGTTGCGACTAGTTGAGTCACCAGAGAAGGGGCTGGCGTCTTCGACATGCATTTCACTGTTCAGAACGGAACGTGGAGTGAAGGCAAGCTCGGAAGTCATTTGCGAGTGATCTGTCGTAGCATCTCTCTGGATACATGGGTGCCCAGCTTCGGACGGCCTGAGAGTCGACATGTTGCTATGATGATGTGGCTGAGTATGCGAGGATGAAGAGCTGTTATTGTTTGCGGATGTTGTGGGCGGATGAGAAGATGATGGGCAAGTAGGATTACCTGGTGAGGGACTTGCGTCGGCACTGTCTTGCGAAAGATTGTCGCTGTAGCAGTGAGTAAGTGTAGGCTGGACAACGCGTCTGGGAAGCGCCTACATGTGAGACAAGCCGAGTGCTATTGCGTGAGGGCAGGGAGTCAATCGAGTGAACTCGCCATGTTGACATGCAAAATGGTAGATGTAATTATACCTGCAAGAGTAAGTGTGATCCAGATTGAATGTTTGTTGGTTGAAAGCATACTTGCACATATTGATGAATAGCGGCTGTCGACTGTCGCACGGCGGAAAGCTCGATGTTCTTCAGCCAAAAACTGATCCAATATGGTAGGTCAGACCAATACACAAATGAGGAAAGTGTAGAAAGCAAAATCAGAGGTAGTCATGTTGTGCGGTTTGACTAGACGATGATAAACAAACCTTCATGGAAGGAGCGAGCGCCAAGCAAAAATGCGTAAATGCTGTCACTTACTTCATGGCGGAATACTGCTCAAGAAAGAAATTGCTCCATGGTAGTGAAATTAAATTGAGCCTGTTTTGGCGGTAGCTCATAGCATTGCCCATCAACATTAGTCTTCAGTCATGGTACAGTTGATCATGATGGAGGGCGGCTCAGAGTCATGGAGGAACCAAGTAATGACGGGGCATTTCGAAGCACGAGGAATCAATCCTGAATGTTCATTGCGACAACATTTTCTCTATGCCCCCAGTGCATCTTGCTTCGGTCACAGCATCAAAATCGCTTCTTCTTTCTTTGTCCGGCTTGCTTTCTGGTCGCCTCCTCTTTTTTACGCTTCAGCTCTGCTCGCTTCCGTACAGCCTTCTCTTCAGGCGTTTCTTCATGAATATCTGGAACAGTCATATTCCCGTTTAAACTTGCTTGTCGTGGTGATGATGAGGGTGGTTCCACGGTAGGTGATGCTGTTGTTCTGACCCGGTTCGCCCTTGGCGAAGTTGTCCCGCGTTGAGACGATTCATTTTCAGTGCGTTTGGCTTTGCCTCCGATCTTGAATTGGTTTAGCGCCTTTTTGGGAGAGGTCTTTGCTAGAGAATCGATTTCCATCTGAAAAGGTGGCACAGACTCTCGAGATGGTAGGATATTTAGTTTTGGATTAGATGAACTCGTTGCTTCAGGCGGTGAGCATATCTCCTTTCGCGTTGGCTTCGCTGTTGCGCCGGTGCGTAATTCCGTTTTAGGTCTCACAGGCTCTTGCTGTAGAGATTCTGATTCCACAGATGGAGCTGGCGATGGCGATGTGACAGTTGGTGATTTGCTTTGACGTCCCAGACTTTGATTTTGTCTTTGATGTAGACTTTTACGAGGCACATCAAGATCGTCTTCATCTTCTGTACTCGTATTGGCATCTTCGTCTTCCAACAAAGCCAGATTCTCTGCGTCCTCGATGGCCTTGTCGCTGCTATGAGGTGCATTGCGTTTCTAGGTGAGAATTAGTTGCATTCATTCACAATATATATAGTACTTACCTTGAAATTTTCATGCGTCTCGAATTCGTCCTCTGTTTCGCCATCGCTCGAAATGCTAGTAGAGTTTTCATGTGACTCTTTGGTGTAAGACTTTTCCACTTTGATCATTGCCGTATCCTCGAGCGCAGCCAACGTATTAGGAATCTCAAACCACCACGCGTCACCGTTCTCCTCCGACTTCAATATTCGCGGCACATTTGGTGTGCTATGCACAAGCGCTTCCTCAAAGAGCCCTAGCGTTGTAACGCTCGAGTCTTTCAACTGCCCTGTGTGCTCCCTCCATGGTTCCTCGCTGAAGGGTTGTAATTCGGGGATGTGCTTTACCGCTTGCTCTCGTTTGATCGTCCTTCTTCCCGCCTTCAAGCTGCCAATACTAGGGAAAGCGGCAGCAAGGTCAAGATTGCTGGACTCATACTGGTCCAGTAGCCGGTTGATTGCCTTATCCTTGTCGTAGATGGTGGAAATGAGACCAGATATTCGTTCATGTTGGATGTGAGAGGATACTAGAAGGGGTAGAATGAGCTCGTTTTTGAGGATGATCGAGGTGCGCTTCTCGAGATGATGTTTCCACTTCAAGGAATCAAGAGGTTTTGGGAGGGCCACACTGGTGTGTAAAGTGAAACCATCGCCATGGCTACGAGTGATGCGACACAGCGCATCTTCCGAGCTTGTTAGAGCTTTCTTGATGTTGTCGAGGAGAATGGCAAGCTGGGTGGTGTCATGTTTGCTGACTTCGATGGGTGTTTGCTCAGTGGAAGCTCGGCCCACGATGTCCTCCAAGCCCAGCTCTTCTGCCCAAATGTTACTCAGATCCGTAACATAGAGTTTGTAGGAGTCAAGAGTGAAGTCTGGCTTGACTAGGAGCTGGGGTAATGGCTTGTCATTAGACTGCACGACGAGAGGAAGAAGGCGCCAGCAAGACATGTTAGTGTGGATAGCCGTAGCTCACCATTTTTTGGAATCACGTCGGAGGGCGGTAGTATACCGTAGTTGAATTACTTATTCCACACCCGTTTCAGCCTTTCACTCCAGTGGTTGCTGTGACCTGATTCCACGTGAGGTCTGCTCTAGGCAGCGGGCAGTCCTAAAGGTGGCAGGCGTGCCTAGTGACCTTACCTAATACGGTAAGGCGCAACACGGATGTGGGAAAGGACCTCCGACGCTCTCGTACGTCACCAGCCTCGGCCAAAACTTTAGGAGACAGCCTGTCGATGTAACGTAAAGGAAAGGTAACAGCTTCAGGCAAAGCTCAACACAACACTGATCAAACACGTGTCTCGGCGTTCACAAAATCATGGCATCACGTGAACCGCCCTGGCGATCTGAACGCACTCGTCTGCCGCAGCGAAGTGCGCCAGGTTCTACAGTGCCTGCAAAGCGCTCTGCAGACGCGCATTCACACGACCATGCAGCAAAACGGTCGACCAACGCAGCGGAAGAAGCGTGGGTGGCAGACGAGGACCGCTTTGTGCTGCAGCAGGCAAAGAAGAAGGCTGCCTTACGCGTCAAGGGCGGGCGGGCGCGGCCAATCGACTGGCTGGCCGTCACCCTTCGCTTTATCGACAAGACTGAGGAGAACATATTGGATGAAGAAACTGAGAATCACGACCTGGACGTGGTGGATCCCGAAGGCGTACTAGAGGGGTTGGACAATGCCGACCTGACCGAGCTGGAGAAGGAAATCGACAACTACCTCACCCTGGAGACGAACCGCAGCAACCGCGAATACTGGAGTGTATGTTTTCTATCTTTATCAATACATAACTTGCTCACTGCATTTTTGCTGACCCAACAACCAGTCTCTCAAGACCATATGCAAAGATCTTCGCCGCAAGTCCAGGTCGTCGGCCTCCGAAGCCCGGGGCACCAGCTCCGTGGCTGCCGACATTGACCAGCTGCTGGCGCCCAAGTCATATGAGCAGCTGGAGACTCTCGAGGTCCAGGTCAAGAAGAAGCTGGATTCAGACGAGCCCATCGATTACGACTACTGGGAACAACTGTTGCGGAGTCTGCGCGTGTGGAAGGCAAAGGCAAAGCTACGGCGCGTGTCCCAAGAGATCGTGAATGAACGCCTACAGACGCTGCGCAAGCAACAGGCCGAGGCTGCTGCATTGCTGCAAAGAAAAGTCTACGACTTGATCACTCGTGATGAGCCGTCAGACGAATCGCATCCAACTACGGTAGCCTACGACGCCTCACTCGATCCCCAACCGCTCTTGAAGCTCCGTGCAGAGGACAAGTCTTTACCTCAAATGGAGGAGAAGGCGTTTGTCGACAGCGTGGTACGTGGTCATCTGACACTGTTGTGCCTTCAATCTTCGCTCGGAAGCTAACCAAGTCAGATCAATGAACGACGGAAGATCCAGAAGCTGGGCTATGTGCCCGCCCAGAGCGTCATGGAAGATCATGCAACCAGCGACATCAAGCCCAGGAGCAGTCAGGCCGTCACCACCAGCGCATCACGCTTCGCACCGGTCGAAAAAGAGGACTATTCCAAGGCGACCATGGCACTCTACGAAAGAGAAGTGGCGCGTGGAGTTGAAGACGGTGAAGAAATATTCGCGGCCGAAGAAGAGGTTACGACGTCAAAACCCCAATGGGCTAGCAGTTACACCCCCAGGAAACCCCGCTACTTTAACCGCGTCCAGATGGGCTACGAATGGAACAAATATAATCAGACGCATTACGATCACGACAACCCACCACCAAAAGTAGTGCAGGGCTACAGATTCAATATATTCTATCCTGACCTAATTGACAAAACCAAGGCGCCAACGTACAAGATCGTGCGCGAAAATGGCCGTAAAAAGGGTCAGTCGTTTGCACCAGCTGGTGAGGATGACACGTGCCTCATTCGGTTCATCGCCGGGCCCCCGTATACGGATATCGCATTCAGAATCGTCGACAAGGAATGGGACTACAGTGCTAAGCGTGAACGTGGCTTCAAAAGTAGTTTCGACAAGGTAAGTCTTAGTCAACTCGCATCACTCTGCAATACTGTACGGAATCTACGAAGGTAAGAACGGTTGATTGACACTTTACAGGGCATTCTGCAACTTCACTTCCAATTCAAGAAGGTATGTAGCGCACCATGGTGCATGGTTTCACTCCTAACATGTGGCAGATCTACTATCGAAAGTAATGCTAGTCTATCCGTCACTTGCACTCCCGACCCCGCCATATTTGGCAGCGACCTTGCCTGGGAGCCTTCTCGCGATAGGACAGTCTTTAGGGCGGACATTACACAATACCTGGGATACACATTAGCTACTTTCACGTCCAACGAATCCATTCCTATCAGCCAATACGTCTTCAACAGTCATAGCATTCGTGATACCGCCTCGTGGCGGTGACGATCGGTGAGGCTGGCAGACCCAAAGAAATACCCAGCGATCCATCAACACCGACTTATATTCCCAGATTAGTACAGGGTATGTTGGCGGTGTATTGACTATTAGAGCGGTGACATGCCTCCTCCATGGCTCTGTCCAATCAGCCACAAACACAACGGCTGCACGCTCGAGCAGGCCTGTCAAGAGACTCACCGGAGGATATGGAAGGATTGCGTTACATTCCACTGTGGGGGCTATCCCAAACGGTTGCTCGCTTCTGCCTTCTTGCAGGCTGCCTGCATTTGCTTGGACATGCCCAAACCCTTGTTCAGACGTACATGTGTACTATATGCCCTCTTCGAGCCAAGTTTGCACGTGGACAGGATTACTCTCTTCAAGATATGCTTGTCAGCCGGCAATCACCAGGCATGAGCCTCCTGCTTTGCCATCTACCAGTCCGTATACGAGCTGGGCCTTCACATATGGAACCTTGGCGAACCGTCAGATATGTCTTCAGTGGGCCATAACTAGACAGCATGCACGGAATTCGGCCAGCCACGTCGGTCGAACCTTCTATTGTGTCGGGCATCAAGGCGCGGCTGCTATCCGTCCACTGACGTTGCTGGTAGGCTTGAACAGACGCGGCTACCCGTCTCAACCTGCCAGCAAGTTTCAAGTGTGAGTTCATTGGCTAACATAGTTGCACAGTAGATAATCTGCCTTTCGCATCGAGTTGCACGGTGAGGTGTATTGACACCGCCCGAGCCGTGTATAGCGTCGGTTCTTTCGGCTCCGTGGTACCAGCCCTGCGGCCGGATGCAGGGCGTCTGGTCCTCACCCTGAGATCTCATGTTTGCCCATTCAAGCGCAGTCTGCAGAAACAAGCCTGCAGGTGTGCTGGCGGTAGGAACCCGCATGGGGTTGCTTTGCGTGACAATGAAAGCGTACACTATCCAATCCTTATTGCGTGGCGTCTATCAGCACCTCTAAATGTCTTAACGGCCGCTTCACTTGTTTTGGTATCAGCTCTGATCGTTCAGACTTCCCAATTTCTGAGACTCCTTGGGTCGTACGAGTAGTGCTGCCGTTGTTCATTATCTACCGCTAATCGATACCGTTCATTCACTGTTGCGCAGTCCCCACCAGGAACAACAGCGCAACTATGCCGCTTTCGCAGTCGCCCCGCCGACCGTCTTCCGCGGACCTGTCAGGCGGCTTTGGTATGGCTCGACATGGCAAGAGTACCTTTTGTGCACCTCTTCCCTCTCATGCCCAGAATCAGCCACTTTCCACTTCCCCTAGGTCGTCTGTGGAGACACCCTCAATGGCGACTGCAGTTCATCATCAAAATTTACCTTTCCACAGTCAAGGAGCATCATCAAACATTACGGGCCTTGACGAGCCGGACTCTATGCAGTGGACAGCACCCAACACCTTTGCTTTTCATCCATTTGACCATGAAGGCGCCAGCCATCAGCTCTCCAGCTCTTTCTCATCCGGAAGCGGAAACTACAGTCAATACTCACAAAATGGCTCCTCTTGCACTGACAATTATAACCTTGCGTACTCCAGCCAGTACCCCGACTCCAGTTGTCCTCGATCTTACAATGGTATCGATGGGACTGGTCTCTCCACTGAGATCAACACTGCACAGACATATCCGCCTGACGCCTTTCAGATTGAGCCCCCAAGACATGCTGATAATATGGACCTTTCCGACCAGGAAAGCAATGGGCATCTCATGCAAATGAGCAACGACTACGAGCCGCATCGCTACAATTCGCACATCAAGATAGAAGATAATTTCGGCTACCAAAGTCCTTACTCGAACATAACTCGCGCGTCAACTCCCCAAGACTGCGGTTCGCCATACCCACACAGTGGTGATGCTGGAGGCGATATTGCTATCGACAAAGAGCAGCCCTACGCACAACTAATCTACCAGGCGCTGCTCCATGCAGATGGCCACACCATGATCCTCAGAGACATCTACGATTGGTTCAAAAAATACACCGATAAAGCTGCTGCATCAGAGACGAAAGGATGGCAGAATAGCATCCGACACAACCTCTCCATGAACGGCGTAAGTTCTTCGACTCATATTTCCCATTGGCTCCTCCATCTCTCTCATACGCTTTGATACCTGGCTATGCTACATGTACAATAAATCACTAACACACCACAGGCTTTCGAGAAAGTCGACCAGCCAGGCGAGGAATCACGCAAAGGCTTCATGTGGCGTCTCAGCGAGTCTGCCATCCGCGAAGGCGTCAAATCAACAACTCGCTACCGCTCTAAAGCGCCCAACAAAAGGGGTCAACGTTCGCACTTCCCGCAGCCCCAACGCCAAGCATCCGGGTCCAAAGGTGGACAGGCGGCGCGCCGCAGTGTAAGAATGCGCCGCTCGAATCGGATGCAGTTACAGCAAGAGTACCGGAGTAATCCGTATGCGAACCGTAGTGTGCCAGCAGCCTTCGACCCCATGTATTCACATACGCAAGCGCAGCCTCAAACACAGACCCAAGGCTTGAGTACGCAGGCTCTATACACACCCGATTCCTCGTACACGAGCAGCGACGATTTGGACTTGAACTACCAGTCTACGCACAAAGATGCATCCATGAGCAGCGACTTTGGCTCTAGTTCCCCATCCCTCATACCCAATCACCATAACCCATTCGACCTTTTCGCTTCTTCTTCTTCTTCTTCTTCTTCTTCGTCGCCTGCCTCCAGACCATACGCAGCATCCCTCATGCCGCACGCCTTGCTTCATGGCCTACCTCACCTTTCATCGAATCCTCCGCCAACGAGCCAGCCTAGTTCCCTAAGAAATCCGAGTGACAATGCGAACGCAAATAGTCATACTCAAATCATACCCTCGGCTTCGGACTACCTCTTCGATCATAGTCCCACTGACTCATTATTTACAGACTCCCCGAGCCCGGGTAGTGTGGATGAGCCGCGGACGCCGGAAGGAGGGGATGTTGGGGCGGGGGTGTGGGGAGAGGATGTTGAGGGTTTTGGGCTGGGGTTGGGGCTTGGGTTAGACATGGGGATGGGGATGGGGATGGGGGCCGGGGAGTGGTAGGGGTTCAGGGAGTACGCTGGGTGAGTTGGGATACCTGGGTGGTTGTGCGAGGGTATGTGTGCTGTTTGTATGTGGTGGAGGCGAAAGGTGTATAGGTGTAGGAGGCGTTCAATCTTTTCTTTTACAAAGGTAAAATAGTCGAAAGTGGAGTAACTGGTCGGTCGTATGTTTCGGTCAATTTCCTTCTTGCATGCCCACGGGTATGACACTGTCTAGTGTAGTGTAGTGTGTATCTGAATAATTGCCATCAGTACAAGGACCTTGCTCTACGCTTTGGGTCGCTGGACTATCCTCGTCATTTCTCCTGTAGCGACCCGCAATTCTATTTATCTATTTAAGTAGCGGTGGTGGTGTGACTGTGTCGTTCTTTCGTGCATCGACTGTGCATATACATGCGCATCAGCATATGTATATATGTGCATTTCGTGTTTGTTTTTGAATCTCCGTACCCCACCATCCTACTATCAATGTCTCACCTCCTCGCCCCCTTGGAGCGAAACAACGAGATGCCTGTTTCCGCATCCCGCAGCAAGAGAATGAAAAGCTGACGCCAGGCTATTGATTGTGACTTGCTTTGTTATTATCTTTTTAATTGGTAATGCGTGTGTGAGCGGATCTCGTATATGCGAAACTAACAGCAGAGACAATTAAGAGGATTGGGTCGCAGAATTTCGTATACGATCCTCGACATGGCGATTGTACATTGGGGGGGAGGCTTTGCGGAAGGCGACTTGGTATTATTTCATAGGATTGGAGACTTAAGTTTTACTCTGAGTGCTGAGTGTCTTGCGATCGTGACATTCGGGTTGGGGGTGTTCATTTCTGCGCTCACAAGGATGATGGGAGGGATATTGCAGCTAAGGCTTGAGGAGGAGTGGCTTATTGCTGATTGATTAGGGGGAAATGGGTTCCACTATGATATGAGTAGCTAACAACGCTACTTTGAATGTCCACGGAGACAGTCAAAATCGCGGGAACTATATAGTGGACTAGTGAAGGCGCATGCCCTCCTTGTTTGGACTCTTTTGTTGGCAGTAGCTCTTAGCCCCTTTCTTGTGCCTGGCCAACAACACTGGGGACTACAACTGGGGACGCACACTGGGGACTGGATCGCACCTCCAATGCTGATCACTCCTTCTAAGCCTCGCCTGCCATGTATGTACATGACAAATTTAATGTTGCGCTATTATGGCTTCATTCCTTCAATTTCTAGTCCCCCACGCATCTTGCAGCTCACGTAGAAGCTGTTCATCTAGGTACATCTATGAAATGCCGCGGAAACTACCCCCGCGCTTTGCGCAGTGAACTGTGGCGTATAGCGCTCTTGCATTTGATACATAGCGTTTAATTGACTAGTGTCAAATCTTTGGCATCGGATCATTGTTCGAACAGATCTTGTCTTCATTTATGATGGCATACTCAGCTTTTATGCTGCCTGCCTTTCTTTAAAACGTTACAATACCCGAGGAAACACTGACAGAAAGAAAACAAAATTGCAGCGGATGGGATTATGAGTGGATGGAGACGAGAACAATGACGATGCAAAATAAATTTGACCAGGCCGTGGATAAACCGCCCGAAGTGCAATGATGTTGTATTCCACGTCGTGCGCTGTCAACAACTGGAAATTAAGAGGTCAAATCACGGTTTAGGCAACCTCCGCTGGGCCTCCCTTACGCTGGCAGAACTACGCATCCGTTCCACCTTGGAAATTACTGGCCGTGTCTAGATGGCTCATCTCCCTTAGAAAATTAGTGAGTATTGGGGTAGCCTGCAGTATGCATCATCTGTGATTCGTGAAGAGTCTGAGAAGATGGGCTATCACTTCTGCTCCACTAAGGCTGAGCGGCTTTGCAAACATCCAATGCAGTATGATGCACTTTCTTGCCACTGTTAATCTTGCGGTATGTGTGCTTTAGCCTATAGTGACGATGGACTCAGTATATCTCTTTTGACCGAGCACCGCCTCGGGCCTCGCGCCCCAGTATCGAAGTACATAATCCTTGTCTTTTAATCTTTGATACTCTTCAATAGATTAGCAGTATCAAGACTGACGAAACATAATCGAAGTGGGATTTGTTCAGCTGGTTCCCTGAAATCGTCCGGTATCAGGCCTGGCTCGCATCTTGACGCATTTTTCTGGAACATTTCGAGCTGACTTACTCCACGACCTAGGTTAGGCTTCGCCACAAATAAATCCCCATTGGCCTCAATAATACAAGAACTCGGCAGTGTCAGCAGTATGAGCAATTAAATTCGCCCTCTGACATAGGTACAAGCCCAAACAAACATCTCGTTTCCGCGTCACACAACTTGTTGACTACCTTCATTCATGATGCAATCAGGTCTTCATAGCGAAAAGACACCACTGCGACGTAATGGTGAATACTGTTCCATCTGTGTCGAATTCAAACCGACTAAGCAAAATACTCCATAAGTAAAATATTTCACGACCGCTAGTCAAGACATGTCATCTTCCATTAAGTCGCTCAGGGTAGGAAGCGCGTGACCAATCGTTCACAGAAGTCATAGTCAAATCAGCCATGACTGGTGCTTGTGTCTGCCCGCTTCTATTCCAAAAAAAAATTGTTAAATCGGATAGTACAGGGCTATAGGAGTCATTAGAACAATCTTATAGGAGCAATTAGAGGGCTTGAAATTGTTTCACGAAACATCCATGTTTCATTGGATCAGTGCATGCACAACACGATTTGTCCAATTCTGTATTATTGGCTCTTTTCAATCTAGACTCAAGTCCACTAAATTCCACTTGATTTATTAAACCTTTCAGTAAATTTGAGCCTTCGGAAGCTACCGATCAGGTTGCAGTCTTTACCGGTCAAACCTTCACGGAATGATCCTTCGGAGATCAAAATACTGTCTCTATCGACCTTGTCGTACGTGCGGGTAGACCATCTATGCCGAAGCCTTTAGGAGGTACTATACGCAAGCGTGAAGTTATAGAAGACACAGGGAACGAGCTTACCCTATAGATGACGGGCCGGTCTTCGGCATTCCACAGCTGACTGGGCCCACAGACTGGGCTCTCGTGTGCACGTTTCAAGATGCTAGAACCGTAAGCAACGCCTTCCTTTTGTGGGCACGGGTCGCTTAATCAGGTGTTGTGAGCACTTTGGATAGATTAAGGGATCGCATGCAAAGGTTTTTAGTAGGCCGTCTGATATCACGCACATAATCGAGCTTATGTGCAGAAAGGAATGCGCCTAATGCACCTTTATGTGGCTCCTCGTTGTAGTCGCTTTGACAGCAACCTGTGTGCAAAACATAGAGCACAATGCATGTAATAGTTGCTCTAATCTTAGTAGTGATTTTGTGTGAAATTAATCATTACTCCTTGGAATATTTTCACGCCAAGAATAGCTTTTAGGGTAATGTTCCTGGAAGTGGTTCCACCATTTGCTGATGGTGGTTTCAGCCGACCATTTTTAGGGTGTGACAGAAGTAGAAGCTACCTATTTTTTTCATGGTCCGAACTTGGCTAGCAGATTGTTTCGACACGATCCGACCGGCTTCTCTTGTTTCATCATCACGAAACACGTATTGGAGGATATCCTGGACGAACCGGCGACCGCAACGGTCCGCTCATTAATGAATAGATCAAGGTGTCGCGAAATTACCTATGGTAGGTTGAAGATGGAGTGCAGGGACTTTTTAGCGGCACTATCAGAACAACATATGTAGCAGCTAGTTATGTCTTATAGGTTGTCGAAGATAGGGTTGAAGAGGGCCTCGCTATCCTATCCCGGTATCCAACTGCGCGATCTCCAAGACACTCATGTTAGGTATCGGCTAACATCAAGGTGCTTGTGACTTGAACGTTGTTAACAAGAGCATAATCAATCCCTTACTTTAGGCGCTTGGACCCTGAGATTGAAGGTGTACATGCGTTTTAACACGAGTTCATTGACGCTGACATATCTGAAGCTGGCAGCAAGTCGTTCAGAAACAAGACGGCCAAGGCGGCGCACCGTCGGTCAAGCTCCCTTGGTGATATCCACTCGCGCATACTTGGCCCACACTGCACCAGTTGAGAACATCTGGTCCAGTTTGGGCTTTGAAGCCGTCGTACGGTAGAAATGTTCGAAGCTTGATTTCGGTGTGCAGGTCGGGGTAATCTGGGATGTGGATTTTCCCACGAATCGAAGCGCCGCATTTAGCCACTTATGGCTGTGAGGGGCGCCCCAGGATTGACGCCGAGACGAAACAACAATTTCTCCGCACCCCAATCTTACACAGACAGTACATTCCCAAGCTTATGTATGGCCGGGACACATGGGGCCTGTCCACGGGTCCAACGGCACCACGCTTGGTAACAGACGTAGGTACATATAATAAGGGCCGGCTGCCACTTTGACAGACATCAATATCAATCTCGACAATTCTCTCTAACGTCCAGCAACATTAAATCCTTGGACGATAGAAAATATGCGTGTCACTGAATTCTTGACGTTTGCGCTGCTTCAAGCCACTGCAGTCATCTCTACACCGGCCAAAAAGCACGTGTCGTCGTCTGAACCTTCTATACGACCTAATCATGCAATTGGGCCTTACCAGCCAGATAAACCCTTCCCTGTTTCGCCTGCACGAACCAAGACTTGCTTGGTGGCGTCCAGCGGCGGTGGCAAAGATGACTCGGAAAACATATTGAAGGCCGTCAAGGAATGCAACAACGGCGGACACGTTGTTTTCCCCAGGAACACTATTTTCACAATTGGTACCGCTTTGGACCTGACTTTTCTCAAAAATATCGATCTTGGTATGTTTTCTGTACCAGCTAGTGAATTCAATCCAGAACTAATTTCGTCGCAGATATCCAAGGTACAATTCAATTCACGGCTGATACCGATTATTGGCAAAAGAACGCCTTCAAGCAAGTATTTCAAAACGCCACCACATTCTTTCAGCTAGGTGGTGAAGATGTCAACGTCTATGGAGGCGGAACTTTGGACGGCAACGGTCAGGTGTGGTACGATCTATACGCAAGTGACATCTACACCCTGCGCCCCATTCTCTTCGGAGTTATCGGTCTCAAAGGTGGCCGTATTGAGGACTTGAATTTCCGCTACAGCCCACAATGGTACACCCTGGTTGCGAACTCGAGCCAAGTCCTATTCTCCAACATCGACATTGCGGGAGGAAGCAATAGCACCCATGAAGCTAAGAACACAGATGGGTAAGCGATATCTGTGAATCATTATTCTACGTGCGCTAAAATTCACTAGTTGGGACACATACCGCTCCACGGACATCGTGATCCAGAACTCACATGTCAACAACGGAGATGACTGCGTTTCTTTCAAGCCCAACAGCACAAACATCATCATTCAAAATATGGTATGCAACGGCAGTCACGGCATGTCTGTCGGCAGTCTCGGTCAATATGCCAATGAAGTCGACATCGTAGAGAACGTCCTCGTCTACAATGTCAGCATGTCCAACGCCTCAGACGGCGCCCGCATCAAAGTCTGGCCCGGTGCTTCTACCGCGTTGTCCGGCGATCTCCAAGGTGGAGGCGGGAGCGGTTATGTGAAGAACATCACCTTTGACGGAATGACTGTCTCCAACGTCGACTACGCCATTGAAATTACCCAGTGCTACGGCCAGAAGAACCTTACGCTTTGCCACCAGTTCCCAGCCAAACTCACCATCTCCGACATCACCGTCAAGAACTTCAAGGGTACTACGAGCAAGAAGCACGACCCGAGGATTGGGTACTTGATGTGCTCTAGCCCGGAGGTGTGCAGCAATATCAAGATTGAGAACATTGATGTGAAGAGTCCGAGTGGAACCGACTTGTATACTTGCGGTGGCATCCCGGGTATTGAGAAGCAGGTCCATTGCGATGCTCCTAAGGATAAGACGGATCCTAATTCTTCCAAGGCCTCTAAGCCATCTAAGGCTTCCAGGTCTTCCATGAGGTATTAAGTCATAGATTAAGTACACTGTCGAGTGTGCGATGTAGTATTATTTTCGCTTCTTTTTTACCAGTCTACTTGTGCCTATAGAGGGTACACATATTTTGTTTATAGGAAATACACTTTTTTCCAAAGAAAGCCTCTACCGGTACGTTTGCGTCACTGTGGACCAGTGCAGGCCCCGCCGCTCACGAGAAATCCCATCGCCACTCTAATTTGATCTTCCTTGTCCCCTTTGAAGTTTGCTATTTTTGTATGATTTTTCTTGAAAGAAGGATCGAATCAAGAAAAGCTCTCGTAGCTACAATAACAGTGGTCTCATAGCCACAATAGTAGAGCTGCTTATTCATATAATCGAAATCATAATGATTACTGGAGATCGCTAGTAGCAGAGTCAACAGCAATACTTTCTCTAAAGCAGATCTGAAAATTTGCGGAGCAGTTTCCCCAATCAGACTCTTCGCTGGTTTGCGCTTGGGAAAACCCGTGATAATATGTAGAGCACAAATAACGTATCTAATTATCTCACCCATTCATGCAGCTCTCAGAGCGAGATATGGCTCCTACAGTCACCAAGACATGGAAATCACTTATTTGTATATACAGATAAATACTCGGAAATGTGGTTTGTATCAAAGACATGTCTGTTGTAGTATTACTTGAGTGTACAGGATATGGCTAAATGGCTGGTGGAGAGAGGACGTCGATGATGAGGTATCCGCCAGGGATATAGTACATGGCATGAAAACTTGTATAGATATATACTAAAGGGAGAGTCATCAAGCGCGTTTATAATTGCCTTGATGGGCTGAAGACTGTACTGTTGCTCCCGAATGCTGCTAGTTCCTGTCAACAATGACGTCATTTGATCATTCCATGCTGTTGGCGCCAACTTCATGTGCCAACATAAGATCACTTCAAGCAACAAAATACCTCTTAGCCAACGTACTATTCTCGATAGCTTTTTTTGACATTGAAAGAATGTCTCTACCGTTGAGCCTCTTCCTTGGTGGGTGTGTCGTCGCGATTCCTGTTGTGACCGGTGTTGCACAAGGCGTTGAGCACCAGAAAAAACAGAACGAAGAAGCAGCAAATGAATCGCGCATGTGGAAATTCAATTGTTTGGTGGAATGTAATCACCCCGACGAGATCGCACGCGATGAGATCAACAATGGCATTCTCGTAGTTCGACACGACAAAATCTGGGTTGTCCCGAGGGATGAGGACAACAAGCCCATACCGCCAATGGAAGGGGTAGATCTCAAGGAGCCTCTCCACGCATTCGCTGGATTTTACATCGCCTATCCAGATGAGGACCGTAATCCGCCACAGCGTGGCCTGGTAACGACCATCAGCGACGACCCTCCAATGTTAAATTGGACGTACTGCGATCGCGACACATACGAGCTAAAGTACTCTAATCGATCAGGCAGTATCATGCATCACATTGGTGTCTGGGACTGGACGGAAGATGAGTCACACTTGAACTTCGATGGCTGGGAAGGATTCATGGCTGTGGATGAATGGGATGGTGCAGATGAGGACAACTCAACGCCATGGGGTAAGGAGGGGCTGCGATGGGCAGTCTACTTCGACAAAGACGACAATGAGTTGAAAGGCAGAACGGGAGACAAGGATATGTACGAGATTACTCTAAAGAGAAGAATTCAGAGTGCAGAGGAACAGCTGAAGCAGAACGAAGCTGCCGAGAAGAAAATGCAAGTGAAGAGCAGAGGAGGCCTCAGTACACAATTTGCTGCGCCGCAGAAAGAGAGAGACAAGGATTGGGAGAAGAAGTTTGGGGAGAAGGCGAGGAAAGAACTGGAAGAAAAGTTGGCGAGGGAGAAAGGAGAGAACCAAGGCCCCTCTTGGTAACGACTCTACAGACTGTGAACTGTTGCGTCCTTACACAGCAGGCCTTCATGGCTGGGGACAACTACTCAGCCTCCTGATATCTGTTTGGTGGTTCTTTCCGCTCACAGTGACTATAGTACCGGTGAGCCCAAAAACTACAACGTCAGTTGAGCTAGGCCGCTGCATAGTACGAGTTCAAGATCGTCAGGTTTCTATGGTGGCAGTGCTCGCTCCAATACGTTCACCCCAGATTTGAGTCCAATGGTTAGGCGCGCAAGGCTCAAGAACCAACAATGTGCCAAGAATGCGGAATAGCTATCTAACTGAATATGGATTATTGTAGCGACATCACATCAGCCAAATCGCACGATACTAATCATCGTATATGTTCAAATTACACAAGCGCACAGCCACTTGGACAAGAGTATTGAAACAAGTCCCCGCTGCGGCCCGTACCTTTTAATCACAGGGCTTCAACCGTTCGTCACTCTTTGAGACGATGGGCGAGTGTGCATAGGCGCCGGGCTCTCGCTTCTGCCTGTCGTCTGTACGGCTCGGCCATACGCGCATTGAATGCTGTCTCAGCCACAATCCAGGCTGCTATGATCTTTTGACACAAGGCAAAAGAATTGTAGAGCACAAATTGATATTTTAGGTTGATGGCTTCTGTCTAATATGTCCAAACCTGTTCATCGCATTTGTGCACAACTTCATACGAAACACTTCCGAGATCAACACCGACATGCCTGCAATTTGGATTCCAGAGTCTACCTTGGAACTGCCAAATGACAATAGATGCCACGGCTACGCTCACACTAAAGGGCGAAGATGTCTCGTGTACGTTGGATTTGAAAGCTCATGGAGATACGCCGCTATACTCGACGAGCTATCCCAACAACAACCTGATGCTAGGCAGCTTGAACCCCTCTTAAGACGACTTGCACATTGCACGCTTTGCGAAAACTGGCACAAATATCAGGCAGACCGTATTGTGAGGAATTGGGCAATGAAGATCAGGACAGCGTATCCCGCGGGTTCCGTGGCAGTACAGTCATCGCCCTCCTCGACACCCACTCGATCAATACTTCAAGCGACGACAGTAACTTCAGCTAACAACTCTCGTCCATTATCATCTGCACAATCCGAAGTTGAAGCGCTTCACATGACCATCCGCGCAATGCAAGAATTATTGCGTACCACAGAGGTGCGACTATCAATGCTCCAAGTTACACAGTCCTCTATCGGTGGAAATTCCGTTCTATCACCTGCTTCAAGCTCTGATAATACATCTCGACGGTCTTCAATTGCTTCTAGCGTTTCACCAGCCTCGCCTACGATGGCACGCTCCCCGGCGCCCATCTCTGTACACACGGACAGTATTTCAACGGCAAGAATGGGCCAGCTATTACCGGTAGTCGCTGGACTCATAACTTCGCCTTCAGCAGAAACAGTGGTCTCAACAGCCCTGTCATCAGGCCCGGATATTCTCCTGTCAGCTACAGCGGAGAGCGCACCTCCTCAGCCCTGCACACGCCCTCACGTCCATCGACGGCCTATTGAAGAGGAGTGTCCCATATGCTACGATTCAGCCCTTCTCTCCACCTGTGAGCCTTCAGAGCTCGTCTGGTGTCGCTCAGGCTGTGGGCAGTCTATACACAAGTCTTGCTTCGAAGCTTGGCGCACTCAGTGCGAAACGAATGGCAGAGACCTCACCTGTTCAACATGTCGAGCGAATTGGGGCCGCGAATGTGGATGTACAGGTTGCACTGCTGTTCATGTGCGGAGGTGCGTGGTCGCAGGTGCATGTCCGATCTGCCAGGTAGATATGCGGGCCAGTGAAGAAGAGAGCTTGCTGAGCGAAGATACCCATCTGCTCACGTGGTGTGATAGTGGTTGTGGCGAGAATGTGCATGTGACTTGCTTTGCGACATGGCAGGCGGAGTGTGTAGAGAATGGTCGCGCCGCGACATGTGTGATGTGCAGCGCTGTCTGGAGGGATGGCCATCTTTCACAGTGCTTAAGCAGCGGTCGCTTTTGAGCTTACTATGGTATACCTTTGGGTTGGACATGTTTTACGAACACTTTCTTTCGCGAGTATCTTATATATACATGTATGAAATATAACGGTTGCCGTCAGTGGTTGTGTTAGCGCGACAGTGCGAAGTCAAGTTGATATTTGGCTTCCAATTCTATAAAAACTACGCCTTTCCTAGAGAGCATCATCGCGGCCGGAGAAGATGCCGAGGACACCGCTGAGTCTATGAGAACTGCTAGGGCTTGTGGTAATCGGCACATTGAGATATCATTTCTTTAGGACATTGCTTTAATTTCGGTCTAATGCTCTGGAGGTTTTTGTCTGCATCTCTCCTCATGTCTTTTGTCAATAAGTTCCAATCCATAGAAGGAAAACGTAGCGCACGACAGCTTAGCACTGTGATCATACAGACCACGCTCGTCAAAATTTGATATAATTTTCGCATGTATTGTGACAGCCAATTAAAATTTGATCATGATGCTGCACATCACATCATTACATAACGCACGGTCTGAATAAGGTGCATAAGTAGCCTGGAGGAATTTTACAGTTTTTTTTGACTATCTCTACGGTCTGATTAACTGTATTAGACATGGGTCGTTCTTAATACAAAAGTATATGCGCGGCAATGCCTCATTCTGAGTGCGAGGCGAACTATTCGTTTTTCGTATACAACTTGACATAGCGGACATGCTCATTACCAGCAGTGTCTTCGTATCTTTCAGTAACAATCTTGTATCCACCGAGCTTAGGCCAAACCTTGGTCCAGCAAAACCAGTAGACGACACCAAGCAGTAGAACAGCAACGCCGACCACAGGGAAAACGTAGTACGGATAGCCTTCGGCATTCCAATCACCATCTGGAGGGATAAAGGGCACCAACGCGAGGAAAATGTTGGAGGCGAGATAGATTACGGCCACGGGAAGGTATGTGTGCCATGGTGACTCCCATCGCTCGCTTTTGCTGTAGTGCAGGTAGATGAGACCGGCTGTGACAAAGCCGTTGATCCAGGCGCCCGGGTAGGTGTACAGGTCGGTGATGAAGTTGTATGCCGGGCCGGCAGGAGGAGCTACCAAGACGATGACGGTGATGAGCCAATGCAAGAAAAGTGCTGTCGCAGGGGCATTGAACGGCTTGTTCGAAGCCCAGAATCGGCTCCATGGTAGTAGACCCTCTTTTGCGAACTCTTGATTCAAGCGAGCGTGTGCAAAGCTGACGGCAAGAACGTTGCCCAAATTGCTGAGCGCGACAAAGGCGGGCAGACTGCGCGCTCCAGCACTGTTTCCAAAAACATTGCGGAAGAAGAGGCCAGCGACGATGACTTCGCTTTTGGCCAGGTCGGATTTGGGAATTGCGGCAAAGTAGGCTACGTTTGCGAGGACATAGAGAATTGTGGTGCCGCCAATCGCAAAAGGAGCAGACCAGGCGAGCGTCTTTTTGGGGTTTCGTATCTCTCCAAGTACATAATTGGCATTCTCCCACCTAAAGTCTTTTAGTAAATTACTATGAGGATAGGTAGAATGGGCGCTTACCCTTTGTAGGAATAGATGATGCGAAGAAGGGCCTGGCAGTATGCATAAACTCCTCCGCCACCGTAGCCATCTCCAATCTCCAAAGCGAAGGCGTTTTCAAAATTCTGAGGCTTGTCAATTTTAAGGTGGCCCGCCAAGGCAGCGAAACCAGAAAATATGATGAACAAGAGTATGATCACTTTGAACACCCCCAAAACGTTGAAAAGACGGATTCCCCATTTCGGTGCGGTTGCATGTAAGCTGACGGAGAAAGTAATGCAGGCGATGGCGATTCCACGTGCAGCCCAGCCGTCAGGCGCTTCTGAGCCTGAAGCGAGTAGTACGTAGCGGCCAAAGGCTAAAGAGTTGCCTGATGAGAACCCCAGCAAAAGCATCTGTGATGCCAAGACACAGGTTGCAACATACTTGGGGTGACGGTAGACACGCTCGAGGTAGTTCTTCTCGCCGCCCGATCTGGGAATAGCTAATCCGAATTCCAGGAAGACGGAAAGTCCGCAGAAAGTCAAGAAGCCACCGATGATCCACAGGAAGAGAGTGACGCCGACGGAGCCTGTAACTGCAAAGATACCCGACGGTGTGGAAAATACTGTGACGCTTGTGAGTACGGTAGAAGGCCAACTTTGTACGGAGTGGAAACGTACTCCCGGTTCCAATCATCTTGTTCAAGATGACAAAAACCGTTGCAGTGTAACCCAGCTTCTGGGAATCGTCGTAGACGTAAGCGTTGTCCTCCTGCACACTACCGTCTAGACCATCTGGCGGAGTTGGCGAAGTGTCACTGTCGACCCAGTGCGACACCTTGGCTTCGTCATCGTATTTGGCGGACATGCTGCTGGTTGATGCACCCTACAGTCGGGATGCAAGGCAGACGCAGTGAGAACACGAGAGAGAGTTGCCTTCACACACTTAGTATACCGGTAACCGTTGTGCGTGTGCAAAGCCTGGTCGCACGCAGGACTGGGCGGGGTAGGTGATGAAGACAAATGCGCGTTCTACATGCTTCCCAGATGATAGAGATGGTCATATACGACTACGAAATGACGTGATAGGGTGCATTTTCATCTCTAGATAGAGGGCCCGATAAAGCGAAACTTCTCTCTAGTAAGGTTGTATGTTGGGATCGCCATCTATGTCGACGATTCAGGCATTGGGCTATATGGTAACCAGCTACTCGGTATGGATACACACATGTTGATTGGCTATAGACCACCTGAAATGGAAGGTGAAGCATTCGTCTTGGTAGATTTGTCTTGGACGTTCATTCAGCGGACCGCAATGTGGTCTTGGTCGATGTCGTGATCTCTTGGTGCTATTAGCCTATCCGCCTTGCACTTGGCAGAGACATGTTTTGCTAATGCCCAGCATACATCTAGCAGGCTGCTGCTGGAATCAAAACATTCCTGCTTAAGCACCTGGCAGAAGGCGCCTAGCATTGTGCTGGAACTTGGTGCAGATAAATGCTTGTGACACTACCGGCAGGTGGGCGGGTAGCCAAAAGCAAGTATGCACGTGTCAAATCGTCTGCTGGAACCATGTCTATCATGTGAGATGGAATCAGATCTAGCAATCTGTGCAATCTAGATGCCATTTCCACTTGGAAACAAGTAAGTGCTTCTGCTGAAGAAAAGTTCGAGAGTGTTGTAGAGTCACGTGAGCGTTCGATCTGTCCACAGATTGCGTCTTATCTGCTAAATCCAAAAGCGCTTAGGACGACTCAACTTGCAAGACGCGCTCCACTCCTTTGCGACATCAACTCAGGACACAACGTGCATGCATCAAAAGCAGAACCCGGTTGCTTAGATGGGCAGTTCTATTATCTGGCAACTATCGCAGAGTCACCTCGCTCTCAAAGTCCGCATCGCGACCAAACACTACCAACAAAACGATATCAGGCTGAGCGGGCAGCTGCACCGAATGATGGTGTAAGGACAGATTAGATAAGATAATATGGTCGTGTCTAGTTTGAAACGACATGGCCGAGCCAGTGATGTGAGGAGATTGCATGAAAAGTCATCCGGCGTCGATGCGGTCCTGTTCGGTACAATACTGGCACTCGTGGACACCTACTATAGTAGCTATACTAATCAGACCAGACCCATGGTAATCCTAGGTGTTCGCATATGCTATACGCGGCGGTAATTCTCTAGATTGTTAGAGTACAGCGCCTTCAAGCAAGAAAGTAGTAGACAAGATTCATGCGGCAGCCAAAAATATGACGACTAGTTTGTGTCCAAGTGCCCACAAAGGAACACATTGTCTAAAACAATGCCCCAATGTAGCAATTCCTTCTACATGTAGAAACATCAGTAAAATACACCGAAACGCGCAAATCTCCGGTCGATGCGGCCGAGCAGGTACCACAACCGTTTCAGAAGGACAGGCATCAGCAAAGCTATGACACAAAGCTTGAATCACGGCACAAGACACCCTGCTTTGGAGCGAGAATATAGTGACATCTCCTCTAAAACAGTCAGACTTTAGTTTTTCATTCTCGAGAGTGAAGCTCCTTCCCGTGGATGCACTTTATAATATCGAGTCGACACCGAAGCTAGCTTTGCCAACATCGTACCGGTACGCCATTGGTGGAAATTCTAGATTCAATCTCCCCACGGCGCTCAAGGTCGCCATGAGCGAATGATGCGCACCCCGCGTTTGGAAATGTATGAAGTCCTGGGTAGTCAGTGGAGGCATACCCCTTTGAGCTTAATCTGTCATCCCAGGCGATTCTGCGGTTGACGTCCCCACGTTCCATAACTACCTGTCTTTCGGGATTTCCATATGAATACGGCCCGGGAATGGGAAATGATGTCCGCATAGCCAGCCCTCTTCCCTGTCAGAGGGAGACAGCGGTCGGGCTGTGAAGAGATATGTAGAAGGAGTCGGCCAAGCTCTCTTGGAACTTAAGCATCTAACCTACTGTCTTGGGTCCTCCATTCTGCTCTTTACAAAACAGCCTCTCCGGTCGAGCGTGGACACCAATCATGCGTCTCGCCATCATCGTAGCTGGCCTTCTCCAGGCATGCCTCGCCAAATCGTCAGTCAGTCGTAAAGCATGCCAAAATCACTCCGCGAAACCATTAGACGGATGTCCCAAGGGCACTCTACTCGTCGGTCCTGGACAGCACTTCACCAGCGTGCAGTCCGCCATCATCAGTCTCCCCAAGGACACCTCACCCCATCATATTCTCGTCCTAGCCGGCAACTACACCGAACAAATCAATGTCACGCGTCCCGGACCCGTCTACCTCTATGGCGAAACCGATAACCCAGATGACCAGAAAAAGAACACGGTAAATATCATCTGGCGCAATGCCACCGGCTCAGCAGCCAACTCCACACTCGACAATGCCTACACGTCCGTATTGACTGTGGCTCCCACTTTCAACGCCAGTGCCACTGGAAGCGGACCCAATGGCAGTCCCGTAGCCAAAGACACACCCTTTGGAAACACAGACTTTCGGGCCTACAATCTAAACTTCATCAACGACTACAGGCCCTACGTCTCAGGCCCCTCGCTCGCAGTCTCTGTGAGCTATGCAAACAGCAGCTTCTACTACTGCGGATTCTATTCGTATCAGGATACGGTAAGCTTGAACAACCAGGCCCCAGATCCCGCGGCCTGATGGCTGGTGGGTATAATGTATAGTATAGTACTGATGTATATATCCCCCAACCCCAGGTCTACGTGGGCAAACTCGGCAACGCCTACTTTTACAGGAACGAAATCGCCGGGATAACCGACTTCTTATACGGCTTCGGCACCGCCTGGATCCAATCCAGTCTCTTGACACTACGAGGTTGCGGCGGCGGCATCACAGCCTGGAAAGGCACAAACACGACGTTTGCCAACAAATACGTACGTTGCTTGACACACTGCCTCTCCCTGACCTAAACACCCCCAACACACCACTAATCCCCACCCCAGGGCGTATACATCCACAACTCCAACATCGTCAAAGCAAACGCCAGTCTCTCCATCCGCGGAAAATGTGCCCTCGGCCGCCCCTGGAACGAGCAACACCGCTCCCTCTTCGCAAACTGCTACATGGATGACTCCATCCAACCCGGCGGCTACATCCGCTGGAGCACCACGGACCCGCGCATCAACGCCAACACGACCATGGCCGAGTACAAGAGCTATGGGCCCGGTTGGGACGAGAAGGCGCGGGTGGCGGGGAATACGACGGCGGTGTGGGGGGAGAAGGAGATGGAGGGGTGGAGGGGGGTTGGGGATGTTTTTCAGTTTCCGGGGGAGGGGAGGGGGGGGAACGTTGGGTGGATTGATAAGGAGGTGTTGGTTGAGGGTGGGATGGTGGGGTTCAAGGGCGGGGTAGAGGGGGGAGAGTGATGGCTGGGTAGGGGGGGAGTGATGGCAGGGTAGGGGGGGGAAGTGATGGCTGTGTAGGAGGTGGGAGTTCTGATGATTTCAAAGTAGCAGGCAAAAGGATTTCTCGGAGCAGCAGGCCAGGCTAGGGACTTGTCAAACTAGCAGTCGACAAGCCAGTGTTCCATTCGAAAGACAGTCACTAAGCCATCGAAAACCCGTAATCTCCAATATCGAAATCCGGCTCCTCGGGGCTCCTCGGAATTCAGGATAATCCATAATTCTCCCTGTACCCCAATACGTCCTATCAAAAGCCTGGAAATGTACATACCGCGTAGGTGATGTCACAGCCAGCTCCAGACGAGATGAATTTGACACTTTGAAAGAAAATCACGACACTCCTGGCGTGTTGTGATGAAACCAGGTATCCATCAGGGAATATCCAAACACCAAAAAATGAACATGAACATGAATATTACAATGGCGGTAGCCGTAGCAGTAGGTTGGGGAAAGAAACCCCCAACTATAAACTCCTTCCCCTTCCCCTTCTCCAACTTCTCCCATCTCCCTTCCACTCAACCTATATACCCTCCTCTTACTATGCAAAAAGCAAACAGCAAACAGCAAACCAAAAAAAAAAACTCCCATTTCACCCACAAACCCCCGGAAAAAAAAAGACCCAGGCACAAAGCCCAAACAACAAACTCCATCCCCCCACGAAACCAAACCCAAACCCATCCCCAAACTCACTGTTCCAACAACCCCCTACATGGCCACAAGCGCCAAAATGGCCACCACAACAGCCACCACACTCCCACCCAGCCGGTTTAAGCCCCCCTCGGGCGCCGAACCCGTCGCAACCGACGAACCACCCTGTGTAAACCCAGTCTGGACATCACCCCCTTGCGTCGCGCCGCCCGTCTGCTGAGCGGGATTAGCGCCGGCGCCGCCGGCGGCCTGATCAGCTGCAGGCGTCTGTTCGACCTGGTTGGCGGCGCCGGCACCGGGATTGCCACCCGGCACCATGGCAATGCTATTGGTAGGCTGTGCGTCGCCGCTCTTTGGGGGTTCGCCTGGGTTTTCGCCGGTGCCCATGAGGGAGCCGAGGATGACCTCGTCGTCGGTGATGGCGACGGTATTGTTCGTACCAGCCTCGTCGGTGTATTTGTAGGTTTTGCTGCCCTTTTTCTGCGCGTTGGGGGGTGGGTCGTAGCATTCGACCGTGACTTCGGAGAAGCGGGCGTAGTAGTATCCGTTTTCCATGTACGGGCTGTTCCAGTCGATTTCGCCGCCCGCCCATTCTATGGTGCCTTTTTCGTTGGTGGGGAGGCCGGCGGGCCAGAGGGAGAGCATGATGCGGGCGGGGGTTTGGGGGTAGTCGAAGCGGTTCGACGTGGCGTTCCAAGTGTCTTTGCGGTTTAGGGTGCGTTGGTCTTTGCCGTTGATGGACCAGGTGAGCGAGTCTGTGGTCCAGTCTATGCAGTATTCATGCATGGTGGAGGCCGTGTCTTGGTCGGGGACGGTGAGGTTCTTGCCATTTGTGTCTATATGAGTGTTAGTGGTGATAAGAAGACAATGGGGGGACAGAAGAATGGGGAAAAAGAAGAATGGGGGGACAGAAGAATGGGGAAAAAGAAGAATGGGGGGAAAGAAGAATGGGGGGACAGAAGAATGGGGAAAAAGAAGAATGGGGGGAAAGAAGAATGGGGGGACAAGGGAAGAAGGGAGGGGGGCTAGTCAACATACAGACTGTGACACCCTGAGAGTAAAAGTTGGACTGCACATGTCCGGTGTCCACACCGACCCACTCGAAATCGATTTCATCCTTGACATCCGACATGAGGATAAAGGCTGTAACGACACCTTTGCCCTGTGCGGTAGAGAGCTTGGAGCAAATCTTGCCGTACCAGACGTAGTGTGTTGATGCGAGGAGGGTGCCGACGGTGCCTTGGGCCATGGTCAAGAGCGTCGACTTTTTGCCATTGGGGTCCGTGTAGATGGCGGGCATGCCCTGCGACTGCCAGTTGATCTTGGAGGCATCGCCGAGGTACTTGTCAATGGTCTGCACGTCGTCGAGAGAGTCGAGCGTGTAGGTGCCAGACTTGCACACTGGGCCTGGGACACACGAGTCGAAGGAGTGGGACATGAGCGGATCGCATCCTCCCAGACAGAAAGCGCCGACACCGCAGTCGCCATAGACTAGAAAGAGTTGTCAGCGTTGCGCTTGTGTTGTGCATCTCACTCTGCTACTACGTACGGGAGCAGCAAGGCGTGTCTTGAGGACAATGGCTGTCTTTTGTGCACTTTGCGCCGGCAGCATATGCAGTGCGCACCAGGGCTGCAGCGGCCAATGCAGCCGAGAAAGCGGTGCGAACCATGTTTGCGACGGGCTGGGCAGAGGTTGAATGTCGTGTAAGGGTGCTAGAATGCGGAGTGCAGCTGTCACAATGCAGGCGACCACTTTGGTCTTGGTCGAGCGAGGCAAGCGCAGTCCAAATCCAAAAGCTCTCCAACAGGGCTCCCAGAAAGTGGGCTGAACGGGCCAGGCGATGAATCGGAGACCAGTGTAGGGATCCGGGGTTTCGAAAGGCACAGATCCAAGTATGGTGGGCGGGCGGTTCGAGAATGCCCTTTTTCCTCGAGTCGTGCGTGGGGGGTGAGGTAGGCCAGTACTAGTAGCGAGTGGAGTGTGTCGATTCAATGATCAAGGCGAGCAAGGGGGTAGATGGGGTAGGTACGATGGTTTGCTGGTGGGTGAGTTGTATAGTAAGAAGTAGCGACGGTGGGGGATGATGGGGGATCACGGAGAAGGGAAACGAAAGACGGGAGAGGGAGAGGGAGAAAGAGAGAGGGGGAGAGAGAGGGGGAGAGGGAGAGGGAGAGAGAGAGAGAGAGAGAGAGAGAGAGAGAGAGAGAAGAGGGGGGGTGTGTGGAGTCAAAGTGGAGTGAAGATGAGCACCAGCAAGGTAGGAAGGAGCAAGTGACAATGACGAGCAGCAGGAGCGGCAGCCCAAGGGTTTCAAGAAAGAGAAAGAAGGAGTCGGTTCAAGGCAGGATAGTAGTCTAACCTTGTGTAGGCTCGCTAGTGTCAGGCCGTTCATATTGGCCCACCCGCTTTCTTGCCTCTGGCTGAAGACATTGTCGAGGCTGGGAAGCCGGGCTATGCTGGACAAAAAGGGTGTGGACGCTACTCTAGTATCCGGATTGACAGCCTTTGCCAAATGCCTCGGACGAACCAGAGGGTCGCATGCACGCGGCCACCCGCCTGAGTGGAGTGTAGGCACACACATTACACATGACACGGTACCGGTACCTGGGGGTATAGTATCGAGCTACTATGGAATTACGAGGGGGACAGCAACTCTAGAGTAGTCTCTCTGCCCTTTGCGACAAAGACAGCCGACCCCCGTCATCCATGCATCCATCGTCCCAAGAGTAGTAGTACATGACACGATATCCCATCGCGACGCCATGACATCTGCATACACAACCTCATCCCCAACGCACTGCAGTCACATGTAGTCCACCCCATCTCCCTCCCAGGCCAGGCCAGGCCAGGCCAGGCCAAGTGACGCAAGCTTACTGTGGAGTCGCCATCGACTCGCAGATGCAAAAAGGGCCTCGGTCCTTCCGGCCCTTTCTCCGCTCGCGGCTGCCAAACTCCGCGAGACAGACTTGACGAGACGCGCTTGTGCATTGCGCTAGTCCTAGTTGGTATTCTATTCTTGGCTTGCCCTGCACCAATCTGCGCTTGACGGGAGACATGGACAAGACCGACTCGTTGCTTGTCTGGTCGGCGACAGTCCAGGCAGCGTACAGTGGAATGGGGGGCATGTGCAATCGTGAATCTCCACGTGCGCCTTTCCTTTGCCCAGAATGCCCATGTTCATGTCGTCACCATGTCACTCTAGTACACCCTGCTTTCCACTCTACTCTACACGCATCCAACGGTGCCAAACAGTTGCATTCCAGTCTGCAGCTGGGCTCCTCCACGCTGGCTGCACCGCACAAAACACCTTTTTGCACAACCCATCAAACGAAGCAATCCACCCTCCAATCTACCTACACACTCACTCGACCCCTTACCCCTACCCTACCCCCATAGACCCCACCAGCCGCGGCAAGGATTGCGCTAGCAAACTGACCCTTACCAGATATACATACATACATGCATACAGACAAGTAGATGCGCGATCGCCTTGCACGGTTCCAGTCAGCACTAGGAGATATACACCCAAGTACGGCCGGAGCGGGGGTTGGATGCGGGGGATGTTGGTGCAAGGTACATGGTGAATGGGCATGCAACTATCATCCTTCCCGTCAGGTCTCGAGTCTGTTGCTTCCTGCATGGCCTGGCATCACGTGTTGGGCAGGTAGGTACGCTATGGTAGACTGGGTATTCGCGTACTCGAAACAGGGGACTGACAACCATTCGACGGTGAAACCCAGCCCGACAGCCAAGCTAAACTGATGACCCAAAGGCTGCTCAGTCATCCATGAGAAGCTACAAACCTGCAGCCATGCCCACAATGTCCCTCCTTCCCTTCCCCTTCCTCCACCTGCAACCTTCCTATCCCTTCAACAACTGCCCACACACCAGCTTATGCGCCTTCCAATCCTTCCTCTGACACCCAACCGAGCAATACTGCGCCCTCTTGCACTTTGAGCACTGGAGCAGGACCCCACCACCTTGCGCCTGCTTCGCGCCGCACTCAAAGCACGTATCCTTCTTGGCCCCCAAGTCTTCGACACGACGAGGTGCTGTTGTACGCCCAGCCGGCCGATCCTCCTTCTTCTTCTTCTTCTTCTGCTTCTTCTCGCCGTCTTGGGCCAGAAAGGTCGAGGCAAAGGTAACGGCGTCCGGCTCGTCTTTTAGCATGGGCGAGGCGAAGATGACGGGTATGGCGACGCGAACGGCGTGTTGGAGGAGTGGCTTGCTGTTTTTGCGCGTGCCGAGGTAGTTTGCGGGAAAGAGGCCGATGCCGCAGGTGCACATGTATGGCTTGTCGTCATGTGTGGACAAGGGAATACGTCCCGCGGTCTTATACTCGCAGCTATCCTTGTGTTTCCACTGCCGACACCGTTCGGCAAAAGTGGGCAACAGGTGCTTCCAGAGAACCGCCTCGTCTTTCTGGACTTGGATGCCAATGACGTGCTCCCCCCGGGCCGCCAAGAACGTACCTACGGCTTGCATCTCCGGGCCAGAGTGGTGTGGGATAAGCGCGGCGTCGAAGACGACTGTCTGGTTCGAAATGTCCATGCGGATGCAGTCGACGTGGAGAACACCGAAGAAGGTGGTGGGCGTGCAGAATTGGAAGACATGTCCGCGACTAGTCCCATCGAGACCGAACATGTGCGCACACGTGGATTGTAGAGACTCTTTGATGCCGAGATGACCGGGGATATGGATGGCGCCGACAGCGAGCATCATCTCGTATTGCTTGAATTCCGAGGACGACATTGTGATCTTGGGCGAAACAACAGCCTTGAGCCAACCAACTTCTGAAGGCCTCGGATCGGCGTACAGTTTGGGAAGCGAGTCAACCCGAAGATAGTGTAGAGTCTCGAGATAGGGTCGGGATCTACAACATCATTAGCTATTGTATCTTGGAGTGCAAATAGAAGACTTACTCCTTGTCCACTGACATGCGAAACATAAAGTCAGGTCGTGAACTCAACGACTTGACATCGACCACCGGCGCCGTATATTCAATCCACAATGACTTGCGAGCAATTCTCGTCTTGGATGACTCAGTGCTGAGAGGCAGAGGGAGCAACAAGGTCTGCTGGAAGTTCCTGCCGATTGTCAGGATCAGCGTGTATGGCGTAGCCGTCTTCCACACCACTTCTCCGCCCTGCTGTAAGAACACTTTAGCCTCTTCGGACACGATAGTGAACCGGATGCGTAGTGCATTGATCTTGCTTGCTTGCTTGTTGAACACAGGGTAGATCACAACGCTCTTCGCTGCAGCCGACGATGGATTCGATGAGCCTTGGGGTGACGAGACCTCTTCTTCGCGCGAGGAAGTGGCCGTCATGGCGGTCACAACATGACCAGACATGTTTGGCCGGTATCGCGTGATGAAGACGTCTTTCTTGCCAACGGCCGATCGATGAATCTGCAACCTGGCGCCTAGTATGGTCAAGAAGCGTGTCGTCGATGCTGGCGTGCTTTTCAGTGCATATACCACATGGCATTTTCGGTCGCCCCCATCGACCAAGCAGCGAGTAGATACCATAGCAGACACAATAAGTGGAGATTTACCCTTCCATCCCTTGGGATCATCATGTATGGTCAGCGCGTACTCGTTCGTGTATGCTTTACCACTGGCTTCAGCACGACCAAAACCGAGCTGCATGTCCGGAAGGATCGCCTCTTTTGAAGACGTAGAGGAGTGGAGTTGCAGGTTGCATAGGGGAGTTCCACTAGCCTGGACGTCGCCAAACATGGCGACTGCGGTATGAGGTACTACGAGCGTGACACACAGGGTCGCCGGTATGTTCTCCCAATTCCTGAATGCACCCTTGAGATAATGTGGAAAGGAACAAGGCTGCCACCAATAGGGATTTGGTAGCCAAACAGAAAGCACGTCTAGGTGAGTCAATAATGATTGTACATGGTGCGGTCCCATGTCGAGTGTGCTGTCCATCAAGACACCCTGTTCGATCAAGACAGTCATGAACCGGTTCCAATCCATAGTATTGCCTCCCTTGATCGCTCGAAGTAGAACCACGAAACTTGCACGGGTATAGACTCCATATGCAAACATCTTTCGCTGAAACTTTTTCTGGTCTTTGATGCCTAGCGTGGAAAACTGCTTGCTCCAGCTCTCATCCTGGAACATTTCCAAATAGATCGTTAGAAGAAATTTGGCAAGCACATCGGGTTCGTACCGCACTAGAGTGATGTCTACAGGTTTCCAGAGAATAATCGGTCGGGACATTGCTGCTTGGAAATCTTCAGCCAGGCCTTCGGATAATTCTGACGGCCCGAGTCTAGGGAATTGCCAAGTAGCAGTCGCATTCGACCAATATTGGACGGGGTTCAATCCTAATAGCAGTGCCACAGTTGGGAGATCTCCGCACAAGGCTGATCCGATGGTATCTGGAAGATTGCCTTCACGAGGATTCAACATCTCCGTGCGAATAGTGCACCATGGTTTCCGAACGAGCAGGGCTGCCGTTCCGGTCAACAGATTCAAGCAGCCGAGATGATCTATCAGATTGGAAGTGTCAATCACGTGGAACGCTGTTGGAGCATCGCCCTTCTTGTCGTAATCGGGGCCATCCAGAATCAGAGGGTCGTAGGTCCACGTGGTCCGATACCAGTGCGCTGATTTCGACTCTCCATGCTGCTGCTGGTACTGGAGAACGTGGCAGAAGGCGAGCGCGTCAGAAACAGTATATCGAATGGTCACACGCGGCAAAACAGCGCGGAATGCGGTACACCAGTGTGACAACTGAGTGATTGCAACTTGCGTTGACTTACGCCTTCGCTCGTCTGCCGTAGATCCGGTAGCTGCACTCTTCATTGGTGAGCCTGGGGCTAGACGAGCATACGTGAGCGCAAGATAATAGCTTGCTAATGGATTGGTGGCATAGTGTAGAGTAAGAGGGCTGCGTTGTACAGAGAACATCGGATTAGCTACCGTGAGCTTTTCAACAGCCTCTTTGTCTTCGATACATGTGCCTGTCCGCCAGAATATTCGAGAGTGATCGACGTTATCTTTATATCCAGCGGATATCAGCGGGGCCGCAGAACGGATGGTGTCAATCATGCTACCGTCTCCAGACCTGGACTCCTCTTTGTACCGCTTGGAGGCTGCCCAGCTCTTTCGAAGCTTTGCTTGCATAGCCCTATAGGACTCTCCTGTTGCCGGAGTCAAGGCGAAGGAGGCCCACCGCTTCGCCATAGCTTCGAGTGTAGCGCTGTCGCAAAATCGGATCAGCCTGCCATAAGGACCGTTCGTCCAAGCTTGCATCGAGCCAGCGGTAGATAGGAGCTTCTGAGCCTGGGAGTGCAAAAGTGCTGCGGACTCTGTGTCAAGGAATACATGGTAGTAGATGTTCCAAAGCTGCAGTATGCGCTCGCCCTCGGTGTCATCGACAATTATGGATAGCGCCAGGATATTGCGGGCAATGATCTCTGCTTCAAGGTCGCAACACGTGAAGTCAAGCGTGCGAGTATCTAAGTAGGCCATTGTCAGTGTATTTGCCAGTGATGAATGTAAGATTGTATACATGCTTGATGCGTCTTCGCTGTAGGCGGTAAACAGAACACTTCGAATGTCTCCACAACCTAATAGCAACAAATCTGCGTCTTCTTCGGGTGGAAGATTTTGCGTAAAGCAAACGGGCGACGTATTTCCTACTGGATAGAACCACGGCGATTGAACCGTATGTACCGTCTTGAGCGACATCTTGTCAATTCGAAGGCGCCAGCAATAAGGTCGAGCAAGGGAAAGATGGAAGCTGTGACGGAGGACCTGTTGGGAGGTTGTTATGAGCCGGCCGTTTGCTCCAAACCTTCTAGCTGCATCTGACTACTTGGTCGCAATATGTATATTTCCATCACCTGATATGACATACCTGAAATATTCAAAGTGAATGTGAAAAGAAGGCAATGCACTCATAGAGGATAAAACTGCAGAAGCCAATATGCTGAATGATGTTGCAAAGGTGACCAAACAGGTGGGTAAACACAACCTTTATGGAATGAGTTACCGAGTACCTACCTAATTGCCCGACTTGAAAAGAGATAAAACCTATCTTCGTGCACTAAGCTGTTCGCATCCCGAGCCTGTCTGATGAAATGTACCCTGGAACGAAACGGTTACTGGGCATGATTTTTGGCCAACATCTTTCTTAACGTAAATGCAATATCTCTTTGGTCGAGAAGCAGGACATGGCCACAGGAAAGAGCCGCATTTGGGTGACGATTACATGTGAATGGTTGAAAATACTACCTTCGCGTTGCGCACACGTTTTCATTGATATGAACTCCTCAGCATGCTCTAACCTGTTAATGAACTGTGTACTTTCATCTTATGTGATATTGATGGTAGCAATACATATGTTGACGATCTGGGACGTTGCGGAGAGAAGGTCGCTGGTAGGAAGTGCCAAAGTGGAAGTTGCTAGGTATGAGGTCGCGCTTCAAAACGCTAGGTAGGTACCGGTACTGGCAGAGCCACCTACCGCCGGTAGAGCACGTGACAGCCATTCCAAAACGCAACAGTGCATTTTCTTACCCTATGCCGTATACAACTTCTGAATGCGCGAGCAAAAAAGGACAATAGGCCTCCGAGCATAAATTCCTCTAACTTCATCGACATCTTTGACATGGAAGAATTCACAGCTTCCACCTCACAACACATCCACACTGAACCTCGGCTCCTTCCCCACTCGTCCATCCTCCCAATTCACTTCTCCCCCTCCCCAATTCCCCACCACCCCAACCCCCACAATCCCCTCACATGAAATTTGCATGTCCTACCTCCTCCACGGCAGCAGCGCCCACACAGCAATGGGCTGGGTCGACCTTGTCCCACGCACCGGCCGCCTCTACATCGGCGGCCTCTACGCCCTCTATCAAACCGAGCTGATCGCCTCGGCAGGGATAACACACGTGCTCTCCGTTATAGACTACGACCCACTGCTGCAAGAAAAATTCCAGCATCTAACACACTTGCACATCCGGGCCGATGACCACCCCAACGTGGACTTACTGCAGCACTTTGACGCCGGGGTGCGGTATATTGAGTCTGCGCTGGGTTCTGTGCCTACCGGGGGGGAGAGGGAAGGGGAGACGGGTGGGGTGTTTGTGCATTGTGCGATGGGTAAGTCGAGGAGTGCGACGCTGGTGGTTGCGTATTTGATATGGAAGTTTGGGGTCGGGGTGGAGGAGGCGTTGGAGTGGTTGTGTGAGGGGCGGCCGGTGTGTGATCCGAATCCGGGGTTTAAAGAGCAATTGGAGGTGTGGGGGAGGATGTGTAGGGCGGGGAGTGAGGAGGAGAAGAGGAGGTTGTATGAGGAGTGGGAGAGGACGAGGTTTAGGGGGGAGTATTGGGAGTGGGATGAGAGGAAGAGGAAGATGGAAGCGGAGGGGAGGTCGAAGCTTTGAGAGAGTGGAATGCTGATGAAAAAGAAGATTATCATGGAAAATCTTGGACACAGGTGGCTTGACGCGATTCTCGCTTCGTACCGGTAGGGCTTGCTCTGCAATATTATACACAACGAACGGCCGTATTAACCTCATCGATTCAGTCTGCCAGCACTTACCAACGCCATTAAAGTACTTGAGCATCAGCAAATGTATATTCAGGAACATACCCCCGTAGTCCAACATACGAATGGACCAAATTATATACAAATTTCGACCCAGGATCTACTCTTCGCCATCAATCTCCTCCCCCTAGGCCCTCCAACGCCTCCCATACCCAGGCTTACCCTGAAAACAGCCCAACCACTCCCTCAACGCCCCCTTGAAAATCTCCCTACTAATCTCACCCCCCGGCACCGTCACCCCCGTCGTCCGAAAATCAAAACAATGCTCCGCGTCCCGCAACACATAGCCAAACACCTCGTCTCCGCTCTGGCTGCTCCCGCATTCTGGAACCGGCTCGGCAAACACGCGTACGTCCGGCGCGAACGGCTCTGCACTGGCGGGAGACAACGTGCGCCACGGGTCGAATTCTCCATTAGACCAGTAGGTGTTGGAAGGCCTGATGGACCAGCCACCGAAGACGCGGTTCGTGTGGTCGACGAGGGGCCAGTCTGGAAAGAGGGAGCCGGGAGCGTCGGGGAATTGGCGGTGGCAGATGTCGTGTTGGTGGTCGAGGGAGTTGTATTTGCTGACGAGTTGGTTGGGGCCGAGGTTGGCTGATTGGAAGTATCCTACCACGTGTTAGTCGGATGGTGTTGGCATGTAGGTGGGAAGTCTCCCCGCAGCCTCTCCTGATGAGAAAGAAAGGAGCTTGGAGGAAAAAACAGGGGCGAAAGGAAGAAAGAAAGGCAGTGGCACAACATACCCCACTGCGTACAATACTGCCACGTCCACGAAATACTCTCGGCATTGGTAAACAAGCCACCCAAATCGCAAGTCCCCGTAACATTCGTCTTGCCCGAACACTCCGTTTCCAAATACTCATTCACACCCGCGTTGAAGTGCGGATACGCCGCCCACCTCGCCACCACATACTCCACCCCTTTACTCTCTGCAAACCCCTCTGCCCCCGCCGTACGATTCCCCTGCTGGGGATCCGTCTCCATCCAATCGCAAAACCGACGAAGCCCCAACGCACCCCCCTCGACCCCATAGCTCTGCCAAAGGTAAAAAATGGTCGTCAGCGCATCCGCAAACCCAGCGTGGGAATTGTTAGCGGCGCCGAGGCCGAGAAACTGCACTTTGAGAGCGGCGGCAGCGTCTTCGTCCGTGTCCATGATGTCGTCCATGTGCCGGACGGCGGCTTGGATGTCGCGGGTACAGTTTCCGAAGCCCTTTGCGTTGAGACCGCGCCAGATGGGGTCGAAATAGAAGGATTGGTCGATGCTGGCTTGGACGGGGGCGGAGGAGGCGTAGGCGGCATAGATGGTGTCGGGGTACATGTTGCGCATGAAGGCTGCGCGCATACCGGGGTAGGAGCCGCCGATGAAGATCCAGGGTGTTGCGTCGGGGGTGAGGGTGTGGTTGATGTTTGGGCGAGAGAATTGTTTGGCAAAGCGTTCGACGTCTGCGAGGGATTGTTCGGTGGTGAGGTATTTGAAGACTTCGGGTGGTGTGTTGATGTTTATGGGTTCAGGGGTGGAGTTTCCATCTGGAGATTTTTGGTCAGTACAACTTGTTCTTCTTCTCTGTTCTGTATCCCAAGTCCCCAAGTCCCTTGCGATAACCTCCAGACCCTACAATGTTCCCATCCATCCCAATCTTACCCCCCTCTCACCAATTTCAACCCGCCCCCCCCCCAAAGCCAATCATAAACAAAAATCAAACTCACAAAACCGATGTTCCCAAACCACTCCAATCCCCCCAAATTCATCCACAATCTGTTTAAAAAAACTCGTCTCATTCTGCAACCGAAACAGAGCATTGGGCTCGGCATCCGCCTCACCCACATCATACACAAACACCGGACCACCCGGCCGATACCCACTTTCCGCCACCCAGTAGCGATTCGCAAACGAGCCCTCATACTCCGCATCCTGACCCTTGCTCGCATGGAAATTATCCAGCGGCAGCGTCACATACTCTGGGACAATGATCTCGGTCCTCGACAACCTCGACGCAGCCCCAGATTCCGAGGTTTTGGACTTGAGCAGCGCGGAGAGGGATGAGGTATCCGGCGGGGCGTTTTTGAAGCTGGAGGCCATGGGTGTGCCGTCTGGGTTGTATCCCATTTCGGCGAGGAGGTTGAATTTCCGCTGCTTGGCGGTGTTGAGTGCGTGTGTGGCATGGAGGAGGGTTGTGAGGGTGAGCGCGAGGGCTAAGGCGTGGGAGGGCGAGGAGATGCGCATTGTGAATTTAGGGAATTGGCGTGGGCAAGGTGATAGTGAGGTGTTGGTCCAGATCCAAGTGCAAAGAGTAAAAAGGACCAGAAATCTCACGTAGCAAGGCCAAATCTCAGCCGTGAAACAAAATCTTCACTCCCGTCTCAGACATTCACTTTGAGATGTGTAGTGTAAGAAGAAGAAAAACCCTCAGCAAGGAGGGAAACCAGAGAGACAGTAAAAACCCCAAAGTCAACCAACCCAACAAACAAAGAACAAGACGCAAGACGCATGCAAAAAAAAAAAAAAAAAAAAAGAAGCCTATCCCCAACCCGCCTCAATCTCCATTTAATATACCACCCCTCCCCGTCCCAATATCACCCACCGCCATTCCCCCCTCATCCCACTCACCCGACCTAACACCCGACCTTACACCCGCCCCTCCACCCGACTCTACACAAACACCCACCCACACCCCCAATGCAGAAGGTGCCTCAAACGTGCGACCCCAGGAGTCCGTCTGCCGGCCCGCGGGTGCTCGAAAAGCTTGTTGCACCGAGCGCGCCTTCCATTCGCGGGGTAGGTGGTTTGCCAAGGAGATTGCGCCTTCCGGATGGGGGTTAGGGTGGAGGGTGGGGGACGGGGGTGGGGGTGGGAGGGGGGTGCTGGGGATGGAGGAGAGGATTGGGGATGGAGGAGAGGATTGGGGATGGAGGAGAGGATTGGGGATTGGGGATTGGAATGGGAGGGGATAGGGGAAGGGAGAGTGGATGGGTGAGGTGAGGTGAGGTGAGGTGAGGTGAGGTCTATTGGGGGTTAGATGGGGAGGTGGGGGGTAGGCTATATGTGGGAGGTAAGTATGTATATATATACAATTTATATGCAATTTATAGGTGGATATGGATACTAGATACTATAATAGAAATGCTCCAAATATGGGTAAGTATGTGCGTGGGAAGACTCTGGGCTGGGGTTGGAAGAATAATGTACGGCGTTGTGCTGTTGTTTTCGTGCTTGTGGGGGTTTCGGTGTGTTGGACAGCTACCCAGCATCAAAGATCAAAGACCAAAGGTTAGAGATCAAATAGTTCGACGATTCAAATACGCAGATCTACAAGACGTGGTTTAGATAAGCTACAGCTGAGTAAGCTGTCACCTAGCCTAGCCCACAACCCCAGGTACCTAGCCCATGGGTGTAAGTCAACGTCTTGGCATTTCAACGTGTGCGACAGGTTCGAGTTCAACATGTACAATCTCTACCCGTCCACCTTCTCCCATCCAACCCCCTCCCGGAAAAGAAAATCCCCCAAGCCATCCAGACATTATCCAAAATTTCACATCTCCCAAACATTCATCCTCGAGAGAAAACAAAGAAGAAAAATAATGGGTTTCTCTTATTGAAAAGAGTCTTGAAAAAATGAGTAAGACAGAAGAGGAAGGCAAGAAAGGGGAAGACATGAAGAGGAAGAGAAGAAAGAAAAAAAAAGAAAAAAAAACTCCATCATCACAAGGCTCGACAAGCACTGTCAAGGCAACGCAACAAAAGCACGTGAACCGAAAGCGAATAAGCAAACGCTCCAGAGAAGAACAGAAAAAAAAAAGCACAAATGGCAAACAAGAAGAATGGGAATCAAAGCCAATCCCTCAGAAAAAATAACCCCCAAAAAACCCGCCAAAGCGCATGACCAACTCTCATTCGCAAAAGATTCCTTCCCAACCCTTCCCCCTCCCTCATCCCAAATGCCCATTCGCCTGCCCCGAAAACTGAATCGTCGGCCACTGAGGTCCACCGCCATGCCCCACCGAGACCCCCGACCCATCCACCAGGCCCTGCGCCTCACCGGGCGAACTCTGCGATCCTGCAGATTCGCGGCCCAGCGTCATCAGAGTCGTGGCCGTGTTGAGGTAGTCGCCTGGGTGGCTGATTTGCTGGGTATAGGTGCGGCCCCAGGAGCGCCAATCTTGGGGTGTGAAGCCATTGGCCGAGTAGGCTGGTTGGTGGGTGTGGTCGGCGGTTTGCGTGTGCGCATACGCGTATCCGTTGCTGGACGGTTGCGACGTGTTGTTCGATGTGGCAGCTGCGAGAGCGGCGACGTGGTTGGATGTCATGCCGGTCTCGTCGGGAACCGGGTAGGCTTGCTGGTCAAAGGGGTTGGTGGACTGCTGTGGCGTGGCGTTGGGTGTCCCAAGATTGTACGGGTGTGCTGATCCACCGCTCATACTCGGACAAGTTGTATGAGATGTGAGTACAGAGTCAGTCGGCCCACTTGTTGTTCTCGAATATTGATCACGGTACATGCTGTTATCGTATGCCGAGGGTGCACTACTCGAATTTTGGGTGGCCAGATTTTGTGGAGTTTGCATGGCAACACGGGCTAGCGATTCTGTAGCTGTACGTTTGACGATGCTATCATTGATCGTTCCCAGCGATTGGTTGATGATGTCAGATATCGCACCCCTGAGCTTACCTGCGGATCCTACAACCATGTTAGCACGGTTCCTACCTAGACTCGAGAGAGAATGAATCAGGCGTGTTGAACATACCCAAGAATTGGTCGCACTCGCCAATGACATCCACCCACGTAGCCATATCGGCCTTTAACTTGGTCATGTCAACAGGCGAGAGCTGGTCTTTTCGCATCGAGGAGATGAATAGCGTTGTAAAAGCTGCGGCAATGTAGACCACCGTGTTGATCCAGGGTATGTCCAGGCTCTTCATGTGCATCATCTCGGTGCAATTGTGCAGCATCTTCTGTGAAGCCTCCATACATTTATCCAAGTTTGAACTGAGTACGGCTGGATCGGTCGATCGGCACACAGCGGGATGGTGGAGCAGGAGGTGGTAGGCCTGGTGCCAATATTCTAGATATAGAGCAAAGATGTGATCATCCACAGATGCCTGTGATGGGTCGCGAAGCTGATGGGGGATCTCGTCTTTCCATTGCTGAACCTTGGCTTCGAGCCTCTTGAGGTTGTCAACATAGCTGTGTGGTGAGTGTCGCACAGCATAAATGGTCTTGTAGAGCTCCAATTCCAGAGAGGAGTATTTGGCGACTTGTATGCCCACCTGAAAAGAGCAATGGTGGGCTGGATCCAGTTTTGCCTCTTCGCCGGGAAGGCAGTCGTTCATGGGCTCGGGGTATTCGACGTCAATATCCTCGAGGCTTAGAGGCATTGGCCTTCCCAGTCTGCCATTGAGATTGACCTGGAGTGCATGCAAGGTCCAGAAGACTCGTTTTCGCATCTCTATATCCAGTTTGGACATGGCCTCTTGCTTACCCCACGCCTTGACGGACCGATGGAGACCGAGTTCAATGGCGTACAAATGGGTAATGGAGGTCATGATCCATGCAGCACCAGGCTTGGGAAAATTGCGCAGGTGGTTGCAAATCATGGTCAGAGCCTGAATGCACTGCCACGTGTGCTTTTTCAGAAGAATGTCCTTGTAGAAGCTCAGGGCGTAGTGATAGTGTGTATGCGATTCCTCTGCCAACGCGCTCTGCTGACTGTTTCGAGTTGCGATTTGATATTGGATCGTGGCAAGCATCATATGCACCACGATGATCTCGGCAGCCGTTGGTGTGAAGTTGGCATCATTACCAAATCTCCAGACCTGGGGGGTTTGTTAGTCGTCATCGTCATCACCAGGACCAAAGAAGGGAAATGCTTACCAATTCCATAAAGGCCGGCTTGTGAACGAGCATGGTGTAGGGATTGAGGGATCGCAAGTACCATATGGCGTACTCCCTGAGGGTATCATAGGCAGGCAAGCCAGGATTCTTCACAGCCCGTCCTCCCAGGGTTATATGGACCAAAGTAGAGTAGGACATGGGTGAATCTTCGTACTCGGCCTCGCTGGCCATGTGGTCGGTGATGTCGATTTCGGTGCCAAAGACGGAGAGCGAGGTGCCTTTGATATGGCTGAGCAGGCTATCGTCGGCGGCGACTCCCAGATAGTTGTCGCCAATCGAGTGAAGCTTGAACTGGGGCAGCGGCTGGAACTCGCTCTTGACGGCGGTGCCGGCGGGCGCATAGCCCGGCAGAGGAGAGGCGCTGGTCTTGCGCGGGGCCTCTGGCCAGGTCTGGGTGTCGGACGGATGGGAAGACCACGGATGGCTGGGTGGTTGTGGCGCTGTGTAGGTGGGCGGGGCTCGCGGCTCTACACCCAGCTCTCTCAGCTGTGCCTGCAAGTCTGCGATGTGGTTGCGCAGGTATGAGTTCTCCGACTCCATGGCCTCTGCGTGGCCGCGCACCGTGGCGCGCCCGGTGATGCGATCGGTTGTGCGACATGGCGATCTATTTTGCTCGCATGGCGTGCAGCCTTCGGGTCGTCCATCGCAGCGTATTTTGCGAACCTGGCAGATACTTGGTCAGCCTCCGTTGTCTTGTTTTTGCTTTTGTTCTTGCCCCGTGATGACGACGAGTGCGGCAGGCGCATTGGAGTCCGCCCTTGATCCCTCTGCAGGCAATGCGCATCCGCGACGTGAGGCTTCCCACGCAAGAGCAACAACTCCCCCGACGATCCGGCACGACGGTGCCTTTCTCTGGGTCGATGCACGGCAGCTTGTCTGTTGGGTATGCTGCCGGCCGTCGCGGGACTGTCTTGTACGGTCTACTGTCCGTTGCCCACGTCCACGGTCCACGATCCACGGTCCACGGCCTAGTCTTCACTCTCCATGGTCGCGACGTACCTTGCATCGGTCACAGGCTTGACCTGTCCGCTTGGAATCGGCTAGTTTCCTCTTGACCGAGCCAGAGAAATCGTTGTTCGGTTGGCGCGGATGCTGATGGGGACTTGGGGGGCCAGCCTGCTCAATGCGCTGGATCTTGTGGACGGCAAGAGGCAGCTCCTCGTCCGAGGGCCTCTTTGTCGCCATGCTGCTGGCTGGGGCGGGGGGGTTTTGAGCGAACGGTGGGCGAGCACACGAGGCAGACGGTATGTTCCGTGGGATGACGGGTGTCGAGACAGGTACGATGCGATGCACCCCAGGTTTGCTGCCGAGGGTGGCGCTGGTGGGTCTGGCTGTCAAACTTGGCTTGACCTTTGGATGTTGGCTGGTCTTGCCTGGGCTTGGCTGGCGCCTAGGTACCTAGACAGAGTACTCAGGGTAGCCTGTGTGGCTGTTGCACGGTATAGTAAAATAAAAAAGTCGAGGGACATGACATGACCGCCAAACTGTCGAGAGGATAGGTAGGGTAGGGGTATGGTGGAGGACAACAGGCACGGCACACACGCACGGGGCAAAATGTCCTAGGGCGCGGTGTCGGTACGTGCAGCGCGTTGTCGCAAGAGAACAATGGCGCAGGTGTGATGGAGGGGGAGGGGGATCGCTGGTGGCTGGTGGCTGGTGACAAGTGACAACTGGAACTTGGTTGCTGTGCTGAAAACGTCGCAATTCCCACACCCAACCCCCGCCGCCACTTGTCACCTGTCACCTTGTCACCTGTCACCTTGTCACCTGTCACCTTGTCACTTTGCGCGCTCTGACTGTTTGCTGTCTTGGGCGGAAAGTACATGATTGTACAAGTCCAGGGCGCCAGGGCCCATCGAACCGATCGTCCAATCTGCCCAAGCTCATTCGCTGCGCCCACGGGTTCTCAACCTTGCGATACACAGCTCCATCGACTAAGCTTGGGGGATGGACCTTGACGAGGCCCCCGCGACTCCTAGGCACCCGTACCGCCCAAGCCTGCTGACCTCGTCAAATACCTGACGCTCGCCCGTTGATTGCTGAGCCTCACAGCCTTTGAACATCAACACACGGCACGCAACTCTAGCATGCACATGGCTAAAAAAGAAAATCCATCTCGTCTTGTCTCCACTCCCGAGCCCGCTTGCCAGGACCACCCGGCCTCGCTGCACTCTTGTCGACGATCAAGCCTCGGCCAAGGCGCTAGAAGGACGAGAGATCCATTCGAGGGAATTTTCATCGCCAGTCCCCTTCTGGCCTTGACCGTCAAACATCCGTCTGTGCTCCCAACGCCCATCGCCAATACTCTGGCCGCAGATCAACCTTCATGGCCTCCATACGGACTTTTCGTCTGCCACACTACCACGCCTACCCTGTTCACGTCGCCCTGTTCGAAGACGTTGAAAATGCAGACTTTCTCAAAAGCCAATTGCTGGCAGCAAATCCAGACTTTGATTATGCCTTTTTGGATGCAGCCATGGTGCGTACTATCTTGTCGTTTGCTTTTCAATCCGTCACGTCCATGTGCAGATTTGCCCCTACAGTCACCAAACCAAGGACATCTACCTCTCGACTGGGTTGTCCTTGATTGGGAAACGGCCTCGTTGCAACCGTCGTACGATGCAGGAACCCCAACAAATGCCTTCATGCTCCACGTCACCCTAGCTTCATCATACCACCCAACGATCATCATCGCTTCACCTGGTTCTCTCTGGCTTAGCGGTGCTATTACATCCCCCCAGTCGATCAATCGCACCGACTACGCTATCTTCAGCCCTATCCTGCCCTACCCTTCCATAACACCCATACCTTCACTCACACCGTCACACATGCCCTCCACCAATCACCAGCCTCCCACCCCTTTTCCCCGATCCAAATTATCCATCCATTCATCTCGTCTTATCTCATCTACCACCGTCCCAGCCTCAGCCTAGTCAATTCCACCTTCTTCCCCCCCCCCAACCCTCAACATCAACCAAACCCCCCAGACCCCCAATCCCTCCACCAAAACTAACCCCCCAATCAAAATAAATCCAGATCCTCTCCCCCTCCCACCTCCTCACCTCCGCCTTCCTCACCCTCCACGCCTTCGCAACCACCTCCCCCACCCGGTCCCCAAAAACACGCACCCCCCATTCCGAACTCGTCTTCCGCCTCAGCCCAAACAACAACATCGGCCAAAGCTACTCCCTCTTCGGTATCGGACCCCACACCACCCGCCTCATCGCCGTGAAACTGGGCGTCCGCATCGACGACGCCCTTGCTGGCACCGCGCAAACTGTGTCCCAAGCAGAGGAAAAGGTGAGCCCGCGGCCGGGTAGGCTTGTACTCGATGACGCACTTTCGGCGCAGAGCGTGGGCGCGCATTTGGCGAGTGTGGTAAGGGGCCGTAGTGTGCCGATTGGTGAGATGGGTGTGGAATTGGGGGCTGGTGCGGATGTGGGCAGGATTCGCAAGGTGTACAAGTTGGGGGAGGGGGGAGGGGGGAGGAAAGGGGGGAGTAAGGGTGCAGCAGGGGAGGTGGAGGAGGAGGAGGAGGAGAGAAAGGCGTTGGAGAGTGTGATTTTGGGCATTATGAGTTTGAAGGGGTCGTGAGGTCGTGGTTGGTTGGGATGGGGAATAGGCATGTGGAAGATGTGGATCAAAATGATGTCTCTCTCTCTCTTCATAAGGGTCTCGACTGCTACATATACTACATGGTCTACCTGGATAGATATACCACCACCAACCTCACCCTCCCTGCTTGCTCACCCCTTCCATTCTATTCCAAGGCAACAAATCTCACATTTACCTCTCCAAGTACTCGGGCTTAAGGAAATCGGCCATGTTCTTTGGCTTGGGGTACGGGTTTTCTACCATGAGTTAGCATACTAGCAATTGTCTTGTTTTTCATAAGAAAAAGAAATCATGACATACCGTGGTGAGCATGGTGGTCAGAGTGAGCATCATCAGGAGGGCCCACATAATGCATCTCGTAAACGGAGCCACACTCCATGCAGCGAGACTTGGGCTCATCGCGTGTAAGCGTGATCCACAGGACATTGTGCGAGTCGGCAGGGCAACCAGTGCAGCCGACATACTGCTCATTGCCTGCAGAGTTAACGATGATGGGGTCTGCCATGGTGCCTGGGTACATTATGTTAATCACGGGAAAAGTGGAAGAATAGAAGAAGAAGAAAAAAAGGCCGAGTAGGGCGAGCCATTGAGGGGGGAGACGTACCGACACGGCTGGCATCTAGAGGCCTCATGTCAAAGATATCCACACCCTGCATTTTTCCGAGGATTTCAAGACGCTCGAGACCAGTGGCTTGTTCGGCGTCCGTGGGGACGGTACCGGGTTCGGCTCCGGGGGGCAGGAGATCGGCTTCGGTTTTGATTTCTGGTTGGGAATTCACGTCAGTAAAAGACCGATTGCCATTGCGAGCACAGCCTATGCCTCATTGCTTGCCTCGGACCACGATCGCAAAAGAAAAAAAAAGAACCCCCGGGCGCAGGCGCATTGCAGTTCAACGACGTACCATCTAGCTTCTTGAAACCGCGGAGGAGGCTCGGGGGAGCACTTGCGTACTTATCCGGAGTGGACTTGTCTCCCGCATCGCCTGTGAGCGTGTCAATGGGTTGCAATGCAGTCGTACGATGATGGGGGGTATTGGTTGCGTACGGCGGACAAAGCTGGTGGTGAAGGTGCGCTGAGCGAGGGCGCGCGGGGCCACTCTTCGTGCTGCGGCGATGGCGGAGCGCTGGACGAACATGGCGAGGGGGCGATTGGGGAGAGGGGAGAGGCGTGGGTGTTGGGGGCTGGCGGATGGGTTTGGGTTCCGTGGTTGACGTCGGATCATGCGAGAGCTTTGGAAGGGCTTGGCGGGCTTGCTGAGTCAGATGTTGAGCCACAGCACACGAGCCACAAGTAAGTGGAAGCCACAGCCCTGGAAGTGGGACTGGTTGCTAGCAGTACTCCGTAGGATCCAGGCTGCATCCATATGACGCGCTCACTCTCAAACATTGTAACGCGTACCGTAGTAGAGTAGTCTTCCCGACACTTACATTTTGATGACCCATCTCATCTACACACATTGCCATTGCTCACACACTCACCACTACACAGGAACTAATCACACAGCTCTGCCGCCTCGTCAAAGTCAACATGTCGTCGTTCAAGCCCGCCCTTGTGGTTGTCGACATGCAAGAAGACTTTTGTCCTCCCGTGCGTCTCCTGCCAGCAACCAGTCTGATGAATGCTCACACCACCAGAATGGCGCCTTGGCCGTAACCGGGGGTCGCGACATCATCCCAACCATCAACACCCTCCTCAGCTTTCCCTTCACTCTCAAAGTCGCAACCAAAGACTGCCACCCTCGCGACCACATCTCCTTCGCCTCCAACCACCCCGCCCCACACAACAAACCCTTTGAATCCACCGCCATCATCACGAACCCACACAACCCCTCTGAAAGCATAGAGACGCGTCTATGGCCCGATCACTGCGTTCAAGGGACGCCAGGTGCAGACTTGGTCCCCGAACTCAACGTCAGCACTGTCGATTGCCTAGTAGAAAAGGGCCAGGATAAGCGCGTGGAAATGTATTCTGCGTTTGCAGATCCCTTTACGAGTCCTTGTGTGGCGCGCAGCGGTTTGGCCAAGACATTGAAAGATGCGGGCGTGACGGACGTGTATTGCGTGGGGTTGGCGGCAGACTATTGTGTCAAGCACACGGCGCTGGATGCGCAGAAGGAGGGCTTCAGGACGTGGGTGGTGCAGGAAGCGGTCAAGGCTGTGTGCCCGTCATCGTTGGACGATGTGCATAGGGAGTATGAGAAGGCTGGGGTGAGGGTGGTGGGCATGGATAGTAAGGAAGTGCAGAGGGTAGGGGAGTTGGGCAGGACGCAGGAGCAAGATGCGAAGGATGCTGACAAGGCGGGTGAGAGTGTCTTGGACTGAACCATGGAGGGAGGGAAAGAGTGAAGTTCTAGGCAGATGGATATGTAGTCACTCCAAGCGTTCTCATGGGCCTAAGTCAGTGCATGGTGGTTAGGTATCTAGAGCCCCTATGGGCGTCCGTCCCAACTCTGCACGCGAGGCAGTGGAAAAGTAACCGCCATGGCAGATGCAAAAGATCGGCCATGTGTTCCATGACAGCATGCGACCAATCCATCTTCTTCTGAAGACCGCCGTCAACGGAAGCATGAATGATCCGTCCCGTGCCGCGCTGGTCTGTCAGTCATCTGGACACGAGAAACAAGCCGACTGCGGGGCAGCAACTCTTGGAAGGCGGCAGGCACAACTCACCTGCCGCTGCCAGCATTGCACGAAACAGTCAGGATCGTCAGCCCGGGCTTGTCACTCGTCATGTTGCTCTGAAGCCTGCACCCAGCCTTCACATTCACCATACCATTCACCATTTCCCTCGTCTCCCAGTCCCTCCACTGCACTGACTGTGCCTGGCTCTTCCTTATTGCCGCTGTGGTTGCTGTTGTCCTCGTCGTCGTTGATGTTTACCTGTCTCGCAGCGAAACAAACAAAAGTTTCATAGCGGATAGCGGGGTCGGTAAATTGTTACAAGCATCGTCATCGCTCGGCGCGAACCCCAAACCGCATTACCCCGATACCAACTTGACGGGATACCCTACGCGGGATTCTTCACGCCAACTTTTTTTCTGACACAGCCTCCCTTTGCACCATCCGCTCTTTTCACCCAGGCAGTGTTCGTCTAGTCACGATGCCGCATCTCCCGATAGTTTCGAAACATCGACGAGCCTCGTTGACTAGTGCGTCTTCCTCTGTTCCGTGTAGTACCGAGAGACACCCCATACCGCCTTTTGGGGGCGAGTGAATACTTGCTGATGTGTGCTGTGTGAATGTACAGGTAGTCGCGGGTCCTCGATAGACGAGTCGCGGCACCATGGCGACGAACATACCGAGGACGAGACAGTCATGGACTCTGAGCAAGGCAGCAGTACGTGAACCCAACATGAGATGAACTTAATCAAGACGGGAATGATAGACTGATCCCAGACTGCGTGCAGTGCTATCCCACATCATATCGCAATTGCGACCTGGTGCCGACCTGAGCCGAGTGACGCTGCCTACCTTCATTCTCGAGCCGCGGTCCATGTTGGAGCGCATCACAAAGTGCGTCGATGCACCCATTCTGTTCAAGAGGATAGCTGTACTGACCACCAAGGTAGCTTCATGGCACACCCAGAGACGCTACTTCCTCTATCAGAAATCCAAGACCCTGTACAGCGCTTCGTAGCCGTGACCAAGTTCTATCTTAGTGGATGGCACATCAAACCCCCGTACGCACCAGCCTACACATGCCACAAGCAGTCACTAATGTGAGTATAGAGGCGTCAAAAAGCCATTGAACCCCATCCTGGGCGAAATATTCACTGGCTACTGGGATTATCCTGATGGCACCAAGGGCTACTACATCGCCGAGCAGACGTCACATCATCCGCCCAAGTCGAGCTATTTCTTCATGGCGCCCGAACACAATATCCGCGTCGACGGTACCCTCAAGCCTCGGAGTAAATTCTTGGGCAATTCAGCGGCCAGCATGATGGAGGGCATCGCGGTCCTGAGATTACTGAATACGGGAGAGCGATTGTATGATGCTGGCAAATGTCAGTACAGTTCGGAGAGCTAATTGGGCCACAGCTTCGTCACACAACCAAACATCTACGTTCGAGGCATTCTATTCGGAACCATGAAGTATGAGCTTGGTGATCACGCCTACGTACGCTGCCCGGAGACCGGCATGAGCGCCGACATCGAGTTTAAATCCAAAGGCTACTTCAGTGGAACGTACAATGCGATCGGTGGTTTCATCAAGGATGCGCAAGGCAAGAACTTGTACGAGTTCTCAGGCCTGTGGAATGATGAAATGTACATCAAGGATCTCACGGTATTTCAAGTTCAATCGAATGATGGCTGCATCTCGTGCTGACCTGCATCCTCTAGACTGGCAAGAAAGAGCTTATGCTGGACACGACCCGTACAAAACATACACCTCCCATGACTCGGCCGCTGGAAGAGCAGGACGAGCGTGAGTCACAACGGCTATGGTATGATGTGTGCGAAGCTGTGAAGAGAAGAGACCAAGAGGTCGCCACAGAAGCAAAGGCAAAGATTGAAGACAGGCAACGCGAGGAAACAGCCAAGCGTAATAGTGACGGCATCGACTGGCATCCCCGGCTGTTCAAGCGCGTCGAACCTGGCGACGAGGAAGATTTGGATTGGATCATCAACGCCAAAGTGTCAGTAACCCCAATCCCCATCTTGAGCCTCCACTGACGCACTCCAGAGACGGCAAGACTCCTGATGAACAGACAAAGCAGATTCTGCAGATTTATGCCATACTCCCAGGCCAGAAACCGGACCGTCAGTTCAACATCCCCTCACGCACACATGACCCTCGCCCAACCCAAACTCACCCAGCACAGCCAGCAACGGTAGAACAAGCCCCTCAACTCATTGAGCCCGCTACAAATGGCCCCTCCGTGCCGCCCACCCAATCTACCCAATCCTCCCCTCCATCCAGTGATGGCCAACAGCAGGCCCTCGACCAGCAATTCGTCGGCCTGTCCCTAGAAGGAAAGACGTCATCACATGCCCCCCTTTCACGACCCAGTATCCCGAGCGACCCCTCCAATCCGCCCTCGTTGCCATTCCAGAAAGTTGCCACCGAGCCGGGGAATTTGGATCCGGAAATGCAACGGAAGCTTGAGCAGGAATTGCCCAAGAGTAAGTTATTGCACAGTAACTCTGAGGCGGAGCCGCAGAAGAAGGATCTTTTGAGGCGCAAGGATAGTAATACGGAAGATGTGGATGAGTTTCATGATGCGCAGTCGTAGGGTATGGGTGTTTGTGAGTGTAGGGAGTTGGGGAGTTTTGGGAGGGAGGCATGGGCCTGCGTCAGCTATTCGCAGTGGGAGTAAGTGGCAATATAGTGGCAATGGGATAATGGGCTGGTATTCAAGACGAGTAGGCCATTATAGTAATGATGAAGCTCTGTCCTTGTGTGGATGACCAACAACATGTAGATCTTGTGTCACTGTCGCTAGATTTGTTTTCATTCCGATGATGGAGTGGAAAGATCATAGTGTGTATCTTCTTTGGTGTGCGGGGGAAGAACCTTCAAGTACGTGGTTATCTTGGTCTTGATTTACGGGGAGATTGAGATGTAAGCAAGAGGGGGTACCTAAGAGCACGATCGACGTGGGGTCGAATAAGCTTTGGGGTCCGGCAAGATCAGAGCACTGTAGATAGCCAATCGCTGACTCTGCGGACCTGATAGTTCGCTAGAGGATCCGCGTTCTCAGCTCTAGGGCTTATCCGAAACTTTGAAATACAACATAGGTGAACATTTGTTTTTGCGCCGATTCTGTGGTTAGTGGTGACATGTGTCCGCCACACTTGCGCATCGTCTAACAGGCATACACCCTAGCAGACGTAAGCAACTCTAGACGAGAGAATCAGCAATAAGACCGCATGTGGCTCAGAACCGCGTGTGGGCAAACAACACACTTGCTCTAGCAGCCAATGACATCATAGCCGCCGCATCAAGTCCGATATAGACAATGCACTGCCTCCCTCAGACTCGTGCATCAACAGCTTGGCTCGGATGCCCACGGTACATCGGTGTACACTGCCGGATCAAAAATGAACTCTGAAAGACGTGCTTGGATGCCCATCTTCACATCGGCGACGCTCCCCACGCACGTGGTGTTGCGCGTTCGATTGTGACCGAAACAGCCATCGCCATCATCACCAGACTACCACGCCGGTCACAACGATGCAAGATCCCATGGAAGAGCTGCGGGACCCGCGCAAAGCCAAAGATGACTTTCTCCACTACATGCGCCACGAGTTCTTTAGGTTGAACTTTTACCGGGCGCATATGCTGTATTTTATTGTCGTCATTGCCATCTCGTCGCTCATTGTGTACGGGCAGGGACGCGCGAATGGGCCGAAAGAGGTGGGAGGAGAGCACTTGACGTATATGAACGCGTTGTTTCTGACGTGTAGTGCTATGACGACGACTGGTAGGATCAAACCGCCCAGGTATCGAAAACGGCAGATTGCTGATATTCATGTAGGGCTCAATCCAGTGGATCTGGGCGATCTATCTGGCTTTCAACAGGCCGTGTTTGCGATCCTCATGTTCATTGGAAATATACCGTTCGTTTCGACATTTGTGGTGCTGATTCGACGAAAACTATTTCGAAAGAAAATGGCACATGTGGTGAAGCATTCTCGCACCATGCGGCGACTTGTGCAAGACATCGAGGACAATCGCCACACGGGACGCGGGGAGGCTGATAGCAGTGGTACTCTGCGTCAACGTGCGAGCAGAGGACCGAGTCGTTGGGCCAATGGGACCAAGGAAGAAAGAGACTGCTCGCCAAAGATGCAACCACTTTCCAAACGTCGAACGTACCACTACCAAACAGGATTCGGCTTTATCCCTACGCCCTGGGAGACGAAGATTGCGCGCAACTTCTTCCGAAGGATATTCGACCGCTTGACTAGCGAGTTGAAGCCTGAGCGGCACGACTATGTGTCCTTTAAGCCACGGCTTGACTCCAAAGGACGTTTTCTCGATCTGAGTGAGCAAGATCGCATGGAGCTCGGTGGTGTGGAGTATAGGGCTCTACAAGCTCTACTTTTGATCCTAATTGGCTATCAAGTGTTTTGGTATTCACTGGGCACTGTCCTACTCGTCCCTTACGCATATCGCAGCCACATACAGGCTGTACTTCATGAAGCACAGCCGGGCCGGCTGAACCCAGGATGGTGGGCGTTCTTCTGCACAGTCACCGAATTCGCGAACGGAGGGCTCAACGTCCTCAACTCCAATTTTGTCCCCTTCAGTGGCTATCCTTATATTCTCATTGTCGCAGGACTGCTGGCCTTTGCAGGACAAACGCAGTTCCCCACTTTTCTCCGAATGCTTATTTGGACGATGAAGAAGATATCTCCCCAGCAGTCGAGGTTCAGAAACACACTCGAGTTCTTGCTGCAACACCCAAGACGCTGCTTCATCTATCTATTTCCCAGCCGTGAAACGTGGTATCTGTTTGTGATCCAGGTCGTCATTGATATCACGGCTTGGCTATGCTTTGTCATTTTAAATATTGGTATGCCAGATATTGAGGCGCTTTCGCTACGCAGACGCTTCCTGGATGGCTCGTTCCAAGCTACGGGTCTACGTACAAGCGGCGCGTACATTATTGCGTTCAGCTCCCTCGCGCCAGCATGTCTAGTCGTCTATCTCGTCATCATGTACATCTCCAGCTACCCCATGGTCCTAACACTGCGCAAAACAAACACCTATGAGGAGCAATCCATTGGCCTACAGAAGCATGACAGCAGCACCGTGGGCATTGCATCTCATCTCCAAAAGCAGCTGGCATACGACATCTGGTTTCAATTCTTGTCCTTCTTCTTGATCTGTGTCATTGAACGTGGTCACATACTTCGTAAAGATCCTGGGTTCGATGTCTTTTCGATACTATTCGAAGTCACATCAGCCTACGGTACCGTTGGCCTGAGCACTGGTATACCAGGCAAAGACTATAGCTTGAGCGGCTCCTTCGCAAGCCTCAGTAAAGTAGTCCTGCTTTTCGTCATGGTGCGAGGCAGACATCGCGGCCTACCCCTCGCCATTGACCGAAGCATCCTTCTCCCCGGAGAAGAGCTCATGCGCCGCTTAGACCAGGAATACAGCGCAAGAGTCGTACCCGATGCACATGACATGGCAGACTTGGCCACCAACATCGCGCTCAGTGGGAAACCGCGCACACCGTGCGGAAAAGGGGAACAAGATCCAGAGCTCCTTCGTAACCCGTCCTCTCGGACCGACGTCCATGAAGACAGAGATGCAAGAGAAAGGGGGAATGTCGACGCAACAACAGCCAGCATGACAGACACGTCACGCCCATGATGGTAGTCGATTCCTTCTCGGCCTCACTCCCATCCTCCCAATGCAGTACACGGTCACAATCCCCAATCCGAGAGACTACTCCTCTCGCCCTACGATAGTACTGTCCATGTATGTACATACCTAGGTACCTGCGCACGTACACGACAACACCCAAACTAAATCCATCCCACACCCCACCTCCTCTCGGCCCCACGCCCCAAAAACCACCACCAACCCCGCGTACCTAGGTAACCTCCTTATCCACAATCAACCCCTCTCTCTCTCACACACACTCCCACCACACCCTGCGCGCCCCGCTCCCAAGATCCTCCCGAAAATCCAAACGTCATCCTTCCTTACTCCCCAGCCCGCCAACAAAACATGTCCACCTCCCAGGATACCTGTACCTACCATCCCAACTAGTCCCATCAGGCACCCACCCCATCAGCCCTATGCTTCCCACCCAAACCCAACCCCAACCCAAACGCAGACAAGCCCCCAAGAAAAAATGATGATAATAATGATTTTAAAACGCCACTGAATCCTGCGACGTCGCGTGCGGGATTCTCTGGCGCGAGGAGAAGGGATGCGAAATATGTGGGTTTTGATTGGTTGTGGAGATACAGGGGTGTACACATATCCCCCCTGCAGCTTTTGCCTTGCCCTGCATTCTTTTTCGCATGAATGGGAGGACGGTTTTGGCTCCACTGTAATTTTAAAGAATCGTGGGTGTTGGTGGGAGGGTTTGGGGTATGGGGACGTGTAGGTACGTAATTGGTACGTACGTATGTACTGTGGTAGTAGTTACTCTGTAGGTACCGCAGTGTATGGTACAATATTCCAATGTACGTCCAGAGTCACGGCGCAAGGATGTCGGGATGTGTGCTTGGCTGTGGAGTTGTGTCAACCTGCTCGAGGGGGATCTTGTGGCTTTTTGGACGGCGTTGATGTGTAGTTTCTTGCCCTTCTTTTGGAGGTGGTGCGGGGTGGGGTTGAGTCGTTTTGGTACTTGTCTGCGACTCTGTGGGTGAGTTGGCGGGGGGTTAAGGGAGAGAAGGGAGTGACTTGCTCAGGTGGGCTGGCTAGAATACATTCATGTAGTATGTCAAAGTCAGCCAGCTGGACAAGAGCCTTTTACACGCAGAATTGTGGCCGTGAGGGGCGAGGCCAGGCGAGATCCAGTCGGGCATGTGGATGTGTGTATTGGGGAATATGGGAATTACAATTAGCATAGATTAGGATATAATGCCATCACCACCACCAAATGCATCTCCATACCCCCCTTCAACCCACACCACAAACCCAAATGTACAAGTCATCAAGCCTTGGAGTTTCTGTGATACACAATTTTCTGTGATACATAATCCACGCTCCCAGCCCCCATCCACCCAGAAATTCATCCACCCACCTTGATGTTGCTTACAAGAAACAGTAGAATATGTTCATTCCTACGTACATCTAATATCACAGGCCCATCTCTTCCTGTACAGCACGACACCCGACATGCCACGCTAACGCTACGGCTGGGCGCGAGATGGAGGGGCTTGGTTTGCTGGGTATCGGTATTATGATCGCGTGGGGGTTTTTTATACCTAGTGTGCATGTAGGTATTGTGGGGTATATAATGGGGGACACTGTATTGCACTGCACTGTCTGTACTGCGTTGCGCTGCGTTGTGTCATGTCTCTAGTTAACAAGAGAATGAATAAATCAACGATAAAATCCCCTTTGCAGACGGTGCAGGTACGGCCTTTACTTGCAGCACAATGTCTTGTTGGTAGCGTGGGCGATGGGTATCCCATTCGATTGTAGAATTTAAATACGTCATGCTGAGTAGCTAGATTAGAATAGTAAGCCTGAAATTCTGTTTGCAGGTATGTAAGAGGCAGAGCCTGAGGTGATAAACCATGTAAAATCTAGATGGTGTTGGGTTTAGGTTGAAGTCTTTTCTTCTTCCTTTTCCTTTTCCCTTTCCTCAAGCCTTTTTCTTCATCTTGTTGTTAATCTATGAGTCTATGTTACGCCTTTGAGTACACATTCTCGCACTATAATTACATGTCTTCGGTATGATGTGAAATTATACATGTAGGCTTTTATCTTCCCACATTTCATCACAAACTGAATTCCACTGTATCAGGATCACGATTAGCCAAGATACTTTACAGTAATGTATATTTTAGTTCCTAGGTTACTCTATTTATACGCATAGGAAGAAATATTTTGGATCCCTATAACCTCGACCTTGACCTTGACTACTCCACTCTCCCACCAGCATATACCCTTCTCTAACACTACAAAGTCTAAAGGCATGAATGGCGTTCTCTCCTCCTCCTGTTTTCTATTTCACTATATGCATCCATCCTCCTCACATACAACCACACATCGCCCCATCACCTCCCCACAACCAGCCTTAAGCCTCAAACCTCAAGCCTCAAACCTCAAGCCTCAAACCTTAAGCCTCAAGCCCCAAACAACCCTCCCCTCTCCTACACTACATCCACCACCCACCCACTCCCCACGCCATCAACCCCGAGTCCTGAATTCCCAGTACTGAGTTCCAAGTATTGAGTCTTAGTTACTGAACATTGAAACCTAAAGTCTTGGAATCTAAGCATCATGTACCCGAATATCAAGAATTAGACATCAATCATCAACTTTCACATGCAACACTGCCATTCCACCACTGCACAAACGACTACTCCATGGGGTTAAACATCCAAGCGAAGCCAATGCATCTCGTAACCCCACCCATCTAACTGCCTACTCCCCCTTGCGGCATCAGAAAAACAATACAATAGGAGCTAGTAAAAAAAGAGACCCCATCTGACATGTTTGTAACATGTAACTCGTAAATTGTACCCTCTCATACATCTCAACTCGCCTAAATTGCATACACATACACACACACACGCATACACATACTCAAATGGGCTAAGAGGGGTTCAATTGCTCAACTAAAAAACCCACTCAACATACTCGCCAGTCAATAGTTCACTAGTCACTAATCCCCATGCGCCAAACAATACCCAAACCCTACAATCCCACGCCAAGCCAAAACCCCACCTCACCCCCTCCTCGCCCACCACACCCCCCTTCCCAGCCCAAAACACCGAAACAAATCAACCCCCAAACAAGACCCTTCCCCATCTCGCGTACCCATACGAATCTGCATGTCCATTGGCCGCTCGAAAACCATACGAGAAGCAATCCTCCCCCCCCCCCTCTGCCTGAAAAAAAAAGCAAGGTCCAAGGGTCCAAAACAAGCACCCCACCTCCACACAAAACCAACGCCGTTTCAAGTTTCCCAAGCGAACAAGAGCAGCGAAGTCAAACCGCGGGTCGCTATCAACACCCAGGCTCTTAAGAAATGGACCCATCGTCTATGTCGACCAGAGAAGAAAACGTGGAAAAAGGGGCAAGAGAGTTTGGAGAAAGGGAGAAAAAAGACAAAACCATGTATTAATGAGAGTAGAGAAAGTAACAGAGATTCGTCGCATTTTTGGTCTTTAATTCCAACAGTGTTGAAAGGGGGTTCATGTTTTCATGTTTTGGAACGCGAGGCATTCATTTCCTCTCGTCATTGAGGAGACTAGCAATGGGCATGTTGTCGCGGGGGGCAGAGCTCCACGTGCCTGCTCGTTGACGGCCATTGTTTGAAGGAACAGGTCTTGGGAGCATGTATGGCTGGCGATCTGGCGCGGATATCGCGCTGATGTTCATGGGATTGGTCGGGCTATAATGCTTCGTGGACTCGCTATAGCTCGTAGACGAGTAGGAGAATGGAGAAGGCTTAAGCACAGGGTTGTGCATAATGCTGCCGTCAGGCGAGGCATCAGGGGTCGGTGGGCGAATGGCGCTGGATCCGTTGCGCCAAATCTCCTCGAGCTGAGCAGGTGAAACATCAGCGCCGTAGTCAGCGGCCACGGTCGCCCAGAACTGCTGGCGGCGAGCTTCGTAGATGGCGCGGAGGCGGTCCGTGTCAACCACCTTGGGCTGATGGGCAACCTCGGTGTTGATACGAAGAGCGTTGTAGGGCTCAGGAGAGGCACGGGGGGTAAGAGTGCGAGGCTTGGGCAGGAGAATCTTGTGTGGCGCCCGGCTGGGAGAGGTGTTGATCGAAGCAACGTGGCCATGAGGACTGCCGTTGTAGCTCATGGGAGAGCTGTGGCGGGATGACTGAGAGTAGGCATCGTGATCTGCTGCCACGACGTAGGCGGGAGATGTGCCATTGGAGCTGCAAGAAGCAGTCGAGGAAATGGAAGAGTTGCGCTTGCGGCGGTGGCTGCCGTGCGAGAGCTGATGGTAGTGCAGGCGACACGCAAGCTCCGTCTTTTTCAAGTGGGCCGCAATATGCTTGTAGGGCATCTTCTGCATGCGTGTCTGGAGGAGGTACGTCTCTTCCTCGTCAGACCATGATCGGTTCCCACCGGCCGTCATCTTGCGAGCACGTAGGCTTGCTGGGTCGGCCGATTGCGAGTTCAACTCAGGCAGAGGAGAAAGGATCTGAGGTTGGTGGTGCAGCATTGTAGTGACTGTTCAATCTTGATAGGGTGGTGGTTATCGAGTAGTGCAGATGCTGATGGCGTGGGTGTCAAGAGTCGTCAAGGCCGTGATCCACTGGGGATGTCGGATAGGTGTATATAAAGCCTTGCAGGTGAAAGGAATGTATTACAGGGTGTATGGGGCACACGAGTAAGTGCTCAGCAACGTCAATTAGTGAATGTAAGGCAGCCCAAACCAGTGGGGTTATAAAAGAATGTATTAAAATACTGCTAAGGGGGAAAAACAAAAGACAGTTGCCGATTGAACGTGAGCGCGGTTGAAGCCTCAGAAGTTGGGGTTTGCGAGCAAGATATAGAGTTCGGACAGTGAGCAGAAACAGCGCATGGCAGCCATCACGGACCGGGTTCGACAGGCAGTGGCAGTTTCTGAGATTGTCAACGTTTTCAAACCGTCCGCTATGCGGCTAAGTTTTGATCGACACCGTGGACGAGATGGACGTGGGAGGGTCCAATGTTTAGAAGAACCCTGACGCGAGACATGTTAAGCCGGAAGGGGATGGGATGTGAAGTAACATGCGATCTGGCTGCCAAAAAATGGGGGATCTTGTGCAGGATGCATAAGTTTAGCAGCCTCGTTGGGGGTCACGGGGGTTGGTTTCAAACTGCATGTGTCGGACGTGCTGCAGTTTTGGCGAAGCGAAAGGTTTGACAGTGTTTGGTATGCCTGGAAACAAGCACTGCTCAGGGCTCCAGCGACGGCGGGCGCTAACTGAAATGGAGCGCATGACAGGGTTGCTGTGAGAACAGTGCGCGGTCGCTTCATCATAGACTTCCTGGAGGCCTGTGTCCAAGGAAACAAACTTACACTGCTCCTCAAGGCAGCGATACGCTCTCCCAGCACGAAGGGCTATCTGTACTAGCCGGCGTGTTTGTTGTACTTTGAAGTCGTGAGTCCTCTTTTTGGACCCAGAACGGGCCGAGTAGCACAGCAAGTGGAGAGGACGCGCAACGCAAACATGAAATGACCGGGTGGTTGCTGATGCTGTAAGACAGGCGAAACCAGTACACTCGGAAGACTTGTATTCCGCTCTACAGCATCAAGCAGATCAGGCGCGTGCTGAGGCCAAAGCGCTTGGCTGATCATGGAGGAGGCTGCTGGTGGCCGTCCGTGGCAGGGCAGTGGCGGAGTGGTTCGCTCCAAACGGGGCTGATACTCGCGCTGCCTCAGGCGACTGGGGAAGGCTCTTGGCAGCAGTGCAAACAGTATGGCGTCATGGTCATGGTCATGGAGGGATGGGATTGATGGAGGGAACATGAGAGATGGGGGATGCAGCCGGCCATGAAAATCATGGCTCTAGGACGCTGCGCGAGGGCGCAGTCGGGTGAAGAATGTTGCGCAGTGTTCCCCTGCGCAGCGGTGAACCATCTGATGGGCGACGGAGCTTGCTGGTGGTGCGTGTTGTTGCAAGCCGCAGCTGCAGTGGTCGCGCGTAGCCTACAGGGATGTGTACGCTCAAAAGAGCTGGCTGGTGGCGGGCGAGCTAGATAAAGAGAGAGAGAGAGAGAGAGAAGAGAGAAGAGAGAGAGAGAGAGTGTGTGTGTGGGAAGGGGAGGGGGAGAGGATCAATACCTAGATCGAGAAAGTAGAGCAGGGCGCTGACTTGTCATGGGTAGATTGGCGTGACGTTGTGAGAGTCATGATGAGGAAGAGAGAGAGAGGAAGAGGGAGATGAAAAGAGAAAGAGAACCAGAGAAAGGAAGAGAGTTGAGAAAGAGGCGTACGGAGGCGGCAGCAGCGACGTGGTCAAGCCTTGTACGACAATCGGAGGCAAACAAGCAGTCGCAGTCGGTGGAAGGCACAGTCGCGACTTCCCTTCTCCATGTTTGTTTTGACCGATGATGATGACGATGATGTAAGTACCTACCTAGGTCGTCGGGACAGGAAGGCACGAGGCACAAGGCACGAGGCACGAGGCACTAGCACTCGAGGGCAAAAGGCAAGAGCGACGGGCCAGTGCACGCACCGCACGCACCGCACCGCACGAAATGCACGAATGCACGCACGCAACACAGGCCCCAAAGCCCGCTAGCAACAGACCGAGGCGCGGCTGGCGTGGCTGGCGGGCGGGGCGGCGGTAATGGGTTTGTACAAGTGTTAGTAGTCAGTAGTGGTGTGGTGTCGTCACAAAATCTGCGGTCGCCACTCCCGTCATGGCGCAGCGGGGAAGTGTGCAAGTACAGTAAGGCAGGACAGGGCAGGTAGCAGCGACCCGACCGTCTTTGCCTACTGTAGCATGTAGTATGTTAGTATGATGGAATGATGGAATGACCTAGTGTAGTGGTACTTGACTTGCCTAGCCTTGCCTTGCCATAAGGTAGGTACTCTAGGTAACAGGTAACACCTCCCTACACACACATACACAGCAGTACTGTATACAGTCTACACTACATTTTGCAACCATTACTTAGAGACTAGTCAGCAAAAGAGGTCGTCTACTACCTTGCCTATGTACATGGTAGCGTAGTAGTAGTAGTAGTAGTTGTTGTAAGAAGTAGGTACCGTATGTACATGTAGTAGCAGCCAGATGCTCTCCATGGCCCTAGTCCCCCACTCAACTACCACGTAATGGTGCAGAGAGAAAGAGAAAGAGAGACAGAGAGACCGAGAGTACCTACTACTGCTTTACTCCTACACACACATACACAGTGACAGCAGACAGCGTCAGGTCCTCGACAGTCGCCGTCACTCGCTGCAGCCGGCCAGCGTTGCATCACTCACTACCTACTTGCATGAACTCGGAGTTCCAAGGATGCAGCCAAAAAGCTGTCACGCGCTGGCTACAACCTTTACACTCTCCTGGCCGGCCCTCTCAGCCCTCTCCGTCTTGCAAAGTCGCCGTAACCTCTGCAGCCACCTGTCTATCAGACGCTGGTGCTGGCTCCCTAGAGCCTATTACCCCGCTTCTACCCTGCGCCCGCCGCCCGTACCCTATACCTCCACCTCGCCCTGACATTCACTGCCTCGTCATGTATCGCTACTCAGCTTGCCCACCTTGCCCACATTGCCCACATTGCCCACCTTCCACAACTATCCCCCCCCCCTCCCCCGCTAGCCCTCGCTCACTGGACCTCACAGCGTCCTCGTCCCCCTCCATCTCTCCTTCCCTGCCCTGCCCTCCCCCCATTCGCTCGTCTTCTCCCCCCATCCCCGACCCTCTTTGTATCCCTTGTACTTGGATCAGCCCTCTTTACCGACAGGCCATCTGCCTACTGGAAGACCATCATGATCTACCGTCTTCACACTGCCCGTCGTACTCTCTGAAAAAAGCAGTCCTGGAAGCTGCAATATACGAGCATGACACTGCACTCTATAGCCGCACCCAGTCCTCGCCAGTGAAGCTGTCTCGTGTCTCTGCCCGCCCCGGCTCAGCTCTTTAACGTCCTCCGTCTGCCGCCATGTCGTGAGTCCTCTTCCAGCCTGTCTACCTACCGCCCACCCTCGTCCTGCTCCCGAGCCCAGACTCGCTCCAGCCTCGCCAATCACCCATCCTCACCCATTCCTTCATCACTCACCTCATACCCATGCTGACCTCATCACCCTGCTTCCACAGCTCCTCACCCACCACCACCACCAAGCGCAGCCTGAAGCCGTCACCCATCGCCGCAAACCCACACCCTCCACACGCTGCGCCTGCCGAACTGCCTGGTTTACAGTCAGCCGTTTCCTTTACTACACAAGGCGCAGACGCCCACGCAGGCGCACAACCGTCGCTCGCATCGCCTGCAGGCCGAAAGCGCAAGTCTGTAAGCCTCGCTCAGTCGCAAAATCAGATGGCAACCTCGTCAACTAGCGCAGACGCGCCAGCGAGTCAGCCACCACCTCCCCGGAGTACTGATGTCGACGCTGGCGCGCAAGAACCCAAGGCCAAGAAGAGTCGAACGAATACGCCTTGGACACCCGCCGAGGAGCTGCGGCTGAAACAGATGAGAGAAGCTGGGAATAGTTGGAGCGAGATCGCAAAGGTAGGACAAGCAAGACATCACATCTCGTGGCCGTAGTGGCTCGCGACGCAGCTGGCCTTGAGACCTCGATGTACTGACCTGCTGCCACCAGACGTTTCCACAACGAACCGAGGGCAGTGTGAAGAAGCACTGGTACAAGGTGAGTGACTACCCCGCGACCAGGCTGCTATGAGCATCGTTAATGAGAACCCCATCTAGGATATGCACTATGCAGAGTTCGCGGAAGACGAAGTGAGTACTCGGTTAACCCTTTTGATCTAAGAGCGTTAGTGACAGGAAGCTGATGAGCAAGAAGAGCGCTGCTTTGCTTGCCGCCATCAAAGAGTACGACGCCAACAAGTGGAAGGTCATTGGCCAAAAGGTGGGCAAACCAGCAAAGGTGTGTCATCGCTCGCTTCTCACCGATTCCTATCGTCCTGGCAATGACTGACGCACAACAGGCCTGCGAGCAGTATGCAAAGGAAAACTTTGGTGGCAAGTACTAAGCGCCTTCTTTCGCTGCGAATTATGGCGTTCCCATGTCGGTGCGAGGTGGGGGGGATGGGTCCCCGGTTTCAAGATACCATTTCTCTGTCTCGATGGCGCATTTGTGTAAACGCTGGCTTGCTGCAAGCATCCTGTCGTCCTTGTCGTCATCGTCGTCGTCGTCGCCAGAACGGGCTCGCGGTTGAGGACGCCACAGCACGCAGGCAGGTTGGGTCTTAATTTGAAAAAGGGTCTTGTGGGATCCCGATCATGGTTGGACTTTCCTCGAAGCTTTGCTGATGCATGTTCTCGCGCTGACACTTGGTGCGCTATGAAGCTTCTCCTACCTTAGCCTTTCACCCATCTACTATGCCCACGAAACGGCTATTGATGAAGAAGGCATTTTAGGGATAGGAATGAAATGTCCAATGATTACTGGTCGATGTCCCATGTTTCATCTCGGAGGGTCGTTTGTCTCGGGTGACTGCAGTGGTTCGAGCGAATGTTTCGCAAGTTGGGACACATCTGGTCCGTTACCTCAAGTTTTTTTCTCTTCATTTCCAAGTAGGTTGCCCATGTCGACCGTCTTGAGCGAGCAGCTAGCTATTTGTTGCACTTGCAGGCCCCGCCTGCCGCCTGTGTAGCGACCGTCGAGCGTGCAGGAAGAGGAAACGACTCCTTGTTTGTGCGATGAGTGGTAGGTATTGTCCTCGAGGCTAGTCCCAATAGCCACGTGTAACGGGGAAATTCCAAGACGAACGATTCGGCATAGGTACCGAACCAGATCAATGGGCGCAATCGGTACGTGAAGCGGGCTAGAAGGTCGATATGGCTTTTCTCTCCTGCGTCATGAGGTATTCGGCAGATGGGACGTCGAGCAGCCAGCCTTCGTTTTTGGTCGCCCAGGCAGGCTCACAAGACAACGTTGCACACGCGTGGACAAAAAGGCTTTTTTTAATTTTTTTTTGTTTTGCGCGACTGGCTCAGCCCGATCCGCAGGGAAAGGATTCAACAGTAGGCGCTTTGCGCATGAGCAACGGTGTGTTTGAGGACGGAGTCGACCATCCATCTGGACTTGCATCTTACCTCTGGTCGGGCCTACGGGTTGTGCGTTGTCTCATCAGCCTAAATGGATGCCCCAGCTGGTCGAGTAGGTAGTTGAGGATTGGCAACAGGACGCATTCGCTAGCTGCAAAGGCCTGACGAAGTCACACCCTGGGTCCCGTGAGGTCATGGCCAGGGCTGCACGAGCAGGGAGATGCTTGTCGCGGGATGGGGGTGGTGCCTGTTGTGCAGGTGTCACGTGTTCGTGGGTCCTTTTGGGTGGATTGATGAAGCTTGGGAGCCCTGGGAGCCCTGGAGCCCTTGGAAGCGGGCTGCCCAAGTAGTGCTCGGCCACAGCGCAGGCGGTTGAAAGAGGCGTAGGTAGGTGTAAGTTACTGTACATGCATCTGCCTTGGACGAGGTAGAGAGGAAAGACGGAGAGATAGAACGGGTCCCTTTTGCGGATGGCGCCACAGGAAACAAATCGCCCTTGTTGCGCTGCAGTCGAGAGATGAGGTGCAATGCGACATCTGGGGCGGGCAGATCACGGGCGCCTTGGAGAGTTCCTGCAGCTCTAGTTAGAGTATGTAGCGAGTTTGCCAAGCAGTGAACATCGTACCGTAGAGACGAGCCGAGTCTAGCGTTGAGTTGCAAAATCCACAGGCCAATGTGCGACCATGCCTTCTCGCTTCCCACCAACGACCAACCCCCCCACCCACCATGGGACTACCTACAGTACCTACCACCTCCGACCCGTCAGTAGTCCGTTCCTGTCAGTCATCAGTCAGTCATTCAGTCAATCAGTCAGTCAGTCAGTCAGTCAGTCAGTCTAGCACACGGTACCTATCCCGTTAGTTCACCACCGGTACATGGTACTTTACTGTACATACACGGCAACTCACTGGCACTAACGACACTGTCCATCTCACACTAACATTGTGCACTCCCCCCCTAACCTTCCGACCCCTCCCCCCTCCCCCCTCCCCCTCTTCTCTCTTTCCAACCCCCCCTAACCTTCATGCAGCAACGTCTCAGGTATGGTAGAGAATACGTTCCTCCCCACTTCACCGTCAGCAAGACCCGCATCTCGCCACTGTGTCTGCTGCGTGCAGCTCCCCGTACGCCCGCTGGTCTCCTGCAGTGTGCGCAGATGCGCCGTCCAGCCAGTGGCCATCGGGGGATTCCTGTGGCTGGCGATCCGCCATCATGGGGATGACGAACCGCGTATAGGCAGGGGTCACGTCTATACCTTGAAACGGCCTACCAGCGCATGAGCCAATCTGAGGCCAACTGTGCGAATGCGTTAGAGAGAACCATGAATGCGGCCTGTCAGTGCCCGGGTCCACCGCCCACTGCTTACAGGCGGGTGCTACGGCAAGAGAGCTTCCACTACCGGCATTTGCACTGCCTGGCCCGAGTACCGCGCCAGAATCAAGCAGCATCATGCTGGACGGGGCCTGCTGCACGCCTCAGCGTCTTTGCAGCATGAAAGGAATGGTCGGCTGAAGCAGCTGGCGGATATGCCCTGAGCTGCCACGTTCGAGGGCAGTCATCGTGGCAGTGGCATCAGGCAGCTTTCACTGGCTCAGCCTGGAACCGAGCAGCCCTGTCCGCGGGCCTGGCTCTCCATGTCTGCAACCCACTGCCATGCTGGGTTGGTCTGCCAGGTGCCTCATCATCAATCTGGCATACAACGCTCCTGGTGGCGCTCCGCTTTGGGCAATAGCCCTCAAGCCCCTGCCGCGCTTGCTAGGCGGTCCTGAACGTCTTCAATGCATACATCTCCTGGCCACCACGCTGCGCCAGGGTCCCACCTACCTGCAGAGGCTGCAACGGCGCTGGAGATCTTTCTGGCGGCTTTCTAGAAATAAACTACGATGGCAGGGACCGCACGCCCCTTCCCTCCCCTCCACCCCCAACACCTTGCTCCCTATGCTGGCCATTCGGGGCCGGTCAAAGTATCTCATGCCCAGTCTCATTTTGCATCAGCAGCCACTCATACCCCAAGCTCGCTAGCATTGCACTCTGCACTGGCGCAAATGACTTGGATTTCCGTCCAGATCGTGTGCCGGGAGCCCCCCTCGTCATTGATCACCGCATTATGCTTGACGTAGAATTCGTTCCCGGGCCTTCCCTACTAAGCTCGTTCCGTGTTCTTCAGGAACAAAAACCGTCTCGTGGGGATGACCCATTGCTGTGCGTGTGCTTGGACTCTGTGTCCGTGTGGCAATCGCACAGGACCGGGCTTTTGAAAGGGACCAACGGCCCAAATTTTTAATGCCTTGATCCGTAAGGCGTGAATATCTTATATCCCACCAGACTCCCAGCCCATATGTTATGTACCTTTTGGAGTATCCCCCACAAGGCTATATCCGGCTACCCCAACACTTAACACACGCGATAAGACTCCGACCGATGGCGCGTTCTCCCAGGCTTTTCTTGCTCCAACATTTGTCAATATAACAGAATTCGAATATCCCAAACACGTGCGATACAACGACCTCGCGTCGACGCACCCGCTCCAACCAAACTACTTTTTTCTGGCTCAGGTCTCACTACGGCGGCCTGCCAGAGCAAGCTAGCTCTGGTAGTCTCCATGCGTATTCGCAACACTGGCGAGTCCCTATCGAGGCCCTTTCCTCGACTACAGCGTACCAGGCGATGCCGGGGAAGAACATCACATTCCGACGTCAAACGTCGAGCATCAAAATGTCCTCCATTCCCATTCAGGGCTGCCTCCGGGTTACCACCACTCCTTCCTGCAGCCACATCCATCTCAAACGCTCCAACATGCCGGCGCTGCCCACCATCCTACCTACACGGATATCGAGACACACCCCTCAATCCACCAAGCCCATTTGCTGCGCCATCATTCCATGTCGCAGCACTCACCATCTTCCTACAATGTGGGCTATCCACCGCCGCCTCAGCAAGCCAGCGGACGCAAGCGCAGTCACCACGACGAGTTGCAGCAGCACGAGCTTCCTTCGAGTCTCGAGCAGCATCTCAATCCCTACGCTCAAGCTACGGGAAGTGTCTCACTACAACATGCGAGCCAGAGTTACTCCCTCCAGCAGTATCCTCCACCGCCGCAAGATCCGCACTCCTCTCTGCCTCCCACGCACCACCACCACCTGCCCAACCAGCATCGCAATAAAAGGCATCAACCAATGGAGGGCGCACCTCCCTCTCCCGCTCAACACCATGGCCCACCCAGCGTTGTAGGCCAGGAGGGAATGCCCCCGCCAGCGCCGCGACCACGCGGTCCGAAGCTCAAGTTCACCCCCGAAGACGACCAGTTACTCGTTGACCTCAAAGAGAAGAAGAACTTGACTTGGAAGCAAATCGCAGACTTTTTCCCCGGTCGCAGCTCTGGCACACTGCAGGTGCGGTATTGCACAAAGCTCAAAGCAAAGACCACGGTTTGGACGGACGACATGGTAAGTCTAGCTCATCCCAGTCATGAAACGCTCGACGTTGTGCATCGATGTCCACAACCTTGAACACGCTAACCTAATTCATGTCGAACAGGTGGTCAAGCTTCGCAACGCCATGCAGGAGTACGAAAACGACCGTTGGCGCATCATCTCTTCAAAGGTTGGGAGCGGCTTTTCTCCCGCCGCGTGCAGAGAGAAGGCGCAGGAACTCGAAGCGCTGGAGTTGGCCGCCGCTGAGGAGGAGCAAGAGGAAGCACAACATCAAAGCGCTTATGCTTCTACACAGATGGCCAGCGGGCCCAGCGATCCTGACGCAAGTTATCAATGACTAGCCGACCCATCCTGTGAAGGTCTGGCTGGCCAATTCCAAGGTCTCCGTGCGTGGTGAGCGAATAGATGACTGGCAGTACAGATCAGCGTTAAGAGGTTGTGCTGGTCACAACGGGTGTTGCAACTTTCATGGGTTTCGTGCTATACCGAGTAGCGATTTCGTATTTTCTCTTGAGTCACACACATTTAATCCCCTCTACATCCAAATATCACGAAATCAACAACGACTGGGACTTGATGGTGTATCCCGGCAACACTCCTCATCGACAATCAATTTTTCCTCTGGCAATCAATCGACGCGCAATATATTACATCGAGCTCCTCGGCAACATGTTTTCAAAGCATTTTCTGAATGGCGTTCGGAACAAGGCTCACTAGGGTTTGAACGTATGAAAAGGATCAATGAACTCGAAGATGCTTGACAGAGAAGCATTTGCGAGAGAGACGTTCTACATTCAGGCAGCGCGTACATCTCGAAACACAATTGGCAGCAAGTTCAACTGAACGCACGGGGCCGGCAGGGAGCTTGGCGACAAGCCACAACTTTGACGTCTCCAACGTGCATCAGCAAAGATCAAGATGGAATATATCCGGGTGGTGGAAAAGGGGGCGGATTTTTCCTTGTGCTGTTTTCCCCCCATTCTCGACATCATTGCTCCAGTCTCCTTTGTTTACATTACCCCCAGCCAAATGGCGTGGGGTCAGAAAAAATCCCACATCTTTTCGGTATCTTTTTGTGCGCTCTATCTACGGTACTCTTCCCTTGTCGCTTTTTTTTTACTTGCACCAGCTCACTGTAATACCCTGCTCATAAACACCTATACATGCACATAACATACATATACACACGCAAGACGAACCATCCATCACATTTTTCATATATTTTCATGTCGTAGTATTCACGTATCGTACTCCATGCGTTCACGCAGCGCGAAATCTAAATGCACCGCACCCTGTCTTCTCGCCTCTCTATACACATCACTCTCCTAAACACAGCTATATTTATTCATAAATTTCCCGCATGCAAACATCATCATCATCATCATCATAAAGCGACTGCATTATGAAAATCATAGCGCACACATCATAATGACACGGCAGCCTGTTGTATCTATCTTTACGTCCACTCGTGCGGGTCGGGGACTGCTTGTCGGCGCTCCGCTTGTCTCAGGTCTAATATAACGCTGCTGGTTGCGCGGATGGGTGAAACGCGGGCCGTAGTGCGGAGGTATATATGACTTTATGGGATACATAGCAGCAGCGGAGAGGTTTTGCTGTGTGTGCTGTGAATCGTTTAGTACCGAAGCGCTCTTCCTTCCTTTGCATTCACTCTGGCGGTCGCGCTCTCCGTTCTCCATCACACTTGCTTCTCTGGCTACCATACCTCGCCGCTCTCCTGTGGCGCTTCATCGGCCTAAATTTCTCTTTCCGAATCTATAGCATGCAAATAAAGTATACTAAGTATTAATGTACATCACATCTTGTGCACACGCATAGATACATACAGACCCTCCCCCTCGCAGCCCCATTATTCCCTCCCCCGCTCACGTGCTTTGTTTTGATTCAAGTCGATCCACAAAAATAAACTTTCTACCATGGTATGCTTAATACGATGGCGCGTATATGCACATACACACACATAGTGTCTTGCCCCATCTCCGACCGCCATGTTGTTAACAACGCCCAATATCAACACTACCACGAGAAGCCAAACGACGGGCTATAGGACGTCCTTTTTTGGGTACCTTCTTTCCTGTAGGAATACCTCCAATATTGGAGACGCGTACGTCTTTGTACTTGATTTGCTTAGTTTCCCCCCATTTCCCCCCATTTTCCCCCCGGTTCCCCCTTCTCATGAGCCCCTGGTCTATAATACCGAGCATATAATACTCATTAGAATACCCGGGTCCGGGCTGCAGTGGTGCGCACACACACTCACGCGCAAACAACAACACACAACACAACAACACACGTTTCGCTGACCGCCACGACATGCGCGACCGAATGCGACTAAGGGGATATTTGCAGAGTATCCTGCACGCAGGGCCGGGGGGGAGGGGACCCAAGACTACATGTCGGATTTCTTGCAGTAAGGCGTTGGTGGTGGACAGATACCAGTTTGACGTGTACATGTATTGAATGTCAACAACCAACCCAACGGCCCACTAGGGCAACTGTCAACCACGAGCTACCCGTGACTATGTACCGCGTGTACCCGTCCTACACTATAGTCTACTGCTACTATACCCCAACTTTTTTGTCGATTTATCTATTTATTTTTTTCACATTGCCCGCTATTGGCAACTTAGCGATATCGATTATCGAGGGATTTGCTTTCTAAAAACGCGAACCGACCGTTTTAGCATCGGTGGGACTGCCCGTTTGAGAGGTCCTGGTCAATACTGTTATGTTAATCAAGCTTCGCCATTCCGCCGGTTGGGAAGGGAGGGGGGAGGGGGCTTGCGCGAGGCGGAGGGAAAATCGTCCTGGTTTCGCTTCCGACTCGCTCGCTCGTCCACATGTTCGGCCTATAGTGATTTCCCGCTGGCTCCATTCGTTCCATCGGCTTCATCATCTTCAGACAGCAACGTGTTGGTATCTACGTACGTACGTACATACATACATACACTTCTACCCCTCCTTGAAAAAGGATCGTCCTAGGGGGGTGGGGGGTTGGCTCGGAGCTGACATGGCCCACTGGTTGACCGTGCTCAATGTCCGATCCTGGGCTTTTGGAGACTTGTGGTCGACGAGAGCACTGTGCTTGTATGTACTAGGTACTTACTGATTGAGAACGACCGTTTTAGGGCGGCCGTTGTTCCATGCGTGGTAGTGTGTGCTGCGCCCGCCGTTATGCTTAGGTCGAGGCGGCGGCCGGAGTGGAAATATGAGCCTTCTTCCGGGAATCATTCCATCAAAACGTAAACGTTGTTGGGTTCATGGCGGGATGACGGAGAAGGAGAGAGACAGAGAGAGAGACATCGAGGCCCAAAGTCCGTGTGTAAATGAGAAAACGACCAAGGCCCGAAGCGTTCCTTCTTTTCTGGCCATTAAGCTACCACGACGACGGGTTTGTTAGTTTGTCATCCACACCGTTCTCGGCAACTCTTGCCCTCTGAACGAAAGCAAAGTTCGGAATCGCCCCCTGGCTCACTCAGGTTCTCAACAAACTGCTGCTTTAGCCTCACAGAAACTTGACGCGACCTTCGCTTCCCTCGCCTTTCTCCGGCCTCTCCACCTACCCTCACCATCTCAACACGCTGACGATCAAACCGACCGATCGAGTGAGCGAGCGAGCGGGAGACACGGATGAAGGGAGCGGAGCGCCCCCCCCCCTCCCCCCATCCTCCTCCCAAGAAAAAGAGAAACAGGGCGCTGTAGATCGACAAACCCACGCTTCCTGCACTGGATCCCGTTGTTACAATAATCGCCTAACCTGACCTATCCTGCTCCACTTGTGGAAAATGCGGGATGGAAGGAAGGGAAGGGAATGGGCTTGGGTTAGCTAGGCCATGTGGCTGTGGCGAATCTTTGAAGCACGTGTCTGGTGGCCTTTTTTCCCTCTCTACTCCAATCCAAGCAAGATTGGGTGGTGGCGAAACGGGGAGGCGGAGGGGAAGTGCTAATTGTCCTCGCCACAATAGACTAATCGTCCTCGCCCTTACCACTTAGCGCCGGGTACCCTAGCCGCCTAGCAAATTAGTAGCAAGCTAAGGTAGCACTAACTATATTATGCTTTTAAAACGTATTAGATAGAAAATATCTAGTAAGGAAAAATTCTAGGTATACGTGTAAAGTAGACTAGTAGTAAAAAATAAGTAGTAGTAAGGCTATTTAACCTAATATATAAATATTATATAGTAATAGGATCCTACTAAAACATACCTAAATATCTAATTTCTTGTTGCTTAAATATGTCGCCCCTAACCTAACTAATATTACCTACTACTATAGAGTTAGTAGGCTCTATTAAGCCTATAGAGCTACTATCGCCTACTACCTTAGAGGACTTACTAGAGTCCTCTACTAAGGATTCTAATATTAAGGAGCCTAATCTATCTTACTAATATAAGTAGGAAGATAAGGAGTCTAATTTAGAAGTCCTATTAGATACTAAGCCTAAATCTAAGTTAGAATCTAAGCTAGACGTTCTAGTTAAAGCTATAGTTATTTAGCCTAGCCCTTAACAAGGCCCTTGCCTATACTATAAGTAATACTAGCCTTGCTAGATTAAGCATAGAGCACTGCGTGGTAAGGTTAGTAAAGGAGTCTATAATCTTACTAACCTCTAGGAGCTATTAAATTATAAGCGTAACTATCTCCTACTACTAGAAGCTATATATAATAGCTTTAATAAGGCTATCTAAGCTATAAATAAGTAGGTAAAGTCCTATAGGGTAGCCTATAATAAGTAGTAGTAGTAGAAGAAGAGGCGTTATTAGCTTCTTATAGTGTGTAATTAGTAAGGAGGTAAGCCTAAGGTAGGTATAGTAAGGGTTTAGGTAAGGGCAGGCGCTAGCACTATATAGTATAACTATAAAATAAAGTTTTAGATTATAGTAGATAACTATTAGGATCTTAGTAGTTAGTAGCAAGTTAAATAGGTAAAGGATAAGCTAAGTATTACTTATAATTACCTACTAGTTTCTAACCTATATATAATAGCGTAGTACTAACAGGTAACGCGTTTAGCTAAAATAGGTGCTAAACTCTAGAGCGTGTTTAAGATAGCGCGCGGTTCTAAACAAGCGCTTCTATTAATATAGGAAAGGTATCCTAACACGTATTTTTTACGCAAAGATATTTAGAATAAGTATTGCAAGTTCTAGGTAGCTAGAATAAGTAGCTAGACGTGGGTAGAGGCGTTAGTAGAGGAGATAGATAAGGGAAACTATTAGTATTAGTAAGTGGTATTTTAATATTTCTTATAGTATTATAATCTATAAAAAATATTTCCCCCTAAGCTAGGCTTCTTTAGGGACATACTAGTCTTACTAAGGTTAGACTGCGTCTGTGCTTTGGAATTTCTACTACTAATTTAGAATACTAAAACTTTTAGTTATAGTATTAACGCAGATAGCTATATTACCTCTATTATATTTTTCTATCCTAACTTTATTTAGCTATTCTAGGAGTTGCCTAATATCCTCCTTATTAACTACACCTTTAAGACAAACAAATACTGCTTTCCTCTTATTAATTTTGTTAGCTTAGGTAGTAATAACAAGATAATCTAGCTTAGGGTAGTAATAATCTATAACTAAGATAAGGCTATATTCTTATAGGTGCTCTAAAACCTCTATAAGCTCCTTAACTCCTATAGTATTGTAGTACAATTTTAGGCTATTAATTGTAATCTAGCATTTCTAAATACGTTAGATTAGGTATTTAACACGCCTAGAGTTATTATCTACTACTAGCATATAAATAAGGATGTTCTATTATATCTATAGTTAAAAGTTTTAGTAGAGTTTAGGCAGTGTTATAAGGGTCGCACCTAGGTTAATAATAATAGCACTACTAAATATTTGCAGCTATACTATAACCTTATTACCTTACCTACTAAAGCTAACTATTTAGCTAATCTACTATTATGCGAGCAAAGATCTGCTACTGCAACTACCTACCTCTAGCAGTATTAGCTTAATAACTACTCTACCAAGATTGTAAGTTATTACATTAATAAGCACCCTTATTTCTAGCTTACTATAATAAGTAAAGTTAAGGGAGCGCACTGCGTTATTAAGGAGTGGCTGCGAGGTAGTTAAGCTAACCTCCTCACACTGTTTTAAAGGCTCTGCCTGTTCTATAAGGAGCATGTAAAGCACGTAAGGTTAACAAATAGTATTAAGAACTTCTAGCTTTAATTTAACTATCGCGACCTAATATTTTTAGTAGTATTTAGGCGTATAACCTAGTATACGCTCGCGATAATAGCGAATAACCTAGTGTTGCAGGAGGGATATTAACTGGATCACGGAGCATCTTGATCCCAATTAATCCCGATTAATCCCAATTAATCCTGATTAATACCCCTGTATGACCCACTATCTGATTAACTGCTAGCTTACTACTAAGTGCCTAACAAAAAGCAGGAGCTCTAGTAAGGAAGGTTTACTAATTATTTACCTTCTAGTAAGGGTAGCTAAAGCTCTATATATATAAGTACAATTATAGTAGATATAATCTAATAATCTATCTCCTAAATTATTCCTAACCTTAGTAATCTAAATTTCTATAGTTATAAGCCTAGTTTGCGCTTTACCTTATTAAAGATTATCCTATTTATTTAAGCGTATTATTTAACTTAGACACTAAGCTAGCAAGCTTTACTCTTTATACTATTTCTTAAGTAAAAGCTTACTTATTACTCTTCTACTATAAGCAACTAAATCCTAAAGGGGGATATCCTACTTACTAGATTAACTAACTAGCCTACCTAGTATATTTAATTTAGATACCATGCCCTAACTAAAGGGATCTAGGTAGAGGTAGACCCTAAGGCTCTAGATGCTAAAAACTACTTTAAAAATAAACCTATTAAGCCTAACATGCTAATAGATATTGCGCTATCTAATATAATAAGCAAGCAGTATAAGCTCTAAATAGCTTAGTACTAAGCCTACTTATTAGATTAGGTATTAAAGTTATTAGTAATCTAGAACCTCTTTATATAGGTTAATAATATAGTAGATTAAGGGATCCTTACCCTAGCCTATATAGAGCTTATTAATTAAGGAAAAGTAACCCTCTAAGCACTTATCTAAGTGCTCCGCAATAACCTAGCGCTAACTAACTTAAGCGCTGTAATACTAGTAAGATTGTAGTATAAAGCTTATCTTGCTAAGGTAAAAATAAGTAGCTAAGACGCTAATTACTAGTAGAAGGAGTAGATAATCCTGTATACGCAAGCTAAGGTATATAACGTTCCTAATATTAAAGGATAGCTTATAGTATAGGATTATCTTAAAGCTCTATCTACTAGGATCTTACTAGATTAGGGTTAAACTATATTTTAAAGGATTATTAAAAAGTTAGTAATAGGAGAGCTAACTTATAACCTCCTATAGGTTACTAAGATCTATTTATTACTGCTCTAAGAGAACAATATAAGATTAAGCTCTAAGGGTCCTAGAGTGTTTGCAATAATAGGAGCTCTACCTTCTAACTAACCTAAGAAGGAGTCTTTATATCTATATAGTAGATCTTACCTATAGAAACCTCCTAAATATAAAAACGTTATTAAAGCTTAGATTAATATAGGTAATAAGCTTACTACTACTTAATAATTAAAGATTAAGAAAAAGATTAATAGGAATCTAAAATTTAAAGAGTTAAGAAAAACTCTAATTAAGTCCTATCCTATTAATTAAGATTATAGTAGTAAGGCAAAAGAAAACGCGATCACCTATCTAGGCAGTATCTAGGCAGCACTAATTAACCCTATATTAATAGCGGAGAAAACAAACAGGATCTATTTAACTATAGACTTTAAAGCTTACGCTCTATTAAAGAGCACTATCTTTAACAATAGGGGTGTAGTGCACCTAGTTAATAATATAAGCTACCTAGAAGAAAGCTTGTTTAGATTAGTTAAATATAAGATAGTTAAAGCAGGAACTTAAGCTTTTCTAATCTTAGGTAGAGGGACTAGAGTAATCCCTAATACTCTTAATAGACTAAGAGGTCTAAAAATAGAAGATTTAGTGCTTACTAATGTAGTATTAGTAGAAGGTTTTTATGTAAATATTATATTAGAAGCTTAATTGCTTAAAGCAGGAGTTTAGTTCCTTAGGCTAGATACTACCTTGTAGTTTAGATTATTAGAAAAGAGTGTTGTATTAGCTAAGTTACTGCGCAAGTTTAACTTAACTTTCCTAGAATACAAGCCCTCTACCCCTTATTAAATA